CCGAGGCGCTCGATCGAGTCGAGCACGTTCTGGCGCAGGTCCTCGAGCTCGATGCCCTTGCCGTTCGGGTCGCCCTTATCGGTCGAGACTGTAGTCAGGAGTGGGCGACACGGTCAGTCCCGTTGTCAGGTCGACGACTCGCGCCCTCTCCTCTCAGTCTGAAGAAGGGGACGAGAGACGGCGACTCACTGTTGGTCGTGAGGTAGATCGAGTTGGGCTCGATGCCATTGTCTTTCTCGGCCTTGACGAGCGACTAGCCAGCCTCCTTCTCGTTCTGCGCCGTCGGCGACAAGGAGGGGAGGGGTCAATGGAGAGGTGCGAGAGACGCAGACGGCGAAAGGGCGGGCGCACCTCGTAGCCCTGGGCCGTGTCGATGTGACGCAGGCCAGCCTTTACGGCGTACTGGCCGCTCTCGAACGCCGTCTTCTTGGCGTCGCCGGTGCCCTGTTCGAGGGTGGAAGGAGGGGAAGGAGGGGAGGAGGAAAGGCAGCGAGTCAGCTCTCTGAGCGCTGGGCTCGCGCGGCGGTTGCGAGGCCTGGGTCCGGAGACCACTGCGGCTGCTGTCCCGGGGCTCTGCAGAGCATGCCGCCTCGAGGGGAATCCGCCGGCCTGGGTGGAGGTGACGTCGGAAGGGGGAGGGGGGGAGAGGTGAGGGAGAGGACGCACATTGCCCCAGGCGATGAGAGGGACCGAGGTGCCGTCGTTGAGCTTGATCGAAGGGACAGCCATGCTCGTGAGCGGTGTGCGAGGACGAGAGACGAGCTGGCACCTCTCGCCCGAATGACGCGAGTTCATCAGCTCGGCTCTCTCTCTCCTCTCACACCGCCACGGGCAGCTCCCCAGTCTGCAGACTCAGAGCTCGGCTCGCTCTGGTGCGGCTCCTACGCCCAAGTCGCAGCTGCGGCAGTGTCTGCTCCGCTCGCCCTCTCGTGCGCACCTCGGCCGGCCACGACGACGTTCGACGACGAGCAGGGCGGTGCGGCCGGTGGACAGCGCTTTGCGACGAGCGGGCCGCTGCAGGCAGTCACGCCGTCCCGGCACAACTGCGCAAAGATCGGCTGTCCCACGGTTTGGAGCTCGCCTCGACGGGAGCTGTCGTCGGGAGACGGGCTGGCTCGTTTGTCGCTCGCGCTCCTTGCGGGGCTCTCGCTCCGCACGCATCCCTCGACCTGCTCAAGCTGCACGACGTGTCTGCGCACGCACGCCGGCATGTCGCACGCTGCCGACCTGCGAGACGGCGACGTCCAGCACGACACGGTCGCCCTCCTCGCACCTTCCACGGTCGGCGCGCAGGTCTTCTTCATCCTGTACGGTCTCTACGTCGCTCAGCACGCGCGGTATACCACGGGCCCGTCGTACCGGCGCCTGTCGCTGTCGGTCAAGGCGACGCTGTGGCTCGTCATGGCGCTCACGACCGTGTACGGCGCCGTCATGTGCGTGTCCCTCGTCCCTACCCTCCCTAATGTTGTACGACCACACTCGTGCAACTCTGAGCTGACTTATCCCGTCCCCATCATCCTCTCGCCGTGCCTCTCTGCGGCGCATCCGACCCTTGCCGCCCTTCTGTTCGACTTGCGCCCTCAGGTTCGCCGACAACTTGTACTGGACCCGTGCGTCCCCTCTCGCGTCCCTCAGGCGTCGTTACCAGCTCAGCGAACCGTTGTTCTCCCCGCAGTGTCAGTCAAGCGCTCGCCTGAACGGATCCTCGTCGGCGTCAAGCTCGATGCAGTCGTTCCCCTCTTCGACGCCTTTGTCGCCGTACCCGTACAGATCCTTCTAGCCGTCAGAGCAACGATCGTACGTCCCGTCTCTCTCGCTCTCGAATAGGATGGCGAACAGCGCTCACGTCCTTCGTGCCCCTGCAGCTCATACAGCGGCCAGCTCTCCGACGGTTCTTCCTGCTCGTCACTATCCTCGCCATCCTCGTCTCGCTTGTCGGAGCGATCCTCTCGTGTACGGTCAACCTCATGGTGAGTCGCGAACCTCGTTCGCCGTGTCCGCCCGTCGTGCGAGTCGGCAACCCGGCCGCTCGAGCCTCTTGAACTGAGTCCCGCCTCGATACTCGCAGTACATCAACAACACGATCGGCGACGTCTCTCTGAGCTACAACGCACCCACGGCGCTATGGCTCTGGGCCGCGGCCGTCGCCGACGTCCTCATCTCGGCTTGCCTCTGGTCGACCTTGCGCCAGCGGCTCCAGGGCGACGAGCGTACCGACTCGCTCCTGCGCACGCTCATGCACACGACACTCAAGACCGCGGCCTACAGCTCGGTATTGGCAACCGCAGGAGGTCCGTGCAGCTTTCCTCCCTCTCGGCGTCCCTCTCACAGACTGACCGTCAGGCGCTCGCAGCGGCTGTCGCGTCGGCGACCAACGACGGCGGCGTCTACAGCCTCGTGACATGGGCTTTCTTTGGTACGTCTCGGGCCGCCTTTCCTCGTCGCTGTCGGTCTTCGCGCGCTCACTCTCCTCGTTGCACAGTTCCCCTCCCCGCCTGTTACGCCCTCTCGCTCTACACGACCATGTCGTCCCGCAACGAGATCGAGCATTACCTGTGCCCGACCCCGACCGCGACGACGCACTCGATCCTGCACAGCCAGCACAGCCAGGTTCGTCGGCCGCAGCACCTCGCGTCGAGCACGCAACCCGACCTCCCCCTCTCGAACGCCGACTATCTCACCGTCACGGCGCTCGCGACGCACCCTGTCGATTTCTCGTTGGGCAGAGCCGGCGTCATCCGCTGGAGCAAGGAGGAGTCGAGCTTCATCTCGCCGGGCGAGGTCAAAGCGTCTTCGTCGCCTGGCGCTCAGGAACTCGACGGCGACGTTCGTGAGAGCCTGCACGCAGAGCGCGAGACGAGCGACGAGGAGCAGGAGCGGAAGGTTGTCGATACCATCACGGTGCTTGTCTAGTTCTCCTCGAGCGCCTCGTCGTCGCAGCTTGCAATCGCAGTCTTGCTCTTTTTTCCTCGCGCTCTTCTCTGTCTCGACAAGCACCGAGTCTAGCAAAGCGAGAGTCGTTGGAAAGATAGACAACACGAAGGAAGGAGGGAGAGGTGGGAGGCAAAACGGACGAGAGAGAGAGAGAGATAGAGAAAGAGAGAGAGAGGTTCGAGCGCGAGGGGGAGAGGGCACATCTACAAATCGGTAAAGAAGGCACGGACCAGCCGCATCGCCACCACCGTGTCGGGCTCACAGCTCGATGTCGAGGTCGAGCTTGAAGCTGTCCTCGTCGCCGAACTGGAAGGCCTCGAGGGCAGCGAGGTCGACGCCGTCGTCCTCGACGAGGCCGAACACGCCGAGCTCGCGCTCAGCGGCCTGCTCATCGGCCTTGCGCCGTGCGGCGACTTGCGCAGGCGAGAGCGGGGCGGCCGAGGTCGAGTTGGCCGAGCGCAGGGACGAGGACGAGGCGGGGCGAGAGAGGGGGAGCGCGAGTGGCGGCGGGCGAGGGCGGGCGGCGCTCGAGCCGAGGAGGGAGGACGCGGTCGAGGTGGCACGGGCGAGGAGGGGCCGGCTCGCGCCGAGGGAGGAGGCCGAGGTCGCCTTGGTCGCGGTCGAGGAGCCGGGCTTGGTCGACATGGGGCCGAGCTTCGACGGCGGCTGCATCCCGCCGCGCAGCGGCGCTTTGGACGACGCAGGTCCCGACGTACGAGTCGAGCCGGGCGCGCTCGCGGCCGTCGAGGCGGCGACAGGGCGGCGGGGAGCCAAGGCGGAGCCGGCCGGAGCTTTGCGAGCCGAGCTGGCCGCGCTTGAGCCGGCGAGCGACGTGGTGCCGTGCGCCCGCCCACTGACACTCGAGCTCAGGTACGACGTGTTGGCGGGCTTGGCGCCGAGAGGAGCGCGGCGCTTTGGCGCAGGGAAGAGCGGCTGCGGCGCTGCTGGTGCTGAGAGGGCTGCTGACGGCGAATGAGTCAGGCCTGCCACTCGACCGGCGGCGCAAGAGGGAGAAGGGACGCACCAGAGTGCTCAGTCACTCCCTCGTCGAGCTCGGCCTTGAAGGAGCTCCGCTCGAGCGCGTCTTGCTCGGCCCAATCCGCCGCGTCCTCGACACCCGCGAGCGGCATCGACCGGACCGCCGCACCGTAGCCCGCCGTCTTGAAGTCGGGAACAGGGAAGTCGGGGAGGTAGGGCTCGTCTGCGATGTCCAATAGAGTGAGCTCAGGCGCTCGTGCGCCAAAAGAGGGAAGAGCAGCGAGCGCACCGTAGTCGCGCGCACTCGGTCCGGCGTACTCGACCTCCCTGTCCTCTTCCTCCTGCTGCTCCTGCTCCTCCTCCTCGACGTCGAGGTCCATCGACACGTCGGGCGAGCCGAGCATGAGCGACGGCGCGTGCCTCGGGCGCAGGGCCGTCGCAGGCGTGCGCAGCTCTTGCGCCGGGCGGAACGTCTTGTTGGGCAGAGGCGTCTTGAACTGCTGCTGGACGGGGCGAGGCGCGCATGACGGGCCCGCCTGGGCTTGCGAGGTTGACGCGCCAGGCTTGGCGGAGAAGAGGAGGGTCGAGGGGTCTGCAGGAGGGAGCCATCGTGAGCGTCCTGGGCGGCACTCACTCGGTTGGCAACACGCACGCACGCTAGCCAGCCTTGCGGACCAGCTCGTGGGCGTGCAGGGCCGAGAGAGGGAGAGAGAGAGAGTGGGAGACGCACCTGGCTGCCCGTTCTTGCCCCCGTTGCGGTCCTTTGCGCCGAGTACCCTGCCCGACTTGGCCGTCTGCTGCTGCAACGCGCCCTTGCCGCCCGTCACCGGAGCTGGGCCCGCCGAGGGACCGGCCTTGCCCGCGCGAGCCGGCGTCTTGTGATGAAGGTGCGCGTGCGGGTTCTCCTGGTTGTGGTCGAACCGCGTGCTCTGGGAGCGACCGAGCATCGTAGCCTGACGCGCCGTGCACAGCAGGTGGGAGCTGGCTGGGTCGAGGTGAGGTGGGAGGAGAGGGAGCGTTTCTCGGCGGGGTGACGAGGACGATGCTTCGGCGGCTACGACCGCTGCGGCGAATCTGGGCGCCGCTGTCGCAAAAGCAGCAGAGAGAAGCTCGGCTGTCCCAGCTCTCGCAACGGTCGTGGCGAGCCCACGCTGTAAGATCGTCGAAAGCACGAGACACTGAGGCGAGCGCTCCGGCACAGGTCGTAGCTCTCGCTCTTGCGCTCAATCCGACTCCTCGCTCGCTCGTAGTGAGCGTCGACTGAGGCGCAGGGAATCGAGAAATGCGCGTCGCGTTACAAGGGGCGAGAGCCAGCTCAACCACCTCGACACAACCGGCTCGTCCGCCGTCCTGCTCTCCATCCTGCGCATGCGCACCGGTCGGCCCTCGTCCCTGCGCAGTTCTGACGAAAATTCAGGGCAGGCTGAGGCGGGCATGAGGCGGAACGGCGGCTGAGGGCGAGGAGGAAAAGGCGGGTCAGGTTCCGGGCGGGCGAGGAGAGGGAATCTTGAAGGGAGACGCGGACGGACCTCGGCCGCACACTCGGCGGGCGCGACGATATCGCACTCAGGCGCGCCTGCCTCACTCGCTCGTCTCGCCCAGGATCTTGTTGATGCGCTCGGCGAGCTTGACGTCGAGAGCGGTGAGCGAATTGCCCTTGTCGTGCGTCGTGAGGGCGACCGAGACGCGATTGTACACGTTCGACCATTCCGGATGATGCTGTTTGCGAGTTCGACAGGGTCAAAGATCCCGTACGGCGTTGCCAACGGGCGAGAGGGGAGGGGCAGAGGAGGGGGACGCACATTCAGCTTCTCGGCGGCGAGCGCAACGCGACTCATGAAGCCCCACGCCTCGCTGAAGTCCTTGAAGCGGAAATTTCGACTCAGTCGCTGTCCCTCCTGCCCTCCTGCGGTCGAGTTGGCGACGGTCCACCCGCTCGAGATGAGCGAGTCGAGGGCTTCGGGTGTGGCGGGTTGGCGGCGCTGCGTGGCGGCGGTGGACGTAGCCATGGCGCGTGGAGGGAGGTGCACGCAAGCTGGGCGCAGCAGGAGGCCGCAAGGCCGAGGGGCGAGGGCGAACAGCATCGTCGGCTGATGAAGTCGGGGCGGCGGTGGTGAGCGACCACCACTCGACGCTCGCGCCGCCTTTTCGAGTCGTGTGAAGCGGCGAGTGGACGCACGACACTCTCAGTAGCGGATCTGGATCGAGCGTGCAGCAAAAACTTCGCAGCAGGATTTCCTCTCCTCCTCGTCGTCGTCCGCAACTTCCGGCTGCACACGAGCTGCGCAACTGCGCGAGATCCAGGCGCAATCGTCCGGCGAACGAGGGAGAAGGGAATTGCACATCGAGGGGGAGATACAGCGAGTCTAGGAAGGGAGGAACGACGAGGAAGGGAGGGAGAGGGGGAGGGACGGTCGAGAGGGGCTAAGACGATGCGACGACGGGAGCGATGCCGCGCTTGATGTCCTCGTACACCTCGTCGATCGTCTTGGACGAGTCGATCTGCGTGGGGCGAGGGAAGGAGCGAGATCAGGTCGGCGAAAGAGGGGAAGACGTGAGGAGGGAGACTGGGACGCACGTCGACGACCTTGCCCTGCTTGCGGTAGTACTCGACGACGGGCATCGACGTGTGAATAAACGTGTCTGCGATGGCGGGAAGCGAGAGAGTGAGCGGGACGCTCACAACCCCGAGCCGACTCGCGGCTGAGGAGACGACGCTCGACGAGAGGGGAGGACGCTCGAGACGCACCAAAGCGCTTCTTGATGCTCGCCGCGTTGTCGTCGTCGCGACCCGACGTCTTGCCGCGCTCGAGGAGGCGCTCCTGGAGGATGGCCTCGGGGCAGACGAGGAACAGGACGAGAGAAGAGGGGCAGACGGTCTCGTCGAACTTGACGGCCTGGTCCATCTGGCGCGGGAAGCCGTCGACGAGGAAGCGGCGGGCCGGGATGCCCTTGACGCCCGACGTGGCGCCGGCCTCCTTGGACTCGCCGGCCTCGGAGCTCATGGCGGCGCGCATGGCGTTCTCGAGGAGCTTGATCGTGACCTCCATCGGGACGATCTTGCCCTCGGTGATGTACTCCTTGATCATGGCGCCGAACTGGGAGCCGGCACGAGCCTGCTCGGCGCGAAGGAGGTCGCCCGCTGCGCGAGAGAGGTGGGGAGGTGGGTGAGTGACGGTGGTCCTTGAGACCCGCTCTGAGGGGAAGAGGGGACGGACCGGACAGGTGAACGAAGCCATAGTCCTGGACGAGCTTGGCGCACTGGGTGCCCTTGCCTGTCGAGGGCGAGGACGAGGACGAGTATATGCAGGCGGACGAGTGGAGATGCGGTGGCAGGAGGGGAGGAGGCGGGGGTGGAAGTCTGTCAGCGACCGCGCAGGGGGAGGTGAGAGGGACAGAGAGAGTGGGCGCACCTGCACCGGGACCGCCGAGAACGAAGATGACGGTGACCTCGGTGGGTTCGAAGGCGGGCGACGAGGTTGCGTTGGAGGCCGGGGTGGAGCTCGAGGGAACGGCGGGCATGGCGGCGGCGGGATAGGGAGGTCGAGGGTGAGGGAGGTGGAGCTCGGTGAGTTAGGTGGACAAGGTCGAGAGGCGGGGAGAGGTCGAGAGGCGAGTGAGGGCGAGGACTCAAGAGGGACGAGGACGAGGAAGAGGGGACGACGAGGGAGGGGCAACAGCTCTCGCTGTGGCCTTAGATCGGGTTCGGGTACTCCTTGCGCCTCGCTCGCTGGTCCTGGGAACGCTTCTCGAGGACGGACCGGTACAGGCCGACCGAGCTGCCGATGATGGCGACCAAGGCCAGAGGGAAGGCCGCCATGCGCAGGATGCTGGGCGCGTTGGGAGCGCGGGGAGGGGCTGCAGCTCGGGGCATGGTCGTCGTGAGGCTGCGCTGTCGCAACCGCGAGCGAGATGAGGGTCGAGCGAGAGCGCGGCGAGGCTCGACGAGGAGGACGACGGGGAGGTCGGAACTCGCTCCCCCTCTCTCGCTCTACCAGGCCATTCAGCCGCCTCCTCGACCGAGTGCACGTCGCCTTAGCTGCACGCCCACCTTCGAACCGCACCGCCCCGAGCCCTCGCCATCCCGCTCGGCGTCATCTCTCGCCCCCACCTCGTCCCTCCCTCCACCGGGTCCACCGCCATGAACATCGTCGTGCGTCCCCTTGGCCATCTCTCTAGCCTCAGCCCACCCCACTGACCCACCCCTCGCCCCCGCAGGAAACCCTCTTCGGCCGGACCAAGACGCCCGCCGAGCGCCTCCGCCAGCACCAGCGCGCTCTCCAGAAGGCACAGCGCGAGCTCGACCGCGAGCGCTCAAAGCTCGAGCAGCAGGAGAAGAAGCTCATCGTCGACATCAAGAACAGCGCCCGCAAAGGCGAGATCGTGCGTCCCCCTCCCTCCTCCCTCTCTCGCTCGCACGGCTGCCGTCGAGCGCAAGTTGGCCCGGTCAGGGTCCCACTTCGCGCTCGTGGGTACACCGTGAAGCCCGACAGGAGCAGTCGGTCCACATCTTGAGCGACGCGCACTGACCCTCGCCTCCCCCTCCTCGCGCGCGCAGGGCCCGTGCAAGGTCATGGCCAAGGACCTCGTGCGCACCCGGCGCTACGTGTCCAAGTTCTACACGATGAAGACCCAGCTCCAGGGCGTGTCGCTCCGCATCCAGGGCATGCGCAGCAACCAGCAGATGGCCGAGGCCATGAAGGGCGCGACCAAGGTGCGCCCTCGCTCTCTCCTCTCTCGGCGGGCGGGCTCGAGCACGTGCACGGTGCTCGACGCGTCGGCGCTCAGAAGAGAGCGCCGCTGACCTCTCTCGACCGCACGCAGGCGATGAACCTCATGTCGCGGCAGCTCAACCTCCCCCAGATTCAGCGCATCCTCCAGGACTTTGAGAAGGAGTCGTCGATGATGGATATGAAGGAGGAGATGATGGGCGACGCCATCGACGACGCCATGGACGACGAGGTTGGCGAGACCGAGGAGGAGGAGGGCGACCGCATCCTCGAGGAGGTGCTCGCCGAGGTTGGCGTGAGCGTTGGCCAGCAGGTGCGCCCCTCTTTCTCTCTCCTCTCGCTCGATGTCGTCGCCTTATACAGTCGCCGACTGACGAGCATTGTCGACGCCTACGCAGCTCGGCGAAGCGCCAACCTCCCTTCCCGCGACTGCCCTCTCCGAGCCCGGCGTGCGTCGCGCCGTCGCCGTCGGCGAGACGTCGGGTGGGCCCTCGGCATCGTCTACCGGTGCGAGCTCGAGCGGTGCGGATGCGGGAGGCGCAGGTGCGGCGGGCGGCGACGGCGGGCTCGACGACCTCCAGGCGCGGTTGGACAACTTGCGCCGGGACTGAGCGGCGCCCCGCCGTGCGAGGGCTGCGAGGTGGACGATACAGTGTTGTACGGCCGTGCCAGATGTACTTCTACTGCGTTTTGCCCCTGATGGACAGCGAGCCGTCCTTCTTCCCGGTCTGCGCGAGTTTGTCTCGGCGAGCGAGGGTCACCCTGTGCGCCCGACTGTCCTCTCTTCCCTCGCTCTGCGTTCTTCACGTACTGAGAATCATTCGACTGTGCGCAGATGGCGAGCGCGACGCTCGAGCCAGCGAGCCTTCTTCTCAAAGCGGTCAGGCCAGGCTCGAGCGCGCCGCCTTCCCAAGTGGGGGCACATCCTCTTTGTCTCTCTCCTTGGTGCCTCGATCGCTTGCGCACCTTCCGCAGACGGGCTCGCTCGCCGCTCTGGCGCAGGTTCCGGGACGCGCTGCGACAAAGGCTCGTCTCGCCGTCCGTCCTCAGGGCGAGGTCTGGCTCGGACGCCCGGCAACAGCTGGTCGGCGGCCTCTCCTCCCCCTCTTCCCTCTCGTCCTGCTCCTCTATCGTCCCACCTCGTCGCCCACACGGCCTGCCTGTCGCTATGCTGGGCCTTGCCGCGCTCGCCGCCGCGGGCGTGACGCTCCTCGGCTCCCTCGTCGCTCCTTCTTCCGCCGCCGCCGCGCCGGCGCTCCCCTCGTTCGCTTCCATCGAGACCCTGTGCGTCCCTTTTCTCCTCGTCGAGGTCACGCCGGCGTCTTGAGGTCGAGCTACTGACCCTTGCCGCACCGCGGCTTCCTCGACCCGCAGCTTCAGTTTCGGTGGTACGCTTCCCGACCGTACTCAGTGTCGTACCTCCTTTCGAGGCCTCGTCTGACGCTCTTCCCTCAACAGACTCGTACAGCACTGTGGGCTACAAGCCACAGGACGGCCTCTTGCCCCTTCCCGGCGTCGGCGGGGTGCGTCCTACTTCCTCGACCTCCTCGGCTCGACTCGTCTCGAGCGGCACGAGCCAGCCGAGCGCCGTATTCACAAGGACGTGACTGACCCTATGTCGTACGCGCAGACGACCTCGGGTGGTTACAACTGGGTCCAGTTCCTCGCGTTTATGCAGAACGCGTCCTACTTCGACTTTGCGCAGTCGGCGGCGACCGTCAACAACTCGATCATCCACATCAACCGCGGCGAGACGCCGCCGAGCTTCGACATCCAGCTCGCGACGTTCGAGGAGTACTTTGCCGGCGCCGAGCCCGAGATCCCGTGGACGAGCGACAAGTCGCTTTTCAGTGCGTCGACGCTCTCTCTCTCTCTCTCTCCTTGACGAGCCTCGCACTGACCTCGCCGCCCCAACAGCTGTCTTCTTCGGCATCAAGTGAGTCTGGACCGATTCGACGGCGTCGCCCTCGTGAACCCGGCACTGACCCTCGTCCTCTCGCAGCGACATCGGCTTCACCGTCCTCCAGGACTCGCACAACGCGAGCGAGATCGTGCCCAAGATCGTCCAGTCGTACGAGGCGAGCGTCTCGCAGCTGTACGACCGAGGAGGTGCGCTCTCTCTCTCCTCGTCCTCGCGCACGAGCCTCGCCGACCCGGATCCTCGTCCCCCGCCGCAGCTCGCAAGTTTCTCCTCATCCTCATGCCGCCGACGTACCGCACGCCCTACATCAAGAGCTTTGGTGCCGAGACGGTGGCCAAGTTCAACACGACGATCGACCTGTACGTCTCGACCCTGACGACCGCCGTCGCCGACCTCTCGACTAGGTACCCGGACGCCTCCTTCGTCACGTATGACACGGCGCCCATGTTCAACGCGATCCTCGACGATGCAGCGGCGTACGGCTTCAGTGTGCGTCCACCTCTCGACAGCGCACGCTTCCTTTCGAGCCTCGAGATTGACCTTCTCGACTCGCCGACGCAGATCTCGTCCACCTCGTGCTGGGCGTACTGGAACAAGCACGACCCGGAGCTCGATCTTCCGTCGTGCGAGGCTCCGCTGGCCGAGTACGCCTGGGCCGACGACTATCACCCGACGTGGGGTGTCCACAAGCTCGTCGCCGAGGACATTGCCAAGGTGCGCCGCGCTCTCTCTCTCTCATCGTTCTGCCGCCGCGCTCGCTCACATACTTCGTTGCACACTCGCAGACCCTGACCGGCTCGGTCCCGTCGATCGTCGCTGCGCCGCCGGACGGTCGCACCATCTCTCGCCGTGCGGCGCAGCCGGCGCGCAAGGCGATCCGTCGCCGTCGGCCGGGGCACGGCAGCGCGCGCGGCAGTGGCGCGAGCGCACACGACGAGGCGGCGCACGCGCTCATGCGCGAGCGGATGCGCAGGAGCTGGGCCGGGCTGGCCATGGCCGGCGAGGACTGAGCGTGGCTCGAGCAAGCGGGGACGAGGAGCGAGGAGAAGGGATATCTGGTCGGCTGGGCCGCTGTAGCACGTACTCTGACTCCTCCTGTATCTACCGTGTCATTTGCGGACGGCCGAGACGTCGAGCGAGTCTGTGAGCGCTGGTCGTGGGAGCGAGAGCGAGGCGAACGAGCCTTGCCCAACCGCGAGCGAAGGCGGCGAAGCTAGAACGCGAGGTCGCGAGCTTGTACATGGACGTCGGGTCGTCGTGGCCGAGCACTCAACGCTCCAGCTGCCGATGCGGCGGCACAGCTCGACTGGCGAAAGCGAGCCGAGTCGGGAGGCGAGAGGAGGGCGACGGCAGCTGGACGGGCGCCGCTCGAGGTGCGGGCGTCCCTGCTGAGCGAGGCCAATGACCAGAGCGCAGCCTAGCAGCTCGCAGGTCCAGCGGTGAGGCGAGGGGAGAAATGCGCTCGCCGGATTGGAGAGCGCTCGCCGCCTCGTCGCCTCCTCCGCACCTCGGCTCCTCTCCGTCCTCCTTCAGCAGCTCCGCCAAGATGCAGCAGGTCGCTCGCTTGTTCAGCCGCCAGGCTCGCTCCTTCTCGTCCTCGGCCCGTGCCGCCTCGGACCAGCTCCAGGTCGTGAGTCCGCTCGTCTCCTCCCATCTCCTCGAGCGACGAGGCTCGCCTCGATCGCAGCCCCGTACGCCCTGCCAGAGCAGCCAAGCTGACCTTGCACCTCCCTCTCGACCCGTCACAGCACCGCAACTCGTCGTACAACAACCCGTCGATTCCGTTCAAGCTGACGGCCGACAATCACGAGCTGGCCAAGCGCATCATCGCCAAGTACCCGTCCCAGTACAAGAAGGCGGCCGTCATCCCGTTGCTCGAGGTGGCACAGAAGCAGAACAAGGGCTTCTGCTCCATCTCGGTCATGAACCACGTCGCCGAGGTCCTCGAGATGCCCCCGATGCGCGTCTACGAGGTCGCGTCGTTCTACACCATGTGCGTCCCGTGCAGCTCCCCTCATGCCTCCATCTCGTCCCACTAACCTTTCTGCTCCCCCTCGTGCAGGTTCAACCGGTGCGCCGCCGCCTTCATGGCTCTCTCTCCCTCGTCGTCCTCCTCAGGATCTGACCCTCTCGTCGACGACACAGGGAACCCGTCGGCGACTTCTTCGTCCAGATCTGCACCACGACGCCGTGCATGCTCGGCGGCTGCGGCTCGGACAAGATCGTCGAGGCCATCACGTCGCACCTGGGCGTCGGGCTCGGCGAGACGACCAAGGACAAGAAGTTCACGCTCCTCGAGGTGCGTCCGCTCTCTCGTCGCGTTCAGCGCTCCCCTCTCGAGTCTTCACGTGACCTGACGCACTCTCTCCCCTCCAGGTCGAGTGCCTCGGCGCCTGCTCGAACGCCCCGATGGTGCAGATCAACGACGAGTTCTACGTGCGTCCCCTCTCGCTCTCTCGCCTCTCGCCCTATCTGCCCGACCCCGGGCTGACCACCAGCTTCACATACAGGAGGACCTCACGCCTGAGAGCATCGTCTCGATCCTCGGCGACCTCGCGGCGGGCAAGAAGGCCAAGCCGGGCCCTCAGTCGGAGCGCAGCGGCAGCGAGCCCAACGGCCCGCTCACGGCCCTCACCACCCCCGTACGCTCTCTCTCTCTCTCTCTGTGCATCTGTTGGACGCGCCTGACTCATCTTGCGCACCCGCAGCCACCCAAGCCGAGCGAGATCTTCACCAAGGAGTGGCAGTGAGCGGCGGGCTGGACGAGCGCAGCGAGTCGTAGTCTGTCTGTAGAAGTAACCACGTTCCAGCTACTCTGTCTGCGTCGAGTCCTGAGAGCGAGAGGCCGAGCGGAAGCGAGCGCACGAACCCCGAGAAGCGGCTCTCCTCGCTCGTCTCTCGAGAACGCTTGACCGGATTCGAGCGAATGCGAGGTGGTATAACATGCGTCGAGCACAACCAGGAGAGTCACACAGAACAGGAAAGGGAGAGGGACTACCAAGTACACGGTCGCTGCGGCCCCCGACGCCGCTCCTCGACCTCGCCGACCGTCTTCCACCGCTCAAGGTCGCGAAGAAAGCGCCGCATCCTCTCAAACGAGCAAGGATGCATTTACGCACCCATCTAGCTCCTAATTACGGGCAGAGAGTCAGTGGAAGCCGGACGAGGGGCGGAAGAGGCCGCAGGAGGGCGAGAGAAGGGACGAGGAGAAAATGGGGACGCACAGGGTTGTTGGTGATCTGGGCGAACTTGCCCCACACAACCTTGCCGCCAGTGGTGACGAGACCGAGCTCGGAGACCTAGAGGGAGCGAAAGGAGGATCAGGAAGTGCAGGAAGAGGATCTCGAGGAGAGGAGGGGGAGGGACGCACGTTGACCTCGATGATGGTACCCTTGGTGATGACGCCGAGCTGCGTGTACTGTGGACGCACAAAGAGAGCGTCAGAGCCGGCGTGGAGAGAGAGAGAGAGAGAGAGAGAGAAAGGAGAGCGGGCACACCATGGGCGACTGCGGGTTCTTCTTGACGCCGATGATGGGGAGCTGGAACGTCGCCTTGAGCTCGGCTGCAGGCTCGTAAGGCAGCGTCAGTACATGTGCGCGAGAGCGAGAGAGGAGATGAGAGGACGGACGGTGCGTGACGTTGGCCTTCTTGACGCGGAGGGCCGACGGGCGGATGAAGCGCTCGAGCTTGGGGGGTTTCCGGGTGAAGTCCTGCACGACTCGAGGTCAGGAGCCGTCGCTCGTCGACACGAGAGAGCGAGAAGGGACGCACCTCGCCGACAAAGGTGGCCTTGGTGACCATGCGCTTCCAGCCCTTGCGCTTCGACTTGCCCGTCTTGATGACCTTGAACATCTCGTCCTCGGCGATACCGCGGACCTTGGGGAGCGGGACGGCAAACTTGCCGGCCTTCTCCTTGCGCTTCTGCTTGACGGCCGACGACAGGGCCTTGGCGTCGTTCTGGCCCTCGCGGTCGAGGAGGTAGGTCGGGAGGGCGCCCTCGGGGAGCGCACTCGCGTCCTTGGCCTTGACGTCGCGCTCCTCGTGCGCCTTGATCGTCTTCTTCATGGCGACCTTCTCGGCGTAGCGGCGCTGGTGGAGGAGCTTGGCCTTGTGGCCGTGGAGCGTCTGGGCGACGTGCGACGCCTTGTGCGCCTCACGCGCCTGGCGCTTGCGCTTGCGCTCCTCGTGGTCGAGCTGACGACCATTGCGCTGCGAGCGAGGGCGAGAGGGAGCGTCAGCAGGCGAATCTGAGAGAGGCCGGCCCTCGTCGAGAGAGAGGGGGAGATGGACGGACGCGGATCGACTCCTCGATGTACTCGTTCTGCGGCCTGTGGGAGGTGTCGAGTGAGCATGCGGGACCATGTGGGCGAGAAGGGAGAGCTGCACGCACATGCTGGACGGGAGGAGAGGTGGGAGAGTGGCGGGGACGGAAGGAGTGGAGAGAGACGAAGGTAGCTCGGCGGCTAGTCGATGGGGCGAGGGTGGTGCGACTGATTCCTGAGCGTAAGAACTTGGCGCGTAGATCTAGGGCGCCCGTGAGTTTCTCGAGCGGGTCGAACGAGAGCGAGCGGGAGGTTGGAGCAAGGCGAGGCAGCTCGAGCTCGCCAGCGAGGCGAACGCCGCCGGCTCACTCGGCTCGGGTCCCCCGCTCGCTTGCTTGCCGCCTGACAGGTCTACTGCGCCGAGACGATGCACATCAACAAGGTGCGCACCCCGTCGCCCCCTCTCCGCAGCGCGACCTGGCCACTCACCTCTCCTCCTCCCACCCTCATCTCCCCGACCTCGACCTCGACCCACCCCCACTCTCGCCCCTCGCAGCTCAAGGTCAAGCCGCGCAAGACGGCCTACGTCCAGCCCTGTGCCCTCGAGCTCACGGCCATGCTCGGCTGCTGGGCCTCGAGCGGCGACCTCGTCAACGCAAAGGACTGCCGCGAGGCCGCCATCCGCCTCCACGAGTGCATGGCCAAGCCTGTGCGTCTCCTCTCTCACTCTCTGATCTTGCCCTGTGTGCGCCCACTGACCCAGTCCGCGCCCCCTGGGAACAGCAAGCCAAGGGCAAGCCTCGCGTGTCGTCCGTCAACTACCTGCTCGCGAGGATGGGAAAGGTGCGCCCTCGCTCTCCCTTGCTCGCCCGAACGACGCACACAAGCTAACGAGACCGCTCGGTCCTTGCCCCCTCGATCGACAGTGATCTCGCCCGCCGTCGCCCCTCTCGTTCACCTCGCACGCCCTCTCTGCCGCACCTCCACCTGTTGTCCCACCAGCCGCACGCCCTGCAATCCCACTCCGTACCCAGCCGTACCTCGTTCTCGGAAAACCGCTTCTCGAGTTGCACGTGCCCGCACGCTCGGCTCTACCGGTTCGCGACCTCGACCGCCCGCCCGACGAGCGCCACGACGCGCCCGACTCGCTCTGCACGCTCCCGCTCCGCCGGCTTCTCCTCGTGCGCACCGCCGCCGCGCTCGAGCGCGAGCCACTGCTGCGCGAGGGCGTCGCGCTTGGTCGTCCAGGGCGAGGGAGCGGGCGGATCGGCCGACGAGGTGGACGAGGCGGCGAGGTGGTCGGCGAGTTTGGCGGCCGTGAGGAGGACGCGCTGTGCGTCGAGAGGAAGCGAGAGGGCGAAATAGCCTGTTGCCGAGAGAGAACGAGAGAGGAAACGGAGGACAGGATGCCTCAGTCGGGCACAATCGAGGAGGGCGAGATCGAGAGGGGGACGCACGCAGTGCGACTTGCTCGAGCTCGACGAGCAGGTCCTCGATCGGCGCACCTGCAGGCGCGAGTCGACGAATGAGTACTTGCTCGAGGCAGCCACGCCCGCCGAGAGAGAGAGAAAAGAGAGGAGACACGCACCTTCGCTTTGTGCGCCAACGAGCCCGACCACCCTCGCCTCCCTCGCCCTCAGCCTGCGCCTTCCGTCCTCCTCGACAGCCCCGCTCCCCTCGTCAAGCGCGAGCACCGCCGCCCAGGCCTCCTCGAGCTCGGCGAGCCCGCGCTCGGCGGCGCCCGGACCGCCTGCGCGCTGCCGCTCGCCGACGAGCGTGATGAGGGCCGAGAGGCGCTCGGGCTCGCGCTGTGCGAGAGAGGCGAGGTGTGCCGTGGTGGCTGCGCGTGTGAGGCGGGCGTATGGCGGCTGCGAGCAAGAGAGGCGGCGGAGGAAGGAGGCGAAAGGAGGTTAGTTGCGCTCGACAGCTCCGGCAATTTGTCCATCTCGAGGGAGAGAGGGGACGCACCTCATCATGCTCGTCATCTTCTGCGCTCCCCGCCGTCCGCCTCGCCGCGTCCTCGCCCACTCGCTCAAGCAACCCCCTCCACCTCCCGATCTCCCTCGCGCCCATTCCCCTCCTGCGCTCCCTGCTCTCGACCGCGCCGAGCAACATCCTCCTCGCCGCCGCGCTCCTCCCCTTCTCGACGAGCCGCACCGTCCGCCGCTCGAGGACCGTCAGGCGCACGTCCCACGAGGGCAAGTGCGCGTCGTCGAGCGCGAGCGCGAGCGAGTCGTGCAGGCGCGCGAGAGAGGCGACACCTGCATGGAGTGTCGGGCACAATGTCAGTATGAGGCCTACTGTCGAGGAGGAGGAAAGAGAGGACGAGGGAGGAGAGAGGGGGAGGAAGGGGGAGCGCACCCATGGCGTCCCACAGTCCGGCTGCGACGACGTGCCACGCGCTTGCAAAGCCCGGGTCGTCCACCGCCGGCGGTGCACTAGGCGTACTCGTCTTGCCGCCGTGCGCCGGGTCCGTCTTGAGAGGTGCGGGTGGCGGAACGGGGAAGGTGAGCTGCTGAGAGGCGGCCCGAGCGAGGTAGAGCTGCGGAAACAGCGTCGAGAGCGGCGTGTCCTGCGTGGCAAGAGAAACCGAGGCGTGTCAGTCTCGGTGAAGGAGGACGAGAGTGAAAGCCACGGCGTACGGTGGACGAGCGCTGCGAGATGTCCCACAGGAGGTCGTGCGGCGAGGTGAGCGCCGCTCGCGCCTTCTTGCGCGTTGGCGCGTTGGCCGATGCCGCCTCGAGACGTAGACTAAGGCTGCAGGGGAAGTTCAGGTGAGTCACGGCGAGAAACCCTGGGCTACCGAGTGAAAGAGAGAAAGGGAAGACGGACCTTGCACATGCAGCGAGACAGGCGGCGTCGCCCACCGTGCGAGCGACTTGGGTCGCCTCATCGAGCGCCTGCACAAGATGTACGGCCCGAGTCAATACCTCGTCGAGACCGGATGAGGGAGAGAGAGCGTACCAGTCGTGCCGCCTCGAAGCCGCCGTCCTCGAACTCGATGAGGGCGAGGTGCAGAAGCGCTTGCTGTGCCGTCGAGCTGTTCGGGAGATTTAGGCTCAGTACACTTTTCGAGCAGGTGAGGAGAAGAGGGAGCACTGGGATGCACTCGCGCTGCCCTGCGGGGACAAAGGCCTTAAAAGCTTTAAAAGCCTTATATATTCTTTTTTTTCTTATAAAACTTAAAACCTTAGAGGCTATTTAAGTTGCTGATTTATAACTGTGTCGACGCAGAGCTGAGACCGACTCTCAAGGGAAGGCGAGGACGCACCCGGGAACCTCGCTCCTCTTGCTGCGCTCCGCGGCCGGCTCGACGCCGTCGCACCACTGCTCAAACGCGGCCCACCACTCGACTGTCTCGGCAAAGTCGAGCTTGGCGAAGGCGAGGGCCGTACGGCGGACGTAGAGGCCGAGGGGCGACGCGCGCAGGAGCGGCGGCGGCGGAGGGTGCACCGAGAGGTTGAACTGCGTCCGCGAGGAGGGTCAGTGCGGGTTGGGGGGCGAAGAGGATGGACGGGACGCACCTCGTCTTCTTCTGGCAGTGCGACGAGAGCGCGAACCGCTGCAGGATGGAGGAGCGTGAGCGACAGGGGGCGACACATGGGGAGGGAGAGAAGGAGAGGACGGACCGTCGCCGACCCAGAGGAGCGCGTCGTCCATGCCCTTTGCGCGCACGTCTGCCGTCTGTTTGACAGGTTGTGCGAGGTCAGTATCGAGGACCGACAGAGTCCACGGGAGGGTAGAGAGGAGGGCCGAGTTGAATCACCGTCTGGAGGAGCTGGTCGAGGGTGTCGTAGACGTCGTCGTCCCACGGTGCGGCGGGGTCCGGTCGGGGCCACTGCTCGAGTGAGGGTGGTGGTGCAGGCTCGACGCTGCACTCGAGGGCGATGGCAAGGAGCGTGTCGAGGTGGGGAACGGGTTGAGACGACGAGGGGGACGAGGCGACGGTCGCGACGTGGCTCACGAGGGCCAGGGTCGAGATGGCGGCGAGTGAAGGTCCTGGACGAGGGCTGGGCATCGTCACTCTGTGCGCAGAGAGGGACGGGGGCGTGTTCTCTCGAGGTGAGGCGAGTTGCCGAGGTCGACGAGCGCGATGTTAAAGGTCGTCTGGCTCTCGTCCACGCCCAGCTACAGCGACTAGAGCACCACGGCCATCCTGCACACCATGCAGCGCACCCCGGCACTCCGCACCGCCCTCAAGCGCTCCCTCGCCTCCCCCTCGTCGTCCTCGCCCGCACGCCTCGTCGCCTCGCACTCGCTCGTCATCGCCCGCACCTCGCCCAGCCCAGCAGCAGCAACAGCAGCGGCACGACAACTCGCACCACTCGACTGGCGACTCGTCACCCGCGCGTTCGCGACCCACCCTGCCTCGTCGGCATCCGCACCACTCGGCACCGCCCCGTCCCCGTCCTCGCACCAGCACCAGCACTCGCAGTCCAACTCGAACTCATCGTCGTCGTCGTCCAGCACCGAGCCCAACGACCCGGACGACTCGTCAAAGGTGCCCCTCACGCAGCGCATCAAGTACCTCTTCCGCAAGCACGGTTGGACCGCCCTCGTCGTCTACCTCGTCCTCTCGGCCGCCGACTTTGCCGCCTGCTTCCTCGTCATCTCGGCCATCGGCGCAGACCGCGTCCGCGAGGCCGAGGACTGGGTCCTCGGCCACCTCGGCTGGCGCCGCCAGAGCGACGACGGGTCCGAGCCCGCGGGCAAGTGGCGCCGCGCCGTCGACGGCTTCCGCGAGCGCCGCGCCGCCCAGGCCGCCATCCACCCCAAGGGCCAGGACGCCCACCCGTCGCCGGCGGCCGCTCAGGCCGTCAGCGAGGGCGCGACGCAGGGCGAGGTGCGCGAGGCCGAGCGCAAGGGTCGCAGCGCCGCGTCGACCTACGCCACGACGGCCGTCCTCGCCTACGCCGTCCACAAGACGCTCCTCCTGCCGTTCCGCGTTGGCGTCACCGTCGCCGTCACGCCTCGGGTCGTCCGCACGCTGCAGAGCTGGGGGTGCGTCCCTCGCTTCCTCTCTTTCTCTCCCCCTCCCGCCTCGCGCCTGACGCCTGTTTCGGCCCTTGGCCTGACCTCGCTCTTTCTCCTTGTGCAGGTGGAAGGTCGGCATGGCGGCTGGAGCACCGCCAACGGCCAAGGCGGCAGCGGCGGCGGCGGGCAAGGCGGCGGCGCCCTGAGTACTCGGCGAGCGAGCAATGGAATATCCTCCCACCCCTCGCTGCCCTCGCGTCGTCGTATCCTTTCCGCTGTCGGGACGATGGGCAGTTGCGCGTGCGGCGAGACGCGTCCCGGCCCTTCCCCGCGCTCGAGCCCGTCCCTCTCTTCTTCGTCCGTCGGGCTCGGCGTCGACCGCGTTCGGCTCAGCGTCCGCCCTCCTATATCCTATCCTCGGCTCGGCTTCTCCGGTCTGCGCTCGGGCCGCGCCTCCATCTCGGTTTGGCTCGAGTCGTCTTTCTCGCCGCCGCTGTGGCTCTTTGCTCTCGCCACCTCAGCTTCCTCAGCATGCAGCACCCGCATGGCGCGTGGCGCGCAGCAGAATGCGCCCTGTTTGCCAAATCGGAGGTCCTCGAGCCTCTGCAACGCGAGTCGCCTCACAAGCGCTTCGTCCTCGGCGGTGCGTCCCTTCTCCCTCTTTCTTTCTCGCCTCACCATCACCGAGCTCACCCACCTCGCACCCCTCGCAGGTCTGGCTGCGTTGGCAGTCTCTGTCAAGCAGGCGCGAGACGAGGGGCATGACCTCCCGATTGCGGCTGAGCTCGCGAACACGCTCGTCCCGACCTCGTGCACGGTGCGCTGCTCGTCCTCTTCTCCCTCGAGCGTCGGCAGCGTCGGCATTGACTCATGCTTCGTCCCCCTCGCAGCCCATCATCGTCCACCTGCCGTCCTCGTTCAGCGCGGCCGTCGCCGCCAAGAACCAGGAGGACTTTGCCGAGGGAGCCGACCACGCCGAGCTCGCGATGGACCTGCAGCAGCCCTTCCAGGGGCGCCCCTGCCCTCTCTCTCCTCCTCTCGCCACCTTCCCTCCTGACGGTGCCGGCCCTGCAGACGAGCACGTTCAACCACCCGTTCCGCACCGTCGCGGGCGACCAACATGGCCAGATCCAATGCCACCTCAAGTTCTCGCCCCTCCCGCTCGACCCGTCGACCCGCCCGAGGCTGTACGACACCCTCGTGCACGTCGTCAGTGTCGGCTTCTCGGCGCCCATGTCGTACCTCTCGCCGTGGGCCGTCGCCGCAGAGCACCTCGTCCTCGGCGCGCCCGTTCACTCCGCTTTCGCTGCGGCGTACATCGTCCGTCTCGCCGTCTCGGTCGGGACCCAGATGGCCTCGGCAGCTGAAGCCGGCGACGGGCGTCGACTCGGTGCCGCCCACGCCGCGACGCTGCTCGGCGAAGCGCTCGACGGTATGCTCACCGCGCCAGGAGGTGGCGCCGTCCTCGAGACGTGGATCGAGCGGTTCGGGCGCCAAGCGTGGCCTTTGTCGATGCAGACGTGGGAGGAGGTCGTGTTCAAGGTGCACCGCAACGAGCTCGGGAGGCAGCAGCACCTTGAGCTGTACGAGCGGCTCGGGCAGTTCCTCCTGCCGGTGGTCAAGGTGAGCAACGCCTCTTCCTCGCCTCTCTCGGCGCTCGTCGGGTCTCACAGTCCTGACCGCATCTCTAATCCTCCTCTCGCCCTCGTTCCGTCCGCAGGATGCAGTACGCTCGAGCCTCCTCCCTCGACCGTGGCCTGGCGCGTCACTTACTCACGCTCTCGATCCTCTCCCTGCGGTGTGCGCAGAAAGCACGCTTCAACCGCCACGAGGCTCATGCGCTCGGCAAGTTTGCGCCGGCTGCGCGCCGGGCGAACGAGCGCGCGACGACGTTTGCGTAGAGACGAGGAGCGGTGGACTTGCACTTCTCGTTGCCCTCTCGCTCGCTCAGAAGCGTTCGCCGGAGAGTCGGAGAGCTTCTCGACGTCGCCAGAGAGCCGGTGCGTCCCGTCAAAGAGCGCGCGAGGGGCAAGGTCGACCTTCCCAAGTTGACCTTGCACGTTCGCCTCGCGGCGGTCCGAGCCCGCTCGATTGGAACGGTGTCGTGCGCGCCGAGATCGACGTGAGGAACCTCGCCGGGTGGTACGTCAAGATCTTTCGACGCCTGCTGTTCATTCTCGAGGTGCGAGCTCTCTCTCTCTCTCTTTCCTCTCGCCGCACGTCGACACAGCGCGTCGAGCACCCGACCCGGACTGGGAGGAGATCGTCGTACATGCCTGTCGCCCGAGTCGAGCAATGAAAGACGGCCGCTCGAGCTTGTGAAGGCCGAGAGAGATCCGAGCGAGCGAAAGACGTCGATCCGCTCTCCTGCCTCTCGCTGCCCTCTCTCGCACGCACAGAAAGGAAGACGAGAGAAATTCGTCGCGTTGCACCTCGCCGTTCGAGTCCGGCCTCACACGGCCGCGAGCATCTTGTCGACCGCCCTGCGAAACTGGCGGTTGTCGACTCCTCGCGCGCCCGTCTGCGTGTCGAGGCTCGCGAGCGGGTTGCGCACGACGAACTCGTTGAACGGGCCGGCGTAGATCTGGTGGAGGAGCGGGCGGAGCGAAGGGTGCGAGGGCGAGGTGACGAGGACAAAGTGGAAGGCGGTCGGGGTGCGCAGGTAGTGCAGCTTGTAGGCCGAGGTCGACACCGAGTGGAAAGACTCGTCGTCTCTGCAGGGACCGTGTCGTGTGAGCTGAAGGTGGTCGTGGTCGCGAGAGGAGGAAGAGGGGCGCACCTGGGCGAGAGCTTGGAGACCATGTTGCGCAGGCTGAAGACGACGCCGAACACGAGCTTGGCCTCCTCGTCGAACGCGAGCCGCCCCTTGCCCTTTGCGTCATCGAGTGCGGCGAGTTGGGGCGGTGGTGGCGGGTCGGCGGCGAGGCCGTCAGGGTGAGGCGAGGCGGCCGAGGTTGGAGGAGGAGGGGGAGGAGGGAGGACGTGAGGGAGGGTCGAGGGGCCTGGGTCGGGGTAGGGTCGCTGTCCGAGGTCGGTGTAGAAGCAGCAGGTGCAGTGGCGGTCGTAGATGTAGAGCCTGTCGCGGCGGGAGAGGAGTGTGAGCGAGGTGAGGTGGGGGAGGATAAGGACGAGGAGGAGGGGGCGCACCCGTACGCGACCATGGCTCGGGCGAGAGAGTGCGGCGGGTGGAGGACCTTATCGAGGCTGCGCTGATCGAGCTGGCAGCTGGACCAGGGCGATGCAAGCGAGAGAGGCGCGCCTTGCCGCGACTTTGCCGGCGGGGACCTCGGAACTTCGTCTCACTCCTCTCACACTACAGCAGCAGCAGCCATGGCAGTCGCAGCGTGGGACAACCTCGAAAAGCAGCACCAGCTCATCATCGCCGCCGTCCTCGGCCTCGCCCTCGCCGCCGTCGCCTTCCTCCAGCTCCAGCCCTGTGCGTTGTCCCTCCCTGCGTCTCGCTCTCTCTCTGCCCCCACAGAGCCGTGCAGTGGAACTGACTACCCTGCACACACAGCAAACAAGCCCGCACTCGACCCCAAGCAGTGGCAGCGCTTCAAGCTCATCGACAAGATCGTCCTCTCGCCCAACACGGCCATGTCAGTCCTCGTCTCGTCTCGCCGACGCACTCCAGCGCGCACCCTCTGCGACAACACACGTCCTGACCTCGATCCGACCGCGCACGCAGCTACCGCTTCGCGCTCCCCAAGGGCACCGTCCTCGGCCTCCCCATCGGCCAGCACGTCTCCGTGTCTGCCACGATCGGTGGCAAGCTCGTGCAGCGCTCCTACACGCCCACCTCGAGCGACGACGACGTCGGCTTCTTTGACCTCCTCATCAAGGTGAGCCCCCCTCGCACTCGCCCTTTGTCCCTCGCCCCGAGCCCTCCCCTCACCCTCTCGCGTTCCTTCTCGCAGAGCTACCCGACGGGCAACATCTCGAAGCACGTTGGCGAGCTCAAGGTCGGCGACTATGTCGACATCAAGGGCCCCAAGGGCCAGATGCGCTACTCGCCCGCCTATGCCAAGAACATCGGCATGATTGCTGGCGGCACCGGCATCACGCCCATGCTCGTGCGTCCCTCTCTCTCTCTCTGCCTCTCGTCCCGGACCCTTTCGTTGACTCGTTGTCTCGTCCCCGGCAGCAAATCATCCGGGCCGCGATCAAGAACCCGCAGGACCAGACCAAGCTGTCGCTCATCTACGCCAACGTCGCCGAGTCGGACATCCTCCTCAAGAGCGAGCTCGACTCGCTCGCGGCCAAGCACCCGGACCAGTTCAAGGTCTACTACGTCCTCAACAACCCGCCCGAGGGCTGGAAGGGCGGCGTCGGCTTCGTCACCAAGGAGATGATCGAGGAGCACCTGCCCGTCCACGCGCCCGACCACAAGGCCCTCCTCTGCGGTGCGTCCCTCTCTCCCTCTCTCTCGGCCATAGACGTCCTCCTCGTCCGAGCTGTGCGCTCGACGTATTGTACCTTGACTGACACGGCTCGCACCTCCGCAGGTCCTCCCCCGATGATCACGGCCATGACCAAGGCGCTCGAGAGCCTCAACTGGCCCGCACCTCGCGCCGTCAGCAAGATGGAGGACAGCATCTTCAAGTTCTAGAGGGGTCGAGTCGTATGTGCTGGTCGCCGCTGCGGCGAGAGCGTCGGCAGGAGACGAAAGGTGCGTCCACGCTCACTTGTCGCCTCACTCCCTCTCGCCCGACCGGGACTGACTCGCTGCTCCCTCGCAACAGGTAGAGGGGTATCGGCATGAGCAGTACGAGGCTGCGTCTGGGTCGGTGAAACGGTGGACGGCTCCGGCAACCGGTCGAGCGCCTCTTGGCCGAAAGTGCCTCTCGTTGTCGAGGAGCGGACTCCGTGTCGGGCGCATCTCGCAATTCAGTGTCAGTTCCTCAGCGAACCGAGCGACTGCACGAGAGCCAAAAGACAAGGGAAAGAGCAGGGCGAGCCGGCGGGCGGCGGCGACGAGAGAGAGGCGGCCCCTCGCTCGACCTCTCGCTCTCCATCTCTCACCCTCACGACCCAGCGAGAGATGGCGTCCACTCGCCCAACACAGCCTCGGCGCAAGACTCTCATTGGTGGTGCCGCTGTCCCTACGCGCTCGACCATGGAGGACGCGTGAGTCCGCCGACCCTTCCTCCGAGTCGTCGCTCAACATCGCGTCTCGCACCCCCTCTGGGCGGCACAGAAGAGCCTCAGAGACCATGTACTGACCTCGGACTATCCATTGCCGCGCAGCTACGAGGCCGGCGACTGCATCGGGACGGGCAGCTTTGGGTGCGTCCCCCTCGTCGTCGCTCAACCGCGACTACGCCCAGGCGAGCTAACACTCGCTCTTGCCGCGCCGCAGCATCATCCGCAAGGTCGTCAGGCGGCATGACGGGCAGGTGCGCACCCTCGATGAGCGCCCCGCACCACAGAGCGGGCTCGACTGACCTCGTCCGTCCCCCCGCCCTCCCTCGCCGCAGGTCCTCGCCCGCAAGGAGCTCAACTATGGCCGCATGGACGAGCGCGACCTCAAGCAGCTTACCGAGGAGGTGTACGTCCCGCTCTCTCCACCTTGGTCTGCCTTGTCCACGAGCGCTGACCCCTCCCTCTTCCGCCGCAGCAACATCCTCGAGAAGCTCGGCACCAACGACCACATCGTGCGCTACTACGAGCGCTTTGTCGACAAGCCCTCAAGCATGCTCTACATCCTCATGGAGTACTGCGCCGGCGGCGACCTCGCGGGCGTCATCACGCGCTGCCGCAAGAACGGCCAGAGCCTGCCCGAGGACGTCGTGTGGACCTACCTCGCCCAGATCACGCTCGCTCTCCACGACTGCCACTCGGAGAACGACAGCCAAGGCCGCAAGAAGCCCGTCATCCTCCACCGCGACATCAAGCCCGAGAACGGTGCGTTCGCGTGCTCGCAGTTCTCGCCCGTCTCGCGTCGCGCCCGCCTCGAGACTGACTAGGGTTGCCCGGACTCGCACAGTCTTCCTCGACGAGAACCACAACCTTAAGCTCGGCGACTTTGGGCTCAGCAAGGCGATGGAGCAGGCCGCCATGACCCAGACCTATGTCGGCGTGCGTCCTCTCTCTCGTCTCCTCTCATCAGCCAATTTGCCTCAACTCACCGTCACACGCCCGCAGACGCCCTACTACATGAGCCCCGAGCTCATCAACGGCCAGCCGTACGACGTCAAGTCCGACATCTGGGCCCTCGGCTGCCTCATCTACGAGCTCTGCGCCGGACAGTTCGTCCCTCTCGCTCTCTCTGCACATCCCTCGAGCAAACTCTGACCTTTTGCGTGTTCCACAGTCCTCCTTTCCACGAGGCTCGCACGCAGCCCGAACTCGCCGTCCTCATCCGCGAGGGCAAGATTCCCGAGCTCCCCAAGGCGTACTCGCCTCGACTCGGCCAGGTCGTCAAGGCCATGCTTCGTCAAAACGTGCGTTCCACTCTCCTCGTTCTCGTCCCTGCCCCTCGACACGCCCTGACACTGTTGCTGTCACAGCCGAAGCAACGCCCGAACACGGCGCAGCTCAAGGGCCTCGACGAGGTGCGCGTCCAGATCCGGGCCGGCGAGCTCCGCAAGTGGTGCGTCCCCCCTTTCTCCTTCTCTCTCTCTTTGCGTCCAGCTCGACGAGCGCGACGCTCACTGAATCCTCCCTCGCAGGCACCGCGAGATCCGCTCGCGCGACGCCCACCTCGCGCAGCGCGAGGCCGACCTCCTCGAGCGCGAGGCGGCCGTCTACGCCCGCGAGCAGGCCGTCATGAGCCGCGAGGCGGCGGCGCACGCGGCGCACGACGCGGCGCGCGAGAGCGAGGCCAAGCTCGCGCAGGCGTGGGCGGCCCACCGCGCCCAGGTGTACCATGCGCAGACGCAGGCGCAGCAGCGCGACGAGCAGCGGTACGCGCACGAGTGCAGGGAGAACTTGCGGCCCGGGTCGGTGCAAGGCGTCGAGCCCGAGGTCGTCGCGCGCGTCGCGAGCCGGCCGAGCATGGTGCCGCGCCCGCCGCTCAACGAGCGCAGGGCGAGCGTCGTCAGCGTCGGCGGGTCGGGCATGCCCTTCCCGAGGGTCAACTCGTCGTCGAGCCTCATGTCGCTCGACGACACGCCGACCAAGGAGGCGTCGCCGTCGTTGCGCCGCCGGCTCGCGTCCAAGTCGATGCACAACCTGCAGGGCGCGGCGGGCTACCTCGGCACGCCGACACGCAGCCACTCGGCGTCGAACGACAACTTGCGTGCGACGACGGCGTCCCAGCAGCCGCAGCAGCACGCTCGTCGCTCGCCCTCGCTCATCACCATCCCGGTCGCCGCTCCTCTCCCGACCTCGGTCTCGGTGCACGAGTTCCACACGGTGCCCAACAGCCCGACGCGCCCGACACGACCGAGCCCGACGCTCTCTGCCACGTCGGCCTCGTCTGCCGCCTCGTCGGCGGCGTCGTCGTCCATGATCCCGGCCGTCCCGCCTATCCACGCCCGCCACCTCTCGAGCCCGGCCGCCTCCTCGGCCTACTCGACCTCGTCGTCGACTACCGCCTACTCGTACGACGACGACGTCCCGTCGCCGTTCCTCAAGAAGGCGTCGTCGACGGCCGGTCGCATCCCGCCGCAGCCGGCGACGGGTACGGCGCCTCGCCCGAGCAAGGCGCCCATGTTCGGCCGCTTCCTCGCGTCGCGCGCCATGAGCCTCGCGACTGGAGGAGGCGGCGGCGGGAGCCCGAACTCGAGCGAGGGCAACAGCAGCGGCGGCGGAGCAGGTGCGCCGGCAAGGCGGGCGTCGATTGCGCCGCGCAAGTCCATCGGGGTCTGAGCGGCGCCCCCTCTCGTCCCCCTTCTCTAGAGTGTCTTCTACGTCGTCGCCCTGTTTCCCGCGATACCCTCATACCCCTCTCTCGCTCGCTCTCCTTCCATCTCTTCCTCCGTGTTGTCTTCGCACTCCCCCTCCCCTCCCTGTTGCAGTCGTTCCCTCTCCCTCTTTATTCCTTCATCCACGACCTCTTTGACGTCTGTACGACGGACCTGGCGCGCGCTCCTCTCCTTGCCATCACTGCATTCGCGACGTTCGTCTCCTCGCCGCGACCTTCTCAAACCGAGAGCGGCGGGAAAGAGAGGTCCGAGAGCAGCGTCTGGCCCCGAGAGACTCGACCTCGCACTCGCAGGTAACTGAAGCGTGCGACGAGGGCCGCTGCAGGTCTCGAGACGAGGAGCGTCGTCGTCTGCGTCGTCTCGGTGGCTGGGTTCGCACCCTGTCTGTTCTCTCTCGTTATCTCTGTCTGCTCTCTCGCTCGTGCTTGATGCTCGAGGTATGACAAGACGTTGTATTGCGGCAAAGCGATCGCGCAAAGGTACAGCGAGGGTGACGCTCAAGAGAGAAACGCTCGAACCCACTCTTCATCCCACTTCCGCCCTCGCCGCCAGCTATAGACACTGCTCGCCCTCCCTCCCTCGCTCTCGACGAGCCTCATTCGTCCGATCCCGACCGCGAGCCCGACCCGGAGCGCGACGAACGCGCGTACGGGTGCGCCGCCGCGTGCCCGTTGCCCGACCTCGGGCGGCGGACAGGCCCGCCGTCGTGCGCCTGCTCCTGCCCGTGAGGCTGCTCCGAGATGGGCGCGAGGCTCACGACCGACGCACGGCGCGCCGAGTGTGCCGAGAGCGGCGCCGAAAGGGCACCGTTCGGCGGCGGCGGCGCCGAGTAGCCGAACGACGACGACGACGGCTGCTGCTGCTGCTGCTGCGAGAGGGGCACGGTCGAGTATTCCGCGCCCCACTGCTGCTGCGGCGCAGTCGCATACGCGAGGCTCGCGCGCCCGTACGGCTGCGAGGCGTGGTCGAGCGGCTGGAGGAGCATCTCGCCCGGCGCGCTCGAGCGACGGCGGGCGAGCTGCGGCGCGTAGGGCGCGCGCTCGCCCCACATCGCCTGCTGCGGCTGCTGCTGAGCCGAGCCGTCCCACTCGGCGCCGCCGCCGAGAGGGACCGAGCCCGACCCGTCGCCGTAGCTCGAACGGGGCGAGTTGCCGCCGCCGCCGCCGCTGCCGCCGCCGAGCACGCCGTCGTACGCCGCGCCCGCGTGTGCGTGTATGGGCGCGGGTGCGAGTTGGTCGTAGCACGGCGGGCCGCCGCAGGTCGACGGGAGCGAGGTCGGCGGCACGTGCTGCATCGGCGCGTGGAGCGGCGGCGGCGGGAGCGACGACACGGCCTGCTCGAACGTCGTCGTCGTCGTCGAGGACGGCGAGCCGAGAGGCGGACCCATCGCGACGTCGTACAGCGCGTGCGCCGGGAGCGACATGCGGCGTCCAGGCGGCGCCGGGTACCCGGCCTCGAGGTAGGTCGGGAGCGGGAGCGGCGGCGGGTGCGGCAGTGACGCGACGGCCTGCGTCGCGTGCGGGTGACCGTATTGGTAGTCGATCGGCGGCGATGGGGTGGCGCTCTGGCCGGAAGACGGGAGCGGGCTCGGGTACGACGAGTAGGTCGGCGGCGGGGGAGGGTACGCCGCCAGGACCGACGGTGGAGGTCCAGGCGGCATCGACAGGTAGGACGGGGCGGTCGGCATGGGCCGGAACGACTGGTCGTGAGGCGTCGGCGGCGCGCTGAACATGGACGGCGCGCGGGCCGAGACGTCGTCGGCGCCGTACTCGGCGCGCCCGAGCGGGGCCGGCGGCATCGAGAGCTGCGACACCGAGCCGTTGAGGGCCGCGAGCGCCGGTGGAGGCGTCGGGAGCCTCGGCGTGTCGGCCTCGCCGGCCGTGGCCGCCTCGCGCTCGGCCTTCTCGCGCAGCTTCTTGACCTTGGCGCGGCGGTTCTGGAACTGTGCGGGCGAGGCAAGCTGCTCGTCAGTGTGCTGAGCGCCGGAAAGAGAGGAGAGAAAGACAGGCGACGCACCCAGACCTGGACCTCGCGCGGCGTCATGTCGAGCTGCTCCGACAAGGCGCGGCGGAGCGACACGTCGGGCTTGGGGTTGCGGTCAAAGTGGTACTCGAGGACGCGCAGCTGCGGCGGCGAGGTCCTGCGACGGTGCTTGATGCGGAACGGGTCGTAGAACGTCTGCGAGAAGTCGGCGTCCTGGGGCGACACGGGCGCGTTGGACGACGACGACGGCGGCGGCTGCGTCGGGAGGGGCGCCGACGTCGACGGCTCGTGGGCACTCGAGGCAGGCGTGGCGCTGCTGCGGCCGTGCGAGCTCGGCGTCGCGCTGCTGCCGCTCGTGCTCGTGACGGGCGACTCGCTGCCGCGGACGGCGAGGTTGCTGAAGATGGCGTTGCCGCCCGTCTGGCCCGACAGGAAGGCGTGCTGGTTGGCCTGGTGCTGCTGGAGGAGCGCAGCGGCCGAGTACAGCGACGGGCCGCCCTGCTGAGGCGGCGGCGGCGGGGCCATGGCGCTAGGGCCGCTGCCGGGCAGGCGGTACGACGCGGTGGTGTAGGCCGTCGGGAGGTCGTAGGGCGGTTGGCGCATGGCGTTCAGGTCGGAGGGTGCGCCAGAGTAGCCCGAGTCGCGGTGGACAAAGGCCGGGAGCGGGTACGACGACGAGGGGTCGCACGACGGCGGGTGGTGCTGGTAGTGGTGGTGCTCGTGGTGCTGCTGCTGTGTCGGGTACGAGCCAGACATGTCGCTCCTGCGGCACGATCGAGGCAACGAGTCAGTCCCGCTGTGCCGCTCGTGGGTCGAGTGACATCCCGCGCCGCCGTCCCGCCCGAGGTGAGGTCGACAGGGACGCACTGCTCGTAGTTGCGGCGCGCGCCGGCGATCGTCGTTGTCGTCGGCTCGTGCAGGTGGCGCGAGTGCTGGTACGGGAGCGCGTCGAGGCGAGCGGCGAGGAGCGAGCTGCTTCGAGTCGGGGAGCGGCCAAGTTGGCGAGGCGGTGGCGGCGTTGGCTCTTGTGGTCGCGGTGCCGGTGTCGAGCTAGAGAGCTGTGCTGGGCTTTGGCGGTGGCGCTCGACCGAACGGCGGGCGGGGGAGGCGAGGGAGGCGGTGTCCGAGGGGTCGGCGTTGTACGAGGCGGCAGTCGCGGCTCAGCTCTCGCGCGCGCACCGGCAGGAGCTTGGTGCTCCTTGGTGTGGATGGGAGAGGACAAGCACGCTGCGCATGTGCCGTGTCGGGGTGCTGGAGCGAGCGAGGAGCGCGGTGTGGAGGAGGGTCCGGACCTTCGCACTCCAAAGGTCGAGGCTCGCCTCCTCGCTCTCTTTCTCCCTCCCTCTCTCCTTCACCTCCTCCTTCAAGGAGGTGCCGTTGAGACTTTGAAGGCCAGACCCCCAACTCGTAAGGCCAGACCGTTGCTCGAGCTCTCCCGTGCACGAGCCTCCGTTGCTGGTGTCCGCTTCGCACTTTCTAGATCGCGCCCCACTCTACTCTCCCTGCTCTGTTTGCTTCGACAGCCGAGAGCAAGTCGATCGCAGAGCGAGATTTGAGGGAGAAGACAGCGCGGCGGCCGAGAAAGGCGGTGCAGGCGGAGACGACGACGGCAGCTCCCTCTCGCTCGCCGTCCACCGACGACGGGCTCTCGCCAGCACTGCTGCTGCGCAACACGGCACCGACCGAGCGTACGCGCACCCGCACCATGTCGGCCCACTCGCCCTCGCCCCCCTCGTCCAGCGCCGCCGTGTCGCTCCCGCCCGCCCTCGTCGTGCCCTCGACACCGCGACCAGCACCAGCTCGCCGGGCCAAGGCCTCGGATGGGTCCAACTCGGACGAGCTCGCACGCGCCGAGGTCCTCGAGCTCACCCTGTACGTCCCCTCCCCCTGGTTGTTGTTCGTGGATGAACCGGGCCGAGTTGGCTGACCCTCTCTGCTCGCCGTCGCACCGCAGGTTTGCCGAGAAGAAGGAGTGGATCGAGGACAAGATCAAGGTGCGCTCGTGCTGTTCCAGCCAACAGCCCTCGCACGCCGCACCCCTAACCTCGTCCTCCTCGCGCCGTCCCAGTTCCTCTCGGCCCTGCCGCCCGTCGACGTCGTCTCGCCCGAGCCGCCTCATCCCGCCACAGCAACTCGCGCAGAGCTCGACGCGTGGTGGGCCGAGCACGACCGCATCGAGACCGAGGTGGACGAGTACGACATGGGCGACCTTGCGCGCATGAGACAGTTCGCGCGCGGTACGTCCACTCTCTCTCCCCTCGTCCTACTGCCGTCGAGATCCTGACATCAGTTCGACGGTGATGTCGCAGACAAGAGCAAGCAGGCGCTGTCGCCTCGCGACACCGACCTCATCGAGATCACGCTCACGACCCTGTTCGCCGTCGACCGGCTCCTGCACCTCTTGCGACAGAGGCGCAAGGCGCTCACGCTCCTCGGTTACCGTCTCCAGTGCGTCGCTGCCAGCCCTCTCTCTGTCGTTCGAGTCGAGCAGGAGGAGCCTGACGTCGCGCGCGAGCCAACAGGTGGGAGGACGCGGTCTCAACGGCCTGGGCGGCGCAGCGGCAGATCATCGCCGACCTCTCGACCTTCCTCGCCAACGCGGCATGGGCACTACCGGCGTCTGCCGCTCCACGTCTGCGCCAGCCGTTCGACGACGCCGCCTCGCTCTCGACCTCGCCTTCCCTCTCCTCCCTTTCCTCCCTCGCCTCGTCCCGATCCCTTTCCCTCCTCGTCGCACCCGTCACGTCATCTCCAACCACGCCCTCACTGCGCGCCTCGACGCGGACGCACCTCGTCACCCTCCAGCACTCGGCCCTCTCGACCCTCGCGCACCAGCTCCACACGTCCCTCGTCCCGGCGTCCGCCACCGCCCTCGACAAGCTCATCGACGCTTCGCCGCAATCGCTCCCCGAGCCGTTCCTCGACGAGCAGGACCGCCTCGAGGCCGAGTGCAGCACCGCCGCACGAGGCCTGCGCGAGTTCCTCGACGGCGTCAGCGCGCAGCGCACCCAGGCCGACGCGCTTGCCGCCGACGCCGCCGCCGTCTCGACTCGCGTCGTCGCTGCAGCAGGCGATCGCGCCGTGCTCGCCGACCTGCGCGCCGTCGCCCTCCCGGCACTGCACGGCGCGCTCGCGCGCCTGCCCGTCCCGACGCACGCGCTCGCGCCTGCGCAGCGCGCAGCGAATGCCGGCGCGCGCTCGGCGCTCGAGGGCCTCGTCGACGCGGCGGAGGAGGCTGTTGTGCGGGCCGAGGGGCGCGCGAGGGCAAGGGCTCGGCTCGACGAGGTGCAGGGGCAGGCGCAGCGGGCGCGAGAGCGGCTCGAGGCGATCGAGGCCCGTTGGCGGGGCCTCGTGCACGAGTCGCCGCACGGCGTCGTCGAGTCGGCGAGCGCGCCGCAGGAGGAGCGGGACCGCGACGCGGCGCTCGAAGCGCTCGAGCCCGAGCTGCGCGACGCCGTCGCCGACGCGCGCGCCGTCCAGCCCGACGCAGCGCGCGTCATCGTCGCCGCGCGCGAGGCCGGCGTGCCGCGCGAGCTCGTCAAGGCGGTTCGAGGGGCGGCAGAGGAGCTGAGCGCGCTCGTCGGCGAGGTCGAGGAGCGGGTCGAGGCGGAGCAGAGGTGGCGGGAGGGCAGGGAGGCGGCGAGGGAGGTCCTGCGCGCACTAGCGCGTGCGAGGGAGCGGGTCGAGGAGGGCGTGCGGGCGTTGACGGACGAGGCGAGGAGAGCGAGGTGGACCCGGGCAGCGCCGGCGGACGACGAGGCGGCATCGCCGCGTCGACCTGTCCTCGACAACGTCCGCGTCGCGCAGGACGCACTGCTCGTGCCAGTACTCGCGCGAGTCGACGCTCTCGCCGCCGCCGGGCAGCCGCCGCCGCCGCTCGCCTCACCCGCAGCGGAGCTCGTCGCCGCTCTGCGCGAGGACACGACCGCCGCCCTCGAGTCGCTCGAGCGCCTGTGCGGCAGAGTCCTGGCGCAGAAGATCGCCGTACGGGCGCTCGACGTCGAGCTCGGCGTCGTCGAGGGCGACCTCGCTCAACTCGCCGTCGAGGTCGAGGCGCTCCGGCCCGGCGCGCCCTTGTCGCCGCTCGAGGAGCGCCTCGCCCAGTGCGCCGCCTCTCTCGAGCGCGTCACGTCGTCGGCGCACGCGCGAGTACCACTCCTCGCCGGCCCGGCGCCTGCAGGCGGCCGCCCCGAGCCGCCCTTCGACCTCGCCGAGCAGGACGGCGCCGTGCGCTCGTACGTCAACGAGCGGTGTGCGCGCGCGAGTGGGTCGGTCGACGAGGTGAGAAGGAGCTTGTGCGAGGTTGAGCATGGGAGGGCGGTGGCCGCTTGGGACGAGGCGGTCGAGCGGCTCGAGCGCGAGGTCGCCGCCATCGAGAAGGAGGCGGATCACCCGGACGATGCATCCTTTGCAGGTGCGCACGCCTCTCGCCTTTTCTTTCCGTATCCGCATGAAGGTTCCCTGACACTGGCGTTCCCTGCAGCCCACCTTTCGCGCCTCGACACCCTCGCCGTCACCGACCTCCCGTCGACCACCTCCTCCCTGTCGCACCTCCTGTCCGACCCGTGCGCCACCTCCCGTCGCTTCGCCACCTCGCACGCCGACCGCCAGACCCGTCTCGACAATCTCGCGGTCAGCTTCGGCGCTGCGCGCGAATCTCTCGTCGCCGCGCAGGCCGAGCGGCGCGCACAGCGGGCAGCGCTCGTCTCTGCCCTCACCGACCGAGCCGACACCTTCATGGCCATCGTCGGCGACGCAAAGCGCGCACGCCTCGACGGCGAGGGTGTGAGCGAGATGCTCGCCTCGAGCAGCGCCGCCTTGCTCAAGTCGGCCGACCTCGCCGAGCACTCGGCGCTCGACCGCCCCGCGCTCGAGCGCCTCGAGCGCAGCCTTGCGAGCCTGCGCGAGCGCCAGACCGAGACGAGCGCCGCCCTCGACGCGCTGCGCGAGCAGGTCGCGAGCTCGTCGGCCGATGTCGAGGCCCGGGCGGCCGTGTCGGCAGCCGATGCCGCCGCCGACTCGGGCCGCGTTGCCCTGCAGGCGGTCGAGGCGGCCGTCGGTCGCGTGCAGGAGATGAGCTCGAGTTGGGCGTCGAAGCGCGACGAGGTGTTGCGGGACCGGCGGCGCGAGGCAGTCGCAGCACCCGCAGCCGCTGCCGTCGCCGCCGTCGCACGTACTGCCGACGCTCAGCGCAGCCGCAGCCCTCCTCCTGGGCCTCGAGCTGTCGGCGGCGGTGCCGCAGGCGTGCAGGTGCTCGTCACCGCGTCGTCGGCGAGCGTGCCGGAAGAGCCGCCCTCAACCCCGACCTCGGCAGAGCCGACGGCGCCCATCGTCGTTCCGCCCTCGTCGCCCTCGCCGTCGTCAGGTCGTCGACGATCGCTCGGCTCGCTCAGCCCAGTCGGTCTCGGCCCCGACGAGGGCGCAGCCGACGACCCGTTCGGCTCCGCTCCTGCCGCACAAGATCCTTTCCACCTCGACTCGCCGGGCTTCGACGAGCCGGCTTCGGTCGTCCACCTGCGCCAGTGCATGCAGAAGGCAACTGCGCACGAGTGGCTCGACGCCGACGCCGTGCTGCAGCTCCCGAGCGCCGCCGACGCCCACGAGGTCGAGCAGCTCGTCGCACGTTGCCGCGCCGACCTCGACGACCTCGATCGACTACCGCACGAGCGGCTCCTGTGGACCGACCTCGACGCGCTCAAGGCCGAGCAGCAGAGCAAGGAGACGGCCGCCGCGCGAGTGAGCGCGCTCGCGCGGTTCGCCGAGCGAGTTGCGGCGGCCGATCTCGCGCTCAGCGACCTCCTCGTCGCCGTCGACGCTACCACGCCCGCCGCATGTGCGCCATCGCCTGAGCCTGGCTCGACGCCGGCCCTGTCGCTCGCCGAGGCGCTCGTTGCCGCCAGCGAGGCGGTGACGGCCGTGCGCGTCGGCGCCATCCCGGTCGTCGACGACGCTCGCGTCGCACGAGCGATCGAGCGCATCGAGGAGAGCTGGTCCGAGCTCCTCGGCCTCGTCGAGGACGTGCGGCCGCGGTCGGGCTCGACGGCGTCCACCTCGAGCTCGTCATCCCGTCACCTGACGAGGGGCACGGGCCCGTCTGCGGTACCTCGCACGCCATCTCGCACGTCGCAGGCGTCGAACAGCAGCTTGAGCGTCTCGTCGAGGTCCAGTTCTCGCACGTCGTCGTTGGCCTCAACTCGCTCGCCTCGCCCCTCGAGCGGCACTTCCTCCGCCCGGCACGAGACCGAGAGCGGCTTCGGCGCCCCGCAGACGCCGCGCTCGACAAGGAGCAACCACGGCAACGCGACGCGCGAGACGTCGACGTTGATCCGCCGCCGCCAGAGCGCGCTCCCGGCCACGACACCTCGTCGTGCGCCGTCCACGGCTCAAAGGCCGACATCGACCGCCGCGCACCCGTTCTCCTTCGACACGCCTGTCCGCGGCCGTACCGCCCAGTCGACGTCGACGCCGTCGACCGCTCCTCGTCGCACCCTCGCCGCCTCGACTCGTCGCGAGAGCTCGACCCGGAGCACCTCGGCTCCCCGCACGAGCCCCTCCTCGACCTTGAGCGCCTCGTCTAGCGGCCTCTTTTCCCCGCAAAAATCGCACACCCCGTCCAGCAGCTCGACCCGATCGTCCTTGCGCCAGTCGACCGCCTCGACCGCCTCGACCCGCACGGCCAGCATCGCCTCGTCGCGCTCGAGCACCATCCTCATGCGCACGCCTCAGCCGAGCATCAAAGCGACATCGCCGCCGTCGAAGCGCAACGCCAAAGCGCAGCACTACAGCGCCAACTTGGACAACAAGCTCGACCGCGAGGTCGGCAGCATCATCAACGCGCTCCCGCAGCACGTCCAGATCCCGATCCGCATCGCCGAGGGCAAGTGGACCGACGAGAGCGGCGTCTACAACATCGGCGGGCGCCTGTACTTCTGCAGGATCCTGCGCAGCAAGCAGGTCATGGTGCGTCCACCACGCCGCTCGGGCCTCGTCTCTCGCCGAACCTGTCCTGACCTATCTCTTCCGTGCATCCAGGTCCGCGTCGGCGGTGGATGGCTCAGCCTCCTCCAGTACGTCCCTCCCTTTGGCCAGCTTGTGGACGTGGCTCACTCGACGGCGCGCGCGCAGGTTCCTCATCACCCACTTTGGTCAAGTCGACGGCCTCACGATCTCGCCTTCCTCGTCTCTCTCGAAGAACCTCGGCTCGAGCAAGTCGCAGTGGGTCGCCGCCGACAGCGTGCGCAACCAGCTGGCCGCCTCGACGTCGGGCACCTCTTTGCGCGACCTCCTCGCGTCGTCCGTCTCGAGCACCGCCCTTTCCGACCTCGCGTCCTCCGCCTCGGCCACGCCGCTCCGCCAATCGCTCAACAGACACGTCGAGGTTCTTCCGAGCCCTCGACGGCCGCGAGGCAGCGACATCGGGCTCAACAGCGTGCCGCCGTCCGGGCCCCGTTCAGCAGCTCCGCCGACACCGCGTGCGCCGAGGACGCCCCGCCCGCCGGTCCCGATCTGGCGCCCATAACTTGGGCTCTCTCGTCCGCCAGTCCGGGCAGCCGCTCGGGCCGTCTCGCGCCGTCAAGCCGTCTCTCTCCCTCCTCTCCCTCCTCGGCTCGCCTCGGCCAGGCGCCACTGCGGGTCCAGCTCCAGGTGCGTCGAGATAACGTTCTCCAGAACTCTCTGTCTGTGTGGGGCGACGAGCCGAGCAGGGTCTTGCGAGAGAGGCCGACCCGCAGAGCGGCTCGCGGCATCGTTCGGAATCAGCGCCAAGACCCTGTCGTCGCGAGCAGCGATCGTCTTCCTGCGGGCCTGCCCTGACATCTCCTCCTTCTTCCACTGCAACAGAGCTCCCTGTCGTCTCGCGCCGAGACGCCGCGACGACGTTCCGGCGCTTTGACCCTCCCTCCTCGCTCGACCTTGCCGCCTCTCGGCGTATGCTCGTCTCTCGCCCTCTCGTAAATTCCTCCGTACCCTCCTTTGTTGCCGTCCTTATCTAGCCTTGCATTACGACCCTTTCTCCTGCCCTCAGTCACGAGTTGAGAGAATCGAGGGAGGCGACTCTCGGATTTTCCTCGCGGCTCTCGGCGGCGACGACGAGGGCGAGCGACGAGAAAGGAGTACGTATCAAGCTACAGCAACACAGGGGGTACCACACAGTGACTCGAGGTACTGTAGAGAGGGGCAAAAGGGGGAGAAACTCGGCGAAGACCCCATCCTCCTCCATCTCACCGCCCGACACGCTTCGACCGCTTCCTCTTCTTCTTGGCCTTGCCCGCCGCCGCCTGCCCCTCGTCTGCTCGAGCGCCGACGACCGACGTGCGCGCAGCCACGTCGGGCTTGCCCTCGCCGCCGTCGAGCTGCTGCGTCTCGTCCTCGCTGCCCGACTCGTCGCCGCTCGTCGACGTCGTCCCTGCTCGCTGCGGCGCCTGCGAGCCCGCGCTGCGCTCGCGCTTCTTGCCCACGGCGAGCGTCGCGACCTTGTACGCTTCGGCCGTGAAGACGGTCGCGGGATCGTGCGCCTCGCCGTCCGGGCGCTGCCGCACCGACGCGTCGGGCGAGTCGAGGAAGGCGGCGGCGGCGCGAGCGAGCAGCTCCTGCCAGCTCGACGACTCGAGCGACATGCCCTTGCCCTTGTGGTGGGTCGAGAGCGGCGCGGCCGGTTTGGCGGCGGACGAGGTCGAGGCGACCGACTGCGAGGGCCCGAGCGGGATCTTCTGGCCCGGGGCGAGGATGGCGGAGCCGGGCGGGAGCGCCTTGGGCGGCGGACCAAAGATGTAGCGGTCGCGCAAGATGAGCGGGTCGAAGTCGTGCAGGTACGAGAGCGGGTTGACCGAGGCCGTCTGCGTGATGAAGCTGCTCGGTCGGGCAAGGTCAGGACGAACAGGCGAGAGAGGAGCGAGAGGTGACGCACAAGGGCCGCTTGTCCTTGATGCACTCGTAGAAGACGAGGACGGTCGGGTCGGCTGTAGAAGAGAGAGAGTCAGCTCGAGTCGTTGAAGGGGAACGAGCGAGACGAGCCCGGCTCACCCATGACGACGCCGGCACGAAAGCCCTCGATGCGCATGCCCTCGGGCTTGCGGCAGCGAGAGAGCGCGACGTAGGCTCTGCGCGCGCAAGTTGGGAGGTCAGGGTCGGGAGATAGGGGGCGAGAAGGCGAGGGAGAGGAAGAGGACGCACTGGCCCTTCTCGAACGTGTTGGTGAGCCGTACGCCGACAGCGTCGAGTGACTGGCCTTGCGACTTGTGGATCGTGAGGGCCCACGCGAGCTGGAGCGGCAGCTGGGTGCGCGCGACCGTGTTGTACTTGTCGAGGTCGATGCACCAGGTGTGCGGCCGAATGATGACTGCGTGCGCGACAGCGAGAGGGTCAGGACCGAGTACAGAGGTAGAGAGAGGGCGACAGGGGACGCACGCTGTACGCCGCTGGCAAAGTAGACGAGAGGGAAGACCTCGTCCTCCTGCTGATCGGCCCACTCGTCGGCCGCCTTCTCGCGCCATTCCTCGCCGCCGAACGCCCCGCTCCTCGATCTGCCGCTCGCACCACCCTGACGCGACGCACCCTCCTTGACGTTGTCGAACGGCACCATGTCGCGGTCGACCCAGTCGACGATGACGCCGCGCGAGCCGTTCACGAGTCCACCTGCGAGACGAGGAGTGAGGGAGGGGACGCAGAATGATCGTGCGGACGAGGACGCACCCTTGACGTCGAGGTTGGCGAGGAGGAGGACCTGGGCGCCCTTCTTGAGCTGCAGATTTTGCGCCGGCGGAACGTTGGCGAGCTGCGAGCGACCAAGAGGTCAGTGCGTCGCTCGTGATGGCCTTGACGGCGGCCGGGACGCACACGTTCTCGAATGACCGTCTCGGCGTACTGGCCCTTGGCGGCGTCGAGCGCCTTGAACGTGTAGGCCGTCTCCTTGAGCTTGGCGAACTCGCGGCGGTTCTCCTCCTCGACGTCTCGGCGAAGCGGATACAGGTTGGTCGGCTGCACGTGACGTCCTCGTCGGCGTCAGGTCCGAGTTACGGGGGGGAGAGAGAAAGCGTGGGCGCACTTGGATCTTGATGCTGCCGCCCTGGCCGAGCTCGCTGCCGCACGAGTCGAGGAAGTCGATGCACGCCTGGTCGCACACACCCCGGCGAAACTTTTCGAGCGTCGCGATAAAGTCGGGATGGTCCTGGCGGAAGACCTGCGAGGGGAAGAAGGAGGTGAGCGTGCGCCTTGTGAAAGTCGAGGTGCGAGGCGGTTGTTCGGGCGCACCTTCGTGAGCTCCATGATCTTGAACTCGCACTCGGCCCTGTTGGTGGCGGGGCGTCAGTCGCATCGACAGGAAGGGTAGGCGAGACGAGGGACGGACCAGGCCTCGGTCTCGAACGCGAAGCGCCGATGCCGCCACTCGTGCCCGCACCCGACGGGCTCGCCCTTCTTGTCGGTGCCCGTCACGCAGCGGTAGATGTCGGCTTGCGGCACAGGCTTGGCGCGCTCCTCGTAAGGCAGGCAGGCGTCGTGCAAGGCGAGCTTCTTGATGATGTGGTGGCCTGAAAAGAGGATAAAGTCAGAGGGGTCCGAGGAGGCTCGAGAGCGAGAGGGGACGCACCGCAGCGCATACACCGCCAGTCGGGCTTTGGCTCGGGTACAGGAGGAAGCTGGAAGAAGTCGCCCGACACTATGAGCTGGATGCCGCCTGCGGGGAGCGAACGCGAGGTGAGCGACGCGAACGCGTCGAGGCGAGGAGAGAGGCGAGGGGACGCACCGAACGGCTTGTTGCTCCTGCGCACGAGCTTGCCGAGCACGTGCAGCTTGGTGAACAGGTCGGCCGGGCTCATCGAGACCTCGTCGATGACGAGGACCTGCGTGTTGCGCCACGTCTTCTCCTTCTCGGGCGAGCTCGTGATCTTGCCGTACAGCGCCGACACCGTCTGTCGCAGGGAGCGCAGGTCAGCTCCATCGATGAACGGGCGGGGAGGGTACAGGAGAGAGAGGAGCGAGGACGCACGTCCTTGGCGAGGCCGACGCCGGCCCACGAGTGGACCGTGATGCCGCTGATCTGGAGGGCGGCGATGCCGGTCGTCGCCGTCACCTGGTACGGGCGCTGGAGATGCTCGAGGAGGCGCGTGATCTCCTGCAGGAGGAACGACTTGCCGACGCCGGCCGAGCCCGTGAAGAAGACGTTGCCGCCGGCGCGGACCTGCTCGAGTACGGCGAGCTGCTCGTCGGAGCACCGCTCGTCCGGCTCCCAGACCTGCGGCACCTCGGGTGCGGCGGCGGCGGCTCCTCCTGGGCCGTGCTCGACCTTGGGCTTGATGTCGAGGCCGCCCTTGCCCGTGCCGTACCGCGAGATGCCCGGCGCCGAGATCGTGAAGCCGAACTGGCCGAGCGAGCTCGCCGCGAGTTGCTCGCGCTTCTTCTCGCGGTCGTGACGCTTTCTCGCGTCGTCTCGTTCTGGCGCTGCGGGCAGGACAAAGAATGCGGTCATTTGAGGCCGGCATGGAAAGGGAAAGGCAAAGGGGGACGCACTCGGCGGAGAGCAGCCTCCTTCTGCGCGGCGATCTCGTCCTTTGTGCGGCGCTGCGTCGACGACGGGAACTGCGAGGCAGGAGCCGGGCTCGAGGGCAGGTTGGGCGTCTTGGTGACGACAGGCGGCGCCCACTCGGTGTTGCGGACCTCGGGCTCGAGAGGTCGAGGCGGACCCGGCGACGGCGCCTCGCTCTCGGGGCCGACCACGCTCGGCTCGGCGGTGCTGTCCACGTCCATGATGTCGTCCTCGTCGAGTGCAGGGCTGGCGTCGATCGCGGGCGGCGACAGGTGCGGTGTTTGATGAGGACGGCTCGAACCTTGTGCGGCCGCCGTCGGCGCTCCGGGCGGCTGAGACGAGGCCGCCAGGGTCTGCGACGAGTCGAGGCGAGATGCCGCGAGCAACCGCTGGCCCAGGGCGGTGATGGACGGGGCGGGAGCAGGGAACGGGCGGGCGGGGTCGGACGACGGCGGCGAGGTGGACGACGACGAGGGCATCTGGTGCGACGACGAGCTGGGTGTCGGGCCCACAGTCCTCGCTCGCTTGGCGTCGCGCATGCACAGCGAGGCGCGCTGCGGGTTGTGGTGCGAGGCTCTCCTCCGCTCTCCTCCCACCGCCTGTCGCGACGCGGCCGTCTCTTGTTTTCCACTGCACGTGCCTCGAACGGCGCTCTCGTCTCTCTCTCTTCTTCGGCGGACCCTGGCAATTTGCGCGAGCAGCCTCGACGACGGCGAAGGGGAGCGAGTTGTCTTCGAGCGGCGGGAAAAGCTGAGCCGTTGCCTCGGGTCCGTCTGCACCGGCGGCCGTGCGTTCGAGCTCGTTCTCGGCTTGCGTCGGCTGTGATGTCAAAAGAAAAGGCGAGCGGCGCGGCAGAGCGGGAAGCCGGTTTGAACTCGCGCAGAGCGGTCGGACCTCCTGCGTGCGAAGCTTGCGAGCTCCGAGCGTTGCCGCCGAGTAGAGATAGGCGCAGCTGGAGGAGGGTCTCGTGACGGTGACCGAAGCGAGCGACAAGCTCAAGGGCGCGACCATTCGAGTGGGGCGCCAAGCTTGTCGGCAAAGGTCGCAGGTGTCCGCCTCCTGGTGGCTTTTTCCTCGCTTGCCCCGGCTCGCGCCCTCCACGCTCTCAAGCAATCGTCGGCGTGCCATCTGGGGACCCCTGCACCCGGCGAGCTCCTTGTCTCCCTCCATCTCCCTCACTCTTTCCCCCTCCCCTCGCCTCGACCCCGCCGCGCCGCCGCACCTCTTCGGCCTCGCCCCCTCCCGCCTCTCGACCTCTACCGCGCACGCCCCAGCTCAGCAGCCACCATGGCCTTCAGCCGTTCATCGTCGACGTCCGACCCGGCCCTGCCGGAAAAGATGGCCGCCGGCAAGCGCGACGACGCGGTCGTCCACACCGGCTTCGAGGGGCGGGTCGACGAGGAGCACCAGGGCGAGGAGGTGGTCGACGGCGTGTTTGGAGAGCAGGGCAAGGGCACTGTCGACTACCGCAGGTGCGCACAGCGTCCCGCAGCTCGAGTTGCGTCGACGAGACGAGCGACTGACCTCCTCCTCCTGATCCTCCTCCTCCTCTCGCACCCCTCAATCTCCTCCTTCTCGTCCTCCATCATCGTCGTTCGTGCACCATTCAGTGTCGGATGGGTGTCGACGTCGGTCCTCCTCATGAAGTCGCAGATCGGCCTGGGCGTCCTCGCCATCCCGTCCGTCTTCCACTCGCTCGGCCTGATCCCGGGCATCATCTGCCTCATCGTCATCGGTGCGCTCACTACGTGGACCGACTTTTATATCGGAATGTTCAAGCTCAAGCACCCGACCGTCTGTGCGTCCCCTCCTCGCACCGGACCGACCCGAGAAGTGACCTTCCCGACTGATTCTCCCTCTCCTGCAGACTCGGTCGCCGACTGCGGTCTCATCATGTTCGGGCCCGTTGGGCGTGAGGTCCTTGGCGTCGGATACTGGCTTCGTGCGTCCCCTTTCTCGCGCGATCGTCGAGCGAACGGGCCCCTGACCTTGTCCTCCACCTTCCTCCTGGCCCTCCCTCTCTCGCCGCGCCCCTCGTCTAACTTTATGCCGCATCACGCACCGCCTACTACCAGTCATGACCTGCATCGCCGGCTCGGCCCTCCTCGGCATCTCGACCGCGCTCAACGCCATGTCGCTTCACGCGACCTGCACCGCCGTCTTTGTCGCGGTCGCTGCGGTCGTCACGCTCCCGCTCGCGTCGATGCGCACCATGGGCGACATTCGCTGGATCGGCTGGGTGCGTCGAACGCTTTCTCGCCACCTCGGACCCTCTCGATGCCTCGTTCTCGCAGAGCTTCCTTCCGAACCGCAAACTGACACTGGTACCTCCCACAGGTCGGCCTTGTCTCGATGATCGTCTCGATCATGCTCGTCACCATCGCCGTCGCCGTCGGCGGTCGCCCGTCGCTCGCGCCGCAGACTGGCCCTTGGGACAAGGACCTCGTCCTCTTCGGCAACCCGTCGTTCGCCGAGGCGATGAACGCCATCAGCAACCTAGTCTTCTCGTACGCCGGCACGAGTGCTTTGTACGTCCCTCTTCTCTCTCGGCAAGGACGGCGGGAGCAGGACTGACCCTTTCGCCGCCGTTGTTGCCTCGCAGCCTCCCGATCGCGTCCGAGATGCGCAACCAGCGCGACTACCCCAAGGCCGTGGTCCTGTGCCGTGAGTCTACATCCCCTCTCGACGAGCTCGACGCGCGAAAGCGCGCGCGGGCGAGGATACACAGTCGCTGACTTGCGGCACGGTCCCCTTCCGCCTTCCCAACTCGCCCCTCCCGCTCCTCGACTTGCCCGCTCGCCCACCCTGCAGAGTCGTTCGTCACCATCTTCTACCTCGTCGTCGGCATCGTCGTCTACTTCTACGCCGGGCAGTACGTCGCGTCGCCTGCTCTCGGCACCGCCGGCGTCCTCATCAAGCGCGTCGCCTGTGCGTCCTCTTCCTCCTCTCTCAGCCCCGCCGGCATCCAGTACTGACTTGTGTCTTCTGTTGCAGACGGTCTCGCTCTTCCCGGCCTCTTTGCCGCCGCCATCATCTACAGCCACCTGCCCGCCAAGTGGATTTTCGTCCGGATCCTTCGCGGCTCGCGCCACCTCACGCACCCGACCAAGACGCACTGGATCGTCTGGCTCAGCTGCACCCTCGGCTGCGTCCTGTTCTCGTACGTGATCGCGTCGGCCATCCCGGTCTTTGGCGGCCTCGTCGGCCTCGTCGGGTGCGTCCCTCTCCTCCTCCTTCTTCCTCCTTCTCCTTCTCCCTCTCCCCCTCCCTCTTCCCTCTACCCTCTCCTCCCTATCTCTTCTCCTACCCATCCCGCCTGCAGAGCCCAGACCTGACCTCTACATCGTCCACAGAGCGCTCTTCGGCACCCTCGTCACGCTCCAAGCCGAGGCCTGCATGTGGTTCTACGACAACTGGCGCACGCAGAAGCGCACCATGTCGTTCTGGCTACTCGTCGCCTTGAACGCATTCATCTTCTGGGCGGGCAACTTCATCATGGTCGGCGGCACGTACGGCAGCATCGTGTCGATCAAGGACGACTACGCGGCGAACGGCGGCCGGCCGTGGACCTGCGTCGACAACTCGGGCTCTGTCTAGATCTCCCTCCCCCCCTCGCTAGAGTAGACGCACCTCGTACACGCACAGAGACCTCTCGAGACGTTCTTAACCCTTCAGTACTTGTAGTAACGCAGCACCTCGATTCTCCCACATCCTCTCGCTTTCCTCGTCCGCCTTTACTGCAGCACCAGAGCGAGGCACAGAGAGCACAGCAAGAGCAAGAGCGGGCGGCGGCGAGAGGACCGCTCGTCAATCGCAGGCTCAAGCGCAGAGGTGGCGCGCTGCGCTTGTTCCTCCTGGGCTCGGACACGCAGCTCGTCGGACGAGGGGCTCAGGGAGCATCGAGACTGAGCTCTGCGAGGTCGCGCTCGAGCCTTTGCCGAGCTGCAGGCCGGCTCGACGCGCTCAAGCAACCTCGGTTCGAGAGAGTCGAGAGAAGTATGTGAGGTCGGGAAAGCCAAGCGAGCGCGTGCATTGCAGACGACTGAATCGAACGTTACGACCGGTGCCGTGATCTCGGCGGTCAAGCGAGAGGAGTTTTTCGCGGTCGAGGAGGAGGAGCGCCGGCCTGGCTCGCTCCCACCACTCGACCGCTCACAGCTGAGTCGGTGCACTGCTGCCCGCCTCGAGTTCCCACACACTTCATCAGCGACTACGAGCTACGTCCGCACCGCCGCGAGCGGTCGTCGACGGCGCAGGGCGCGTCGCATCTTCATCAGTAACTCGCGTCGTCCGACCTCTCTCAACTCTCGGCAACGGTTCATGGGCCCGTGGGTATCGTCGTTGATAACTATGGCAGCATCAAGGAAACTACTGGGCCTGGCGGCCACGCTGTGCGGGCTGTGGGCGACTCGTGCGTCCACCTCCTCCCCGCCTCCCCGTGTTTGGCCCCCCTCTCCCTCTCCCCTGTCCCCCTCCGCTACCTCGCGACGCGGTACAGGGGTCTCGATGGACTGACCTGGTCACATTACAGGCGAAACGGCTGCGCACGGTGATGAGCGCGGTCTTCTGAGCAGCGCGAGGTTGGCTCTCGACCTGGAGGCGGCTCATCTTGTCCTTCGTACGTCCCGCGCACTCTCTGTCTTTCCTTCAAAACCCTCACATGGGTCTGTGCTCCTCGCCGAGCCGCGCACTGACCCTCTCGACCTCGCGACGCAGGTTAGTCGCGCCCTCGATGGCACCTCCACCTTCTCGGACTCGAAAGCTTCCCCTCGCGCCCTTGCTGCGCCGCGCGACAGCGCCCTTTCCTATCCGAAAGCTCTCCTCGTCCCTAGCGAGCGTCCCCAGACCGCTCAGAGCTCTCGTTCGTCGTCCCACTCGTCTCGGCGGCTCAGCGAGTCGAGCCGTCGCGGACGGGTCTTTACGAGGCTGCGCCCGCCCTCACGTGCCCCTGAGGGCAGCGGGCGCACTATGGTGAGCCGCTCGCACGGCGCGCACCCCTGCGGAGCGCCCGTGCGCCCGGCCACCTACAAAAGAGAGGGGGATCCTGTGCACCCTCGCTCAAACGCTAGCTCTTGATCTAGCAGGGTTACGGCTGTCTGCTCGCGCCAGATCGGACAAGGAGGTGTCTGCGATGCAATCGAGCGCGTTTCCCGAGCTACTTTGTCGTGTAGAGCGCGAGCTGGCCTCCTCGGCTGGGTCTTCGAGTCGGTCGAGGATCGAGTCCAGAGCGCTCTTCCTGTCGGCTTGCTCGTCGGCATGGTCCCTCTGTACAGTACCGAGAGCACTCTCGAAGCGGGAGACAGTGCGGCGACCGCTGTGGGGAGCGTAAGCTCGAGTTCAAGGTCTGCTCGGCACTCTCGTCCCTCGTTACCCTCCCACCCCTCGGCCCTCACGACTGGGCTCGCTCAGACTGGCTCGAGTCGGTACCTGCACATCTCGACATCATACTTCTGCTTCATGCGCGCCGCCGCGAGCGGCCGCCGACGGCGCAGGGCGCGTCACATCTTCATCAGTAGCTCGCGTCGTCCGACCTCTCTCGACTGGCGGCAACGGTTCATGGGCCCGTGGGTATTGTCGTCGATAACTATGGCAGCATCAAGGAGACTACTGGGCCTGGCGGCCACGCTGTGCGGGCCTCAGAAGACGGGTGCGTCCACCTCCTCCCCGCCTCCCCGTGTTTGGCCCCCCTCTCCCTCTCCCCTCGCCCCCTCCGCTACCTCGCGACGTGGTGCCGGGGTCTTGATGGATTGACCTAGTCCCTTTGCAGGCAAAACGGCTGCGCACGGCGAGCAGGGCGGGCTTCTGGGCGGCGCGAGGCGGGCTCTCGACCTCGAGGCGGCACATCTTGTCCTTTGTACGTCCCGCGCACTCTCTTTCTTCCCTGCCGAATCTTCGTAGGGTCTGCACTTCTCGCCGAGCCGCTTACTGACCCTCTCGACCTCGCGCCGCAGGTTAGTCGCGCCCTCGATGGCACCTCCCCCTTCTCGGACTCGAAAGCTTCCCCTTGTGCCCTTGCTGCGCTGCACGACTGCGCCCTTTCCTATCCGAAAGCTCTCCTCGTCTATAGCGAGCGTTCTCAGCCCTCTCAGAGTTCTTGTCCGTCGTCGCACTCGTCCCGACGGCTCAGCGAGTCGAGCCGTCGCGAACGGCTCCTTACGAGGCCGCGCCCGCCCTCTCGTGCCCCTGAGGGCAGCGGGCGCACTGCGGTGAGCCGCTCGCACGGCGCGCACCCCTGCGGAGCGCCCGTGCGCCCGGCCACCTACAAAAGAGAGGGGGATCCTGCGCACCCTCGCTCAAACGCTAGCTCTTGATCTAGCAGGGTTACGGCTGTCTGCTCGCGCCAGGTCGAACGAGGACGTGTCTGCGGTGCAATTGAGCGCGTTTCCCGAGCTGTTTTGTCGTGTACAGCGCGAGTTGACATGCTCGTGGACCTTCTCGCGTCGGGTGGAGAGCGAGGTCGAGAGAGTGGTTCCTGCTTGCTCTTCCATCTCGAGTACCTTCTTCCACGGTGCACGAGACTGTGTGAGCGCGACCAGGCTGGCCAGCATCTGTTAGAAGAGAGGGCGTGCTCGACACTGCGCTCAGGAGGAGGTTCACGAGGAGGGACTCGAGTTCTCGCGCTCGGACCTCGCTCTTTCTCGACGGTGCGAGGCGGGATCGACCTATCGCGACGAGTACTCGACGATGGACCCAAATTTGCAGACAGGTTCTGGTAGTGTCCACTCAACTTTGCGCTCAGGAGGAGGTACAGGAGCGAAAGCAAGTCGCTTCCAGGCCGGCTTGCCAGCACGTCTGGCCCGCTCCAGCCGCTCTCGGTCGACAATATGAGACAGCGCCTCGAGCGCGACAGTGCTCTCGACGGCATTGCCAGGACCGTGCCGGCTCGCGACTCGGCCTTCTCCTGCGCTCGACCTTCTCGAACGCTTTCGCCTCTTGCTCGCTTTCTACCGGGCACAGCAGGTTCGCCTCGTCTCAGGCGACGCAGGCTGTGCCCTCGCTCGACCTGGAGGCGAGACGGACGTCGCTGTGCGCGATTCGCAACGATGCACGAGCCTCTCTCCTTTCGACTCTCGCAACGAACGCCTCGAGCGGCAGGGGGCGAACATAGATGACAGCGACGGCGGCTAAGAGAGGCAAATAGAGAGAGAGAGACCGAGAAGGTGCGAGTAAGGTGCGTATGGAGAATATTGAGCGAGAGGGGTGGTTGAGGAGAGCTGAACAAGGAGGGGGGGAACGAGCGAGGGAAGGAAGGCAATGACGGCGACGGCGACGATGGCGAGGACGGTGGCGAGTGCACAACGTCGAACAGGGTGCAGGCGAGGGTATAGACAAGCAGGGGCAGGATCTAGAGAAGGCCACAATCCCGCAGGTTGACCTGGATCACAATGTCGTTGACGGCCGAGAGGACGAACTTGATCTGCTGGGTGTCTGACGGGAGCAAAACAACGTGTCAGGCAGCTGTACGAGGCGCAGGAGAGAAGAAGGGGGAGGAGGAGGAGGCGGAGAAGGAGGAAAATGGACGGACCGGTCGCGCACGTAAAGTGGACGTAGATCTGCTTCGCCGAGCTCTGGTTGAGCGACACGAACCGGCTCGAGAAGTAGTCGCACGCCGCCTGCAGGTCCGAACCGCCGGTGTAGTCGGGGAAGAAGTTGGCGATGGGCGAGCGCGGGAGCTTCTCGCGGAAGAGGTCGATCTGGGAAACGACAGCGGGCAAGAGTCAATGACGGCTCTCGACGCACAGGGCACAGAAGGAGAAAGGAGACAGAGAGAGGAGACGCACCTTGTTGAGGAAGAGGATGATGGACGTGCGGACGAACCACCGCGAGTTGCAGATCGAGTCGAACAGGACGAGCGCCTCCTGCATGCGGTTGATCGCCTCGTCCTCGTACAGCATCTGGTCGTACTCCGAGATGGCGACGAGGAACAGGATGGCCGTGACGTTCTCGAAGCAGTGGATCCTGTACGCGAGGGCGAAAAGTCAGGCAGGCTCGAGGGGTTGGGAAGGACGGCGAGGAGGGGACGACGTACCACTTCTTGCGCTCCGAGCGCTGACCGCCGACGTCAAACATGCGGTACTTGAGCTCGCCGATCTGGAACGTCGTCTCGGTGATGCCGGTCGTCTTGACGCGCGAGCGCAGGACGTCCTGGTCGGACGGGACGTAGTTGCGCGAGCCTATCCGCGTGATCGAGTCGAAGTAGTACTGCGCCGAGTCGTTCAACTGGTACTCGCGGCTGCGGCCGAAGCACTCTCGGACGCCCGGGTCCTTCCACAGCTCGATGATGGCCTCGGTCACGTCGGGCGGGAGGAAGTCGGCCTCGATCTGGTGCGGCTGCGACATGACCGTCTCCTGGTGCCGCCCGCCTTCTGGCGTCGCGAGCGAGATGCCCATCATCTCCATCGCGTCGAGGATGACCTGCAAGGGGGAGAGAGCGACCGTCAGGCTCGTCCTCGTCGTCGCTCGAGACGCCAAAAGAGAGTGCGACGCACGTGCATGCTCTGGACCGTGTTGGAGTAAATGATCTCCTTGTAGTTCTCGCGCTCCTTGTCGGTGTACGAGCCCTCGTAGACGAGCTTCATCTGCTTGAGGATGGTCGACTTGCCCGACTCGCCGGCGCCGAGAAGGAGCATCTTGCTGCAGAGGGGCAGATGCTGGGTCAGTTTGCGCCCCAAGAGAGAGAAGGGAGAGAGAGGGACGCACATCTCATTCCTGCGAGGCGACGAGAGGGAGATCGGGGTGGGGCAGAGGGGGAAGAGGAGGGGGAGGTTGTCAGCGCGGCTGCATGCGGGCAGTCTCGACGTCGACAGGGCACGCGAGGAGGAGAGAGAGAGCGGGTGCGCACCTCATGGCCATGCGGTCCTTGCGCAGCTGGTTCTCGATCTCATCCGAGCGCGCCTTGCTCTCCTGGTCCTCGGGCTTGGAGCCGCCGCAGCCCATGTCGAGAGGCTAAGGGGGGCGAGTGGAAAGGAAAAGGGTGAGGTCGGTGCGAGGCTGCTGCTGTAGGCGCAGCTGGCGAGGCGAGTGGTGGGGCTGACGAGGTGGGACGAAGGCGAGGGTGGAGCACGGGCGCGGGCGCGGGCCGAGCTGGGCTGTCGGCGGTCGGGCGGAGGCTTGTTCTAGCGCCGGGAACCGCGATTTGACCGAGGGCGCTGCGAGCGCGAGACGGGCGAGACGAGCGGACCGGCGACCGAGGGGCGGGCGCGCGTGCGGGTGGACAAAGGGCGCGAGGCCGGCGGGGCAACGACGACGGCGAGAGGGGGGGTGGGACGAGGGCAAGCAAGGTCAGCGTCGAGTGTACGAGTGCACTCGAGTGACAGGGGATGCACTCACAGCAGCGAGACGGGACGAGGCAGGCGGCGGGAAGTTGGGCGGCGTCGACGGTCGAGGCGACACAGGTCCGCTTTGGGCGAACGGCGCGGGCGAGCGGGAGCACCGGCGAGGGCTGTCGGGTCTGAAGGTGGGCGACGACGCTGGACCCGTCGAGCACAAGCGGGCAGCGCTGGTCGAGCGTACGTGTGGGAGCAGAGTGAGCCCCCTTCGCCTGGCGCTCAAGCTGGCGGCGGGGGCCGTGGGGCGAGATCTCTCGCATGGCGCGCCGCTCTTGCCCACTCGAGCCAGCTCCCCCCTTCCACGCGACCGTGCACCTTTGTCTGAGCTCTTGCGCAGCGCTCGCCAGCTTCCACTTCGAGGCTTCTCCTTGTCCCCGGCGGCCGGCTCGCCGCATCGACCGCTCGCTTCGGGCCGGCGCTCAGGCCTCTCTCGCTCTCTCTCCCTTCTCGCACTCGCACGATCATTCAGGCTGCACGCACGGTCCGCTACTCTGCTTCGCTTCGCCGAGCAGCCGTCGATACTGCTCGAGCGCGCTCTCGCCGCACAGACCTGTCCTCGCTCGACGCCGAAGGGACGAAGCGACGCTCCTTTTCCGGACGAGGAAGCCATCGCCGCGCTCTTCCGCTCGCCCAGCCGACGTGCAGGCCGCACGGACCTGGCGCGTCGAGACGACGACGACGTCCTCGTTTGCGGTCGAGCCGCGCTAAACGTGCTTGGTCGACAAATGGCGAGCGAGAGTTCGCCTGACGTCGACACCGTCTGCGCGCTCCGCAGCATGCACTTCTGCTGCGCCTCGCCCCGCTCCTCGCTCCGCGTCGACGCCAGCGCGCCAGCGAGAGCGCCGCGAGAGCAAGCTTCTCGCGCTCGAGAGGAGGGCCACCCGGAACGTCGTCGGGCCCGCCTCGGCCGCGTGCCCACCTTTCTCTGCTCCCTCGCGACCTGAGCGCCTGCCAGGGCGGAAGAAGATCCGCAGACGAGCAGCAGCCACGAGGAGCCGCAAGCACGGGACGACGAGAGCGAGGACGAGAGAAGCAGAGCGCTCAAGCGGCCTGCGAGACAGCGAGTTGCGAAGGTCGTCCACAACCTCTCGAGCGTCGACAGCGTCTCTCGGCAAGACAGCCCACCTGCGTGCGTCGTCGCAAGATCGTCGTGTTGCACTCGAGCGCTACGAGGACGGGCTGTCGAAGATGGCGCGGATCTTGGCCTCGAGGCCATCTGCGTCGAGCTTGAGGTACTTGGTCGAGTCTGCGCAACGTGCTCGACGGTGAGCGTTGCCCAAGCCGACGTCGAGAGAGAGAGAGAGATAGGGAGAGAGAGATAGAGAAAGGGCAGGGACGCACAATTGTCCTTGCGGTGCCGCTGGACGAACTTGGCGTACGTCGGGACGACCATGCGCTCGACCTCGCCCTTGAGCCGCTCCCGCAACTCGGCCTCGCCCTCCTCAAACCTCGCCTGGTGGTGCAGCGCCTCGACGTCTTCGAGCGCCTCGTGGAAGCGCACGAACCGGTCCTTGGTCTCGCGACGCTCGGTCCCGCCGCCGCCCTTGACGGCGCCGAGCCCGGCCTTGAGCGCGCCCGCCGCGCCCGACTGCTCGGCGAACCCGGCGTCGAGGAGCGCGCTGACGAGCGGCGACCACACGTCGAGGTACACCGCCTTGAGCGTGCGCATGCGCTTGTTGAGCGCGTCCTCGGCGCTCTCGCCGAGCGTGTCGATGATCGACGTCGACAGGGCGCTGTGCCGCACGTACGACAGGTTGTTGAGGAGGAAGATGGACGACGTGCCGGTGCGACCGCGTAGCAGGCGCGCTTTGGCGTCGAGGGCGGTGAGGAGGACCGAGAGGACGTCGTCTGCGAAGGGCGTGCGACAAGGAGCTCGTCAAGCTACTCGCTCGTGCAGAAGGGTGGACACTCGACGAAGAGAAATGCGCGACTCACTCAGGTATCGCGGCAGCAGACCGCCCTCGTCCCCCTCCTTGGGCCCACCCTTGCTCGGCCCGCCCCAGTTTCCCGCCCCGAGCGTGCCGAGGAACGCCTCGGCGGTCGGCTGGTTCTCGGCAAGCTGCCGCATGAAGCTGACGACCTGCACGACACGAGTCGAGGTGAGCGAGCCAGGTCGCGAGCGCTCGCGACAACCTCGAGAGAGAGAGAGAGAGAGGCGGGACGCACGTTGATCGTGGCGGGTTGGACGGCGGCCGAGGTCGCCTCGGGCCCTGCAGGTGGTCGAGTGCCCCAGACCTGGAGAAAATTGTCGTCAGTGAAGGTGCGAGGCAACGAAAGAGGAGAAGGGAGAGAAGGGAAGGGGGCTCGAGACGCACCTTGGTCTCCTCGAGGATGCCGGGCAAGCTCGTCATGCACGTCCCCCTGAACTGGTGCGTCAAGTCGCCCACCTCGTTCTCCTTCCTGCGCGCCTTGACCCTGACCCACTCCTCGAACTCGCTCGCGCGCTCGCTCAACTCGATGTAGGTCGCGAACGCGAGCGGGATCAACTGGTGCTGCGGCGACTTGCGGATGAGGCCGTTGAGCGACGCGCCCGTGCTGCTGATGGTCGCGAGGGCGGGAGGGAGGAGCGAGGCGTAGAGGGACGAGCGTGTCGAGGCGGCTTGAGCGGTGAGGACGGTCTCGAGGAGGGAAAACTCGGTCTGCGGGCGGGCGCGCTCCTGTGAGCGACGTGCGGGGCTGACGAGAGGAGATAGTGAGAGTGAGACGCACCTTGATGAGCGCGAAGAAGACGTCGAGCAGCCGACCGAGCCCTCGTCGCTCGGCGAGCTCTCCCGCCGCCGACCCTCCTGCGCCCGTGCCCGGCCTCGGGCTCTGCTGCACCATGTTGGGCGTCGCGTCGCTGAGCACCTCACGCGCCGCGTTGCGCAGGCTCTCGTCGATGTAGGCTGCGCGGACCGAGGCGTAAGACGTCGTGAGGAGCTCGGCGAAGCCGGGCCCGTTCGGGTCGGGCAGCGACCACAGGAACGCGTTGATCGGGAGCGCGTGCTCGAGGAAGAAGGGCGTGAGGACGGGGAAGGGTTTTGCTGTCGAGGAGAGGGACAGCGTGAGCTCGAAAGGACAAGGGAAGGGAGAGGGCGAGAGGGCGCACCTCGGTCAAAGAGCTTGCCGGCGTCGACCGTCGGGCTTGTGTCCTTGGTCCACTTGGTGAACACGCTGACGAGCTGCTTGACGCCGAGCTCGATGAGGCCGCCCTGCGAGTAGGCGTGGGGAGAGTCAGGCCGACTGTCCGTGATGGCGTCGCTGCACGACCGAGTCGGGGACGCACCATTTGTGCGAGCGTTGCGCTCTGACCCTTGAGGTCCGTCTTGCGCAGGGCCTCGGACGCGGCGACGAGGCGCTCGATTGCGGCCATGTACGGCTTGAGGTCGTCCGGGTCGGGCCTGCGTGCGCGACAAGAAGAGTTAGCTCGATGCGCTCGCTCGCGCCGCTGCTGCAGGGCTCTGACACACGGACTGGAAGAGAGTTAACGTACCCTGCTTTGATGAGGCCCTCCTCGCGCTCGACGAGGTCGTTGTGGCCGAGCAGGCCGTCGATGGACCGCATCGTCAACTCGAGGTCTGCGCGGCGAGGAGTGTCAGTGCGCGGTCCGCCGACTCTTGTGGGCGACATGCGTCAAGTCGGGACGAACTCTTGGACACGCGGTTGAGCCTGCCGGTCTCCTTGTAGATCGGGACGAGGTTCTTCTCGAGGCGTGCGAGGCGGTCGTCGAGCTCGCCGAGGACGTGGCCCATGCGGCCCGAGATCTTGGACGAGCGGGCGAGCGACTGCTGGAGGAGGGTGAGGTCGGCGCTGGCCTGCTCGAGGGCGATCGAGCCTGTTGCTGTGGCAGAGACGGTGCCCGAGTGGGTGGTGGGGAAGGACCGCGCGAAGGACGACATGGCGACAGGCGGGTTGCGCGAGCCGGTCGCACTCGTTGTCGGTGTACTGAGATAGACTGCAGGCGAATGCCAGTGTCAGGACTGGCCTGTGTCGGGGCAGAGAGCGCGGAGGAGACGGACCGACGAGTTGACCGAGGGTGAGAGGGCGACAACGACGAGGGGCGACTGGGCGGCGGATCTGGTGGGTCGGTAGATAGTGCTGGTGCGACTGCGAGCGTGTCCAGGCGAGCACGAGCCGGTGATGGTGAGAACGATGCCCTCATCTCTTCGTCGCGAGCCCTCGTTGTCCGACACCGCCTCCAACACTCGCCGAGCCAGAGGCCTGTGCCGCGAGTAGCTCCCGCCACCTCAACGGACACCCGACCAAGTCACGCCCATCGACCGCCCGCCCGTCACCCTCGCTGCACGCGCCCTCCCCGCCTCGGGTCCAGCTCCTTTTGTTCGCGCTCGTCGCCGCCCATCCGCCGCTTCGCCTGGTCCGCCACCGCCCACCATGTCGACCGACGCCATGGAGCAGGCCTTCCTCGACGGCACCCACCCCGCCCTCACTCGAGACGCCGACGCCGCCGCCGTCCTCCGGTCCAACTCGCCCACTCGCTCTCGCTCCCCTTCCCCAGCACCTTCCTCCAGCTCTCGAGACGACAACGGCGACGACGACGACGGTCCGCGCTTCTCGGCCGTCGACCCGGACCCGCCGACGGGCGGGACGCCGCCCCCTCGCCAGGCCGGCGGCGGCCGCAGGGGCGCGAGCAAGAACACGGGCGTCAAGGGCGTCCGCGAGGACTACCGCGAGCACCTCGCCCAGCAGCAACAGCAGCAGCGACAAGGCGCCGACGCCATGCTCGCCAAGCAGACGCAGCGCAAGATGGTCATCTCGCTCGCGGCCGACGCCAACTCGCGCGACGAGGCCGACGGCGACGACGACGAGCTCGCGGCCCTGAGGCGGCGCCGGCTCGCCGAGCTGCAGGGCAGCGCCGAGCGCACGGGGAGGAACGGCGGCAGGACGTTCGGGCACTTGCGCGAGGTCGGCATGGAGCAGTTCGTGCAAGCGGTCGAGGACGAGGCAGACGAGACGGCCGTCGTCGTGCACCTCTACGAGCCAGTGCGTCCTCTCGACCTCTCTTCCTGTCCCATTGCGTCGGGCCGACACTCACGGCATCTGGGCACCCACAGGAACTCGCCCTGTGCGCCCTCCTCAACTCGCACCTGGCTGCCCTCGCTCGCGTGTACCCCGCCACCAAGTTTGTCCGCGCCCAGGCGTCCGAGGTCGACTTCATGTCGTCCGACCTCGACGCCGACACGCTCCCGACCGTGCTCGTGTACCGCCGCGGCGAGCTCGAGACGACCTGGATCCGATTCGACCTCGACCTCGAGGGTGCGGTCCTGCGCGATGGCGAGCGGGGCAGGAAACAGGTCGAGGAGATGCTGAGCAAGTGCGTCGAAGTCGTTCCTCCACTCGCGACCGTCTCGGCCTTGCGTGCCGCCTGCGCATCTGGCGGACCCGAGCCTGACGCACGCCTTTGCCCCCTCGCAGCGCCGGCGCCATCGCTGGCTCGCCTCACGCGCCCTCGCCATATGCTTCCTTCGGCTCTCTACGCGGCAACGGTCGAGCTGGTGCGGCCGATGACGACGACGACGAGTGGAGCGCGCCGTTACCAGTCGAGGCCTCGAGCCCCTTTTAGACGCGTCCACTCTCTTCTCTCGCACGCTGTTGTAGATACCCTCCCCGCCATCGCTGCGATACCACTTCTGAGCAGACTGTCGACTGCAGCACGAGAGGCGCAGTGGAGAGATTCGCTGCGGACCCTCACCGGACGAGCGAAAGCTACGCCCGGGTCGTCACCAGCGCGCTTGCTCGACCAGCGACAGCGCACAGCAGCCTCAGCAGCCGCTTCTCGAGCACGCCTGCCGCACCCGACAGCGCCGCAGCTCCTCGCGCGCTCGCCCTTCCCTCTCGTCCCCCGCCCCACCGCCGACACCTCGCCCACCCGCCGTCACGCGCCCATGGCGTCGAGCGCCGCGCAAGACGCGCTCGAGACCAGCTCGGCGGGCAACGACGACGTGCAGCCGCCAGCTACGAGCCCGTCCCAGCTCTCGGAGGTGCCGCCCACTACCGGCGACGGACGAGGCGATGTGGAGCAGCCGCGCGATGCGAGTGAGGGCTCGGGCAGCGCGGTGGACGGCGCAGCCGCCTTAGCAGCTCTCGCAGAGGGCGGGCAGCCCTCGTCCCAGGCCGCTGGCGCCGTCGCCGCACCCTCCTCTGCCGATGACCCTCCCTCGGCAACGACGACGACCACCGCGTCCAGCACCACGTCCTCCCCGCCAGAGCCGCTCGCCGACGAGGCGCCTGTTCGTCAAGTGCGCCGCCTGCCGCCACCGCCCAAGAAGGGCATCCTCCGCCCGCCCTCGTCCTCGCACGCCGCGTCGTCGCGCTTCTCGTTCCGCCGCGACTTCCTCCAGCCGTTCAACACGTCGTACTCGCGCGCGACGACGACGGCCGACGTCTCGTCCGGCGGCGGTGCCGCAGGTGCGGGCGTCGCATCCGTCGGCGAGGTCATGGGCAACGCGGCGGCGACGGCGGGCGGCTTCTTCGGGTCGGCGCTCAAGCGGTTGACGGCGGCCGCTGCGCCGACCGAGGAGCCTTCCGCATCGACGGCGGCTCCGGCGACCGCGCCTGCCGCCGCTGCCACGCCCGCACCCGCACCCGCTCCAGCAGTGCCCGCCGCAGGCCCGTCGCCCTCGGCACCTCCCGCCGCCGCGGCTCCGCAGCTCGCGCTCCCCGTCGCCGACCTCAAGCGTGTCCGCTTCCGCATGGCGTCGCTCAAGCTCGTGTACCCGATCAACGGCGGCACGCTCGACGTGATCGCTCCCGCCGACGAGGGCGCCACGCGCGAGCGCGTCGAGAGCGAGTGGAGGGTGCGGCACCTCGCGCCGGCCGGCGCCGCCGGGGCAGCGGCGAGCGAGGGCAAGGTCAAGGTGAGGGAGAAGGACGGCGGCGACAAGGAGGGGGCGGGCAAGAGGTGGACGGGCGACGAGCTCCTGCGGCTGTACGCCGAGTGCTGCAGGACGAGGGAGGAGCCGGGCATCGAGCGCGTCAAGCGGGTTTTCCGGGTGCGTCCCGCTCGCCTGTCTCTCGACGAGTCCTGTGCGCCTTACTGACCTCGTTGAGCTGTCGCGCAGGAGAACCCGGCCGCACCGCCCAAGGTCCTCGACCTGTCGAACGAGCTCCTGTCGCGAGGCGCCGTCGAGGCGCTGTCCGACCTTCTCGCCATCGACTTTGGCCTCAAAAAGCTCACGCTCGACCACTGCGGCCTTGACGACGAGGTGCGCTCCCTCTCCCTTGCGCCTTGCCCGAAAACCAGGTCCTTTTTTGACGCGTTGGTCCCGCCTCGCAGAGCCTACGCCCGCTCCTGCACGCCCTACTCGTCTCGGCCTCGATCCCGACCGTCAGCCTGGCGGGCAACAAGCGGATACGCGCTCGCGGCTGGAAGTTCATCGCGACCTTCCTTCGCAAGGTGCGTCCCCCTCTCCCTTCCTCTTCCCGCGCTCGACTCGACGATCATGAGCCTGACCCGATGTGCCCCGTCTCGAACGCTCGCAGGCCACGTTTCTCCGCTACATCGACCTGAGCGAGACGCCCCTCGACCGCCGAGCAGCCGAGTACCTCGTCCAGGCGCTCGCGCCCGCTCCTCCTCCCGCGCCTCCACCACCACCTCCTCCTTCCCCACCTCTCGTACCCGACAAGGTTGAGTCGGCGCTTTCGGGCGCGTCGACGGGTGCGCCTGCGCCTGCGCCGCAGAAGAAGGTCGCGGGCCCGTGGGACGAGGACGATGACGAGTCGGACGCTGAGGAGGCTGGCGGCGCGACCGAGGCGGCCGGCGCGCTCGAGTCGAACGGCGATGCGCACGAGGCGGGACCGGCGGCAGCGGTGGATGTCAAGGAGGAGGTGGGCGAGGTCGAGGACGTCAAGGAGGAGGAGCCCGAGCCGGTCGTGCGCGAGCCGCTGTTCGACACGGCGCCGCTCCTCAAGGAGGACAAGTCGGGCGCTCCTGCGGCGGTCCTGTCGTTGCGGCTCGAGAACTGTGGCCTGCGCGGTCCGGCACTCGAGGTACTCGGTGCGTCTGCCTCTCCCTCCTCCTCGGCCGCCCCGTCGGCGACATACTGACTCGTCTCGCCGTGCAGCTCCTGGTGTTCGCGTCTCGGAGGTCAAGCACATCTCGCTGCGCAAGAACCGCATCAACGCCGCCGGCGCCGTCGCCCTCGCTGTCCTCATTCGCGACTACCCTCTCTCGTCCGACCCGTCGTCCACCTACAGCGTCCCGTCGGCCATCCCGTTCGCCTCGTCGGGCTCGACTGAGCACAAGAACGGCACGGCCAACGCGTCCGACTCGGCGTCGACCTCGTCATTCTCGCTCGAGGTCACCAACTCGGTCTCGGCCCGGCAGCGCGACCGCGCCCTGTCGGCCCCGCCTCAACCTGCCGTCGCACCCGCACCTGTCGAGCAAGCTCCAGAGCTAGTGTCGGCTCTCGGCGAGCGCGAGGCGTGGCGACTGAGCGAGGCGCGCCTGCGTCTGAGGAAGCAGCTCGACGGCCTGCCGCGCATCGGCGCACTCTTGACGCTCGACGTCAAGGGCAACGACATTCGGGTGCGTCTTACTTTCTCACCTGTCGTCCGTCGTCGCTCGAGGGACCGTGACTGACATCGAGCGTGCAGAGCGGCGTCACCTACATCGCCCAGGTCCTCAAGCGCAACCGGACGCTCAAGGTGCTCAACCTGGGCGAGAACAAGATCGACCCGCAGGGCCTCGTCGCCTTGGCTGAAGCCCTCGTACGTCCTCTGCTCCCTCCTCGAGGCGACGGCGAGCCGTTCCTGACCCACCTCGGCCCGCCACTTGCAGAAGTTCAACACGACGCTCGAGACGCTCGACATGGGCCACAACCCGTGCTGCGGCCCGCCCATCGACGGCATCCTCGCCCTGCGCTCCGCCATGATGGTCTCGCCGTCGCTCAAGCGCGTCTTCCTCAACTCGACCGACCTGTCGTCCGAGGGCGCCATCGCGCTCGCCGAGTTCCTGCCCGAGGCGCACTCGCTCCTGCACCTCGACCTCACCAACAACAACGTCGACATCTCGGGCGTGCTCGCCCTGAGCGTCTCGATCAAGCTCAACTCGACGATCCGCTGCCTCGACATCAACATCCCGTTCGACGACCCCGACTTTAGCCGCCTCTCGCAGGACCTCCTCGAGACGTGCGTGCGCAACACCGAGCTCGCGCAGCAGAAGGCCGACGCCGAGGCGCGCTACGCAGCCGCCAAGCGCGTCGTTGTCGCCCAGCCGATCCGCAAGTCGGCCCTCGCGAGCAACCTCGAGGCGCGGCAACAAGCCGAGCAGCGGCGCGCCAAGCGGCGCGACGACGCCCTGCGCGCTCAAGGCGACATCTTTGCGGCGGCGGCCGAGACGCGCGACGTCGTGTCGCAGCTGCTCGCCGTCGAGCAGGCCGCCGGCGCGCGGGAGCCGAGCGAGGTCGTGCGCGACGCGCTCGTCCAGCTGCAGCTTGCCGAGGCGCAGCTCGCCGAGGCCTTCTCAGGCGCGAGGCAGGCCGAGCAGCGCGAGCGCGCAGAGGTGCTCCTCACCGAGCTCGCGTCGCTCCTCGACCTCGCCAAAAACATCTTCGACCGGCCGCCGCCCTCGCTCTCGACCTCGACCGACGCGCCACCCGCAGCAGCAGCAGGGCTGACGGCACCGGCGTCGGCCGACCTCGACCACCCGCCGGCCTCGCCGACGTTCTCGCTGCAAGACTCGGACGACGAGGACGCGGCCACGGCGGCGGGTCCTGCACTCGTCGCGGTCGACGACGAAGCGACCCCGTCGAGCTCGGCGCCGTCGCTCTCGGCCAAGCCTGCGACCCTGCAGCTCCCCGACGACAACACGTCGCCGTCGCCGTCGTCTGGCCCGTCGTCGCCGTCGCTCGCTCGGAGCCCGATCGAGTCCGAGTCGCGCGCCATGGTGGCCGAGGAGGGCGAGATGTTCCGCAAGGGCGTCGCGCTCGGTGTCGACGAGGTCGGGGACGAGAGCGACGATGAGGGCGGCAAGGAGGTCAGCGGCGAGGAGCTCAAGAAGGAGGTGCGTCCCTCCTCTCTCTTTTCTCCTGTTCGGCCCCTTTCCCTGCACGGCGTACTGACTCTTCGCGTACGTTCCTCATGTTCAGCTTCTCGAGACGACGGTGCAGCGCAGCCCTCGCCCGTCCTTCAACTCGGACGACACGCCCCGACCCTCCCTCGCCACGTCACTCGCCCGTCCTCCTTCCGACTCGGTCGAGTAGCTCGCAGTTCTGTCGCCCTGTGCCACCTATCTCCTCGCCTTACTTATCCCCTGCCGTCCCGTACCATACCCCTGCTGTACCCCTCTCGTCGTCGCCAGTCGTCACCCCTTCCTCGTCCTGTCGCACCTCGTCCTTGAAGTCCTCGCTCTCCTTTCGCAATGCCGAATGCGCACGTCGCTCTCTCTCTTTCACGGCGAGACGATCGCAATGCAGCAGAGAGCGAACGAGAGCTCCCTTGCAATCATCGGCGTCGCACTAGGCCTCTGCTCGCCGCTTGCCCGCGCTCGAGCCCCCTCCTGCACTCGCGCCGCCGATGCCTCCTGCCTCGTCGCGCAGCTGCGCCGCCGCTCGCTCGATCCTGCCGTACTCGCTCCTCCACGCGTCCCACTCGCGCCTCCTCTCGCGCACGCGCTCGCGCCCGAGCCTGACGGCGACGCTCGCCTTCCACCCAGCCCTCTTTGCGACGCTCTGCGCCCTAACGCCCAAGTCCTCCTCGAGCCCACCGACGACGCGCTCGACGTCCTTGCGGAACCGAGCGAGGGCGCTCAGCCACGCACGCTGCAGGCCCCACGCGGCGAGCGTGACGCCGAGCAGGCCCGCGCCGACGCTCGTGCCCGTCTGGGCGACCCACCCGAGCGCATCGGCCGCGATCCCGCCCGCGACCGAGGCCGTCGCGACGACGCCCGAGCGCACGACGGCGCGCTGCGCGCGCTCGTGCAGCTGCGCCGTCGGGCTGCCCGCCGGCGCCGTGAGCTGCGCGCGGCGGTGCGCGACGGCGCCGCTCAGGGCCGTCGCGTCTTTGCTGTCCGGGTGGGCCTGCGGCGCCGAGGCGGCCGAGGCCTTGTCGAGCGCGTTGAGGAGCGTCGCCGAGTACAGGGACGAGAGGGCCGCAGGCGGGTCGAGCGCGACGCGCGTCGGCGAGGTTGCAAACTGGGGGGACGAGTACAGCGCGTCGACGCGGTGCGACAGGCTCGAGGCGGTCGACGCGGCGAGGCCGGCCGAGAAGGCGAGGCGGCGCTCAAAGGCCGTGAGGAACGTCTGGCTCGTGACGAGGGCGACCTCGGCGCCGAGGTCGTCGACGCGGTACGGCACCTTGTACCACGCGAGCCGGGTCGCAAACAGCTCGTCGAGCGCACCGACGGCGCCCGCGAGCTCGTCACCGGGGACGCGCACGAGCCCGGTCGAGGGCTCGACGCCGAGCGAGACGACGAGGGCGCGCTCGGCCTCGTCGGCGTGCGCCTCGAGCGCCGACAGGGCCGCGTCGGCGCCATCGAGGGCGTCGGCGACTTGTGCGCCGGCGAACGCGGCGCGCGCGAGGGCCGCCGCGAGGACGTACTGGGCCGTCTCGACCTGGAGCGGCGTCGGCGCCGTGTGATCGGCGTGCGTCGCCGTGAGGGCCGTCGTGAGGAGCTGGTGCAGGTGCGGGACCTGGGACGCGACGTAGCCCTTCTGGAAGGCGTCGTAGGCCGGTTCCCGGCCGGGCTCGGACGGCGACAGCGCCTCGAGGGCGGCGAGCGCCTGCCGAGTCGAGACGGCGATGGCGCGGGGCTCGGCCTCGGCGGGAAAAAGGGTCTCGAGCTGGTGCTCGAGGGTGCGGAGCGGCGAGGCCGACGTGGACGGGGACGCGTCGGGGCAGTTCAGGGCGAGGAGGAGGTTGGGCTTGGCGGCGAGGTCGTACAGGAGGGTCTTGGCGGCTCGGGACGAGAGCAGAGTCGAGTCGGACAGGACGAGGACGACGAGGTCGGCGAGGTGCAGGGACGACAGGGACGACTCGAGCGGGGCGACATCTGCACGTGCACGCGCAGAGGCTGTGAGCTGACAGGTCCGGCGGGTGGCCGACACGAGTTCCACGAGTCGCGAGACGGTGGACGCACCTCGATGCACGATCTCGACGACCTCGGCGTTGGTGTCGTGGAGCCAGGGTGCCGGGACGTGGACCTCGGACGGCGACGACGACACGTCGTTGCCGTGCCTGCGGGCGCACGAGCCGAGTCAGTCTCGCCGCCCGTCGACGATGGACGATGAAGAGAGGACGCACTTGATGGTGAGGGCCTCGTGGGTGGCCGAGCCGAGCCTGCGGGCCTCGAGGGCGACGGTCACGTCCGGGTTGGACGCGAGCGGGTCGTCGAGGAGGGCGGTGACGAGTCCCTGTGCATCGCTCGCGTGGTCGCCGACGACTGTGGGCAAGAGAGTGCGAGTGAGTTGGTGTGCTCGTGGTGGCGCAGAGGCAAGAGGGCAGGACGAACCTGCGAGGCGAGCTGGTCGAGGGTGGAGGAGGTCGGCGAGGGCTTGGTCGATGCGTGCCGGCCAGACCGGGTCGACGAGCGGGTAGCGGGTGAGCGAGGTGCGCAGGTCTTGGAGGAGCCGTGCCGTGTCGGCGGGTGCTGTTGCCGATGAGAGTTGGCGGCGGGGAGATGAGGACGAGGAGGAGGAGGGCGACCAAGGGCGCAGGGTGCGGGTCGCTCGAGGGACGGGCGAGCGAGTTGCTGTGCGGGCGAGCATGTCGCGTGTAGCACTGTAGCAACGAGAGGGACAGACAAGAGCTGCAGCCGTCGTCGTCCTCTCATCTCATCGTCGTCGTCGTCTCGCTCCTGCCACACTTCCTCCCCGACCAGCCATGCCGCCAAAGCCCTCGCCAGAAGTAGAGCACCTCGCCGCATTCTTCGCCCAGTGCGGCCTCTCGCAACAGCGCTCGCTCGAGACGGCCCGCTCAAAGACGGCACCCCAGGCTCACCGCCTCCTCCAGCTCGCCAACGCCGACAGCGACAACGACAACCACAGCCGCCTCGACGACAAGCAGATCACCCTCGCACTCCAGCTCGCAAAGGACGCCCAGGCCCTCACCGACGACCTGCGCCTCTACATCCTCGACGCCATCCGCGACCGCCGACTCGCCAAAGCCGACCAGGTCGCGGCCGCCATAAAGTACCTCACCGCCCACCCTGAGCAACCTGTCGACACGGCCAGCTTCAACGAGGCGTGCGGCGTCGGTGCGCCCCTCGTCCCCTCTCTCTCTCTTTCCTTCGTCCACTGACTCGAACTTGCCCGACCAACCCAGGCTTCTCCATCACGCCCGCCGAACTCGACACGCGCATTCGCGCCTACGTCGCCGACAAGGCCGACGAGGTCAACAAGCTCGGCTGGGCCGGCTTCTCCAAGGTCAGCGGTCTCATGCGCCAGGCCGACCCGCTCCGGTGGGTCGCCCCGCTCGACCTCAAGGGCGCCGCCGAGGCCGTCTACACCGACATGTTCGGCAGCCGCGACGCGCACAAGCTCAAGGCCCAGCAGGCCGCCGACAAGGCCAAGAAGGACAACAAGGCCGCCAACGCGGCCGGCCCAAAGGCGTCCACCTCGGCCGTCCCGCTCCACGCCGAGTCGCCCGACGACATGTTTGCCCAGGGCTGGCTCTCGCGCCTCCACAAGCCCGGCGGCAACGAGCAGAAGATCCCCGAGCGCATGCAGGAGCACCTCGCGTGGACCAAGGGCAAGGTTTTTACCCGCTTCCCGCCCGAGCCCAACGGCTTCCTCCACGTGCGCCCTCGCTCTCTCTCGTCTCTCGTGTTCCTCGTACTCGTCGTACTGACCTCTGCGCCTCTCGCTTCCAGATCGGGCACTCGAAGGCCATCGCCGTCAACTTTGGGTTCGCCAAGTACCACAAGGGCCACTGCTACCTGCGCTACGACGACACCAACCCCGAGGCCGAGGAGCAGATCTACTTCGACAAGATCCTCGAGAACGTGCGCTGGCTCGGGTACGAGCCGTACCAGGTCACGCACTCGAGCGACCACTTTGCCGAGCTGTACGACCTCGCCGTCCTCCTCATCAAGAAGGGCTTTGCCTACACGAGCAACGACACGGGTCCGTCCTCGCCTTTCTCTCAGTCTCGTCGTCGAGCGTGCGTCCGTCACTGACACCTTGCCCCCTCCCCCTCTCGTTCCTCCAGCCGAGGAGATCTCGGCCCAGCGCGGCGGCAAGGACCACGGCCCTCGGCACGACTCGAAGGACCGCAGCAAGCCCGTCGACCAGTCGCTGCGCGAGTTTGCCGACATGCGCGCCGGCAAGTACAAGCCGGGCGAGATGGTGCTCCGCATGAAGCAGGACATGTCGAGCTCGAACCCGACCATGTGGGACATCATCGCGTACCGCGTCCTGGGCAAGCCGCACCACCGCACCGGCACCGAGTGGGCCATCTACCCGACGTACGACTTCACCCACTGCCTGTGCGACTCGTTCGAGAACATCTCGTGCGTCTCTCTCTCTCTCTTTCGTCCCTTTCCCCTCTCGAGCCACCTCACCGACTCGTCCCTCGCAGGCACTCGCTCTGCACGACCGAGTTCATCGGCGCGCGCACGGCGTACGAGTGGCTGTGCGACGCGCTCGAGGTGTACAAGCCGCGCCAGAGCGAGTACGGCCGCCTGACGCTCGAGGGCGCCATCACGAGCAAGCGCAAGCTCCTCAAGCTCGTCAAGGAGAACTACGTCAACGGGTGGGACGACCCTCGGTGCGTCCGTCGCTCTCTCTTCCGTCCACGCCCTCTCGAGCGTGCGACTTACCCTGGGCCCTCCTTTTCCTCTTCGCAGGCTGTACACGCTCGTCGCGCTCAAGCGTCGCGGCGTGCCCCCTGCCGCCATCATCTCGTTCGTGTCCAACCTCGGCGTGTCGACCTCGCCGTCGCTCGTCCAGCTGCAGCGGTTCGAGCAGACGGTGCGCTCGCACCTCGAGATGTCGACGCCGCGCCTCAACCTCGTCCTGCGCCCGATCAAGGTCACGCTCGAGAACCTGCCCGCCGACTTCCAGCTGTCGCTCGACAAGCCCCTGCACCCCAAGGACCCGTCGATGGGCACCATCGCCGTCCCCTTCTCGCGCGAGCTCGTCATCGACTCGGACGACTTCCGCGCCGAGCCGTCCAAGGACTTTTTCCGCCTCGCTCCCGGCGCCACGGTCGGCCTGTTGAACGTGCCGCGCCCGGTCACGTACGTCCGCCACGAGACGGACCCGGCGACGGGCGCCGTCACGCACGTCGTGTGCCGGTACGAGGACGAGGCGCTCGGCGAGCAGCCGCTCGCGCCCGGGTTCAAGCCCAAGGGCTGGATCCACTGGGTGTCGGCGCCGCACGCCGTCGCCGTGCGCGAGGCGCGCCTGTTCCGGCGCCTGTTCAAGTCGGACAACCCGGGCGCGCTCGGCGACAAGTACCTCGACGACCTCAACCCGGACTCGCTCGAGGTCGTCAAGGGCGCCGTCGTCGAGAGCGCCGTGTGGCGCGTCGTGCGCGACTCGCTCTCGCGCGCCAAGGACGTCGTCCGCCAGCGCCAGGACGAGGCGACCCGCAACAGGACCGAGGCGCCGCCGAGCGTCGACGGCCTCGAGGTTGTCCGCTTCCAGGCCAACCGCGTCGCCTACTTCTGCCTCGACGGCGACTCGGTCCTCCAGGACGAGAGCGGCGAGGTCGACGGCGGCAAGCTCGTGCTCAACCTGATCGCCAACCTCAAGGAGGACAAGCTCAAGGCCAAGTAGATCCTCCCTCTTCTCCCTTAGATGCCGTTTCTCTCTCTCTCTCTTTGTGTGTAACGAGCATGTTCAGCGTCGCCTTTCGAGCAGTGAGCGAGCGAGGAGAGCGTGTTCAAAACGAGCGCGAGCGAACAGAGTCCGGCTCGAGAGCAGCTCTCGCTCGGCACCCTCGCGCTCTCTGCTCGGCGCTCGCGGTGTCTGGACAAACCGAGAGCCGTCGCATCGAGTCGAAAGGACGATCAAGGGGGCAGAGAGAGCAGGCGCACGGACCCCGCTCGCAATTTGAGAAGGTCGCGCTCGATGTTCTTTCTCTCTCGCTCCCTCGACGACGACGACAGCGGAAAGGAGGACGACGTGGCATTGCGCCGAATGAATGAGGGAGGAGAGAGCTACAAGGCGTGCGACGCGAGCTCGCGCTCGCTAGGAAGGACACGTTGAAGAAGGAGGAGGAAAGGCACGAAGGGAGGTGGCTATGCGAGAGAGTCGAGGCCACGAGGTATGGACGTCAAGAGGGGGTAACTAGATAGAGAAATGCACAACGTGAGAGGGGGGAGGGAAAGAGGGGAGAGGAGAGAGCTCAAAAGGCGGACGAGTGCGAGCCAGTCGCAAAGGGGAGGGGGAGGACCGGGAGCGACGCAGGGTCGTCGAGCAGGATCGACGACGACATGTCGCCTCGCTGACGCTGTGCGTCCTCTTCCTCGCGACGCTTCTTGGTCGAGCCCGAAGGCGCGACGCCGTTGAGGAGCTTTTTCTGCGGGCGAGGGCAGAAAGAGAGGGTCAGGTTCGGGTTCGGCGCGCGAGGGAGGACGAGAGGGCGAGAGACGTACCGCGTCCTGCGCCGAGTAGTTGACGAACATGGCGACGGGCTGCTTGGGCTTGGTCGGCGAGCCGCGCTTGCGCTTGGGCGTCGTTTTGGGCGACATGGGCGAGGGCCGGCTGACCGACGCCGACAGGCCGCCGTGATCTCGAGGCGGCGGCGTGACAGGACGCAGAACGTCGGGTGGTGGCTGCAGGACGGCCGGGAGCGGCTGGCGCTCGTACGTCGGGTAGTACGGCTGCCGAGACGGCGACGAGGTCGGCGAGTTGGCCCAGGGCGGCGGCTGGTGCGAGTGCGGGTGCGGGTGCAGCCGGTGCGGCGACGGTGGCGGCTGCGGGGCGCCGACAAAGGCGTGGCAGCTCGAGCGGCGGCGCAAGGCTGCGACCGACGGCGAGGTCGGGTACGCAGGCTCGTGCGACGACGAGGGGGCCGGGGCGTCGCGCGCCGAGTGGGCGCGCACGTGCGGGTTGAACGCGGGCGCGAGCGAGCCGACGCTATTCGAGTGCGATAGGGCGTACGAATGGGCGGCGGACGAGGTCGAGTGCGGGTTCCAGCGGCTCGAGAGCGACGCCGGAGGAGGTTGGGGAGGGAGGTCGAACGACGTCTGCCACGCCGGGGCCGATTGTGGGTACGTCGGCGCGACGTAGGCGTCCGAGAGCCCGAGAACGGCGTCGTCGAGCAGACGAAAGTCGTCCTCGCCGAGCGTGACGCCCGAGATGCTGACGCTCGTCGGCGAGAACAGGCTCGCGCCCTTGTCGAGGACGGGCAGGCGACCGCCGGGCACCGTCGCCGACGATGACGAGAGGCCGCCTGCGTCGTGCTCGTACAGGCTCGGGTCGAGGATCGGACCGAGCTCGCCGAGGAGCTGCTCGACCTCGCGCACCGACGCCTCGGTGAGCTGCTGCGACGCCGACAGCGACGGCGGGTCGGACCGCTGCGACGACGAGAACGTCGGCTGCATCGCGAGCGGTGGGCGCGAGCTCGGCGGCATCGACGCGACGAGCGAGCCTCGGCGGCCGGACAGCGGCGGCGGCGGCGGCACGTCGATGCTGAGCGTCGACACGCGCCGGATGCTCTTGGTCGGGCTGCCGTTGGCGTCGACCGACTCGGTGACGGCCGCGACCTTTCGGGGCGTCGCCTTGCGGGTCGGCGACTCGTGGATGCTGCTCGTCGAGCCCCGACGAGCGCTCGCCGCCGCGGACGGGAACGACGCCGTCGAGCGAGGCGTGGGACGGTGGTAAGGAGAGGTGGCGGGGCTCGACATGGCAGGGTAGGCCGACGGGGAGCGGTACAGGTGCGTCGACGCGGCGGGGGCGTGTCGGCGAGGCGTGGTCGGCGCGGGCGGAGCGAGGAACGAGGGAGGAGGACGCGAGTGGGTGTAGGCCGGCGAGTGCGGCGGCTGGTACAGCTGCTCGTGCTGGAACGCTTGCTGGTGCTGCTGACGATGCGTCGGGTGCTGCTGCTCCTGCCCGTCGGCGACGAACCCGCCTCGCGACGGGCTCTTGAGCGACGCCGGCGGCAGGATCGCGCTCAGGCCGCCGTCACTCGGGCCCGCCGAGTGGTGCAGGCCGCCGTGGAGGTAGTCGGACGCGGTCGGCTGCTGGTACGGCGACACGAGGCCCAGGTAGGACGACGAGGCCGAGGCGGACGATGCGGGAGAGAGGCTCGGCAGCGCGGGAGAGGGGGTGGTGCCCGTGCTGTACGACCGCTGCGGCTCGTGCGAGTAGGCCGCGTCGGCGACGAACGCGCTCGGGTCGTACGAGTACATCGCTCGAGGCTCGACGGTCGCGTCTGGCGCGAGCGCCGAGTACTGGGCCGCGGCGGCCTCGTCGGCGCTGCCGGCGGGGGGCGCTCCTCCCGCCGCGTCGCCGTACAGCGCGAACGGCTCGGGCGGCGCCTGGAGGTAGCTGTCCCACGCGGCGTCGTCAAATGCGGCCTGCTGCGCGGCGGCGTGGGCCATGGTCGAGGGCGAACGAGGGGGAGGGGGAGGCGAGGCTAGGCGAGATGAGGGTTCGGGGCGACGCGGTGGGGCAGCAGGTGGGAGCTGTGGTGCTGCGCGCGCAGTCTCGCAGCACGGTCGGTCGTCGAGGGTGCGGTGGGTGCGACGAGGCGAGGCGAGGAGGAGGAGCTCGAGCGACGGGCGGTCGACCGCGGCGCGTGCGACCACGGGCGGGCGGGCCTCTGCCTTGGCCTCGACAAGGGACAGCCGACAAAACGACGAGCGGGCCCGATGCAGGGAGCCACCCGCACCCCGCACTCGGTAGCCGCGAGAGGAAAGAGCGGACGGGTGGATCTGCGCACCACCGTCCACTCGAGGCAACGAAGCCCGCTGGGTCCGTCGGACTTCCCTCGACAGAGCTGGCGACCCGTCGCAGCGTGGACCGCCTCGAGCCCGACGTGCCTCTTCGCGCCTCGCTCGTCCGCACCCGCGACCACTGCACGGTCCCGTCTTGCTCTCCCTCGCTCTCCCTCCCTCTCCGAGAGCTCGCTCGGTGTGCCCTTCCTTCCGGGGCAAGCTCGCTACACTCCCAGCTTGCAAGCTGCGTCCAGGTCGCCCGAGAGTTGACGCGACTCGATCTCGAACGTCCGCGCCAGTGTGGAGGAGCAGCGAGCTTGCGCTCGCGCCGCGGGGCCGACAATTCCGCGTCGGCCAGCTCGAGACTCGAGAGGGCAACGCAATCTCCCTCGGCCGGCGAGCCGGTCGCGCGAATGGCGTGTCCTCGGCTCCCGGCACAAAGCGCTCGAGAGGAGGTTGTGCTGCGCACGTTCCGCCGCGAGACGTGTCGCTTTGTCCTCTCGAGCGAGCGTGCGCACGAGCCGAGTTCCGCCATTCACAGCTTGCTCTCTCCTCGTCTGTCCCTGATCGTCGCGGGCGGGAAACAAAGGCGAGTGATCTGCGACGTGCGTGCGTGCGCACCTCGACGGATCTTTCGGCCCGGCGTCGTTGCCTTCTCGAGATCATCTCGTTGTTCGCCGTCCGAAAGCTCTCGGGCTCGAGTAACTTAGCTTCGATACGACCATCGAGAGACGCAGAAGGTCTACAAGCGCAGATGCTCGAGCGAAAGCGCGCGAAGGAGCGTTCCCAGCCGAGATGGTTCGAGACCGCCGCCCAGGGGGGGCGATGATCAAGCGCGCGCGAACAACGTTCATGAGCGCGCGGACGGCCGGAAGTTCCGCCCGCAGCGGACTCGCGCGGCGCGGCGGGAGGGGGAGCAAGATTTGGAGGCTCGAGCGCGGTGGACGATTTCTCGAGCCCGCGACCTCTCTCGCTGCGCCAGACGTGCATCGTCGAGCCGCATGACACCCTCGCATGCCTCCTGTGCCTGCAAAGAGGCACGGTCGCGGCGGCGCTTGCGCAGAGAGGGCAAAGAGAGCGATTCAGAAAGCGAGCTTGCTCGAGAGCTCAAGCGTGCTCTCGGGTCGCTCTCGGGATGCGCAAACGAGGCGTGCGACGCAGAAGAATGACGAGCTCGTCGCTGCACGTGCGCGCCGACTCTCTACGCCTGCGCCTTGGTCGCCTCCTCGACGAACCGCCTCAGGTCGTACTCGTGCGCGTCGCCCTTCTCGGCCACGCCCACCTCGGTGACGATGCCCTCGATGAGGCTCGCCGGCGTCACGTCGAACGCCGGGTTCCACGCCGTCGTGCCCGGTGGCGTGATGAGGACCGTCTGGACGTCGACCTCCTCGCCCTCCTTGGCCGGCTCGACCTGCTCGCCACGAGCGAGCGCCTTGATGTCGACGACGCGGCCTCGGACGGTGCACGCCTCCCACGAGGGGCGCTGCTCGATCTCGATCTCGCGGCCCGACGCCATCGTGAGGTCGAGGGTCGTGAGGGGTGCGGCGACGAGGACGGGGACGGGGCGGTTGGGCGAGTACGGGTGCGGGTGGTGCGCGAGGAGCGAGATCTGGTAGGTCGAGATCTTGTTGGCCGTGTCGCCGTTGGCGGCGATGCTGAAGGGCGCCGTGAGAAGGATCGTCAGGCCGAGATGCGACGAGTCGGGTACGAGCGTGAGAGAAAGACGGCGACGCACCGGTCTGCGCCGGCGACAAAGAGGTGCACCTTCTTCTCACCGAGTAGTGCGCCGATGGCCGTGTCGCAGATCATCGTGTTGGGCGCGCCGAGGCTGGCCATCTCGACGGCCGTGAGGCGCGCGCCCTGCTGGTACGGCCCGGTCTGCGCGAAGTAGGCGTGCTCGAGGCGACATTGGAGGTGAAGCGAGGTGATGACGCCGATGGCGGTGCCGTAGCCCTGTGAGAGAGTGAGGTCAGGCGTCGGACGTGGAGGGTCGGAGGGAAGGAGGTCAGAATGAGCTCACCGAGGTCGCGAGCGAGCCGGTGTTGCAGACCTGCAACGTGGCCAATGATTAGTCTGTGTCCGTCTGGGCTGTACGAGGGTAGGAGAGGGCGGGACGCACCGTGAGGACCGAGATCTTCTCGCCCTGCTCAATCGTCCCCTCGCGCTCGAGCTTCTCGAGGATCCACCTCGCGCCGTTGTTGCCGATCCGCTCGCACCGCTCCTTGTCCTCGACCCAGACACCGACCGCGACATCGACGACCTTCCTTGCGAGGCTCTCGGCCGTCGCACCTTGCCGTGCGGCCTCCTCACGAGCGGCACCCTCGATGCGGGTGAGCGCCTCGCGCAGGTTGACGGCGGTCGGGCGCGAGGTGAGGAGGTAGGCGGTACGGTCGAGGAGGGCGGCGAGGAGGGTCGCGGCAGGGGAAGAGAGGGTTTCGGGCGAGAAAGAGGGCGAAGCACGGTTGTTGAGGAGGGCGAGGAGCTCGGCGGCGATGCCGAGGGCGGCGAGCGAGGCGATGGCGGGTGCGCCGCGGATCTGCGTGTGCGAGGAGATCGGAGTGTCGAGGGCGGTGACAGGTGCATGGGCGGGCAAGGCGAGGGGAGTGGGGAGAGCGGAAGGCGAGGGGAGGAGGAGGGAAAGGGTCAGTTCGCGCTGCGGTCATGCAGAACGGAGCACACATGGCGCACCTTCATCGTCTTGATCGCGTCGAAGGCGCCGGCAATCGTGTCGACCGTCTCCCACCGCACGGTGTGCGGGAGGACGAGCTGGTCGATGATCTCGACCGACTGCGCCTCGTAGAAGGACCGACCGCCTGCACAGGGAGCGAGTGAGTTCTTGTACAGTGCTGCACGTGGACGGACGAGCGTACCGGTGATGCGGAAGGCGCCGAGAACAGGCTCGTTGGCGGTCTTGGTGGAGCCGCTGGACATGGCTGGCGACAGGGCGGGTCGAGCTGCAGACTTCTTGTGGGGCGACGAGGAAGCGTGTAGAGCAGCGGACCGGCTGAACGCGCTGTATAGAGCTGAGGAGGGCGAGTGAGAGAGGTCTACTCGATGAGGGACGACGACTCGTCGGAGCTGATGAGAAAAAGCGCATCTCGCGGTTCTCTCCAGCGGGTCGGCGTGCTTTACGAACGACTCAGCGAGCTGCCGAAAGCTTTCGGTAGACCGCCTGCGACTCGCCAGAAAGCTGCGAATCGACGTCCTGGACACCCAACTCGCGCTCGAGCCGGTCTCGCTCTCTCTCTCTCGCTCGAGAAACACGACGAGGAGGCAGTGCAAACAGAGTGCAGACCGTCGAAGCGCTCTGAGCCAGACCGTCGAAGCGCTCTGAGCCAAACCTCCCTCACGCCGCCTCGACCGCTCCCTCGACCTCGCGCCCGTGCCAAGGGCGAATCCGGACAGAGAGCTCGCCCGGCTCCTTCCGAAGGACGTAGCGCTCGAGCGTGTAGTACTCGTAGGTCGTCTGCAGGGAGCGCGAGTCAGTGCCGGTCGAGAACAGGTCCGAGAGACGACGACTTGAACGGCTCGACGAAGGAAAGGGGGACGCACACTCGCCAGCCTCGCCGCCTCCTTGTGGTGCTCGCCCCGCATGGCCGCGATCGCGTCTGCTCGGCTCTGCCAGACGCACGTCGCGAGGTTGCGCCCGACGTCGTCCGGGTCGAAGCCGTGCGAGGCGGTCGAGGCGGACGGCGCGGGAACCGGGTTGCCGTACCAGTACAGGATCAAGCCGCCGCGCTGCAGACGTAATAGAGAGCGAGAGGAAGGTGTCGAAGAGGGAGGAGGGGCGAGAGGGAGGATGTGGCGGGGAGTAGGGAGAGCGAGTCAGTCTCGTGGCTGGAGGGCGAAACGGGGCGAGAAGAAGGGGGCGTACCGTCACAGCCTCCTCGTGAGCCGCTCGGTCCGCCTCGTACAGCCTCCTCGCTCTGTCCTCGGGCAGGCCGTCGTTCCTCCTCGACCGGAAGGCGACGATGTACCACTCGCGCGCCTCGCGCTTGACGCGACCGGTCGCGTCGTCCTCGAGGCGCAAGTCGGCCCAGTTGAACGACGTGGCGTACGGCGAGGTCGCATAGCGGCGTGTGATGGGCCGGAAGGCATGCAGGGCGTGATGCAAGGCGTGCGAGACGAGGTCGAGGGTCGGGAGGTGCGAGGCGGTGTAGACGGTTGAGGCGCCGGTCGCGTCGGCGGATGACCCAGGCGGGTAGTCCGACGACGGTGACAGGGCCCGGGTCGAGTCGAAGAGGGCGGGACTGGGACCGGGTTCGACCCGAGCGGACGACGGGTCGAGGGCCGGAAGTGGCAGGCGCGAGAGGAGGGCCGGGAGGTAGAAGGACGGTTGGGCAGGCTCGCCCGTCGACAAAGACGCCCGTCGAGCCCGAATCGCCGCGATGGCGTCCGACTCGGGCGCCGTGACGACCTGGGCGACCTGCGCCCCGAGCGGGACGAGCGAGGGTTTGCGGGACGGCGGCGAGTCGAGGTCGGTGTCGAGGTCGCTCGCCGGGGAGGAGCTTCGAGAGCTGCTCGAGAGGGCCCAGCTCGAGACGCTGTCGGCCGCACTTGACGATGCGGCCGAGATGTCGCCCGGGAGAGAGAAGTCCGGGTACGAGTTGACCGGGCTCAGCGCTCGAGGGCGACCTTGACGCGACGACGAGCGACTGCGAGACGTCGAGCTTGACGGGGCGGCGGTCATGGTTGTGGCGAGGGGGAGGGTACGAGCGCAGAGAGGGCGAGAGGAGGTAACGACGAGAGCGACGAGGACGAGGGTCGAGGGATCGCCTGCGCCCACCTCGCCATGTTGCGAGAGCACGCCAGCCACCTTCTGACTCGGGCCGTACTGCGTGAGCGCCGCGCCGAGCCGTGTACAAGGCGCCCGTCCGACTCGCTCGAGTTCTTGCGCGATCTCGCGTGCGAGCCGAGCGCGCTCAAGCGTGGGCAGCCAGCGCCAGCGAGATGGGCTCGCTCGAGTCTGCGCATGTTCAGGGCAGACTCAAGAGTTCTGCCGCACGAGCGAGCAGAAGCACAGCACGCCATGCTCGAGTGCAGTCCCCCGTCTCATCCTCATCAGCCGCCGACCTCGGCCGGGCCCTGCTCTCCTCCTGGGGGTGCGAGCGCAAGTCGACTGCGGCGGGAGGCTGATGCGCAGCTCTGGGTCGGGTCATGTGGACGTGCGCGTCGGCCGAGGGACGTGGGTTGAGGAGGTCGACGGGGCGGGGACAGATGACGACGTACGAGCTCGAGGGAGCGACGCGGGCGAGTCGCGCAGGAAGCACGGCCGGCCTGGGCCGCAGAAGTGCAGTGCAGAGTGCAAGGTGCAGCTGTGCAGCGTGTCTCGAGAGGTGCGAGGACGACGTCGGCGGGGAGAGAGACCTCGGCGGCCGAACCGACGCTTGCTCTCCGTCCACCAGCCTCTGCGCCGCCCCTGCTCACTGCCAGAGCCGCGAAAGCTACCTCGTCAACCGCCACCGCACCTCGAGCCCAGCTCGCCACCTCGCCGCACCGCCCGCCCGCCCTCCTCCCCACCCACCTCTCAGCATGCCGGCCGACCTCGACCTCGCCGTCAACTGCGGCTCGTCCTCCATCAAGTTCGCCCTGTACCACAAGGAATCGCGCCACGTCCTCGTCACCGGCTCGGCGTCCAACGTCCAGGGCGACCAGCCGGCCACCTACAAGTTCAAGCACGCCCCGGCCTCGTCGTCCTCGTCGAGCGACGGCACCGAGGCCCCCGAGCTGTCCGAGTCGCAGGAGCGCGAGCTCGAGGGCAAGACGAGCTACCAGGACATCTTCACCGAGATCCTCAAGGACGTCACCCGCGACGAGGTCCTCGGCCCCGAGCGCGAGAAGCGCATCCGCCTCGTCGCCCACCGCATCGTCCACGGCGGCACCGCCGACGGGCCCATCGTCATCCGTCACGGAGACAAGGAGGAGCAGAACGTGCTCGACCAGATGGAGGAGGTGTCGTCGTTCGCCCCGCTCCACGTGCGTCCAGCTCTCTCACTCTCGCGGCCCTTGTCGTCCTCTTTCTCGTCGTGCTCACACGCCTTGTCCCGCCCGCGCAGAACCACCACGCTATGCTCATCGTCAAGGAGTGCCTCGAGCACCTGCCCGAGGCGTACTCGGTCCTCTGCTTCGACACGCTCTTCCACCAGACGATCCCCCAGTTCCGCCGCCAGTACGCCATCTCGACCCCGCCCCACAAGACGCCTGTCCCGCTCGTCAAGTACGGCTTCCACGGTCTCAGCTACGCCAACATCCGCGACCAGATGGCCAAGGAGCTTGGCAAGGCCAAGAACGAGGTCAACCTCGTTGTCGCGCACCTCGGCAGCGGCGGCAGCTGCTGCCTGATCCAGAACGGCGAGAGCAAGCAGACGACGATGGGCGTCACTCCCCTCGAGGGTACATCCCCTCTTTTCTCTGCCTCGTCCTTATTCCGGGCAGCAAGACTGACGACCTCTCCCTCGCACAGGCCTTCCCGGCGGCACTCGTTCGGGCACGATCGACCCGAGTCTCATCTTCCACCACACGCCCGACTGCTCTGACACGGTCAAGGTCTCGGGCCGCGACATCACCAAGGGCGAGTTCGTCCTGAACAAGGAGAGCGGCTTCCAAGGTGCGCCCGCCTCTCTCTCCTCCTTTCGCCCAGCCTCGCGAGCTAACCTCTTCAAGGTTTGACCTCCTGCAGCGCTGTGCGGGACGAACAACTTTGGCACGATCACGTCGCGGGCGTTCCCGTCGTCGTCCTCGCCCGACGACGCGCCGCAGAACGAGGAGTACATGGCCGCCCGCCTCACGTACCAGCTCTACCTCGACCACCTCCTCGCCGTCCTCGCCCCCTACCTGTCCCACATCTTCTCGTCGCCGTCAAATTCGACGCTCGACGGCCTCGTCTTCTCGGGCGGCATCGGCGAGAAGTCGGTCAAGCTGCGCGAGGACGTCGTGCGGCACTTTGCGTGGGTCGAGCAGCTCGCCGGCACTGGAGGAGGGATCGACGAGGGTCGGAACGGCGCAGACGTCGAGGGCACGAGGGAGATCACCAAGGACGGGAGCAAGGTGCGCGCGTGGGTCGTCGAGACGAGCGAGGAGGACGAGATGGTCCGGATGGCCGAGCAGGAGCTCAGCAGCCTCGGCAAGTGATCGCGCTCTCTGTCGTAGACTCTGCTGTACATAGACTCTGTCCCCTTGCACTTCTGCTCGACGGAGAGTGAGAGAGCGGGCTGCGAGAGTGCGACGGCCATAACGCTCGAGCCCCTCGTCTGCCGAGGTCGCGCCCTCGCTCTCGCTCGGACGGAGGGTGCGGTCCCGAGCGGCTCGGTGAGCGGGCTGTACGAGCCTTCGTCGCAATTCGAAGACACGAGCTGGATCGGCCACCGAGCGTCTCCCCGCACTGCGGTCGCGGTACCGTCACCTCGGCTTGAGCTCGTCGCCTCTCTCACCACCGCCCTCACCTCTCGCTGCTCGCTACCAAGCCAGCCCTACAGTGCGTCTCTCTCTCTGCACAGGTCTAGTCGAACAGCGAACTCGTCCTGACCCTGTGCCGTCTGCAGCCTCGTCCCCCACTTTCTCATCGCCCGCTTCCCATCTCGGTCCTCCTCCTCGCCTCCAGCAAGCATGGCCGACCACCAGGACGCTCCGCCTCCGCCCATCACGCCGTCGCTGTACGCCGACAAGCCCGACGCGCCCCTGTCGTCCCTCCCCGTCCAGCTCGACGTCGACTCGCTCGTCAAGAAGCTCCCCGAGCAGCACCTCGAGGCCATCGCCGGCAACTGGCGCCTCTCGTGCTACCTCGGCACCGCGCAGACGTTCCTCCAGAAGAATGGACGGCTCGCGCGCAAGCTCGAAGTGAGCGACATCAAGCCCCGGTGCGCTCCCTCCTCCCTTCGCTCTTCCCTCGTCCTCCCTCTTCTCTGGGTCTTTGCCTGACGTTCCTCACGCCTCTGTGCAGACTTTTGGGCCACCTCGGCACACAAGGTGGTCTGAGCCTGGCGTACGTTCACTCGCAGGCCCTGATCCGCCGCAAGGGCGACGAGGAGGGCGCCGAGCCCAAGATGCTGTTCGTCACGGGCCCCGGCCACGGTGGTGCGTCCCCCCTATCTCTCCTACGTCGTCTGGTTCGGCGAGGAGTGTCGTCGCGAGGCGAGACGTGCGCTGACATCTTGCTACCTCGCAGCCCCGGCCATCCTGTCGAACCTGTTCATCGAGGGCGCCATCACCAAGTTCTACCCCGAGTACTCGCTCAACGAGGAGGGCCTCGAGAAGTTCATCAAGTACTTCTCGTGGCCGGGAGGCTTCCCGTCGCACGTCAACGTGCGTCCATCTTTCCCTCGTCGTCCTCGTCATCCTTCCCGACCTGACCGGTCTCTCCCTCCTTTCCACTCGCAGGCCGAGACGCCCGGCTGCATCCACGAGGGTGGTGAGCTCGGCTATGCCCTCGCCGCCGCCTACGGCTCGGTCATGGACCGCCCCGAGCAGATCTCGGTCGTCATCGTCGGCGACGGCGAGAGCGAGACGGGCCCGACGGCAACCGCGTGGCAGTGCGTCTATCTCCCTTCTTCTCTGTCTACCTCGGGCGCAGTGGCAGGGCAGGGCTAACGTCGTCTGTCCGTTGCAGCTCGCACAAGTGGCTCGACCCGGCCGAGTCGGGCGCCGTCCTCCCGATCCTGCACGTCAACGGCTTCAAGATCTCGGAGCGCACGCTCCCCGGCGTGCGTCCCTCTTTATCTTTTCTCTCTCTTTGTCGAGAGCGACGTGCGACCCGAGACTGACGACGCTCGAGCGCGCGCAGACCATGGACAACATTGAGCTCTCGCTCCTCTACAGCGGCTACGGTGCGTCCGCTCGAGCGAGATCTTTCGTCGACCCCTTCCTGACCATCTTCCATCCCCCACGTGCAGGCTACCAGGTCCGCTTTGTCGAGTACAAGGCGCAGGGCAACGCGACGACGGGCGGCAACGACGCCGCCGACCACGCTCTTCACGCCGACATGGCCGCCTCGATGGACTGGTACGTCCCGCCCTCTCACTCCTATCCAAGTGGCGGCGACGTTGCGCATGTCGATAGCGAGCGCCGGCGTCGTCTCGAGGGCCGAGTCGACCTTCCCAAACTGACCGACCCGCCTGCCCGTCGCCTGCAGGGCCTACGCCGAGATCCGCAAGATCCAGAAGGCCGCCCGCTCCGGTGGCAAGCCGATCGAGAAGCCGCGCTTCCCCATGATCATCCTCCGCTCGCCCAAGGGCTGGTGAAACCTTAAAAGCTTTAAAAGCCTTATATATTCTTTTTTTTCTTATAAAACTTAAAACCTTAGAGGCTATTTAAGCGACGCAGGCGCCCTCAAGCAGCTCGAGCAGTGGCTCAAGAGCTACGACTCGGACAAGTACCTCGACTTCTCGGACGAGAACCTCAAGCGCGGCACCATCTTCTCGCCGCTCCTCGACCTCGCCCTGCCCAAGGACAACGAGCGTCGCCTCGGCTTCGTCAAGGAGTCGTACAACGCCTACAAGCCGCTCGACCTCGCCGACTGGAAGGAGTTCGGCTACAAGAAGGACGAGGACGTCAGGTGCGTCCCGCTCCCTCGCACGGACCCTCTCTCTTCGACGTCGCTCGCGCGAGCTCTTCCTGACCCTTTCCCTCCACCCTGACAGCTGCATGAAGGCGATCGGCAAGTACCTGACCGACGTCATCAAGCGCAACCCGAAGGAGTTCCGCATCTTCTCGCCCGACGAGCTCGCGTCGAACAAGCTCGACGGCGTCTTTGACGCGACGACGCGTTGCTTCCAGCCCGACCCGCTCACAGCGCACATCGGCGGCAGGGTCACCGAGATGCTGTCCGAGCACACGCTCCAGGGCTGGCTCCAGGGCTACACCCTCACGGGCCGCCACGGCGTCTTCCCGTCGTACGAGGCGTTCCTCGGCATCATCGCCACCATGATGGTCCAGTACAGTGCGTCGTCCCGCTCCTCTCTCTGTCTCTCTCCCTCTCGCACGACCGTTCCTGACCTCGTCGTCGTCGTCGTCGTCGCAGCCAAGTTCCTCAACATGGGCCTCGAGACGTCGTGGAGGGGCGACGTCGCCGCCCTCACGTACATCGAGACGTCAACTTGGACCAGGTACGTCGTTGCGCTCTCCCTCACTGTCCTGTCGCGAGCACATACTGACTCTCTCCTCGGCCCCCTCCCTCTTCTCCTCTCTCCCTCTTTCCCTCTCTTCCTCTCGCGCTCTCTCTCTCTCTCTCCACCCTCGTCTACCTTTCGTACTCTCCTCCACTACAGGCAGGAGCACAACGGCTTCTCGCACCAGCAGCCGGGCTTCGTCTCGACGGTCCTGTCGCTCCCGCCCAAGCTCGCCCGCGTCTAGTGCGTCGACCTCTTTCACTCTTGCCCCATCTCCCCTCATAACTCTACCTCCCACTCCCTGCAACATCCTCTGCCCGTGCGCGACATCAGGGCGCCAAATCGAGCGTCGGAATTGACCTCTCGCTCTCGCCCACTCACGCAGCTTCCCGGCCGACGCCAACACGAGCGTCAGCGTCATCGCGCACTGCCTGCGCAGCAAGAACTACATCAACCTGATTGTCGGCACCAAGGCCCCGAGCCCCGTCTACCTGTCGATCGAGGAGGCCGAGCGCCACTGCGTCGCCGGCGTGTCGATCTGGGAGAGTGCGTCCTCCTCTCTCCCTCTCTCTCTCTCTCCCTCTCGGGACTTTCACTTACTCTCTCCTCGTCGCACAGACTACTCGGTCGACAAGGGCGTCGACCCCGACGTCGTCCTCGTCGGCATCGGCTACGAGCTCACCGAGGAGGTCATTCACGCGGCGGGCATTCTCCGCAAGGACTTTGGCAACGACCTGCGCGTCCGTGTCGTCAACGTCGTCGACCTCATGGTCCTCGCCGGCGAGGGCGAGCACCCGCACGCTCGTGCGTCCCCTCTTTGCCCCTCATCGTCGTCTGCACCCTGTACTGACCCTCCTCGTCCTCTCCCTCGCAGTCGACGAGGCCGGCTTCAACTCGCTCTTCCCTCCCGGTGTCCCGGTGCACATCAACTTCCACGGTTATGTCGGCCAGGTCGCAACGCTCCTGTTCAACCGCGCGCACAGCGTCGGCCGCAGCCGATTCACGATCACGGGCTACAAGGAGGTCGGCAGCACGACGACGCCGTTCATGATGCTCGCCCTCAACGACTGCGACCGCTTCACCATCGCGCAGAGCGCCCTCCGCATGGGTGCGTCGCCGACCTTGTCCTTGTCGTCCTTCCTCCTCTCCGAGCCCCGAGCCTGACCCTCCTCGCCTCCCTCTCTTTCGCAGTCACCCACAACTACACCAAGCTCGACAACATCAAGGGCGACGACAAGCGTCGCCGTGTCGGCGGTGTCGTCGCGCGCGCCAACGAGACGATCGCGCACTACAAGCACCAGCTCAAGAAGATGGAGCAGTACGCCTACGAGTACCAGGAGGGTGCGTCCCGCTCTCTCTCTGTCTCTCCATCTTTCCCCGCCTGTACTGACTGAGCTCCTCGAGCGCCTGCAGACCACCCCGAGATCGGCGCCGTCCCGACGCTCGCCGAGCAGTAGTCGCATGACCCTCTCCCGCTTGCCCCGCCGTCGTTGCCTGCCCTTTCCCGACGGACGCTTTCGCCTTTGTACAGAGCATTGCAGTCGTTCCCGCTTCGTCTCTGTCTCGGTACGCGTCGACGAGAGTTGAGAGAAGCGAGCTCAGAGAGAGGGCAAGCTCCCGAGAGAGGTTGCTCGCCCTCGCACCTTTCGCGGCAGCCAAGACCTGCCCGCTTTCGTCTCTCTCGCAGGCGCCCTCGAGAGCACACATTAGAGGCGCGGCAGCTGGCCACGAACGCCTCGTCGCGCTCGAGCAGGCCCTCCTCGCCAGGGCGCACGGACCCTCATCGCCTAACGACCCGCCTCGGTCCCGCCGACGCTCGAGGCAATTCTGGGCTCGAGTGGCACTGCGGCCGCGGGCAAAAGACAGCAACCTGAGCTCTACAACTGGCTGTAGAGCGGCGCAAAAAAGCGACCACGGTGGGGATCGAACCCACGATCTCCGCCTATAAACTCCAAATCGGAGGGCGACGCCATGCCACTAGGCCACGCGGCCGGTTGCTATGACAGCGGACCTTGTTATCACTACATATCATACAAGCGTAAACTTACGACCCAGGGCTGCTTCTTCGCTTCCCTTGGCGCACAGACCTGCGTTCACGGTCGAAAGGGGATGAGATGACCCCGAGCTGTTCCGAGCACCCCCGCTCAGCAATCGAGTCTCGGTTCGCGACGAGGAGCACAAGCAGCTCGCACGGAAGAGGTCCGAGCGAGCCTTCTCAAGCAGGGGAGATCTCGCTCGTCTGCCGCTCTTTCTCGTGCAGCTCGGTAGGCCGCGCTCGAGCAGCTCTCGAAGAAGGTGCTCGAGGCGGACGGAGCAAGCAGGAGCACCTCTCTCGACCTCGCTCTCCGTCCGACTCGAGAAGGTCCACGAGCATGTCAACTCGCGCTGTACACGACAAAGTAGCTCGGGAAATGCGCTCGATTGCACCGCAGACACCTCGTCGTCCGATCTGGCGCGAGCAGAACACCGTAACCCTGCTAGATCAAGAGCCAGCGTTTGAGCGAGGGTGCGCAGGATCCCCCTGTCTTTTGTAGGTGGCCGGGCGCACGGGCGCTCCGCAGGGGTGCGCGCCGTGCGAGCGGCTCACCACAGTGCGCCCGCTGCCCTCAGGGGCACGTGAGGGCGGGCGCAGCCTCGTAAAGACCCGTCCGCGACGGCTCGACTCGCTGAGCCGTCAGGACGAGTGCGACGACGAACAAGAACTCTGCGCGGTCTGGGGACGCTCGCTAGCGACAAGGAGAGCTTTCTGAGAGGAAAGGGCGCCGTCGCGTGGCGCAGCAAAGGCGCGAGGGGAAGCTTTCGAGGCCGAGAAGGGAGAGGTGCCATCGAGGGCGCGACTAACCTGCGGTGCGAGGTCGAGAGAGTCAGTGCGCGGCTCGGCGAGGAGCACGGACCCACATGAAGGTCCTGCAAGCGAGAGAGAGAGTGCGCGGGACGTACAAAGGACAAGACGAGCCGCCTCGAGGTCGAGAGCCAGCCTCGCGCTGCTCAGAAGACCGCGCTCACCACCGTGCGCACCCGTTCCGCCTGTAAGGTGACCGAGTCAGTCGATCGAGAGCCCTGCACCGCGTCGCGAGGTAGCAGAGGGGGAGAGGGGAGAGGGAAAGGGGCGCCAAACACGGGAAGGCGGGGAGGAGGTGGACGCACGAGTCGCCCACAGCCCACACAGCGCGGCCGCCTGGCCCAGTAGTCTCCTTGGTGGTGCGATAGTCCTCGACGACGATACCCACAGGCCCATGAACCGTTGCCACCAGTTGAGAGAGGTCAGACGACGCGAGTTGCTGATGAAGATGCGACGCGCCCTGCGCCATCGGCGAGCGCTCGCGGCGGTGCGGGCGTAGCTCGTGGTCGCTGATGAAGTGTGTAGGCACTCGGTCGAGGCAGCAGTGCGCCGACTCAGCTGTGAGCGGTCGAGTGGTGGGAGCGAGCCGACGAGCGAGGCTGGCGCTCCTCTTCAACCGCGAACAACTCCTCTCGCCTGGCCGCCGAGGTCAGGGGACTGGCCTTGACTATCGCGTGACTCGTCTGGCTCTGTGCAGTGCGGACCCTCTACAAACTAGACGACGGCCGCCACCCTCCTCGTCCCCTGACCGAGACGCAGCGGCTCCCTCTGGTCCCGCCCGCCATCCTCGTCATCGCTGTCTACGCCGACCTCGCCCAGCTCAAACACCGACTGCGGGCTCACGTCCTCGCTCTGGCGATCGGCCGGGAGCGAGACGTACCCTCCCGCTCGACCCCCTCCCGACCCGCCGGCCGACCTCGAGGCAGGCGACGAGCCCGACGAGCCCGAGCTGCCGACGCCGCGACCACCGCTGCTCCCGCTGCTCGTGCTCCGACTGAGCGCGAGCGCGCCGCCCTTCTCCTCGCCCTCGCCCGGCGCGCCCGGCCCGAGGCGCCGCAGCATGCGCTCGCCGTACTCGGTCCAGTTGTCGCCGTCGCGGATGGTGAAAAACAGGCGCTCGTAGCCGTTGGTGAGGGCGTTGGCGTAGTGGGCGCGGTCGAGCTTGCGCAGGCGGACCCGCTCGAACAGGGTGAACGAGACGAGCGAGTAGAAGGTGCCGCAGATGAGGTCGATCGCGAACTGCAGGTCCGGGAGAAGAGGGTGTGTCAATATTGATACCGTGCAAGGACGCCCAATACGAACGACCCGGCGAGAAGTGGGCTGAGCGCCGACCTCGAGCCGAGTCGACGAGAGAAACCGCCCGACGCACGTGGTGGTGAAAGTACTGCGTCGACCAGAACATGATGCCGCAGTAGATCCACATGAAGGCGAGCCCGCGATACCCTTTGCTGTACCGACACACGAAGAGGCAGCAGCAGATGGCCGTCGCGGCGTGGAGCGACGGGATGGCGCCGAACACGACGGGGCCCTTGCCGAACGCCTTGGCGTAGATGTGCGCTGCGGCGAGGGGAGGACGGGAGCAGGCGAGGAGGGTCAGGGACGGGCGACGAGAGGGGGAGGAAGAGGGAGAGGGAGAGGACGCACTGCCGAGAATCGTGTCGACCCGGACCAGGCCAGCCGGGTTGCCGGGGTACGTGTAGTCAGGCTGCGCCGCATCGATGCCGTACACGTCGTAGCTGCGCGCAAGAGACCTGTCAGTCGGAGAGTGGACGAGGGGAACGAGGGAGAGCGAGAGAGAGAGAGAGCGAGGAGGACGCACAACCAAGGAGCCGCGTTCGGGAACACGAGGTGCGTCGCCAAGCCTGCGAGGTTCTGCGCGCCGAGCGTCCACCCAAACGTGCTCGCCGCACCCTGCGACCCAAAGCCCCAGATCCACCAGCCGGCGACGATAGGCGACGCAAAGTGGAGCGCGCCGTACGTGCTGAACGCGAGGAGGTCGAGCCGGTCCGACTGCGTGTCCGGCAAGAGTCAGGGCTGCCGACGGGGGCGTTCGAAGTAGAGGAAGAGGAGGGACGCACCGACTCGGCCGTGGCGCACAGCGCAGAGATGCAGAGCGCGGTCGGGAAGAGGAGGATGCTGACGGCGTAAGCTCGCCCTCGGCCGCGCTCGTCGCCCTCTTTGTCGCCGTCACCTGCGAGGCTCACGACGAGTTCAGTGTGATGTTGCTGGCAGAAAGGGAAAGAGGCACGACGCACCCCAGTAGTAGACGAGGCGGGCGAGCGGAATGAGCGAGATGGTGACGGCAATGACGCCGCCCGGCGAGAGGAGCAGGCGGTTAAGTGTAGGCAAGAGGTCGATATGTATCTGCGGGCCGGTGCGACAAGGTCAGTCGAAGGCGCAGAGGAGGGCTCGCCGCTTTTGAGCGACGAGCGGACGGTTGCGCCGAGACGGCTTGGCAGAGAGAGAGAGGAGGGAGGTGGACGCACAGGTGGACGGATGCTGTCGGGGATGTGCTTGGCCTGCTTGAAGAGGAACGTCCACAAGAAGGGAGGGAACGCGCCGACTGCGAAGGGGAGGAGGGAGGGTGCCAAGTCGCGTGCGCTCGAGGGTCAGCTCGACGAGGTCTGAGGGCGAGCGGTCGCGAGGGGGGAGAAAGGGGGACGGACCGAGGACGGTCCACAGGCGGTAGGGGACGGAAGCGCCGTTCAAGAGGACCCAGCGGCAGTGGAGGAGGAAGGCGCCGACGAGCGAGAGGATGGCGCCGAGGCGGACCCGGCGGAGTGGGAGGAGAGATCGGGGCGAGGCGTGCGAGGCGGTCGACGAGTCGCGCATGGTGCGTTGGGGGACCGTGGTGGCCCTGGTCGAGGCGCAAGAGGGTGTACGGCGGCTGTCGCTGGGCGAGAAGACTGGGTCGGCGATGAAGACGGCGGCGCGACCTCGCGGGTTGGAGCTTGGCTAAGACGGCGAGGTGCGAGGGGCCGGGTGTGGCTGGCGGTGGTGGTGGTGGTGGTGGTGCTCGTGGCCTCGACCAGGGCGGCGCTGGTGGACGGGCAGGCGAGGGCGAGCGAGGTGCCGACCTTGCGGCTCCCTCCCTCTCGCTCGCTCCGCCCGACGCCCGCGTCTCACTCTCCGAGGCGGGCTACCTGCAAGCTATACTGCCGTCTCAGGCTGTCACTCGCACGGTCGCGCTCGTCCCGGACCCAGCCGGTGACACGTCGCCTTTCGGCCGTGAAGGCGCGCGCGTCGCTCAACGCGGCGCGCTCTCTTGCTCCTCCACACGCACTCGCTGCACGTCGAGCTCGCCAGCACCGTACCATGGCCAGTCGCACCGCCGCCCAGCTGCCCGCGACCGCCCAGTGGTACCCGCTCAAGGACAACGCCGTCCTCCCCGCCCCGCTCGCCCGCGACCCTCTCGACCCGTCCTGCTACAGCTACGACCCGCACACCGGCGCACTCGTCGCACCACTCGACCCGAACAAGCCCTTTGTCGCCCACCACCCCGACTTTGTCGCCCTCCTCGGCCCCAACCCGTCCCTCGACCTCGTCGCCGCCCACGACGACTACCCGCTCTTCCACGAGGCCGGTATCTGGCTCAACGAGACCAACGAGGTCGTCTTCACCGCCAACTGCAACCCCGACTTCCGCAACCCGCTCGGCAAGCTCCGCCTCGACGGCTCTCGCCCGCTCGCCAGCAGCTGGGACGTCGTCGAGCCCCAGCCCGCACCGGGCACCCAGCCCTCGGTCGTCGCCATCAACGGCGGCACCCTCTTTGGCGACAACCTCCTCCTGTGCTGCCAGGGCACCGACGCCGTCCCCTCGTCCCTCTCGCTCGTGTCGCCCTCGCCGCCCCACACCTCGCGCCCGATCCTCAACAACCTCCACGGCCGCCCGTTCAACGCCATCAACGACGTCGTCGTCCTCCCGCCGTTCCCGCACCCGACCGACCGCGTCGACCTGCACGGCGAGGCCGCGACGACCATCTGGTTCACCGACCCGACGTGCGTCCCCTTTTTCTGTCCCTTGATCGAGGGGCGCGGAGCCACTCACCTCGAGCCCTCTCTCGCGCCACAGGTACGCCTACATGCAGCGTTCGCCCGGGTACAAAAACCACCCGCCACAGCTCCCGAACCAGGTCTACTGCTTCTCGCCCGCGACGGGCGAGGTGCGCTGCGTCGCCGACGGCTTCGCCATGCCCAATGGAAGTGAGTCGCAATCCCTCCCTCGCTGTCGATCGACCGGTCATGACGGTGTCGTGCGGCGGCGGCGGCATGATGGCTCGCGAGGGATGCGCTCGAGGACGAGAAGCCGACGCTCACTTTCTGCCCGCGCGCAACAGTCTGCTTCAACCACGCCGGGTCGCTCTGCTACATCACCGACACGGGCATGGTGCGTCCATCTTTCTCGCTCTTTTCCGCACGGCCGACCCCTCCTCCCGCCCCGAGCCACCTTCCTCTCGCGCGCCCCTCACTCACGCTCTCTGCCGCCCACACAGATCGCCGGCGACGGCTCAATCCATCCGCAGCGCCCGTCGACCATCTACGTGTACGACGTCGTGCGTCCTGATCCTGCGCGAGGCGAGGACGAGCATTGGGGACCGCGGCTCGAGGGCAGGAGGGTGTTCGCCTACGTCGACTGCGGCGTGCCGTGCGTCCGACCTTTCTCTCTCTCTCTTTCGGCTCGAGCACCTCGTATCAGGACTCTCAATGACTCATGCCGATGAGCGCGCAGGGACGGCATCAAGACGGACAAGGCGGGCAACGTCTACTCGGGCGTGGGCGACGGCGTTGCTGCGCGTCCTCCTCCTCTCCCCTCCCATCCGCTCCTTTCGCTCCAGGCCCTCGCACTGACACGCAACACTCTTTTTGCAGATCTGGAACCAGCACGGCACCCTCCTCGGCAAGATCACCCTCTTCCCCTCGTCGCCCGCCGCCGTCGTCCTCCCCTCGTCCCTCCCTCTCGCCGCCGCCGCCAAGCCTAAGACGCGCTACTGCGCCAACTTTTGCCTGTGCCCGGGAGGGAGGCTGTGCATCCTGGCCGAGGACAGAGTGTACGTCGCGCGGCTCGACGAGGGCAAGGTCAGCGGGAGCTTGCTGCCGGAGCGAGCTTGAGCTCGATGAGCGGCGAGGGCGAGTTCAACGAGTGCCGAGGGACGTAGAGAGTCGTTTGATAGAGCTTTGTGCAACGTTCAGACCTTTCTCGAGCGTCCTGTCCGCCTCTCGAGAGACAAGCGAGTTTGGGAAGCTCACCATCTTGCACTCACGGTTTCTGTCGACGCTTCTCTCGCTTCTCAGGGTTCTCAAAGTTCTCAAAGTACGTTGGTATGGCAAGAGGTTGACGACGACAAAAGAGGCGAGGCCGTACGCTCGAGCCCCGTCCTGGCTCCTCCTCGCCTTCACCTCGCCCTCGAAAGCCCGGGCGAGTCCCCCGCGTTCGCCACCTGCTCGAGGCGCAGCCGCCACAGCCCCTCGTGCTCGCTCAGTCCGCCCGTCTCGCCGCTCCGCCTCGCCCGCTCAAAGTCGCTCGCCCAGCGCCGCCTCACCACGCGCTCCCACTCGCCGAGTGCTCACCACAGCCCGCCGCGGCCGAGCACCTCGCCCGCGTCATGTGCGACGGCGAGAGCTTGCCGCAGGCGGCGAGGGAGGGCCGAACGCGGCTGGCGCAGGATCGAGGGGTGCAGGTACTGCGTCGACGCGGGCGAGGAGGGCGCGAGATCGGCGGCGAGAGGGAGCGGGACGTGGCGCTCGTGGCCCGAGGTCAGGTGGAAACCTTCTGCGGAAGAGACGGGCAAGACGCATCAGGACTTGGGCGGATGAGGCGGCGAGAGGCCCGAGAGAGAAGGAAACGCGAGATGGGAGACGGACCGTGCTGGGACGCGGCACCCAAGGGCGCAGAGGGCGACGCCGATACCGACGCGAGGTAATGAAAGTCGAGGGCGACGAACGGCGCGACTTGATCGACGAGCCAATGGAGCGAGAGGTCGGAAAGGTCGTGAGGGGTGTAACCGCCGCCGATGTCTGCGGTCCCGCAACGAGTCAGTTCGGTCGGCGTCGAGCGGGCTCATAGAGAGACAGAGAGAGTCGAACGCACCTCCGTGACAGCCCGAGAACCACACCTGCACGAGCTCCTGCCCTCGCCGGACGCTGTCGAGCTCTTGCTCGAACACGATGGCCTCGTACGGCGCTCGTCGCTCGTTGAGCGCAAGGGCCTGGAAGACGTGCTCGACTGTCGGCTCGAGGAGCTCGTCGAGGGTCGAGAAGGGCGTGAGGCTGGATGTCGAGGCCGGGTCGGCGGAGAAGTGAGGGAGCTGAAGGAGGGGGACCTGCGCGACAATGCGAGAAATGTCAGTGCTGCCTCGGGCCACGACCGCATTGAGTCGGGATGACGCACACACTCAAAGACGCCGAGCACCTTGACGAGGAAGCCGCCGGGCCGCGCCGCTTTCTGCGCCTCGACGAAGGGCGCCACCTCGTTCAGGAGCTCGACTCGGCGCGCCTCGTTGCGCCGGCACCTGCTCGTCCCCTGCACGATCGGGAGGCACAGCGCGTTGAAGAGGGCGGGAAAGAGGTGAAGGTTGGTCTTGGGGTCGAGGATGCCGACAAGGTCGACGAGTGCGAGGACGAGGCGGACGAGGTAGGCGCCGCGCGAGAAGCCGAAAAGGAGGACCTGCACGAGAGTCAGCTCCATGGCGGCGAGAGAGTGAGAGAGTGAAGAGGGGACACACCTCGTCGCCTGCACGAAAGTTGCGCGAGAGGAAGTCGTACGCCTGTCGGACCTGGTCGAGGAGGCCGTCGCCCAGCGCGCCCTGCGGTCTCGGCATGCGTGAGCTCGCTGTAGGCGTCTTGGGCGGAGGAAGAGAGAGGGCGCGCACCGTCAAGGCACCCTCGAGCGTCGCCTCGCCCGTGCCGAGCCCGGGCAGGTACAGCGACACCTGCTCGCACCCTGACCCTCGCTCGTCGCGGAGCTTGATGGCGTTGGCGAGGCGGGTGACGTTGGTGAGCATGACGGTGCGGGTCTGGAAGAGGGCGGACTCCCATCTGTGAGGTGCGAGAGCGGTGAGTGAGGGGCGCAGGCGGGAGGAAGAGAGGACGCACGTTCCGTCGCAGCACACGACGATGCGGCGCATGCTGGTAGCGAGAAGCAGAGGCGAGCAGTGAAGGACGGAGCCGGACCAGGCCAAGCTGGGCGGACACCGAGACGGAGAGTCCGCGGCGACGCGGCGAGGAGCGAGCAGGAGGAAAGGGGGAGCGAGCTGAAGCTGGGAGAGCGTGTGGCTGCCGGTGCGGCTCCTGCCGAGGCCCACAGAGATGCCCCTAGTGCACCACAGTACGCTCGTCGACGAGGGAAAGCCGCGGCCAGCCTCCATCTCGTCGTCGTCGTCCTCCCGGCTCGGGTCTCCGCTCGTCGCTCCCCTCGCTGAGCAAGGACGAGGCCCACCATGGCCGACTCTTCGTTCGCCCACGCCCTCTCGGTATGGAAAGGTGCGCCCCGCCCTCTCTCTCCCGCTCGTCCTCGTCGAGCTGAACCCCCACACTGCGCGCACTCGCAGCCATCAACCTCCAAGACCTGCAGCGCACCATGGACGCCCAGGGCCTCGAGATTGTCGACGGCTCAAAGGAGAACCTCGTCGGCCGCAAGACCCTCGCAGAGCGCACTCGAGGTCCGTCGCATCCCGCCTCTACTCGCTCGTCGACGACCTCTCTCCCTCGTACCGCGGGCTGGTCGGCCTTGATCCACGCGACTGACTCTCTTGCTACGTCCCGCAGAGTTCAAGAAGGTGCCAGACGACGACAAGGGCCCGGTCTTCAAGACGCTCCTCAAGGGTGCGTCCAGCCGTCACCCGGGTTCATCATCGCGCACGCAGAGCTGACCCTCCTCCCGCACCCGCAGCGTACCAGGGCGAGATCGACAACCTGACGCGCCGCGGCAAGGTCGCCGAGAATGCCTTCCTCAGCGTCTACAAGCTCCTCGCCGAGGCTCCCGACCCGTACCCTCTCCTCGATGCCGCTGTCGTGCGTCCCGCTCTCTCGTCTGCCTCCACGTGGGCCACCCTGATGACGTGCCCCCTTCGCAGGACCAAACCGCTCGCGCTTCCGAGGCCAAGCTGCTCGAGTCGGAACTCGCGCGCGCCAAGGACGAGATCTCGGCCCTCAAGCAGCAGCTCGTCGAGTCGCAGCAGGTCGAGAAGGAGCGCAAGAAGCTCGCCGACAAGGTCGAGCGCCTCGAGGGCAGGGTGCGTCCTCGCTCTCCTTCCTCGACCCGTCGCCCCCGTCGAGATCCGGGACTGACTTGCCCGGCCTGGGACAGATGGACGACCTGATCCAGGACAAGGTCGCCAACAAGGAGGCCGAGCTTCACGCGACGTACGACGAGCGCCTGCGCAACTATGACGAGCGGTGCGTCCCCTCCCTCACTCCATTTTCGACCTCACGCACTGACGCCTCGTCGCCGACGTGGCCCACAGCGAGAAGGACCTTCAGCGCCAGGTCAGCGTCGCTCGCTCGCAGCTGCGTGAGCTGCGTACCACGGCCGACTCGAACCAGGCGCGCCTGTTCGACCACTCGCAGCGGCAAGGTGCGTCCTCCCTCTTATTCTCTCTCTTACTCTCGGCGGCCTTTCCTGACGATCTCGCTCCCCCGCAGACCAGGAGACGGTTGCTCGCCTCGCCGAGGCCGACCTCATCGCCGAGGACCTCGAGCGGGCCAACGCGCGCGTCGCCGAGGTCGAGCGGAGGAACGAGAAGTTGCGGGCCGAGATCGAGGCGGTGCGCAGTGGGAGCGAGAGCGCCGACCGGTACGCTCTACCTCACACTCTCTCTCTCCTTCTCGTTCAGCGCCGAGAGCAGGAGAACTGACGCTCTTCCACCTCGCAGGGTCGAAGCGCTCGAGGCGCAAGTGTCGGACCTGCAGACCGAGGCGTCGCGCCTCATGCGCTCGCTCGAGGCGCAGAAGGACGCGTTCGAGACGGAGCGTGCCGAGCTCGTCAAGCGCGTCGAGGCGTTCGAGCGCGACCAGCAGGTGCTCAACGCCGAGATCGACCAGGCGCGGGCCAAGATCAAGCAGTTTGCCGACTACGACGAGGTCAAGCGCGAGCTCGAGATCATGAAGGTGCGCCTCGAACGTGTCTCTGTTCCTCCTCGAGCGAGCTCGTCGCCTGACACCTCTTACTCGCCGCGCAGTACGTCGAATTCGCCGGCATGGACCTCGACGACCTCGCGCCCGACTCGTCGTCGTCCGTCTCGGACCTCATCCTCCCTCGCCTCCCCGACCCGAACGCGTCCAAGGCCAACGCCGCCTCGCGCCCGGCGCCGCTCGAGAACCTCCTCATGGCCAAGAACCGCAAGCTGCAGGACGAGGTGACGGCGCTCCGGGTCGCGCACGACGAGCTCGCCCAGGCGCACGAGCAGGCCGCGAGCGAGTGCGAGGCGCTCCAGGCGCGGTTGGACGAGCAGAAGAAGCTCAACGACCGGCTCGAGAACGACCTCGTGCGGGTCAACGGCGGCGGTGCGGGAGGAGGAGGGGGAGGGGTGGGCGGCGGTGGGGCGGGCGCAGGCGGGCAGGGACAGGGTGCGGGGCAAGGAGGGAGCGCGGCGAGGGACGACCCGCTCGCGGGGCTGCAGCTCGGCAAGAAGGTGCGCTCCCTGTCCTTTCTTCCTCGGCGGCCAGGCGCGCGGTCCTGACGCCTTTTTCTTCCTTTCGCAGTCGCTCGATGGACCCGTGCAGGCAGCGCCGTTCCAGAGCTCGGCAGAGACGTCCATCCTGCCGATCATCACGTCGCAGCGCGACCGCTTCCGGCAGCGCAACGGCGAGCTCGAGGAGGTGCGCCCGACCGCTCCCTTCCTCCTCTCCCACCTTTTCCTGACTGACGCTTTGCCCTCACACTCCTCGCTCGTCCGCTCGCCTACCTGCAGGAGCTGCGCCGTCAGTTCAACACGATCTCGGAGCTGCGCGCCGAGATCAAGACGCTCCAGACCGACAACCTCAAGCTGTACGAGAAGGTCCGCTACCTGCAGTCGTACCGCGACGATGCGGGCGCGATGGCGGCGAGGGCCCAGGCCGGGTTCAGCAACGTCGTGCGCGGCGACGAGGAGCTCGGCAAGTACCACAGCAAGTACGAGGAGAGCATGAACCCGTTCGAGGCGTTCCGAGGCCGAGTGCGTCCCCTCTTTCTCTCTCTTTCTCGACTCGACGATGTACAGGGGTTTGGCGACTGACTCGCTCGTCGTCGCAGGAACGAGGGCGCGCCATGCACTCGCTCAACCCGCTCGAGAAGGTCCTCCTCTCCCTGTCGACCGTCGTCCTCTCGAATCGCCTCACGCGCAACCTCTTTGTCCTGTACGCCCTCGGGCTCCACTTCTTTGTCCTCTCGACGCTGTACAAGTATACCCAGGCGAGCGAGGGCGCAGAACCCGTCGTCATCCCGCCCATCGTCTGAAACCTCGAGGGTCGTCTTTTCTCTCCCTCGGACCAGGTTCTCGGGCTCTCTTTGGTCGCGAGACGAGTCGTGCAACTGCAGTATGTCATCATTGCACAGAGTCTGAGAGCGCGAGAACGTCTGCTCGTCGATGTCCAGGCCGCTAGAACTGGACGAGGCTGCCCAGGGCGAAAGCGCTCGAGGCGGTAGCGCCCGCGATGTGTCGTGTTGCTGCGATGCCCTGCCTGAAGCTGCCGTCAGGCGCCCCGAGGCGCCCTCGCACCCGCTGCACGCCCGAGTACACCCTGCGGCCGAGGCTTGCGGCGGGCGCGACAGGCGGCAGGATGGGCGTGAGGAGCGCGAGACCGGCGTCGCCCGCATGCAAGTCCGTCCGAAGAGAGGTGAAGAGAGCGTCGAACGGCGTGACGAAGACCCAGTGCTCGTTGCCGCCCTGGACGGTGCCGAGGATCCGGAAGTGGACGCGCAAGTCGCGCACGTTGGGCGCCGAGTCCTTCTCGGGCGGCGTATTGGTGTAGACTGCAGAGTTCCACGAACGTTCAGTACACGAGGATCGCGAGAGAGGACGGAAGAGGGAAAGGGAAAGCGAGACGACGTACTCGGCAAGCCGCAGAAACGGCCAAAGTTGACGACGCCGTCGCCCGAGGTGCGCAGGACGCGCAGCTCGATCGAGTACTTGCCCGACGCGACGAGCTCTGTAGCGTGTCGGCGAGAGGGATTCAGCAGCCACCCGCAGGGAGGGGAAAGGAGGAGGAGGACGCACCGAAAATGGCGTACTCGGCGCCAGTCCAGGTCCAGCACAGGCGGCCGAAGAAGTGCAGCGGATGCGCGCCCGGGAAAGGGCTCGAGACGAGCAATTCTGCGCCCTGCGGACCGAGGAGGTGAGTCAGGGGTGCGTAGAAGGAGAGGGGGTCCGAGCCCGAGCGCGAGGACGCACCTGCTTGTAGTCCTGCTTGAGCTGCGCCCGCATCGTGCCGACCTCGCGCTCCCACACGACGCCCGGCCGAGAGCGCGCTACGACCTCGTGAGCTGGCGCGCCGATGTGCAGCTCGACGAGCGCGAGAACCGCCTTGAGCGCCGCGCACAGCGCGACCTGGTCGTGCCGAGGAACGTCGGCCTCGTTCAGCGACTCGTACGCCTCGTGGCTGCAACGTCGTCGTCAGTCTACATCGCTCGTGCGGCGTGTAGAGAAAAGAGAGAGCGAGGCGCACCTCTCGAGCCGTGTCCCGGCGGGCAAGAGCGGCGACGGTCGTGCACGGACCCACGTCGCCGGGGACGAGCCGTCGTTGCGCCAAACGAGTCGCGGCATGTCGGACGCCGGTTGCGGCGGCGGGCGGCCGACGTTGGCGAGCGCGCCGTCGACGAGCTGCAGCGCGATGACGTGGTGCCCGAGGCGAAGGTCGATGGCAGGGTGAACCGCTCGGCGGGCGTCGGCGACGGCGGACGACGTCGAGTCGTGGCTCGATGAGCGGCGGCGAGTCGAGTCGTAGAAGACGATCAGACCGGCTGCGAAAGCTGGGCGAACGGGCTCGTCGAGCGGCGCTGTGCGCAAGCAAGAGAAAGTCAGTCTGAGTCGGGGACGTCGAGGGAAGGGTCCGTGCGGCGACTCACTCGGCCTGACGACAAGCACCATACTCGTGGTGGACTCGTCGGCATCGACTCGTTGGCGGTGCATGGCGTTGTGCACGAGCTCGTCGAGCCGGCCCGGCTCGCTGGAGACGAGCTGCCGAAGCGCGTCGACACCGTCTCGTGCGATACCGACCCTGAGCAGCCTGGCATGCTCGTCCAGGCTCGTGACGGCGAACCTGCTTGAGGGCTGGTCGGGAGAGCGGTAGTGCCGAGCTGAACGCGGGCCAACATAGGCGGGCTCGGCAGCGGGCGGACTTGTCGAAGTCGAGCTAGCTCGACGGCGCGAGCTGCCCGGGATCTTGCGGCGGTCGACGATGGACGCCATGGCGAGCAAAATAGCTGAGCGCAAAGCGCCGTAGGATTCGAGCGCAGCAGCAGCAGCGTCGACCAGCGGTTGTAGAATGCGGACCCGCGGAGAGTCCGCTCGGACGGCGCGAGCGACAGGACGTCCGCCGGACAGGAGTCGAGGAACGCCGGTGCAGGTGCTCGGCCGAGACCAAGAGGCTCAGCGATCGAGAAGGTCGGGGCCGAGGAGCGGGGGGCTGGGACGAGGGAGAGGGGAGCGCGAGAGGCAACTTGGGAAGGCCGCCTCGTAGATGACGTGGCGAGCTGCACACGTTGCAAAGCGAGAAGAGGCGGACAGGACAGGTACGACAAAAGGTGAAAGACGAAGGGGTACACAGAGGGACACACACACGCGCTCACAGCTTGACGAGCTCCTCCTCGACCTCGTCGTCCGACTTGGTCGGCGACCTTGCGGCCGCACCGTCGACCTCGCCCAGACCCGCCGCGGCTCTGAGCACCGCACCGCTCGTGCCGAACGCGAGCGTCGACTGCTTGAAGCCGGCGCCGTCGACTGCCGCCCCTCCTCCTTCCGTCCTCGCCCTCTTGGCCTCGCGCCCCGTACCGTCCGCCTCCCTCTCCCTCTTGAGCGCGCTCTCCTCCTCCTCGCTGAACCCGAACGCGCCTGCGCCCGTCTGGCCCCTCGCGCCGCGCAACTGGTGCGTGAGCGAGTGCGTGAGCGCCGTGAGGAGGTTCTTGGCGACGAGACGCTCGACGGCGAGCCCTTTGCGGGCGTCGGCGCGCAGGCGGCTGTCGATAGCGCTCAGGTGCGAGATGATGGCGTCGAGGTTCTGGCGCTCGAGCAGGCGCGACGGCGAGGTGACGAGCGGGACGTCGAGCGAGGTGAGGGCGACAAAGAGGATGCGGGTGCAGTCGGCGAGAGCGAGGTCGCGGGCGGTCGACGCGCCGCTCTCGGCGGTGAGAGAGCGACGGTGCAGGGGGGACTTGTCGGGGAGAGCGTCGAGGAGGCTGAGGACGTTGGCGAGGGTGGACGGGCTAAGGCCGCCGACGGGCGTGACGATGTCGGCGCCGTCGACGCCCGAGAGGAAAGCCCACGCGAGCCAGCGACGCAGGCCCTTGTTTGCCTCGCCGGTGTGCGGGATGGCCTGCAAGACGGCGAGATGCAGGGCGGGTCGGCTGTCGCCGTAGATGTTCACGAGGCTGACGAGGAGGGCGACACGCTGCAGGAGAGATCGGCCGTCAGGGCTGCGCCACTACGACAAGGCGAGACGAGGAGAGAGATAGGGACGTACGGAGTCGTCGGACAAAGATGCGAGCAGGCTCTGCAGCGCACGACCGAGCGTCGAGCGCGACGACGCCGACGACTGGTCGAGCATGAGCCCGATGACGGCAAGGCTCAGCGTCTTGAGGTCGCCATCGCTGAAGAGACACGACCTGCGGGCGGTGTACCCAGGTGAGCAAGGCGCTGCGATGAAGGAGGGAAGGGGAACGAGCGACGCACGAGGTCCCGCTCAGAATCTGCAAGATCGAGCTCCACCGGTCGATGATCTCGCGGCGCTCGCTCTCGCCGACAGCGAGAGTCGAGTCCTCGCCGTCGCCGACCTTGCCGCTCGCCGCCTCGTCCTCGTCCATCGCCTGCAGACCGTCCTCAGCCGCGCCTTCCTCCTTCCACGCACCGAGGAGCGTCAAGCGCTCGCCGAGGTACCCGGCGCCGACGAGGAGGGAGGTACCGTCAGGCGAGGTGTGCGAGACGATGCGGCGGAGCAAGGAGAGGAGGCGGTCGGCGAGCAAGGTCGAAGTCGACGGGTGCGTGACTGCGCGAGCGGGCGATGTCGAGCGGTTAGGACGGCTGGCTCGTGGAAGGAGAGCGAGGGAGAGAGGACGCACTGGCAGTCGTGAGCCACTGAGCGACGACGCGGTCGTCCTCGGCGGAGCCGTTCGGGCGGATATTCGAGTACAGGGTGAACGCCGAGGGGAACGAGCGCGGGTCCTTGACGGCGTCTGCGCAGCACGAGGAGGGGAAGGATGTCAGGCAGGTCATTGGGCACGAGGTGGACGAACGAGAGGGAGCGCGAGAGACGCACCCTTGAGCGCCTGCGCGACCTTGCCCCTCCAGCCCTCGCCCTGCCACTCGCCCGTCTCGAGCTGCGGCATCCTCGTCTCCCTCGTGGGCAACACCCTCCTGCGCTCCATCTCCTCGACCGTCTCGCCCCTGCCGGCCCTCAGGCGCTCGGCGCCGCGCTCCTCGAGCAGGACGCGCTCGACGGCCTGGGCCCGCTTGGACGCCGCTGCGCGTGACGGCGCCGGCAGGTCGTCGTCGTCCGTGTCGTCGCCGTGCTTGAGGGCGCGCGAGACGAGCGAGGTGTCGAGAGGAGGGAGCGAGTCGTCGGATCGGTTGTCGAGGTCCTGCGAGGAGGGTCAACGAGGTCAGTCTCGCGGCCGGCAGGACGACGATCTGACACAGCAAGACAGGAAGAGAGGGGACGCACATCATCGTCCAGCCCGGCGTCATCGTCGCCCTTGTCGAGCTCCCTCCCCCACGCCTCGAGCCACTCTGCGCCGCGGCCCTTCTTGTCCTTGGCCTCGCGCTCGGCGACGATCCGGCGCACCTTCTCGTCGAGGCCGGTCGTGCGGATGAGGTTGAGCGAGGCGGGCACGGGCACGCCCGAGCCCTGCTTCGACGTCGAGGCCGAGGCGCGAGCGGGCGTCGCAGCCGATGCCGCGGTCGAGGTAGAGTAGCGGTCGGGCTGACGGCGCGCGCGCGACGAGTGGCGGCGCTCGTCGTCGTCGTCGTGCATGCCCTTGACGAGCGGCGGCGAGACGGTCGTCTTGGCCGTGTGCGGGCTCGTGACGTTCGAGGCCGAGGGCGCGTCGACGATGCCGGCGACGACGTTGGCCTCGCGCTTGGCCCGCGCCGCGGCGAGGAGCGCCGCAAAGTCGTCGGCGTCCGAGTCGTCGCCGGCGTCAGATGCCGACGAGGACGACGAGCTCGAGCTCGACCTGCCCTCGACCGCGTCCTCCATGTCCCGCCTGGCCTTCTTGGCCGGGCTCGGGCTCCCTGCGCCCTCGCCCTCCTCGCCGTCGCTGCCGCTCGAGCCCTCGTCCTCGTTGACGAACGCGTCCCACTCACTCGTCGCCGCGTCGCGCTCCTGCCGCCGCGTCCACTCGCGCGCGTGGCCGGTCCCGCGCTCGCCCGGCGGCGCCGTGCGACTGAGCGCTTTGCGCCTCGCCGACGCCGACACGGACGCCGACGCCGAGGCTGCTGACGGGGCGGCGAGGCTGCGCGCGCGCGTCGACTGAGCCCGGCGCCGGATCGGCGGGATGACGATCTCGAACGGCTGGCCCTTGCGGCGGCTCGTGCCCGTGCCCGAGCCCGTCGCCGTCGAGGCGTGCGTGAAGCGAGGCTTTTGCGGCGTCGGCGCGAGGGACGAGAGCGGCGAGCCGCTCGGGGTGCGGATGAGCTGCGGGCCGGTGCGCTGCGGCGGATGCTGGGGCGTGCGAGGCGGGACGGCGCGCAGTGCTGAGGCTGTGAGCTTGCTCGAGGATGCGGTTGGAGGTGCGGGTGCGGCGGTCGAGGCCGAGGCGGTCGAGGGCGAGTCGCCGCCGCCGCTCGCGGTGCGGGCCGAGGGCATCTTGGCGATGGGGCGTGGCGTCGACGGCGCGGCGGCTGGGGCGTGACGAGGCGACAACATGGCGCTCGCAGCCGGGTCGGGTGCGGGAAGGCGAGTCGAGGTGGTGGTGGAAGAGGAAGAGGCGACAGGGGAGCGGAGCCCGGCAGCCGCGCTCGGTCCGGCACCTCCGCGGACACTCCGCGCCGGCGAGATCGGCACCTCGACGACGACGTGGCGCGACGACGACGATGACTGCGACAGCGAGCGCACCCGCTTGTGCGACGGCGACGCGGCGGCGTCGTGGGCTCGCGTTCCTGCTCCACCACTCGCCACCGCCGCCGCCGCCGCCCCCGACCGCCCGACCGACGCTGCCACCGCGCCCACGGTCGCTCTCCTCGACGGCGTCACCGGCGCTCTCGACGCGGCGCGCGAGCCCGACGTACTCGCTCGCGCAGGCGACGGCGGCGGCGGCATGCGGTGAGCGTCGGTGCCCTCCCGCTCGCGGTCGGCAGCGGCGACGGCCGTGCGCGCGCGCACCGCCTTGGGCAGGCGCATGGAGCTCGTGCCACCGCCGTTGAGGACGAGTGCGGGCGGGACCTTGGGCTTGACGGGCGAGGGCGACGGGCCGAGGCCGGCGCTCGAGAGCGACTCGCGCTTGACGAGCGGCGAGCCGACGGGCGCTTTCGGCTTGGTCGCGGTCGAGGCCGAGGCGCGAGGGGTGAGCGAGTCGGTGCGACGAGATGCATCTGCGGCGCGCTGCTTGCCCTTGAGCGAGTACGACGCCGGGACGACGATGATCTCGCTGTCGGCGTCCGAGTCCGAGTGGCCGACGGTCGACGCGGCCGAGGGCGACGACGCGACGGTGAGGTCGAGCTCGTCTCGGCCGTTGGTGCCGCGGGTCCACTGGTACGTCTTGCGTTTGGTGCGCTGGTGCTGGTGCTCGAGCGAGGAAAGGGTGGCGGCCGACGTCGTCGAGCGGACGCGCTTGCGGGGCGACGAGCGCGCGAGGACCTCCTTGGCGAACGTCGAGCCGCCCTCGCCCTCGGACGACGAGTCGGGGATGACGATCGTCTTGTGCGCGCGCTTGGTCGCCGTCGTCGAGGGCGTCGCCTTGGCCTTGCCCTTGCCCTTGGGGTCGTGGGCCGGGACCGGGGTGGCAGAGGCGACCCTCGAGGCGCTGCGCTTGACGGGCGACGTGTTCTCGCGCTTGACGGTGACCGAGCCGGACGGGGTCGTGGCCATGCGTGGCGAAGCGCGGCGAGGCGGAGCTGCTGCCGAGGGAGCTGGGGCGGCTGCGGCGGCGGTGGAGGTGCTCCTCGTGGCGCGGTGCCGGGACGAGTCGGCGAGGGTAGAGGGGCCAGGCTCGAGGGCGCTGAGCGAGTGGGTGGTGCGGAGCGGGTCGCGGTGCTGGCGCGAGGACGAGGCCGAGGCGGCGGCGGCGGCGGGTGCGCGTGCGCGTGCTGGGGCGGGCGACGAGGAGGTTGGTGGTGCTGTGGCTGCACTGGATGGCCGCCCGAGCTGCGGCGAGCTGGAGAAGTAGGACAGGATCGAACCGCGACCTTGGACGGGGACGACGAGCGGGCGACCTCCTGGGCGGGGCTTGGACGACGTGGACGCGGCAGGTGGTGCCGGTGGCTGTGGTGCCATGTGCTGCCCTGTGCGTCCCTGGCCCGGTGCGCGGTGGTTGGGTCGCCTCGACGCGTCTCGAGCTGCATCGCGTCGACCTCTCTGCGCACGAGACGCAGCTCGTCGTCCTCACCGGGCAGAGCACAGCGCACTGTGAGCTTGTCATTACTAGCTGGAGCACTCTGTCCTTCCGTCTGAGCTCTTGCCGTGAGGCTGTGGCTTTCGATCGCCTCGTCGTCCGGTTCGGCAGAGAGACGTCGTCTCGCTCTCGCACACTCGCTCCTCCCGCCAGGACCACTTACTGTACAGCTCGAAGTACGCACAAGCACCCTACCGACAAGTCCCGCCCACCCGCCAGCCGCCTCGTCTCCTGCTCGCCCTTCTACACCCCTCATCTGCCTTCCCTCCCTCGACCTCGACTCGGCACCATGGCCGTCGCCTCGACCTCGTCCAGCTCGCAAGACGGCGAGGACTTTGCGCGCTTCACTTCGAGGCGCATCGGCGCCGGCACGGGCAGGGAGCGCGTCCGCACCGTCGCATGTGCGTCGCTCGCCCTCTCGCTCTCTCGAGTCTCGACCGCGCCCAGCGCGTGAGCTCACTCGTACCGCTTGATCTCGCTTCACACAGGGAACCTGGACGGGCGGCGACTCGCAGCGGGCGGCACGGACAAGTCGGTCCGCATCTACCTCCCCGACAAAGGTGCGTCCGACTCCTTCCTCCCTCGCTCCCTGCGGCCGATGTCCCTCACTGACACGCCCACGACGCCCACGCAGACGTTCGCAGCGGGACCGAGTGCCGAGGACACACGGGCGACGTCAACTGCATCCGGTGGAGCCCCGTCCACCCAGAACGGCTCGCGAGCGTGAGCGCCAGCGGTGCGTCCAGCTCCTTCTCCCTCGTCCTCCTGGGCCTCTCGGGTATCTCGAGAGACGCTCGAGGCGCCCGTGCAACAGTCAGGGCTGACCCGTCTCGGAACCCTCGTTGACAGGGCAGGACAAGGGTCTGCGGTTCTGGTGCGTCCCGCTCGCTCTCTCCTTCTCTCTGCCTCGATTTGACCTCTCAAACTCTACAGGGATATCCGACGTCCGTCCTCGTCCTCGCCTCTCCCTCTTCTCCCCTCGACCTGACCCCCACACCCTCCTCTCGCGCGTTCGCAGAGGGCTCGAAGCCGACATCGGTCATCGAGACGTACGGCGACAACATCACGATGGCGTGGAGCCCCGACGGGCGGTACATGGTCGTCGGCAACACCAAGGACCGCATCCTGTGGATCGACGTCGAGGAACAGAAGATCATCAAGCGCGTTGACAAGTCGGTCGAGGTGCGTCGCCGTCGCTGGCTCTCTCTCTGCCGCGCTCCTTTCCCGTCCATGTTCAGGATGTGGCGCTCACCTCGCCGTCGTCTCATCCGAAACAGACGAACGAGGCCCTCTTTTCGCACTCGGGCACGCTCCTCACGACGCTTTGCCACGGCGAGGCCGAGATCACGTCCTTCCCCGGCGGCGAGCCCGTGCACAAGGTCTTCGTGTCGGACATGCCTGCGACGGTCGCCGACCTGGATCCGAGAGGCCGGTGCGTCGGCCTCTTTCCGCCACCTCCCTCTCGGCGCACGGACCCTGACTCTTGCTCGCCGTCTGTAGGTACCTCGCCGTCGGGTCGAACGACACGCTCGTCTCGCTGTGGGAGACGACCGACTGGACCTGCACGGCGACGTCGGGCGTGCACGAGTGCGTCGCCGCGTTTCCCTCGTCCTCGGCTCGCGCCTTCCCTTCCGCCCCGAGGGCAGTTACTGATGGCGGAGTTCGCGACGTCGCAGTGACCCACTTCGGACATGTCGCTTCTCTCACGATGGAGCGTACCTCGCGACGTCGGCCGGCGGCAGCGAGATCGTCATCGTGCGTCCTCTTTTCTCTCCTCCTCGCCCTCTCCTGCCCTCCCCGCCACTCCTCTCTCGCCCACGCACTCACTGACCGCCCTTCTACCACCGTCTCCCTCCCTCTCTCCCACTTGCCGGTCCCTCTCTCCTCGCCGTCCGCCGCCGCCGCAGCACAACACGCCGACGCTCTCTCGCGCCGCGTCGGTCGCGACCGCCGCCCAGTCTGGCGACGCCCTCGCGTGGCACCCGACGAGGAACGTGCTCGCGTACACGAGCGGGCAGGACGCATGGATCTGGGGCGCGGGCGTGTAGCAAGGGCGCGACGAGGAGAAGGCCGAGGACGAGGCGAGCGGTGCAAGCGCTTTCCTCGCCTTGCTGCTCGGCGAGAGCGATCGAGAGAGCGAGACTTTGCGAGAGTATGAGAGGCACAGCATAACTCGTTGCAGTCGGTCTATCTACAGTCGCTCGCTCGTCCGCCCCGAACGACTAGGCGCTCCTCTTCTTCTCGCCGTCGAACGCCCGCACGAGCACCTCCCACACCTTCTCGCCCTCGAGCCCGTCAAAGTTGTGCGCCTTGGTGCCGTCGACGTCGATGCCGAGGCGGCTGCACAGGGCGCGTTGCGAGTCGGACAGGTCGACGTGCCCCGTGATGCCGAGCAGGCGCGCAAAGACGACGTGCCACATGGTCGCGTTGCCGAGCGACAGGTCACGCTCCGAGGGACCGTCGCCGTCGTCGCCGCTGTGCACAGGAGGAGGGAGAGAGAGTCAGGGCGTGCGGGACAGGGCGTCGAGTAGGAGGGAGACGAGAGAGGAGGTGGACGCACAAGCGCCCGCCGAGGACGTGGTCGAGGTCGTTGGCCGTCATCTCGCTCTTGCTCAGCTGAAGCTTGTCCGACGAGTAGAAGTTGATGAGCGCGTTGGCGATACCTGGGCGGAGAAGAGGAGGGGAGGGTTCGTGCGAGCGTCAGGCCGAGGCCGCGGCGGAGCTGCCGGGGCGGGAAGATGGGGTGCGAGGAGGAGCGGTGTACAGCCCGGAGCCAGAGAGAGTGCGAGGGGAGGGCAGGAGGCGAAAGAGTAAGAGAGGGCGAGGGACGCACCTTCAGGGTCGGCAGGCTCGACGAGCTCGCCGTCCTTGCCCTCGCGAATCTGGAGCGGGATACCGCCGGCCCTGTATGCACATCGTACGGTGAGTTCTCGTGTGGGCGCGGGGGACCCGGCAGGGGAGAGGAAGAGGAGGAGGAGGACGCACTTGCTCGCGATCATCCACTTGCCCTTGTGGACGGCCTCGCTCACCTGCGCCGTCGACGAGTCAGGGCTTCGTGCGTGAGGGAGAGAGAAAGGGAGAGAGGACGCACCTTGACCTCGTAGCCCTCCCTCGTGCTGACCTGCGCGACGACGTCGGCGCCGCGCATCATGGCGTTCAGGAGGCGGTCTGTGCGCAGTATCCCGAGCCGCCGTGAGCACTCACTCTCGCTCCTTGGCCGTCACGAGCGGCACCCGACGAGGTCGAGGACGAGGGGAGAGAGAGAGAGACTCGCCGGAAGGAGGAGCCCTGATGGCGATAATGTCGTCGCGAATCGAGGCGAACTTGTCGTCGGCGATCTGGTCGTGGAGCTGGTGCAGGACGAGCGTGCCGTCCGGGTCATCGACCGACGAGTGGCCCGTCTGCGTGAGAGAAGGGCACGAGCCGAGAGTCAGTGCGTCTGTCGGCCGGGAGAGGGAGGGCGGGAAGGGAGGGGGCAAAGGACGCACGAGGATGAGCTGCGGGACGTGCTCGGCGTTGTTGCTCGTCTTGTCGGCGTGCTCGCGGAAGAGGCGGTAGCCCTCGACAAGGTGCGGGATGCCCTGCGTCGGGTGGCGGGGTGTCAGTGCGCTGCCCCGAGACGATCAAGGAGGACAGGCGCACGGACCTTGGACGGGTCGAAGCGGGCGACTTGAAGGATATAGCCCCGCCCCCAGTTCACGTGAGCGCCCGAAGAACTCTGAGGAGGAGGACGGGCTCGTTAGCTCTCGGCCGAACGAGGGACGAGAGACGACGACAAGGACGGCGACAGGAAGGAGGGAAGGAGGAGACGGGGACATGGGACGCACCCTGACGGCCTCCTCGAAGGTGTGACGGTATCCCTCGAGGAAGAGGCGGCTCAGAGGCTTGTTGAGGCCGTCGATCGGGTCGGTCGAGGCTGCAACGAGTTTAGGAAGGCCACGCGGGCGACGAGGTCAGCTCGTGCGGCGCAGCTGGCGAAGCGACACAGGCCAACTCGTCTTCTGATAAAGGGAAGAGGTGTGAAGAGAGAGAATGAGCTCACGAGGCATGAAGATGACCGGCATGCTGTCGCGGACGACCTTGGGCACAAACTCTTCGACTGGGTGAGCGACGAAGACGTCGGCGAGCTTGATGAAGCTCCACAGGTAGTCCCATGTCGCCTTGATCTGCTTGTCGCCTTTGTCGATCAGGTCGGCGCGGATCTGGATGTGCGAGCGGAACACGATCTTGGTGCGAGGCGAGACGCGGCGGATGATGGGGATGAGGGCCGTCACTGCGAGACGTGCGGTGCTCGTCGTCAGGTCGTGAATATTTACGAGAAGGAATGCGAGGCAAGTGGGAGGGTGCGACTCACGCTGCGGGTCGTCGATGACGGCGATGTCGAGCCGCTTGAGCGGACTGTCCTCGCCGGCCCAGTACAGCTCGTAGTTGTGCGCCGTCCACGCCTCGAACAGCTTCTTCTCGTCGTCGTGCAGGAGGACGTCCTCGTCGGCGACGCCTTGCAGGACGTTCTGTCGATGGGCAAGTGTGAGTCAGTCGAGGGGGGGGAGAAGAGGGTCGAGCGGGAGAGGGAGAGGGCGCACATGGAACTTGCGCTTGCTGTGAAAAGAGAGACTTGGTCAGTATCCTTCTGCTGAGGGAGAAGAAGGAGAGAGAGGTAGGACGTACGTAATGTTGAAGACAGAGGGGTCGCCGCCCGGAACGTACCAGCGGACGTCGAGCCCGGTCGCGTGCCAGATGCGCATGAGCGAGTGGCGCATCAGGGCGACGCCACCACCACCTGGACGGTCAAGGGAGTGGATCAGGGAATGTGGGAGGTAGACAGGTAGAGAGGAGGGGTCGACGCACGAGGGGTGGCCGAGAAGAAGGCGACGCTCGTCTTTTGCTGGGCGAGCGCCGAGCCGAGGTCCGAGAAGGCGTGCCAAAGTGCGGGCGACGTGATCGACTTGAGGAGCGGGAGCGAGTAGAGGTGAACCCGGAAGTCGGCGTCGACTGCGAGCGGACGAGGATCGAGAAGTTGGTCAGGGCTCGGGGCCCAACGGAGGAGAGGCTCGCCGCCAGAGAGACGCGAGGACGCACCGAGCACCTCGCGGAGCGGACTGAGCTGGATCTTGATCGTCGAGCTCGACATGGGTACGAGCGTCGCGAGCGCCTCGTCGATGGCGGCGCCCGCCTGCGCGTCGAGCGAGAACTTGCCCTCGCACGACTCGGACGACGCGAGGAACGGGATGGCGTCGAGCTCGAGCCAGACTCGCGTCAGGAAGTCGTTGTCGTCGCCGTCCTTCTTGGCGTCGGGCGAGAACGTGACGTCGGGCACGAGGCCGGAGCAGGTGCGGGCGAAGCTCATGATCTGGATCTGCGTACGAGGACAGCGCACGGCGCTACGCCGTCAGGTCGTCGTACTCGACGTCGGGAGAAGGGAGAGGGTTGAGCGCACCTTGTGGCCGCGAGCCTCGGTGTACTTGCGGGCGAGGTCGAGGATGTAGTTGAGGGCGTCGCGAGCGTTCTCGCCCTTGGGCCGGAAGTTGTGCTCCGACTGTGGCGCGCTTTTTCTCGTCAGGTACACGCGCAAGGGGACGAGAGAAGGGGGAGAGGGGCGCACCTGGACCGTACCAGACCCGTCGCTCACCGACACGGCGTACTCGGTGCCCTTGTCGTCGAGGTCGGGCCTCTCGCGCACGGCGACGCCGACAAAGACGATCTGGAGCGGTGCCGAGGCTCTGTTGCAGGGGCGTGCCGGTAAGCGGTGCTCGTCTGCGAGAGAGAGAAACAAGAGGGACGCACTTGCGGTTCTTCTTGGGGCGGATGTCGAGGCGGCGCTGGGTGACGCTGTGCGGTGTCGGCGCGCGCTCGTGCAAGTCGTGCGCAGGAGCGCTGAGCCTGTCGGTGGAGGACGGCATCGCTGAACGAGGGGCGAGCCGAGGGCGTGGTTGTGGGGGCGGGAGGAGGACGAGGGACGTGTCGCTCTCGAACGAGGGTAGGCGGGACAGCTGAAGCGTGGCTCTGTCCGCTGCTGGCTCAAGGCTAGCTCGGAGCACGCAGATGGCGACCAGGAGAAGGCCCGCGACGACACGAGCCTCCACAACTCCACCTTTGACCTCATCGTCGTTCGGTCAAGCCTCGGCGTCTCGTTCGGGCTCGAGAGCACTCCGGTCTCCGAGCCGGGCTGCGGAGCCGCAGACCAGAGACTCGCTTTCATCGCCGCAGGGCAGCGTGTTGACGACGCCGCGGGATGAAGCTGAGAGTCGGCGGGTTCGAGGACTCGCGCCTGAGAGCCCACACGAGCTTGCTGCGAGCTACAGAGAGCTGGTCGGTCCACGCAACACCCGTGCTCGCGCCCGACAGAGAGCGAGGAGAGCCGACTCGGCGGAGTCGAGGCGACGTTGCCGGGTCGCTCTCGGCCCTCGTCCCTCTCGATCCACCAGACCAGCTCGGCTGCAGCAGTCTCGCCAGCCAGCTACCAGCACACGCCGACCCAGCAGCAACCGCCGCCAGCGCCAGCCGCCTCGCCCTCGCCCCCACACTTTCACGGGCGACCTCGTCCTCATCTCGACCCGGCCTTCCCGCGCCTCGTGCGACCACCGACTACCACTGCAGCAGCTCGGCCACCTCGACAAGCAGCTCGGCACCGCCTGCGCACCACCCGACTCGCCTCCAGCATGGCGCCAGCTCAGTCGACCCTGCGCCGCCGGCTGCGCGACGACTACGCCTTGCCGCTCGCCGCCCACTACCTGAGCCGGCGCAGGCTCTACTCGAACCTCCTCATGGTCGCATTTAGTGCCTACGTCCTCCAGAACGTGAGTCTCCCTCTCGCGAGACCCGTCCGGGAGACGACGCGCGCCGCCTCGAACCCGAGGCGACCTGCTTCCCTGGCGCAAGACCTCCTTCTCGAGCGCAGCATCGCTCACTGCCTATCGTGCCCCCGCAGACCTACGCCGGGCTGACCGGGTCGTCGAGCGCCAAGCGCAAAGCCAGACCCGCGGCGGCATCCGGCAGCAGCGGCGACGGTCAAGTCGGCGAGAAGGGCGCGTCGAGCGCGGTGGAGACGGCGAGCTCGAGTGCGGGACCACGTGGAAGGAAGAAACGTGGGCCACGAGTCGAGGTGCGCCGTCTGTCCGCCTTTACGCGCCTCAAGACCTGACCCCTCTTCCTCGAGCAGGTCGACGCCCTCTTCTTCCAGCGCTTGTCGCGCCTCCTCCGCATCGTCCTCCCCTCGTTCCGCTCAAAGGAGGCGTCCCTCCTCGTCCTCCACTCGTTCTTCCTCGTCATGCGCACCCTCCTGTCGCTCTACGTCGCCTCGCTCGACGGGTCGATCGTCTCGGCCCTCGTGCGCGCCCAACCGCGCCAGTTTGTCCTGCGCATCTTGACCTGGATGGCTGTCGCCGTCCCGGCCACCTACACCAACTCGATGCTCACGTACCTCCAGAGCAAGCTCGGTGCGTCCCCTTGCTCCCTTTCGTCCCCTCTCAGCCGCCGTCCTGACCTCTCTGCCCCTCCTTTCTTCTTCCTCGCCTCTCCTTCCCTTCCTCTCCCGCCTCGCAGCCATCGCCTACCGCACGCGCTTGACCAAGAAGGTGCACGAGGACTATCTGGACGGCACGACCTTCTACGCCCTCGGCAACCTCGACGACCGCGTCAAGAACGCCGACCAGCTCATCGTCGTCGACATCCAGAAGTTCTCGACTGCGCTCGCCGAGATCTAGTGCGTCCCTCTGCATGCCTCGCTGGGCCTGCACGCGGCACAACCGCCGCAAGCTCGTCTTCCGGATGATCCCGAGCGCGCACTGACCCTCTCCGCCTCTGGCGCAGCTCGAACATCGCCAAGCCCGTCCTCGACGTCCTCGTGTACAACTACCAGCTGTCGCGTTCGGTGGGCGCCGAGGGCCTGATCGCGCTCACCGTCATCGTGCAAGCCTCGGCGGCGCTCCTCAAGTACGCGACGCCGCCGTTCGGCCGGTACGCCGCCGAGGAGCAGCGCCTCGAGGGCGAGTATCGGTTCGCGCACACGCGACTGCTCGAGCACGCCGAGGAGGTGTCGCTTCTGCGCGGCGCCCACACCGAGAAGAACATCATCGAGCGCACCTACTTTTCGCTCATCAAGCACGTCAACCGCGTCCTTCGCATGCGCATGGCGTACGCGCTCGTCGAGGAGGGCATCGTCAAGTGGGTGTGGGGCAGCCTCGGCCTGTGCGTGTGCGCCGTGCCCGTCTTTGGCGCCAAGCTCGTCGGGCTGGGGTCCAGTGCGTCGCTCGCCAACATCGACTTCGGCAGTCGCACAGAAGGTGCGTCCCCTCGTCCTCTCTTACTCGCGTCTCGAAGCCTCTCGGGATAGTTCCTGACGCTCTTGCGCGTCTGCAGGGTTCGTCACCAACCGGCGCCTGCTCCTCTCGGCCTCGGACGCTCTCGGTGTACGTTCCCTCGTTCCCTTCCCCCCTCTCGTCGCCGACACTCGGGGCGACGAGGACCTCCCTTGCAGAGCCGGGCCGCTGACCTCGGCCGGTTCCTCGTCTCGCAGCGCCTCATGTCGACCTACCGCGACCTGTCCGAGCTATCGGGCTACACGGCGCGCGTCTCGGAGCTCCTCGACACGATGGACGACGTCAAGCAGGGCAAGTACCAGAAGAAGCTCGTCGGCGGCGGGAGCACGGCGGGCAGGACGGTCGGCAAGGGCGACGAGGTCGCCGAGAACGCCAAGAGTGCGTCGCCGTCTCTCTCCCTCGTCAGCCCTTCCGAGCGTATCTCGTTCGCTCGCCGAGGGGCCACTCGATGAGTCTACTGAACGCCCGTGCGTGTCCGCAGTTCTGCAAGGGCGCGGCAAGGTCGTCCACTCGGACAACGAGATCATCTTCGACAAGGTGCCCATCGTCACGCCCAACGGTGCGTCCCTCGTTCCCCCTCGCACGCACTCTCGCAGTCTCCCTGACGATCTCGCTCGAGCAGGCGATGTCCTCATCAAGAGCCTCAGCTTCTACGTCAAGCCCGGCGTGAGTTGTCTTGTCTCGAGCCGCCGACGGCGCAGAGCCGCACGCCGGGTTCTCCTGCTTCGGCGTCAACGTAGTAGTCGAGACAACTGACCCGCTCGTGTCCCGCAGAATCACCTGCTCGTCGTCGGCGGCAACGGGACGGGCAAGTCGTCGCTGTTCCGCATCCTCGGCGGGCTCTGGCCCATTTACGGTGCGTCCTCGCTCTCGCCCCTCTTAATACGTCTCGCGTCCCTGACAGGTGCGCTCGCGATGCAGGTGGGACGGTCACCAAGCCGCCGGCGAGCGAGTTCACCTACATCCCGCAACGGCCGTACCTGTCGCTCGGCACCCTGCGAGACCAGATCATCTACCCGCACTCTCGGTCGCAGATGCTCGCCCGTGCGTCCTCTTTTGTCCTCTCTCGCTCTCCCTATCGACGAGTCCCTGACCTAGTTCCTCGTCATCGCAGGCGGCGTCACGGACGCGGACCTGCTCTCGATCCTGCAGCTCCTCGAGGTGGACGGTATCGTCGAGCGCGAGGGTGGCTGGGACGCGCAACGCGAGTGGCGAGACGCTCTGAGCGGCGGCGACAAGCAGCGGCTCGCCATGGCCCGCCTCTTCTACCACAAGCCGAAGGTGCGCTCCCTCTCCCTCTCCTTCTTCTCAGGCCCGATGCCGGAAACGAGGACGCTCACCATCGCCTTTCACCCTCGCGCAGTACGCCATCCTCGACGAGTGCACGAGCGCCGTCACGCTCGAGGTCGAGCAGCTCTTCTACGAGCACGCGACCGGTGCGTCCCCTCTTCCTCTCGCTCGAGCCCCTCTTGCCCGAGCTTACCTCGCTCCATTGCCGACGCAGAGCTGGGTATCACGCTCCTCACCGTCTCGCATCGGCCGTCGCTCTGGCGGTACCACACGCACATCCTCCACGTGCGTCCTCTGTCCCTTCTCGAGCCCTGCTTGTCCCGAGGACTGACCTCTCTTCGTCCCCTCTCCTGTCGACCTCTACCTCCGTCCTTTCTTCCTCCTCGCCTCGCCTCGACCACCTCGACTACGTCGCACCTTGCCCCGACAGTACCTCGGCGGCGGCGACTATGCGTTCGGGCCGCTCGACTGGGAGGCGCGCCTCGCCCTGCAGGAGGAGAAGCAGTCGCTCGAGCAGAAGCTCGCCGACGTGCCGACGTGGGAGGCGCGACTCGCCGAGCTGCTAGACGAGGGCGAAAAGCGCGAGCACCGCAAGGAGACGATCTGAGCGTCGTTCGGCGAGGCGGACTCCGTGGGGTGATGGAGGGATTCTCTCGATTGTCGTATCCCTTCCAGTGTGCAAAGTGTGACTAGCTGCTTGTCTTTCTAAGCGATGCGAGTGTGAGAAAGAGCTTGAACATGAGGGGCGACGAGGACAGCTCGACGGTCGCGAGGGCTTCGAGGTTCGTGCGGGCGCCTGCCCCGCGCTCGCGTCGCACGAGAGCAAGCCAGGCTCGGGCTGCGCTAGTACTGTATCGAGAGCGGCAGCGCGGCGCCCTCGACCGCTCGAGCAAGGTCAACTTGGGCTCGCTTTGACCTTTCCCCGCACAAGTCGTCGTCATCGCGCAGCTGGCTCGCTCCTCCTCCTCCCACCACTCACTCGCCCCGACCGAGCTCGCACGCACCATGGTCAGCACTCGCTCGCACGACAACCACGACGCCGACACGGGCGACAAGCGCACCGCCGAGCCCGCGCCCCCGACCGCCCACGCGAGCAAGCGGCACAAGGTCGACAAGGTCGTCGCGCAGCCCAAGCGCGCCGACGACGGCGAGGGCAGCAGCACCGGAGCGGCCAAGGAGCAGGACAAGGCGCAGCCGGCCGCCGAGGAGGAGCAGCAGGGAGCGCAAGGCGGCGGCGAGGACAAGGGCGGCGAGCAGCAGGCCGGCGACGAGAAGAAGGGCGACGAGACCAAGACCGCCAGCTCGACGGCGGACGAGCAGTCGAGTACGGCCAAGCCGGACGGCATGGGCGAGGCCAAGCGCGACGAGGAGCCGCAGGGCGACGTCGTCGAGCACAAGGCGGGTCCGGGTGAAGCCCTCTCGCACGCGCCCAAGGTCAACGCCGACCGCAAACACGGTCCGTTTCCTCCCCCACTCTCGATCCTGTCTTCGCAATGCAGGGCCTGACGATGTGCGTCCCCGCAGGCATCATCGAGAAGGGCTACGTCTACTTCATCTTCCGCCCCAAGGTCGAGACCGAGCACCCCGAGTCGCTCGACGACGTAGCTCGCTTCCACCTCCTCCTGTCGCCCGAGGGCGAGAAGATCCACCGCCTCATCGTCATCGGCAAGAAGGCGCTCCCCGAGGCGGGCGAGTCGTCGCGCCCGATCTGGGGCCAGGTCGACGGCGTCGCCGACGACCTCAAGCAGTTCAAGGACGGCCTCGCCGCCTACACGTACGAGACCAAGACGATGGGCACGCGGCATCAGCCGGGAGCGCGCGTCGCGGCGGCGGGGGCTTACGTCCTCCACACGACCGAGCACCCGCCCGAGAACTCGTCGAACGCGTCGGCCGTGTACCACACCCACTTTGCCTACGAGATCGCGGTCCCGCACGACGTACGTCCCTCGTTGTTTCCTATTTCGCGACGACGAGCGGGCGCGGCCGTGAGAGCTCACCCTCTTCCTCTCCTCCCCCTCGTTCTCTCGTCGCCCTCCTCCCTCTGCCTCTTTCGCCTCGTCGCACCGCCGTCTGCCGCACCTCCCTTCAACTTACGACGCGCCACGATAGATGGGCGAGGTGCAGAAGGCGCTCCACCTCCAGCACGAGGGCTCGTTCACGCTGCAGGTCAAGAACTTCGACTCGGCGTCGACCAACCCGACGGTCGGCAATCAGCCCGAGAGCAAGCACCCGCAGGTGCGTCGCTCTTCCTCTCGACGACGCGAGATGCCGTGCGGCCTCTCGCCCACCACCGTCGACCGCGCTCACTCCCTTCCACCCTCCCTCTCGCTCTTCCGCCTCTCGGACCCTCGCCTGCCCGCTCCCCTGCAGTTCCCTCCCGAGCTCAAGCACCTCTTCACGACCAAGTTCATCCCGGCCAACCCGCCCTCGCTCCTCAACTACCCCGGCGCCGAGCTCCTGCTCGTCCCCTCGAAGCACACGGCCAAGGAGGACATCGGCGACGCGGCGGAGAAGGAGCTCGACGACGAGGACAAGGCGCTCGAGAAGGAGATCGACCAGCAGGAGGGCGGCGGGAGCGAGGCCAAGAAGGTGTTGAAGGAGATGGGCTTCGAGGGCCTCCAGGGCGCCGAGGCGCTCCAGGGCCACTGGGAGTGAGCATGGGACTCGAGGCGAGGCGAGGCGAGGCTTCTGCAGCTTGAGACGTCTGTGTAGCGTCGACCGGAACGATCAGTGCCATCTGTCGCATCGAGAGCGAGTTTGAGAAGGTCGAGCTCTTCCTCACGGGCGACTTCTGCCTCTCGCTCTCACTCGCTCAGGCGTGGCACGAGAGAGACCGAGAGAGCGACAGAGGCCAAGCGAGCCCAAGAAAGCGCTGCAGAGCTCGTCTCGTTCGTCGAGCAGAGAGACGTCCGGCGCGAGCGAGGCTCGTGCGCACGGTCCTCTCGACCTGAAGCGAGCAGGTATTCTCTAGACAGCTTCTTTCACTCTCGCTATCTCTCGCACCGTCACAGGCAGACAAGGTACTGCGAAACAACAATCGATTGCTCGCAGCGGATGCACAGCATCCCGCCTTCGCCCGATCCAGTGCTACCGACGCCTCGAGGGGAGAGACGCTTAGTAGACCTTCTTGGCCGAGAGCTGGAGGTGCGCCGAGAACTCCTCGAAGGGCGAAGGAGACGGCTGTGGGGCGGGCGCGAGGGGGAGGGAGGGAAAGCGAGGTCAGTCAGGGGGAGGTTTCGCGAGGCGCGACGACGAGGGAGAGTGTGAGAGGGACGCACCTCGATCTTGGTCCACAGGTCCGGGGTAAGGAAGCCGTAGGTGGCGGTGATGGCGGAGTAGGCAGCCTTGATGAAGTTGCCCATGCTGCGAGGAGGGGCACGAGGAGGGTCAGGTTCCGAGGTCTCGAGACGACGGCGGGCGACGACCAGAGAGGACAGAGGGACGCACGTCGAGGTGTTGCCGCGCGACTGGGTGTAGCAGTCCTCGACACCGGCGAGCTGGAGCATGCGCTTCGAGGCCGGGGCGGCGACGATGCCGGTACCGCGGGGCGCCGGGACGAGCTTGACGTAGACCGAGCCAGCCTTGCCCTGGACCTTGCAGGGCACGGTGTGCGGCTCACCGAGCTTGTTGCCCCAGTAACCGCGGCGAACCGGGATGACCGAGAGCTTGGCGAGGATGATGGCGCCGCGGATGGCGGTCGCGACCTCCTTGGCGCACTTGACGCCGAGACCAACGTGGCCGTCAAAGTCACCGATGGCGACGAACGCCTTGAAGCGGGTGCGCTGACCGGCACGGGTCTGCTTCTGGACGGGCATGATCTTCATGACCTCGTCTGCGGGTGGGGGAGGACGGGGTCAGCTCGCTCTGTCCGGGCCGCCTCGACAAGGAGAGAGAGAGTTGTGGACGCACCCTTGAGCTTGGGGAGGAGGATGTCGATGATCTGGTACTCCTTGACCGGGAGCGAGAAGAGGTAGATCTCCTCGATCGACTTGATCTTGCCGTCCTTCACGAGACGCCCAAGCTTGGTGACGGGAACCCTGCGGGCGAGGTAGAGGGTCAGGTCCTGCGCTCTGACACTGCTCCGAGAGAGTAGAGAGGCGGGAGGGGACGCACCACTCCTTCTCCTCGTCCTTGCGCGCACCGCGACGGGGGCCGCGGCGGGGGCCACGACGGTCACCACCACGGCCACGGCCGAAGCCACCGCGCTCACCAGAGGGGGCAGGAGCAGACATTCTGTGTGGTTGGGCGAGGTCAGGGAGGTTGCTCGAGGCGAGGGGGAGGTGCTGAGGGTGATCGACGCGAGCGAGGCTCGAGGTGGTCGACCGCGAACGGGTCGAGGTGGCCGCCGCCTCGCACGAGCTGCTCAGGGCGCCCAGATACCGCAGATACCGCGCTCGTGCTCCCTGCCCGCCCTGCGCGCTCCCTGCTGCCGCCTGGGCGCACCGCGCGCCGCCCTCGCCCGGTTGCAAAAAGCTCGTCGCGGTCGACGGCTCGTGGTCGGCTGGCGACGGCGCTCGGCGAGGCGCGCTTGGTGCGTGGTGGATGGCAGGTGGCAGACCGAGGTGTAGAGGAGCAGCAGGCTCACTTTAGAGGACGAGGGGGGGAAGGGACGACGACACAGAGGGGAAAGCTCTCCTCCTCCGCTCCGCTCGCTCACGGCCACGCCGATTCACCTTTTCTCGCCTTTCTCGCCCTTTCCTGGCTGGGGCCAGCTTTGCTCGTCGTGCCTCTACTCGGTGCGGCTCGGACAGGTCCAAGTCCTGGCCGTTCCTGCCAGGGTGGCCGCTCGCGACGCTGGGACCTCGCCTCGACTTTGAATAGCGTTCAGCGCCTTGCTTTCGCTTACTAGTTCTCTCACGGCATTACAAGTTCGCTTTGACCTCCTGCCGGACTAGGTTCCTCCCGCCGCCGCCCCTCCTCGCACTCGCCTCGCTCGCAACCCGTCCGCGCTCTCCCTCGCCGAGAGAGCATACAAAGTACGAGCGTGCATGCGGGAGGGAAGAAGCTCTCTCTGGAGGGCGGACAGCGGGGTAACGATTCGGACTGCGTTTTTTTACAAGTCGGCGGCGGCGGCGCGCGCAGGCCAAGTAGCGAGCAGGGGCGGCAGCCTCCTCTTGTTCTCTAAGACCACACGTCCGTCCACCTCCCGAACAACGTGCTCTCTACCGCCAAAGCCACACGTACTGACTCGTCGCACCCTCCCGTCCCTCCTTGCGCACGACGCGAGCAGTCAGTCAGGATCTCTTTACAGTGCGTCCTCCCTCCCTCTCCTCCCCCTCCCCCTCGACCAGGACGCAAAGAGCTGACGTGTGCCGCGCTCGTACAGGTTATTCTCCGAGTTGTCTTGCTCTCTCAAAAGAGCTACACTGTTTGCAGGTCGCGATGAGCGACAGGTCGCATCCCCATCTGAGCGAGAACCACGGGCGTGCGCTTCCCGCGCTTCCCTAGAGGGAGCCGGGTCGAGTGCGCTCCTCGATGACCTTGAGCTCGCTCGTACCGCCCCCTCGTTTCCGAGGTGGGTTGTCCGGCCTCTGCTGCCCCCGGCTCGCCTCGCGCGGTCGAGGGCCGGAGGCTGTACGGCGCAGCGCGGTGGATGCGCACCTTTCTGAACCTGTCTCCTCTCGTTCCTCTACTCTTTCCTCCTCGGCGGCGTCGTCGGTGCTCCTCGTGAGCGACGGCGTCGCCCCGGGTGGTCAGGTCGTTGGCGGGCGCGAGGACGAGCAGTTCACTCCTTTTGTCGAGCTCGTGCAACGCCGGATCGAGTTTCTGTTCTCTCTGTTCTTGTCCCCGAGAGTGCGAGCAGCCTTCGAGAGCAAGATACAGAACTCGACGTCGCCACTAGTTGCGAACGAGCCGGCTCGAGGTTCGAGCGAGCAGACTCGCACCACCGCTGGCACGGCTTTGCGGGTGTACCGCGTCGTCGGCCTGCTACTGAACCAGAACTTGCTCGGCTCCGGCCTGGCCCACGCGCTGACAGGAAGAAAGCCGGCCGTGGTCGCGGACGAGGAGGTTGCCGGTGGTCGCTCGCCGCCCTCCTTCCCACGCTTCGCACTCGCCGAGGCGGTCGCCGAGCTCGCGTGCACCCTTGCTGGCTCTTCCGGCAGCTCCCTCGCCCCACCACGCCGTCCTCGCCCATCAGCTCCGCCCTCCCACCCCACCTCGCTCGCCAACTTCCCCGCGTCCTCGTCTCGCCCGCCGCGCTGTACCACGAGCAGCCCCGCCGGCGCACGCCATGGCCAACCCGCTCAACCGCAAGCAGCGCACCACCGACCACGTCGCGTCGCTCGGCCCGGACGACCCCGAGGCGCTCCTCGGACCCGACCTCGCGCCGCGCACGAGGCCCTTCTCGGTCGTAACCAACGTCGACCCGGGCCTGACGGCGCTCCAGCCGTTGCTCTTGCCAGGTGGAGCGGCCGTGGGCAAGGCGACGTCTCGGAAACGCACCGGCAACGGCGAGCAGCGCAACCTCGTCGAGGGCCACCAGGGCCACCTGCGCTCTGACCCGATCGAGGTGCGTCCGCCTTCCTCCCTTCTCGTACCAAGAGCTTGTCCAGAGCTCCACGGTGTGGCGGGAGCGCGCAGGCGAGAGAGTTGAGGCCCCGTCACTGATGCCCCACCTCGTCTCGCAGTTCTCGAAGCAGCTGTCGCTGTGGGCGACGGGCACCGGCTGGCGCGCCTACACCGACTACATCGGCCAGCCCATCTTCTACCCGGGCTACTCGGACGACTGCGTGCGCGGCATCCTCACGTCGCAGCAGCTCGAGAAGCGCATCCGGTTCGTCGCCGACGCTCGAGTCGCGCAGCTCGGGCTACCAGACGGGCCAGAGCGGGTCAGGAAGCGGGCGCAGATCGAGAAGGAGTTGAGGAAGAGCGCGGCACGGATAGCAGACGGGCTCGTCGCCAAGATGGACTCGGTGCGGTTTCTGCGGTTCTTCGGCGTTGAGTCCCTCTCTTTTTCTCTCCCTTCCTCCCTCGCCCTCAGCCTCGATCATGACTGACGCACTGCCGACGTCGAGACAGGCCGTCGTCAACAACCTGCTCGTCCGCATGTACGACCAGGGCATCGAGATCAGCATCAACGAGTACGCGCGCTTCAAGGAGGTCGCCCAGATGGCCGCCAAGAAGAAGCAGTCGCTCCTCATCCTGCCGTGCCACAAGTCCCACATTGTGCGTCCACGCCCTCGCCCATCGTCTTTTGTCGAGAGAGTCCAACTGACCAAGGCGCTCGGTCCCTCTCGCAGGACTACCTCAGTGCGTCCCCGAGCGTCGAGCTTCCCCTCTCGCAGCCCTGATTGACTCGTGCCGCCATCCGCAGCCATCTCGTGGCTCTTCTTCCGCCTCGGCCTGGCCCTGCCGCACATCGTCGCCGGCGAGAACCTCAACATGCCCGTCGTCGGCCCGATGCTCGCCAAGTGCGGCGCCTTTTTCATCCGCAGGACGTTCGGCGACGACCCGTTGTACAGCACCGTCGTCAAGGAGTACATCGAGCAGCTGCTCGAGAACGGCAAGAACAGTGCGTCCGCCGTCCTCGTCTCGGTCGCGCAAAAGCGATCCTGACCCGGGCTCTTTCGCTCCCTCGCAGTCGAGTGCTTCATCGAGGGTACGCGCTCGCGCACCGGCAAGCTCCTGCCGCCAAAGCTCGGCATCCTCAAGAACGTCCTCGAGGCCCTCGAGGAAGGGCGGACCGAGGACGTGTGGATCTGCCCCATCTCGCTCCAGTACGACAAGGTGCGCCCTGGCCTCTCTGTCCCCCCTCGCCCCGCCTTCTTCGACGGCGAGTCCCTGACCCTGCGTCTCACGCACCCGCAGGTCATCGAGCGCGAGAGCTACGTCAACGAGCTGCTCGGCAACCCGAAGGAAAAGGAGACGTGCGTCTCGCTCTCCTTTCCTCCCGATTTCGTCGGCCGCGCTCCCTCGAGTACCCGTCGACGAGCCCCTGACGTCCTCGACCGTGCAGGCTCGGCGGCCTCTTGCTCAACACGCGCGTCATCCAGCTCGAGCTCGGCCGCATCGACGTCCGGTTCCAGAAGCCCTTCTCGCTCCGAGGTTGGCTCGACGACCAGAAGAAGCGCCGCTCAGTACCTCCCGCGACGCCGGGAGCACGCCCGCCAAAGAGCGACCAGGCCACGCTCCTGCGCGCTCTCGGGTACGAGGTCCTCGCCGGCATCAACGACTGCGCGTGCGTCGCCTTGTTCCCCTCCCTCTTTCTCCTGTGCCTCGTACGACAGTCCTAACGAGCTTCTCGAACGCAGGATCATCATGCCGACGGGGCTCGTCGGCACCGTCATGCTCACGATCCGTGGCCGAGTGCGTCCCCGTCCTCCTGTCGCCCGAGTCGAGAAGGCGACACAGCCTGACTAGGCCGCTCTTCTCCTTCTGCAGGGCGTCGGCAAGAGTGAGCTCGTCACTCGCGTCAAGTGGCTCAAGAAGGCGATCGAGGAGCGCGGCGGCCGCGTTGCCGACTTTGGCGACATGACGCTCGACGAGGTCGTGGACCGGTGCGTCTCGAGCTTCACCCTCCCGCTCAGGCTCAGTCAGTCAGTCAGGAGCACTCACTCGTGCTTCTACAGGGCGCTCGTCGTGCTTAAGGACCTCATCGGCGAGCAGACCGACTTGATCGAGTCGACCTTCTACCCGCTCTCGCGGTTCGAGTTGTCATTCTACCGCAACCAGGTGCGCACCTCTTTCTCTACTCTCTTCGTCGCCGTCCGGCACTGACCTCGAGCTCTTCCAGGTCATCCACCTGTTCGTCGAGGAGGCCATGCTGTGCGCGTGCTTGTACACCCGCGTCAAGGCCGGCGGCGCAGCTCCCTCGCAGCGCATGGACCGCGCCGACGTCCTCGACGAGCTCCACTTCATCTCGCACCTTCTGTCGAACGAGTTCGTGTACGCGCCCGAGGGCCTCGAGGCCAACGTCGACAAGACGGTGCGCGCGCTCGAGATGGACGGCGTCGTGCTCGTCGAGGACGACATGCTCGGGCTCAGCCCCAAAGAGCGGGCGGCGGGCCGGGAGAACTTCGACTTTTTTAACTTCTGCGTTTGGCCGTTTATTGAGACGTACTGGCTCGCCGCCGTGTCGTTGTTCGCCCTCACGCCGACGACGCCGCCACCGTCCGACGACGAGCCGATCGCATGGTTCGCCGAGAAGGCGTTCCAGACGAGCGCTCAGCTCCTCGCCAAGACGCTCTTTGCGCAGGGCGACGTCAGCTACCTCGAGGCCGTCAACCAGGCGACCCTCCTCAACGCGTTCCAGCGCATGGTCGACGTTGGCGTCCTCCTCACGCGTCGTGGGTCGTCGGGCCCGCTCATGGCGCTTCACCCGGACTGGGTCCCTCGGCGCACGGAGGACGGCACGATCGTGCCCGAGGGGCGCCTGTGGGAGTTCGTCGAGCGGCTGTCGAGGTTCAGGAGGGAGGGCAAGAAGTGCGTCGTCGACTTTGGCCTTCTCGAGTTGGCCGTTCGGCACTGACCGCGCCCGTTCCTTGCGCGCAGCCGACGAGACAACAGGACTGGTTCGTCCTGCTCCATCGTCACCCTTTCCTCGGGCCTCTGGTACTGACCTGCCCCTCGTCGTCGCAGTCTCGACGCGCGTCTTCGCTCACTGCTCGGCGATCGCTCCTCAGGTCCGTCCCTCTCTCTCACTCGAGCCCCTCTTTCTTTTTCATGCCGTGCGACTACTCACGTCCGTCCCTGTCGCAGGTCGTCGAGTACTCGGGCTTCCAGCGCGACAAGCCGACGAGCGATTTCTGGGCCGAGAAGCGGCAGGCCAACTTGTAGAGCTTTGAGCGGTCTTTGTGTGTGCAGTTCAGTTCTAGTTTGTTCCTCAGTGCATGTCCTCGTCCTTCTGCTGTGCGAGACTGAAGAAAGAGCGAGACTCGGGCCGCAGCCTGAGCTGCACGTGCAGCTCGGAGCCGTCGGACGAGGAGGAGGAGGGCTCGTCGTCGTCGCGCCGCTCTCGCTTGCCTTGGCCTTGCCTGTCCACCTCGAGCAAGTGGAGCACCGCCGTCCACCTCCAGCTGCGACCCTCGCACCAGCCCGGCGCACACCGCCGCGATCACCTCCCCTCGACCTCGTCATCTCTTCCCCTCGTCGCCTTTCTCCCTCTCGACCTCTCACCCACCGCGCCATGCCCAACTCAGCGTGGCGAACGCCCCGCTCAGCGACGCTTCTGCAGCTCGTCGCGGTCGCCCCACGGTTCCTGCGCGCGTACGCTGCCCCCGCCGCAGCCGCCGCTTTCCTCCATGCGGAGGCGGCCGGCGCTGAGCCGCCAGAGACGGAGCCTGGCTCGAACGGTGCGCCCAGCGTCTCTCTCGAGTCTCCTTCCTGCACGGCGTGAACTGACCTGCCCCTCGTTGCGCGCAGAGTTCTGGTGGAAGCTCGGCCTCAGCGTGATCCTCGTCCTCCTCGGCGGCGTCTTTGCCGGGCTCACGCTAGGCTTGATGGGCCTCGACCTCGTCAACTTGCAGGGTGCGTCGTCGCTCCTTCTCTCCATCGGCCGGACCGGCGCGGCGCATGGGAAACCCGGGACTGACCTTCCCCTCCTCGCGCGCAGTCCTCGCAACCTCCGGGGAGGACAAGGAGCGCCGCGATGCTGCAAAGGTCATCAAGCTTCTCGAGCGCGGTCGTCATTGGGTCCTGGTCGTGCTCCTCCTGTCCAACGTCGTCGTCAACGAGTCTCTGCGTGCGTCCTGCGCCTCTCTCTCTCTCTCCCCCTTTGCGCCTCGCCCGATTCCTCGGCTGACCGATTCCTCGTGCCACAGCCATCTTCCTCGACTCGATTCTCGGCGGCGGCGTCGGCGCAGTTGCACTGTCGACCCTCGCCATCTTCATCTTCGGCGAGATCATCCCGCAGTGTGCGTCCTCCCCCTCGACTCCTCCATCCTCGTCCCGCTCACGCTTCTCCCCCCTGTTCTGCAGCGGTCTGCGCCCGCTACGGCCTCCGCATCGGCGCCGTCGCGGCGCCGTTCGTCCTCGGCCTCATGTACCTCGAGTTCCCCATCGCCTACCCGATCGCCAAGCTGCTCGACCGCCTCCTCGGCGAGGAGCAGGGCGTCACGTACAAGAAGGCCGAGCTCAAGACGTTTGTCGGCCTGCACAAGCGTGCGTCCCCAAGCCCTCGGTCTCGACCCACTCGGAGCGCACACTGACGAGCGCCGCCGTCCTCGCAGAGTTTGGCGAGGAGACGCTCAACGACGACGAGGTCACCATCATATCGTCGGTCCTCGAGTGCGTCCTGCATCTCCCTCGCGTCGTGTCACGAGCGGCGCACTGACCACGAAGCGTGCAGGCTCGGCGGCAAGAGCGTTGCCGACATCATGACCCCGCTCGAGGGTGCGTCCACTTCTCGCTTCCACTTCCCCCTCGCCGGCCTCTCATGACTTCCTTCGCCTCTGCAGACATCTACTCGCTGCCGTCGGACACCAAGCTCGACCACACCGCCGTCGACCAGATCCTCGTCTCGGGCCACAGCCGCATTCCCGTCCACATGCCCGAGAACAAGACGGACTTTGTCGGCATGCTCAGTGAGTTCCTCTCTTGACTCCCTTCGCGGCAGCACCGTGGGCCCCCTGTCTGACTCTCCTGCCTCCACAGTCGTCAAGAAAGTGCGCTCTCAAGCCTCTTCGGAAAATCGTTTCCCTCGAAGCCGCACTGACCTCTGTCGCTCGCGCAGCTCATCTCGTACGACCCAGAGGATGAGAAGTGCGTCCTCTTCATCTTTCTCTTCTTGTCGTTCCCGACTGACGAGCTCTTTCCTGCAGGCTCATCGGCGACTTTGCGCTTTCCGTCCTGCCCGAGACCGGTCCCGACTCGACCTGCCTCGACGTCCTCAACTACTTCCAGCAGGGTCGCTCGCACATTCTGCTCGTCTCCAAGGTGCGCATCTCTCTCTCTTTCGCAAGACGAGCGCACAAATCGTAACAGCGGCCTAACCCTGATTTTCTTCCGGCAGACTCCTGGCGAGCCGGGCGGCGCGATGGGCGTCGTCAGCCTCGAGGACATCATCGAGGAGATGATCGGCGAGGAGGTGCGTCCCCTCTTGCATTCGCGGTCGTCTTCGATAGACCCTGACTGACTGACTCTTTCCCCTCGCAGATTGTCGACGAGACGGACCTGTACATCGTGCGTCTCGCGGCCAACTCTCTCTCGTGAACGTCCCGAAACTCACCTCGCTCGTCTCGTCGCGCAGGACATCCACGCCAAGACCAAGGTCGTGCGCGCGCCCGCTCGCAAGCAGGCTGCGGGCGCCGGCAAGCAGCTCGCCCCGCTCATTGCTGGTGCGTCCACCTCTCTCTTGCTCCTTCCTCTCCTCGCTGGACTGACTCTGATCGCCTTGCGCAGGCGTCATCGAGCGTCGTCGTCAAGCTCGTCGGCAAAACACGGCCGACCCGCCAGGCTCGTTCGGCCTGCCCGACAGCGCCTACACGACCGACGGCCGCTCCACGCCAGCTCTTGGGGCCGGTCCGGCGTCCGGCTTCGACAAGGTGCGCCTGCGCGGCGGCGGCATGCCTGAGCGGCGGCCCGGGAACGGCGCGGCGACGCCGATACGGCGGGACGCGAGCCCGGCGCGCGTTGTCGGCCAGCGCAGCCCGAGCTCGCTGCGGCAGTCGATGGAGGACGAGCGCACGCCGCTCATACAGCAGAGCGGCAAGAATGGCGACCAGGCGTAGCTGTCGCCGAGCCGCCCTTCCTTCTCTTTGTCCTTGTCCTTCCTCCCCTCTCGCACAGACCCTCCTCGCACAAAGCAATTTTCCTCCTCCCTTTCCTCCCTCCTCGCCGTTGGTCGAGCCTGTAGACTATATCTGTCGAGCTTGGCGCGAAAAGCCTTTGCGATCGTCCTCAGCTGCTCCTGCGAGAGGCTCGTCGACTTGAGAAGGCCGACGTCGGCGGGCTCTCGCTCGAGGTCGCTCGCTATCACGGACCTCTCTGGATCTCGCTTTCGCTCGTCTACGCTCTCGAACCCTGCCGCATGGCCGATAAGGCGCGGCGGATCGTTGAGTGTCTCCGGAGAGGTTCGAGCAGCAGGTTCCTTTAGTCTCAGTCAGCCACCTCGGCGGCGAGCGCCTCCTCGGTGAGGCACCGCAGTGCCTCGAATGATTGCAATGCCCTGCCGTCAGCAGGTTTCCGAGACAAAGTGCGCTCCCATGCTGAGGGTGAGCTGGACGAGGTGCGAGCGAGAGAACCCGCAACCGCCCACAGACGACGAGGCGCGCTCTTCCTCGAGCTCCGTACGCTCGTTGTCCGAGGCAGACCTCGCGCGCAGCTCTTCGACTGATCCAAGCGAGGGCCGGCTCGAGAAATCGCACAGGCCGCGACGGGCAGACTCGAGCTGCAGCCCAGCGCTTTCGTCGACTTGCAGACACACTCGCACCTTGTCGATGCGTCTCTGCGAGCGAGCACACGTGCAAGTGCCGCGAGGAGAGCGCGCTCGAGCCCTCGTTTCGATTCAAACTGCCTCGACTTGCTCGCTCTCCGGCCTCTCAAGCTCGCTCGCGACGGGCTTCTCGCTCTCTGTCGACGGGCTCGGCTGCAATCGAGGGAAAGAACGCTCAAGTGCAGAGGGGGGCTGAGTAAAATGGCACGACAAGGGTACGAAAGCGAGACTCGGACGCGGACATACTGAAGGAGGCGCGACGAGACGAGGGAGGGGTACAGGGGAGCGCGGAAGGGGGAGGGGCGTCTAAAAAGGCGCGCAACGGTGCGCGGCGAGATGAGGTGCGAGGCCAAGGAAGGGCGAGACGACGGCAAAAGGGGCGAGAGCGGGATGAAGGACGAAAAGAACTGCGGCGAGTAGTGACACGGGGTAACAGGGAGGGTAAGGGGCACACGAAGGGTACGGAGAGAAAGGGTGTATGACAAAAGTGGCGCGAGAGAGGGGGGTTAAGCCGAGGGAGAAGGGTGGGAGGAAGGGGAGGAGGCGGCCGGCGAGCCGATGACGGCAGTCGTGGCGCCGCTCTGCGCAGCCGACGCCGGCCCGCTCGACGACGGCGGTGCGACGGCGACGATCTTCTTACGCAAGGCCTGCAGGCGGGCCGAGATGCTGTTGACGAAGCGTGTCACGGTCGCACGGTCCTCGTCGACCTCGGGCGACGACGGCAGGCCGGCGTGCATCGTGTCGTCGAGGAGGGCGTAGAGCATCCACAGCGCCGTCTCGTACGCCGTCTCGCAGTCGGACGGGTTCTCGCCTCGGAGCTCGTTGACAGCGGCGGCGCGTGACTGCAGGCGACGATGACGGACCAGAATCAGTCATGCGCTCGAGCCTGCTGCGGGTCCTCGCCGAGGCGAGGCGGACGGACTGGGGACGGACACAGAGAGGGAGAGAAAGCGAGAGACGTACCAGCTCGAGGGCGCGGTCGTAGACGAGCTTCTCGGCGTAGGCGGCCGACTCGGGGATCTCGTCCTGGCAGCGCGATTTGGCGAAATCGGCTTTGTCGAAGCACTCGTTAAAGCGCTGCCGAAACCACTGGACGGCTGCGCGAGAGGAAGAGAGAGAGAAGGACTCGTCAGTAACGGCGACAGGGGGGAAAAAGGGGAGGGAGGGTCCGAGCACGCACCGTCGTTAAAGTCGGGGCTCGCCGCCTGCTGCTCGGTCGGCCGATTTGCCCAGTGCTTCCTCGCACGCTCGATGCCCTTGCCGAGGAACGCGAGCGCCTTGAGGTACAGAACCATGGCCTCGGCGGCGAGCACGTCGGCGCGGACCGACGCCGAGCTCGCGAGCGCGCCCGGGTGCGGCCGGTCGGACGACGACGCACTCGAGCCACGGCGCATGCTCGGGCTTGTCGGCACGGCCGAGAACGGGTTCGAGGCGGCAGCTGATTGGGCTTGGGCCTGCTCGCGCGCGGCGAGGTGCGAGAAGTAGGACGGCGTGCCGAGCGAGGTGGTCGACGTCGAGGCGGCGGGCGTCGGCGGCAGGAGCTGGAGGATCTTGGCGTCGGCGAACTCGAACAAGACGAGGGCTTTTTGCGCGATGTCCTCGAGGTCGGCGAGGACGCGCTCCTCGTCCGGGTCGGCGGTGGTCGGCGCCGTCATCGACCGCGGGATGGGCTTGCGGACCGAGCTGCGGCGCACAAGGATGCCGTCGGTCGGGCTGCCAAAGATCTTGAGCGACGACAGGTTGCTGAACGCCTTGGCGAGGGCGGCCGACGGGCTGCCGACGAGGGCGAGCGGCGACCCGGGAAAGCGCTCGATCGGGTGCGTGAAGCTGCGAGGCGAGCTCGACAGGAATGACAGGGGACGTGGCGACGACGAGAGCGAGTACGGGTGGTGCGGCGTCGGCTGCGCTCGCTGCGGGATGGCGAACGGCGGCGTCGACGTGTCGCCGACAGGCGCGCCAGGACCAGGAGGGTAGGGCGACGACGGCGACGACGAGGACGGCGGCGAGGGAAGGGCTGCGCCGCCAGGCTGGTTGCCCGTCGAACTCGGCGCTCGAGAGAGGAAGCCGCGCGACGGCCGGCGAGCGACAACGCCCTCGCGCTTCGGGGCCTGCTGAGCGAGCTCGTCGGCGAGCGCGTTGATCTCGACCGTGCGCTTCTCGACGACGACGTAGTCCTTGCCGAGGATCGAGTCGTTCGAGTCGGACATCGAGTCGGACGCCTTGTTCGTCGACGCAAAGCGCTCGACCGCGGACGGCGGCGGCGGCGGTGCAGGCGTCGAGGAAGCGGGCGAGTCACTGCTGCAGGAGGACGTGCGTGAGCCACCGTTATCGTACAAGGTCTCGTTCACGAACGGACTCGCCATGCGGGCGCGAGGAAGGGGCGAGAAAAAGAGAGCGTGACGCACCTGCTCCTCCTGACGATCCCAGCGTTCCCGCTCCCAGCGCCGCTCCCTGCGCCCGCTCCACCTCCTCCTCCCGCACTTGTGCCCCCGCCACTCCCGACACTGACTGGGCCGACACCGAGCCCGACCCGCTGCACAGCTCCGACCTGCCCCATCGCCGGCGCGAAACTGCTCGCACGGCGGATCCCAGCTTGGGCCTGGCCCTGCTGCGCCCCGATGGGCGGCGACGGGCTCGGTACGGCGCTCGGCCGGCGCGCGAACGGCGGGAGGTCGGCGTCGGGCGGAGCGAAGCGCGAGATGGAGGGAGCGGCGGGGCTCGGGGAAGGCGCCGCGACGGGCGCAGGCGAGGAGGAGGGCGTTGGGCGGGCGGTACGAGCCGCTGAGCGTGTGGCGAGGGTAGGAGAGGGGCGCGACGAGCCGCGAGGGACGGAGGAGGAAGAGGGAGCGAAGGCGCCCTGCTCGACCGACGGCGACGGCGCGTCCCGCCTCCCCATGCCAACGCTCGTGTGCTCCGCAGCGACGCTGTCGGGCGGTACGACGGCGCTGCGGTCCTGGGCGCGTGCGGCCGCCGAACGAGCGTTGGCCGCCACGCGCGCCGACACGACCTCGGCCGGCGCGAAGCCGCTCGCCGAACCCGACTGCGCGACCGTCGCCGCCTCGAGGAAGAAGTCGTCGAAGCTCATGCGCTCGTTCGGGTGGCGCTTGAGGAGGCGGCGGATGATGGCCTTGACGTCGCTCGAGACCTTGGTCGGCACCTTCTGCTCGTGCGGCGGGAGCGTCTCGTCGATGCGCTTCTCGTCGGGGAACTTGATGCGGTCCTCGCCTCGCTCGATGCGCCGCAGGAGGTCGACGTGGTTCTGCGCTCGGAACGGCGGCTTGCCGACCGACATCTCGAACAGGACGGCGCCGACCGACCACAGGTCCGCCTTGGCGTCGTACTTCTCGTAGCGCAAGATCTCGGGCGCCATGTAGAGCCTGCAGGGTGGGCAGTACTTCGTCAGTTGGTATAGGAGAAGGACAGGGCGAGGGAAAGGAGGACGCACGGCGACCCGCAGAGCGTCTCGGCCATGCTCGAGCTCGGCAACCAGCGCGCAAAGCCAAAGTCGGCGACCTTGAGGACAGGAATGCCCGGTGGATGCCCTGCGACGAGGTCTGCAGCCGAGGCGGGCTGGAGGAGAAGGTTCTGCGGGACGAGATCGCGTCAGACGCGCGAACGTAAGGAAGAGAGGAAGGTGCGAGGACGGACCTGAGGCTTGATGTCGCGGTGGATGACGTTCTGCGAGCGCAGGAACCGTAGTGCATCGACTGTGTCGCGGAACAGGTGCATCTAGTCAGATCTGCGCAGAAATACGAGGCGACGAGGTGCGAGAGAGTCCGAGACGCACCGAGTTGGCCGAGGAAGCAGCGCACGATCGTCTCGTTGAGGCCGCCCTCCTTCGGGTGCGGGTACAGGACCTTGTCGGACGGCTTGCGCGCGGGCGAGTCGGGCAGGAGGCCGGCGTTGGACGCCGTGAGCGACGGGAGGTCGCCCCGCTTGCGGATGTACAGCGACAGGTCGCCCGCCGAGCAGAAGTCCATGATGAGGTAGATGTGCGTGTCGGTCTTCTGTGGACGTGTGCGCCGAGGAGGAAGACCGAGTCAGGTCTTGCGCCATGCGCCGGAAGGAGGGGGAGAAAGGGAGAGAGGGGTGGGAGGAGAGGGCACGCACGAGGCAGTCCTTGAGCTCGACGATGTTGCGGTGCGTGATGCGCTTGAGGATCGAGATCTCGCTCTCTAGGTTCTCGAGGAGCTTGGTCGTCAACTTGCTCCGGATGACCGACTTGATGGCCACGGCGCCGCGCGTGTCCTGCAGGAACGAGAAGAGTCAGGACTCTGCGCGCTGCTCGCATGCGGTCGATCGGGGCGTCGGACGCTGACGGGGCGGGACGAACGACCGTGGCTCGTCTACGCGCCAAGAGGAGGGAGAGGGGAGCACGCACCTGCCGCTCGCCGCGATAGACGGTCGCGAACGACCCCCTGCCAATCTCCTCGGCGATGGCGTAGGGCCCTATGCGGTCGCCGTCGTCATCGTCGGGGTGGGCGTGGCGGCCTCGGTGGTCGCGCTGGTGGGTGGTGGACGGGGTGCGGGAGGAGGGGTGGCGCGACGAAGTGGGGGAGCGGTGCAGAGGGTCGTGGGTGGGAGGGCGTGGGGCGGGCATGTACGCCCTGTGCTGCTCGGTGTGGGCACTCGGCGGCTGGCGGACTCGCTCTCAGGCGGGAGCGGCGAGGGCGAGAGCGGTGGCGCGGAGGGCTGAGTTGAGAGACGAGGCGAGCGAGGCGGGCGAGGGACGGCGCGCGCTGCAAAGCGGGTCGGTGGTGCGCTCTTCGAGTAGGTGCTGCTCGCAGGTAGACTGCTCGTGGCCCAGTCGCGAGGGCTGTGGTGTGTGGGCAGACGGAGTCATCCTGCGCCGACCTCTCGCCTGATCGCGACATCTGCACGCTCTCGCCGGCTCAGATCGAGTCCTGCGTCTCCCTGGCCAGCCGCAACACACTCGCAGGGCACGATCCAGCGCGGCTCGATTTTCCTGAGCGGTCGCTCCTCCTCTCCTGACGACCCTTCCGGCTCGCCTCCGAGTCTCGGGCGGGAGCTCGCTCGCGTGACCTGGACATCGAGATCCCTTTCTCTCTCCGTGCCCCGAATCTCTCGACAGCGAGAGCAGGTCTGCTTGTACCGGTGCTCGTTGCAGCGGCTGCGCCGGTCGTCGCGCGCACGCCGGCCGCACGGGCCCGGCTCAGTGCGCCATGCGCTTCTCCTCGCCCTTCTCATCGGGAATGAGCTTGCCCGGGTTCTGCAGTGTGCCGAGGAGGGTCAGGCGAGGCTCCTGCGCAAGCGCGAGAGGAGGAGGTGGGCGCACGAGGATGTTCTGCGGGTCCATCTGGCGCTTGATGTCGCGCAGCAGCTGGACCGTTCCGGCGCCGAGCTCGGCCTCGACGTAGGGCTGTGGACGAACGAGGGCGAGAGGGACGAGATTGGCGGTCAGTGACGAGCGCCAAGAGGAGACCGGGAAGAGGGTTGAGGACGAGGGCGCACCTTCTTGCCGATGCCGACACCTGTACGCGCACGTCGTGCTCGTCAATATCTGCTCGCCTGACATGAAGAGATCGAGAGAGAGAGTGAGTCAGGGCGCACCGTGTTCGCCCGTCGCCGTACCGTCCATGCGCTGCGCCCGCTCGACCATGTTGTGCACGAGCCGCTCGACCTTGACGAGCTCGTCGGGCGTGCGGAACAGGAGGAGCGCGTGGAAGTTGCCGTCGCCTGCGAGCGTGTGGGACCGGGTCGTCAATTGTCGGGCTCGAGTAGGAGAGGTGGACGAGGGAAGAGGCAGGAAAGGAGAAGAGGATGAGGGGGAAGAGGTCGAGATCGGGCGAGGCGCACCTGCGTGGCTGACGATCGGTCCGACGATGCCCTCGCTGTCGATGTCGGCCTGCGCGAGAACGAGGGAACTGGGAGGTCAGGCGGCGTGCCCCTCGCTCGTCGAGAGGGGGCGAACCGGCCGGGCGCACCTTGGTCTCGGTGATGAGCTCAGGGAAGCGCGACAAGGGCACGCAGACGTCGGTGACCCAGCACTTGGCGCCCTTGAGGTACTCGAGAGCCGACCACAGCGCGATCTGCGGGGCGTGAGGAACGGGAAGAGAGGTCAGTCAGATTGGGCCGGTGGAGGGTCGAGCGGCTTCTCGACGCCGTCGCGAGCCTGCGCCGCTCCGGGCGAGGCTCTCAAGTACTCGTGCGACCTTGGGAGGGGAGAAGAAGGAGAAAACCAGGGGCGCACCTTGCGAGAATGCCAAATCTCCTCGGCCTCCTTGTCGTTCCTCGCGAACGCGAACCCGCTCCCCTCGTTGCTCTGCGTGATCTTCTTGGTGCGCTCGATGTCGATCGCCATCTGCTCCTTGGTGCCGCTGAACTTGAGGAACAGGCTCGGCTTGACCGGCCACGTGCGTGCGCCCTTGCCCGCCTGCTGGTTGGTCGCGTCGACCATGACGTCGTCGAGGAGCTCGATGCACGCGAGCGAGATGCCGTGCTGGACGAGGTCGCGGGCGGCGGCAGCGGCGGCGGCGATGGTCGGGAAGGACGAGACGGCGACGGTCGAGGGGAGCAAAGGCGCGAGCTTGAGCGTCGCTGCGGGCAGAGGAAGGGTCAGTGCGCGTGACGGACGAACGGAATAATCGAGGGGCTGACGCACCCTCAGTGACAATGCCGAGGGTCCCTTCTGCGCCGATGAAGAGCCTGCTGAGGTCGGGGCCGACCGACGACTTCCTGCAGGACGAGGCGGCGGGGCTGAGTTAGGGACGCTGCGGCTGCCGGGCTGCGCTCGAGCAGCTCGAGGCGACGTACTTGGCTCGTTGCCGCGTCTTGATGACCTCGCCGCTCGCGAGGACGACCGTCAAGCTGCGCACGGGCCGGTCAGGGTCAGGTCGGGCGGATCGAGCAGGGAGAGGGAGAGAGCCGGCGCGACGCACTTAAGGACGTTGTCGCGCATCGTGCCGTACCGCACCGCGTTGGTGCCCGAGGCGCCCGTGCCGATCATGCCGCCGATTTGCGCTCCTCTGCGTGTGAAAGGCTCGGTGAGCGGTGGTGGGGGAAAGGGCAAGGGGAAGGGGGACGCACGGTGCCGGGTCGACGGGGAAGAAGAGCGGGATGCCTCGCTCCTTGAGCTCGGCGTTGAGGGCGTCGTACGAGACCCCGGGTTGAACGACGGCGTCGAGATCGTGGCCTGCAGGAGGAAGGTCGTCAGGACCGAGCCAAAGGCCGACTTTGCGGCGTTGCAGGAGGACGAAGAGAGACGGTGGACGCACTGTTGATCGAGACGATGTTGTTCATGTTCTGGGCAAAGTCGAGAACGAGCGCGAGGCCCGGCACGAGGTCGTCGACCTCGACATGGCCGTCTCGCGCGAGCTTCTCCTGCGCGTCCTTCTCGCTCGGGTTGTTGGCGTACCCGAGCGCGGTCGTGTGGCCCTCGAGCGACGTACCGGCGCAGTACGGGATGAGCGGGATCGAGTACTTGGCCGCCGTCTGGACAATCTTGACGACGTCCTCGGTCGAGCGAGGGTACAGGACCGCGCCGGGCAGGCCCGTCGGACCATGTGCAGCTGTGTGTGTGGGAGGGTCAGCCCGTGCACCGAGATGTTGGACAGAGAGGGAGAGGGGGACGCACCCCACTCGTTGTAGCCGTGCGCGACGAGCGTGTCGCGGCTCGTGTCGAGGTCCTCGTCCGACAGCCACGCGCGGATCTCGTCGAGCGCCTTGGTGAAGCCGTCGAGGGTCGGGTCCTTGTACTCCTTGGTCGGACCGGCCTTGCTCGACGCCTCTTGCCGGCCGAGAGCGTACGTGAGCGAGCCGGTGAGGGACGCGAGGAGGATGGCGCTGAGGACGCTGAGGCGTTGAGGGCGGGCGCGCAGGTGGGACGGGGTCTTGCCGGCGGGTACGGGACCTTTTGGCGTGACGCGAGAGGCTAAAGGGTGCGGGCGAGTCGCGAGAGTGCGGCGAGCGATGAGGATGGTGGGGGAGCGGAGCGGCGGGGCAATGGCGGCGGCGAGGGGCGATGCGCGCGCGGCGGGGACGATGCCTGTGCGTGCGAGCATGGCTAGAGTGGCTCGCGAGCAGCACGGCGCAGGTGGACGAGGGGAAAGAGGTGCCGACGGCGCCGTTCGCGTGCCGGGCGGCCTTTCCCCGCGGCCGGTCGCACTCTCCACAGCTCGTCGCTCAAGCAGGCTGCGAGAGAAGCACGCTCTCGTCGACGAGCGCGACTCGGCTGCGCGGACGCTTCTCGTCCTCTCGCCCGAGCCGACCGACGCGGCTGCCGCGGTCGAGCCTCGCGCACAAGCTGCTGCAGGCGAGCCTCTCTGCCCGCCAGACCACGACCGCAAGCACAGTGCACAGGCAACTGCGCGCCCGAGCAGTACAAGGCCAAGGCGCTCGTTGCTCTACCGCCTCGCCGCCGCTCGACCTGCCTCTCGCCCTCGCGCCCGCATCTCCCTCCGACCGCTAGTCCCGGTCCACCTCGCGCTCCTTGCCCTTCCACCGCACCTCGTCCACCTCGCTCTCCTCCGACGACAGCGACGAGCGCGGTGCGTCGCCCCTGCCCGCCAGCCGACGCTCCTCGTCCTCGCCGTCGCCGCGTGCGCTCGACCCTCCGAGGCGCGCGTACCGGCCGCGCTTGCTCTTGCGCGCGCCGAGGGAGCGCATGCCCGTCGCCGGGCGGCCGAGCGACTGGGCGGCAGGGGCTGGAGCGGCCGGTCGGGACGAACAGCTGGACGAGGCGACGGCCGAGAACGCGATCGAGAGCTGGAGGGACGCCGACACCGAGAAGAGCTGCGGCGGTGGAGGAAGAGGCGGTTGTCGACGAGGCCGTAGAGACAATGACGTGGGACGGCGACAGTCGGGGACAAGGTAGGGAGGAGAGGAGGGACGAGGTCAGGCTCTCTCGCTCGGACGAGGGATGGAGAAAGGGCAGCGCACCACCATGAGCGCGACGCGCATCCACTCGGCGTCGCACTGGACGTACTTGGACACGGTCGTAGACACCTCGGACGTCATGGTCTGCGCGCCCTCGCTGCAACGACGGCTTCTGGGTCAGGGTGCGCTCGAGCCTGGACGGATGAGGAGAGCGAGAAGGGACGCACCAGACGGTACCCATCTGCCCCTTGAAGCTCCAGATCGCGTAGCAGACGACATCGGTGACGGCGAAGAGCTGTGAGAGGCGAGGGTTAGTGCGCAAGAAAGGCGAGAGAGAAGAAGGGGGAGACGCACCGCCGTCAAGCCCGCCGTTAGGGTCGCACACGACCCAGCGCTGCCGCGCACAAAGGCGAGGATCACGAAGGCAACGGTCGCCGCTGCGCCCGACATGGCGCCGACGTACTGCGAGATCGAGCCGAGGTCGGTCGCGAACGTGCGAGTCGACAAGGCCGGCCAGTTGTAGTACTGCGGGCAGGCTCGAGTCGTCAAGCTCCACCTTCTCGTGACGACGAGAACGGATGACTCGCCAGCGTGGCGGTGGTGACGGCGATGAGGAGGAGGATGTTGAGGCCCTGCCCGGGAAAAGAGGTGAGCTTGCGACTCAGGCTCGCGACGTGGACAGAGAGAGGGACAGAGGGACGTACATGAAAGATGAGGCCGCAAGGCATGCTTTGCGTGCGAGTCGAGAAGCGTAGCTCGAGCGAGGAAGTGGCGAGAGCAAAACGAGGAGGAGAGGGACGCCGAGCGGCAGCCGCTCGTCGCGCTCAGACCTCGGCGGACGTTCCGGACGCTCCGCGGGCGATCCGCGAGCGCCCCGGTCGCCGCAAGCCTCTGTCGAGGTCACGTGCAGCGAGGAGCCACGCGATCGAGCGCAAGCGAGGCGCGAGAGCGCTCGGCCCTCTCGCGACGAGGAAGGCCGCTTCGGCTCGACTCGAGCTCATCTTGCAGCGCCGACGAGCCGCTCCCTGACCCACGCCTCTGCCCGGCGTCCTGCCTCCTCCCGTATGCGCCGCCCTCGCTCGTCCTGCGCAGGCGCATCCGCCTCGTCCGCCTCGTCCTCCCAGCTCCCCCTGACCTCACCTGCTCGCCCGTGCGCGCCGGCGCCCTGGGCAGGGCCTCCTCCTCGATCGTCACGTCCCTCGTCCTCCTCGACCATCTCGCCCTCGACCTCGCACTCGAACAGCAGGCCGCTCGCGACCCACGCGACCGGGTCCGGCGGGAACTTGTACGCGCGCCGGACGGCCGGCCACAGGAGGGCGTCGCGCACGCGGGGCGCAGCACGCCGCAGTAGGGCACTCGTCGGGTGGAACGACGAGGGGAGGTGCAGGGTATGGGCGAGGGCGGCCACGCGGGGAGGGAGGGGAGGGAGGTGCGACGACGAGAAGAGGCGCGCGAGCGACGCCGACGACGGGCGCAGGAGGGCGTGGTAGAGTGAAAGGAGGTGCTCGATATGTGGGCTCGAGTGTCGAGGGCGAGGGTACAGGGATGCTGGCGGCGGGAGGTCGGACGACTGCAGGAGGGCGAAAAGCGCCGAGAGGAACGACGAGAGAGGGGCGCTCGGGGACGATGTTGCGGGCGATGTCGCCGAAGCCGAGACAGTGGTGAAGGCGGGAAGGAGGTGGGCGTGGAGGAGGTAGAGCGCGATGAAGTAGGCGCGCTCGTCGGGATCTGGCGAGTTGGCCGACGAGAGCGAGAGGTGGGCGAGGGCGGCATCGAGACTTGCTGTCGCCGGCACAGGCGTCGACGCGACGGGTTGAGGACGGCTCGGCTGAGCGTGCAACGCCTGCACGAGGTGGGGCAGCGACGAGGAGAGCTGCGGGTCGTTGTTGGCGTAAACCGAGAGGAGGACCGACGCGGTGTAGGCTGCGGGGAAAGCGGGTCAGGCTCGTTCTGCTCTGAGGAGGGGACCAGTCGACGCACCCTCGCGCGCGAAAGGGTCGACCCGTCGGCTCGAGAGGATGCCTTCGCGAAGCTTGCCTGCGACGAGCGAGAGAGTCAGGGACAACGCCGGCGAGGCGGGTCGGTCCGAGGGAGAGGGACGCACGGAAGTCGAGCAGGATGATACCGAGCTCCTGCTTGCGGAGGTTGCGGAGCTGTGCACCCCGGCCGGCAGGATGCGCGGTCGACCAGCGGCTCATCTTGTCGGCGACGTGCTTGCGGAAGCGCTCTTGGACGTCGTGGTTGCGCAGCCTGATGCGGGGCGTATTGCAGTCAGCTGACGAGGCCGAGGGAGTACAAGGAGCGGCAGGGAGAGGGACGCACGACGCGTCGTCGTCGTCGTCGTTGCCGGCGAGCGAGCCGCTTTGGAGGCCGCGGCTCGGGGACAAGAGCAAGTCGAGCTCGGCGGGTTTGCGGCCGATGTCGGTGCGGGCCATGGTGAAGCCGTCTCGCGCGATCCCGCCTGGACCGGTCGGCGTGGGTTTCGTGCGAGGCGAGGAGGAGGCGCCGCGAGACGAGCGAGGAGGAGCCCACCGCGATGAGGGGTTGTGCGGGTGGATCGGGGCTGCAAGGGAGCTCCCTCGGCGCCAAGGCTGGCCCGAATCCATCACGAGCGGGACGAGAGCGAGGTCGTGGGGTGCTGTCGTCGTCCTCATCTCCGTCGAGCTCAGTCTGGCGCTCGCAACACGGCACCACTCTCCGCATCGACCATGGCTCAGCCAAGACCCCGCATGAAGACTGTGTGAGCTTGCGCACGACCCTTCTTCTTCCAACGAGCCCGCCCCGTGCCCTCGTCGCCGAGCCGCACCTCCTCGCCCGCCAACTCAAGCTCGAGTCGCCGTATCGCGACCATCACCCGCAGCGTTCTCGAACATGTGCCGAACTACTTCCTGAGCTCTCAAGGAGCTGTACGAGCAGGCGCAAGCTGGTTCAGGACGTGGGCGGCGAGGACGCGGGTTACGACTTGAGCGCAGGAGCACCTCGTCCGCGTGGAGTGGACCAGTACACTGACCGTTCAGGTCTCCTCCGTGCAACAGCTTCAAGGAGTACAAGTCGTACCAGCCGATCCACACGGGCGGCAAGGCGACCCTGTCCGCCGACGGCTCCTGGCTCGTCTCGACTCTCAACGAGCAGGCCCTCGTAACCGACATCGAGACGGGCGAGCAGCTGCAAGAGCTCAAAGGAGTGCGTCGAGACGTTCTCTCGCAGCTCTCCTTCCCTCAGGAGTGCCGGAGCTCACGCGTCGCGTCCCTCGCAGGACACGTCGGCCGTCACGACCCTCGCCATTACGCCGTCGCCCCTGTCGCCGCAAGACGGCGGCTACCTCTTGACCTGCGGCCGGTCCCTCGGCATCCACATCTACTCGCTCCCGTCCCTCGCCCTCCACCGCAACGTCGCCCGCGCCCACGACGCGCCCATCATCACGTCGTGCGCCGACCCGACCGGCACCTTGTTCGCGACCGGCTCGGCCGACGGCATCGTCAAGGTGTGGGACGCCGCCAATGGTCACTGCACCCACGTCTTCAAGGGCCACGGCGGCGTCGTGAGCGCCATGGCGTTCGACATCGCGAGCGCGGGCGACGGCGGCCGCCAGGGCCGTGCGCGCCTCGTCACGGGCGCCGACGACTGCAAGATCCGCGTGTGGGACCTGCGCACGCGCGAGGGCCTGTACGTCCTCGACGGCCACGTCTCGGTCGTGCGCGGCCTCGACGTGACGCGCGACGGCAAGACGCTCGTCAGCGGCGGCCGCGACAAGGTCGTCAACGTGTGGGACCTCGAGCGCGGCGTCCTGCGCAAGACGCTCCCCGTGTTCGAGACGATCGAGGCCGTCGGCATCGTCGACGTGCCCGAGGCGGGCGCGGCGGGCGACAAAAAGGGCAAGGGCAAGGAGACGGGCTCGACGAGGAGGGCCGTCTTTACGGCCGGCGACAAGGGCGTCATCCGCCTGTGGGACCTGCTCACGAACGAGCAGATCAAGACGGCGGCCGACGAGGTGACCAAGGGCGGCAAGGTCCACGAGATCGTCGACGTCGTGTGCGTCCCGTTGTTCCTTCTCCCTCTCCCTCTGCGCGTTCCCTCCTGACACCTCGATACTCGCAGCCACACCCCGGCAACCTCTTCCCTCACCGCCATCCACGTCGACCAGAACATTGTCACCCGCTCGCTCCCCTCGCTCGCCACGACCCGCCAGATCATCGGCTTCAACGACGAGGTCATCGACGCGTGCTTCGTCTCGGCCTCGTCGTTCTCGTCGAGCGTCGACGCACCCGACGCGGCGTCGACGTCGCTCCCCGAGTCGCACCTCGCCGTCGCGACCAACTCGGACCTGATCCGGGTGTACGACCTCGACCGGTTCAACACGTCGCTCCTCGAGGGCCATGAGGACGTCGTCCTGTGCCTGACGCGCACGACCGACGGCCAGGTCCTCGTCTCGGGCTCGAAGGACAACACGGCGCGAGTTTGGCGAGCGCGCCAGGGCGAGGACGGCGGCGCGAGGTGGGCGTGCGTCGGCCGGGCAGAGGGCCATGTCGAGTCGGTCGGCGCCGTCGCGACGACCAAGCGGGATCGGCACCTCCTCGTCACGGCGTCGCAGGACCGCACGGCCAAGATCTGGGACCTCGCGGCGTGCCTGTCGGCGTCCGACGACGACGGCGACGACCTCGACGAGCCGCTACCGCTGCGCGCCCTGTCGACGACCAAGATCCACGACAAGGACATCAACTCGCTCGACATCTCGCCGAACGACAAGCTCCTCGCGTCGGGCTCGCAGGACCGCACGGCCAAGCTGTTCGCGATCGCGCACACGCCCGCGACCAAAGCGGCGCCGGCGCAGGCGACGCTCTCGCTCCTCGGCACGTTCAAGGGCCACAAGCGCGGCGTGTGGAGCGTCAAGTTCAGCCCTGTCGACCAGTGCCTCGCGACGGCGTCGGGCGACCGCACCGTCAAGCTGTGGAACCTCAACGACTTTACGTGCGTCAAGACTTTCGAGGGCCACTCGAACTCGGTCCTGCGCGTCGACTTTATGACGCGTGGCATGCAGCTCGCGACGGCGGCGAGTGACGGCCTCGTCAAGGTGTGGAACGTCAAGGACGAGGAGTGCGTCGAGACGCTCGACAACCACGAGGAGAAGGTGTGGGCGCTCGCCATCAACCGCGACGAATCCTTCGTCGTGTCGGGCGGCGCCGACTCGATGATCACGATCTGGGAGGACGTGACCGAGATCGAGGAGCTCGAGAAGGAGCAGGAGCAGGCCGACCTTGTCCTCAAGTGCGTCTCTCCCTCTCCTCGCCTCTCCCGTCGCCCTCTCTCTCACACGGGCACGTACTGACCTCTCGTCGTGTCTCGCAGGGAGCAAGATTACGAGAACTTCCTGTCGATGAAGGACTACTCGAACGCGATCATGCTCGCCCTCTCGATGGACCAGCCCCGACGCCTCCTCCTCCTGTTCACCGAGGTGCGCGCCTCGGCCGGCACCAACGGCGCCGAGGACCTCCTGTCGTTCACGGGCTCTCGGCACGTCGACGCCGTCCTGCGAGGCCTGTCGCCCGCCGAGCTGCGCCAGCTGTTCCGGTACATCAAGGACTGGAACACGGTCTCGCGCACGGCCGACACGGCGCAGACCGTCCTCCACGCCATCCTCAAGTTTCACGATGCCGACAAATTGCTCGCCGTGCTCGAGAACCGCGCCGACGAGGGCTCGAGCGGGCTCGACCTCGCCAACGGCAAGTCGGCGGCGCCCAAGGACGCCGACGAGGACGTCGACGACGACGACGAGGAGGCCAAGAAGCGCAAGAAGCGCACCGAGGTCAAGGCGAGCGAGATCCTCGGCGCCCTCATCCCGTACACCGAGCGGCACATGACCCGGGCCGACAAGCTCGTGCGCGAGTCGTTCATCGTCGAGCACCTCCTCGGCATGATGGAGGGCTTCGACGACTTTGACGTCGCTGGCAGTGACGACGCGGCGTCGGCGAACGGGATGGACGTCGACGAGGAGGACGACGACGACAAGGAGTGAGCGCGGGGCAGGAGGAGGGTGTAGAGCAACTCGCAACTTTATCGCAGCCAGCCTCTCTCTCTCTCCCTCGTGGGCGAGCAGAGCGTTCTGGACGAGCACGAGAACGAGAGCATGCAGGTGATATGGCAACAAGATTGACGAAAGCTAGACAAAGAATCGCCCGCTCGGACCTCCTCTCACCTCTTCCTCTTGACCGTCTTGCTCGCCGTCTTGCCGCCCGTCGTCTTCCTCGCCGCCGCCGTCGCCGCACCGCTCCCGCTCGACGCTCCTGCCCTGGCCTTCTTGGCCTTGGACGGCGCCTGCTCCTCGTCGCTGTCGAGGACGACCACCTCGGCCGTCGTCGACGAGGACGTCTTGCGCTTGGCGCCCCGGCCCGACGCCGGCGCAGCGGCTGCAGCTGGAGCGCTCGTCGTCGTCGACGCAGCCGCAGCCGCAGCGGCCGAGGCTGGCGGCGCCGGCGTCGCACCCTGCGGCTTGACCGCGTCTGCGCCCGTCGCCGCGCGCTTCCTCCCGGCGCTGTTGCTCGCCGCCTGGGCCTGCGCTTGCGCCTGGGCCTGCGCTTGAGCGTGTGCCGCCGCCGTCGCCGTGTTCTGCTCCATGCGCTGCGCGAGGAGGCGCGTAACGGCGAGCGTACGGCGGTGGTCCCTCGCCGCGACGGGCAGCGTCGTGCACGGCGTCTCGAAGTCGAAGCTCGTCTGCGCGCCTCGCTCAGGCGCCGACTGCCCAGGCGGCGCCGACGACGCCGTGCTCGTCGTGCTGACGGCGTCGAGGGCCGTCACGGCCGGGATCGTCTCGACGACGCGCGCTCGGAACGCTGCGAGGTCGAGCGGCCCGATGTTGACGAGCTGCGGCGGCGGATGCTGCGACGAGCGGCGGACGACGGCGGCCGACGCGACCGAGGACGGGTCCGTGTGGTCGAGCAGCTCCCACGGGTTGGCGACCAACGACGCCGGGGCGTACTGGCCGAACAGGCGCGTGAGGCGGGCGAACGTCGAGTCGGGCAATAGCTCGATGGCGAGGCGAGGGACGGAAGTGGACGGCGAGAGGAGCATGTGGAGGGTAGGCGGCCGAAGGGAGGGCTGCAGGTCGGGGAGGGCGAACAGGAGGTGCGAGCACGTGTCGAACAGGAGCGTCAGTAGCTCGCAAAGTTGGCCGAGGTCGCGCGCAAAGTGCTGCAGGGTTCGTGCGTCAGTTGAGGAACAGGCGACCGAGAGGCGGGAAGGGCGAGAGATGAGGGAAAGGGCGAGACGCACTGCCGCATGTCGAGCGAGGGGAACGATGCAGTCGCGGTACAGCTCAGCTGTCGATTTTTCGGTGGGCTTGCGCGTACACCTCAGGGCGACGGCGACGAGGTGCGCCAGGTCGAGCGTGAAGTCCTGCGTCTCGTTCGGGTCGAGGTGGTCGATCGAGTCGGCGAGGAAGCCGGTCTTGACGGCCTTGAGCAGCCGGTCAATCGAGTCGGTCCGACTTGTCGCCGTGCCGCTCTGGAGCAGCGTGTCGAGGAGGCGAGAGGCGCAGCGCAAGGTGGTGCGGGCGACGCCGACAGTCTCGAGGGAAGGCGACGTCGCGGTGAGGGCCGTGATGGCGTCGGCGATGCGGGAAAAGGCGACGCTGACGAGCTGCAGGGTCATCAGAGTCAGTTGACAGAACGGGAGGTGCGAGAGAGAGAGAGAGAGAGCGGGCGGACGTACCTCGTCCGAGGCCGAGCCCTTGTAGCACTTGACGACCTGCTCGCCGAGGTAGCTCTGGCCCTCGCCCGAGCACACGCGCTCGAGGAAGTGGGTCGACAGCGTGTGCAGCGCGTCGACCTTGTCGGCGCTCGAGATGGTGTCGTCGAGCTCGAGGCGCTCGAGGCACGACTCGACCTCGACCTTGGACGTCGACAGGCGCCACAGGGTGAGGCCCGACAGGAAGAGGTCCCAGTCCTCGGTCGACACGAGGCTAGCCGGCGTAGCTGCATGAGCAAGTACTCGTCAGGTCCTTGTCCTCGTGCGGGGGCAGGAGATATAGGGAAAGTGGGGCGCACCTGCGCCGCCGTCCTTGAGCAGGAGCAAGAGGCCCGCGAGGAGCTTGGGCCGGAAGAGCTCGATCCTCGGGATGGCGCCGACCGTCTCGCTGTCGAGCATGGCGTCCTTGAAGGCCGCCGGGTCGCGCACGACGAGCGTCTGCAGCTCGGGGAGAGTGCCGAGACGAAGGAAGAAGGCGCCGGTCGACTCGGCGAGGTCGGGCAGGCCGAGCACGCTCGCGACGTCCTGCTGGACGACGAGAAGGGCGAGCGACGCAGCGACGGCGGGGAGCGCCGGTCGAGTACCGAGGGACGCTCGGCGTGCGGCGAGTCGCTGCTGCGTCGCGAGCGCGGTCGGGGACGACGGCGACGGCGGGCTCGCTCCTGCTGCAGCCGGCTCTGGCGCGCTGAAGATGACGCTCGACAGGATCGTGTGCGTGTTGTGCAGCGCCTGCGCCGCCGCCGGGTCGGTCGGCGCGATGACGTGGCCAGCGCCGACAAGCTGGCCTGCTGCTGTCGGCGTGAGCAGGCCCAGGAGGACCCGCCGCAGGGGCAGTACGGCGCCCCTGAGCATCGCGACGGCGCCGATCGTGCCCTCGACGACGAGCTCGTTGAGCAGGGCGGCGCGGACAGGCCCGTCCGGGCCGCCGAACGTCGCGCAGAGCTGCGCCGCGCTCATTGAGCCGACCCACCGCGCGAGTACGGGCTCGAGGCCCGTCGGGAGGCGGTCGTGCAGCGCGCGAAGAAGGGCGGCGGCAGGCGAGGGACAGGTCGCCGTGGAGGGCGGGAGCTGCGGCGCCATGCGGAGGACGCTGTCGAGGGCGATGGTCGACCAGCTCGGATGGGCGTGGTACCGGAACCAGAGGGTCGACGCGAGCTGAGAGATGGCGGCGGACGAGCTGTCGATGAGGAGGGACTGGAGCTCGGTGAGCGGGGAAGGGAGGGCCTGGGTCTGCGCTCGCGACGCCGTGAGGGACGAGGCCAAGTTGCGGATGTCGGCCTCGAGCGTGTCCTTGGCGGTCGTCGACAGGTACCCCGCAGTGCCGAGTCGGCGCAGGAGGGCGAGGAGGCGCCGCTCTGGCGGCGTGTGGCACATCTTGAGCGACTCGTGCGCGGCGAAGAGGGCCGTTCCGACCTCGGCGAGGCTGTCGAGCGTGGTCGCGACGTCGAGCTGCGCCTCGAGGACGTCGATGATGTGGAGGACGACCGGGAGCGGCGGCGACAGCTTGAGGATGACGACGAGAAGCTGCGGAACAAGGTCGTCAGGGTCGGCTCTGGCGGGACAAGTCGCACGGCGAGAGGCAGACGCACCTGAACGAGGCCCCACCAGTCCTCGCACGCCTCGTAGACCGCGACGATGACCGCCATCTGCTCGACCTCGAGCCCGATCCGGCCCGACACCTGGTCGAGTCGTGCCGACAACCCCTCGGGCAGCAGCTCCCTCGCGACCGCACCGTGCGCGCCCTCCTCCCGCAGCGCCCTGACCGCCCGCAGCAGCGTCCCACACTCTGCGCCCGCCAGCATCGCCTCGGAAAAGACGAGGCGGCCCAACTCGGTGCGCACGACGCCCTCGAGCTCGTCGACGCGCAGCGTTCGCGCGACGCCCGCCTCGCCGCCGCTCGCCACGACACGCCGTCTTGCGCCGACGCCGGACGCAGGGAGAGCGGCCGTGCGGAGGATCCACAGGTGCAGGCTCTCGGTCGGCGCGTCGGCGCTCGGGCCGGCGACTGGGCCCGGCTCGGTCTCGCCGCGCGCGATGAGGCGCTGCAGGTACGCGCCGTAGCTGAGGACGCCTGCGCGGAGGAGCTCCTCGGCGAGTGCGCGCACGTCGCGCCGCTCGACCGGCGCGGCGGGCGGTCCTGCTGCGCCTGCTGCTGCCGCAGCGCCGACGCCGCCGACGCCTGTGGACGACGACGGGAAGCGCTCGTCGATCCAGCGGACGAACGCGTCCTCGACGCTCGGGACCGGGTTGTGCGACGAGCTGCGCGTCAGGCGCCGGCTGCGCCCGCCGTCGCCCTCGCCGTCGAGACGCTCGAGCTCGAGGGCGATGAGGCGCGAGACGGCGTACCGCCGATGAGGCGCAGGGAGCGGACGGGTCGTAGTCGTGCACCAGGTGAAGAGGAGGGGGAGGGCGTGCTCGAGGGTGAGAGGGCGGACGCTCGTGCTGGGGGTCGAGCTGCTGACGTCGTCGGCGGGCAAAGAGGGATGGCCGTCCTGGGCCGGGCTCCTCGTCGAGCTGCCCATCGGCGCTCGTGAACCCGCCGGCGACGAGCCGCAGACGTGCGCGAGCGGCCGGACCGCCGGCGCGACAAAGAGCGCGCGGTGCACGTCGCGCATCCTCGCGGGAAACTCGATCTCGTCGAGCCGCTCGATCGCGGCCAACAGGGCCTGGTCGTCGACCTCGAGCGACTCGTCCGAGCCCGAGGACGACGACAATGCGGCGCCGTCGGTCGGCTGAGCGAGGGCACGCCGCGCTCGCAGCTCGGCGACGTCGGCGGCGACCGTCTCGGTGAGGACGGCGCCGTCGTCGGCGTCGTCGATCGAGTGCTCCTGCCCGGTCGACAGGAGGAGCTTCTCGAGCCGGGCGCCCGACGAGGGCGTGCCGGGTGCCGCTCGTGAGGGCGAGTTGGTGCGCGAGGTCGAGAGCGGGTAGATGGGCGAGGGGAGGAGCGAGACGAACGAGTCGGGATGGGCGAGGAAGGCGGAGCGGATGAGGGAGGTGAGGGTAGTCGAGACGGTGGCGGATAGAGGGGATGCAGGCGCCGACTCGAGCTGCGAGAGGGAGAGGGAGACAAGTCAGGATTCGGTCCAGGACAAGGGCAGGATCGCGAGCCACAAAGAGACTCGATCGCTCGACTCACCTCTTCGAGTCTGAGAAGGCCTGCGCGAACGAGCCTCGCCGTCGCCGTCTCGCTCTGGAGCAGGTCGCCGAAGTACTCCTCGACGAGCAGGAGGGCGAAGGACAGCTGCCCGAGCGTCGCGCCGGCCTCGCTCGGCGCCGTGCTCGGCGGTGGAAGCGTCGAAGAAGGAGGGTCGAGGAGCGAGACGAGGAAATAGAGGAAGTGGGGGCGGTCGAGGAGCGCCTCCTGGTAGAGCGACTCGACGAGGCGGACCCTGCGGGCGTTTGACGGGCACAGTCAGTCACGCTGCGTCGATCCTTGAGAGGAGGGAGAGATGTTGGACGTACGTGTAGTCGAACTTGCCCTCCCACGTTTTCCTGCGGTCCTCGTCGCCGAAGAGCCCGAGCCCTCGCTCACCCCCGCTCACGCCGCCTGCACCAGCACTCGCCGTCGTCGCGCCTGCCGCCGCTCCTCCCGCCCCACCCTGCCGCGCCGCATCGGCCGCCGCCTGCGCCTTGACCGCCTGCGCCTGCTGCTGCGCCGCGCTGCCGAGGCTGCCCGAGCGAGAGCGCCCGAGGGCGGCGAGCGCCACCGGGACGGGTGTCGGCGTGCCCGGGTGCGACGGTGGTGCGCCGGGTGTCGTCGTGAGGGCACAGGCGGGCGCGGCGGAAGAAGCCGACGAGGGGAGGACGACCTCGGCGAGCTGCTTGCGGACGAACTCGCTCACGACGGTCGTGAACTCGGCCGTGTACTGGCCGATGGCGGTCGAGACGGGTCGCGTCTTGGCGAGAGATTGCTGCGTGCGAGGGACGCGAGGTGTCAGTACGGCTCGGGCTCGACGACAAGACGAGGCAAAGGAGGGCCGCCGAACGCACAATCTCGATGCCGCCGAACGCGCGCACGAACCACACGGCGCGGGGGACCTCGACCCTGCGGTGGGCGAGCATGTCGAGGCCCTTCTCGCCCTTGTAGCCGTGCGGGACGCTGCGGCTCAGCTTGGAGAGCGGGACGGCCGGCGACGCGAGGTCGGCGAACCACGCCTCGCGCTTGAGGTCGGTGAGCGTGATGCGCGACGGGAGGCGGAACGTCGACGGGCTGTTTAGGGCACAGTCAGTGACAGTCGCGACAGGTAGGCGAGGAGAGCGAGGAGGTGGGCGCACCCGTACGACGGGAGGCTCTCGTCGGCTTTGGCGTGGACGGCGGCGACGAGACGGCTCAGGTTGCCGAGGACGTCGGTCGTCTTGAGCTTGTCGTAGATGTGCTGGTGGGCGGAAAAGGTTTCTGCCTGCGAGACGGACGCCGTCAGTACGGGCTCGAGGAGCGAGGCAAAGGTGAGACGACGAGACGGACCTGGACGACGCTCTTTGCCGAGTAGCCGCTCTTGACGAGCACCTCGGCCATCGAGTCCTCGTCCATGCCGTCGCGCGGCGGGTAAAAGACGGGCCATGGCCGGGTCCTGCCCTTGTCGACGTCGTCCTTGTCGGCGGCGGCGGCGACGGCGGCGGCGGTAGCGGCACTCGACTGGACCTTGAGGAGGCCGGCAGCGCGGCCGAGGTGCTTGCTCGGCGAGGGGTCCTTGTGCGGCTCGAGGATCCAGGGTGCGCGCCAGGAGGGTGGCTCGAGGTGGTAGCGAGTGAGGCCTTGGTCGGCGAGGATGGCATCGAGCGGGCTCTGGCGAAAGGCGTGGCTGACCGAGGGGGTGGTCTGGATGGCGGTGGACCTCGTCGCGTTACTCGGTGCGCCGGAGGGGGCGAGTTGGGGCACTGGCGAGGCGGGTGTGGGGGCAGCAGGCGCAGGCGGAGAGGCTGCTGTGCGCCGAGGCGGTGGAGGGCGCGACATGGGCCAGCAGGGCGCACTTGCCGCGCAGGGTTGGTGCGCGAGTTCTGGGCGGAACGACGAGCTGTGCAGAGGCTGTAGCGAGCGAGCGAGCCGTGAGATGAAGCGTTGGCCAGTCCGCGGACTTTGCGGGGTTTTCGTTCCCCAGCTCTCTCTCTCTCTAGATCTCTCGCGCGCGCGCGGGTGGGTGTGCAAGCTTGCCAAGTGCTCGCGCCAAGTGCGGCTACAGAGTGTGATCTGAGCCGTTGCGGGCCGCTTTGGACGCGTGTCGACGCGGAAGCTCGAACGGCTCTCGCTCCCTTTGATCCACCCCCTCTCCCTCTCCCTCTCTCGCACCGACAGAGCCCTCGAGCACAGTCGAGCACACGGCCAAGCTCCCTCGACCCTCGCCTCGCCCACCACACCTACACGGCCGCCTCCCCCTTCAATCGCTCGCTCGCTCCTCTCCCCGTCACTCGCTCAACTCGGCACCCCTCGCCGCCTCTCTCTCGAGCCTCGCCCACCGACAGTCCACTCGTTCGACTACCAGCACACCGCCCGCCATGCACTCGTCCTTCCTCCCGCTCGCCGCCGCCGCCGTCGCCCTCGCGACCACCGCTCACCCCGCTAGCGCCTCGAGTGCCCACCACGCGCCGCCGCCGCCCAAGCACTCGGTCCACCGCTTCCACGACAAGCGCATGTACGACATTCGCGCAGACAACGGCGTCGTCAACATCGAGTGCGTCCCACCTTCCCCTCGAGCGACCCTTCCTCCTCCTGCGCCGCGCAACGGGCCCGCCTGACTCTCTTCGCGCGCCGCAACAGCTTCCTGTCGAACGACTTTGCCCGTGTCACGCGCAAGTTCAACAAGTCGGCCCTCAACTTCAAGGCCAACCACGCCGCGCTCCCGCACGCCGACCGCCTTGCCAAGCGCCGCGAGGACGTCTTTGCAAAGGCGCGCGCCATGGAGCTGCGCTACAGCGAGCACGAGCGCCGCGAGAAGAAGAAGCGCGACGCGTCCGTCATCGAGCGCCGGTCAAAGGCCTCGCTCGACAAGCGCGCCCCGAGCGGCAACGTCCCGCTCACCGACTACTGTGCGTCCCGCTCTCTGTCTCTCCCCCTCGCCGTCCGTCCCTCGTTTCGTGTCCCTGACTCGCTCCTCGCCCCTTGCGCAGTCAGCGGCGGCAACGACGCGGCCTACTTTGGCGGCATCAGCATCGGCACGCCCGCGCAGAGCTTCGAGGTCATCTTTGACACGGGCTCGGCCGACCTGTGGGTCCCGTCGTCCAAGTCGTCGACGTCGCACGACAAGTTCCGCGACTCGGCCTCGTCGTCGCTCGAGTCGTCGTCGGCCGAGTGGGACATCACGTACGGCACGGGCTCGAGCGAGGGCTACCTCGCGCGCGACGTCGTCAGCGCCGGTGGCTACACGGTCCAGCAGCAGATCTTTGCGCTCGCCGACACGTCGGCCCCGGTCGTCGAGGCGCTCCCGAGCGACGGCATCTGCGGCATGGCCTTCTCGACGATCGCGACCTCGGGCGCGCCCACCTTCCTCGAGAACCTCATCACGGCCGACTCGATCTCGCAGCCCCAGGTCGGCTTCTACCTGCAGCGCGCCAAGGACCTCACGAGCCAGTCGCGCGGCACGGTCGGCGGCGGCGAGATGTGCGTCGGGTGCGCCGACGCGAGCAAGTACACGGGCTCGCTCTCGTGGAACGCCGTCACGGCCCAGTCGTACTGGGAGGTCGAGTCGGACGGCGTCGCCGTCGACGGCAACGTCGTGTCGGGCACCAACATGGCCGTCGCGCTCGACACGGGCACGACCCTCATTTACGTCCCGACCTCGGTCGCCTCGGCGCTCTACTCGCAGCTCGGCGGCACGCCGCTCAAGGGCTCGTCGGGCGAGTACACGGTGCCGTGCGTCGCCACGTTCGGTACGATCGGCCTCTCGTTTGGCGGCGTCGTGTACAACATCCCGCTCGAGGACATCTTCCTCGGGTACGCGAGCGCGTCCAACACGGAGCAGTGCGTGCTCGGCATCATCGCCCAGGACATGTACGACGCCGAGGGCAACTCGGTCGCCATCGTCGGCGGCCTGTTCCTCAAGGCCGTCTACTCGGTCTACACCTACTCGCACAACGGCTCGCCCGCCGTCGGCCTCGCGCCCTCGATCACGTCGGGCGTCTCGTCCTCGGGCTCGGCGTCGTCGTCGTCGTCGTCGCAGGCCTCGTCGTCGTCGTCCGGGTCGGGCACCGCCTCGTCGGGCAGCGCCTCGTCCGGGTCCGCCTCGGGCTCGTCCGGCGCGTCCTCGGGCTCGTCCTCGGGTGGCTCGTCGGCCGGCGCGTTCGCCTACTCGGCTTCGGCCGTCGCCCAGGTCACCGACGACCCAGGCGTCGCCACCTCGATCGCGACCTACGACGCCTCGTCGGCCGCCGCTCGCGCCTCGTCGGTTGCCGCGGCAGCGGCAGCGTCCGACGCGTCCGTCGCCGCCGCAGCAGGGTCGTCGCTCGCGAGTGCGGCATCGTCCTCGAGTGCGGCAGCCGCAGCCGGCTTCACCTTTACCGTCTTCTCGACGGCCGCGGTCGCGACCTCGACGGCCGGCGTCACCTCGGCCTCGACCACCTCGCCGTCGACCGACGCGGCGGCCGCAGCTGCCAGTGCCGACTCGGCGGCGGCTGCCTCGTCGACGAGCGGTGCGGCGACGTTGGCGCGTGCGGCTGGATCCGCGTTCGCCGTCGTCGGCGCCGTCGTCGTCGGTGGAGCCCTGGCGCTGGTCGTCTAGAGCTCTTCTGTCCCTACCTATCCCTCCCTGTACGCGCACCTTCTATCGCACTTCTTCACCCTCTCGTACTTGCATCCCCCCACCCTTCAGTAGCAGTTCATCCCCTCTCCCTCTCGTTCCACTCGTCGTGCACTTGCACCTTGTCCCCCTCTCTTCCCTTGTCCCCTGCTTTCTTGGGGCGGTCGCCGAGGCGCGCAACAGACACTCCTTTCCCTCGCCCTCTTCGTCGTCGAGCCGAAAGCGTCCTTGTCGGCCGTCGACGACAGCCGAGAGGTCGAGAGAGGCTCGAGCGTCACTGCGAGTCGCGTACGACGACGTCGGTCTCGCTCTCAGGTCGAGCGGGGGCACAGCGTCTGTCGTCGCTCACGATGAGGCCAAGCTTTATGCACGAATGAGAGAGGGAGCGAGAGGAACAGAACGGAGCGCATTTGAGAAGGTCGGCCAGAGGGAAATCCGCGAGCGCCAGCATGGCCCTGGCATTGCCACTGAGAGCCCGTCGTCCTCGAGAACACGTCTCGATGCGGCGACCGAGAGCTGCCTCTCGTCCAGAAGCCAGAAATGCGGCTTCTGACCCGACCAGCTTTCCCTCCTCTCCTCCAGCGCGATTCTTCCTTCTCGCGACACTCCAGTACTCGAGTAGGGAGCACGAGCGGGTCTGGGGCATGTGATTCGCTGTGCCGGCGAGGCTAAGCTGCTCGGACGAGGCGAGCGCAGCCAACGAGCGGGCAACTCGACTTGAGAAGGTCGCTTCGGAGAGGGCTCGTGCGCGCTTTACGCGACTCGCTCGTCGATGCTCTCGAGGACAGGTCTCGCTCAGACGGCTTGTAGCTTCTCGGGCGAGTTTCAGGTTATAGAGGCTCGGATCGCCCGCAGCGTTTGACGAGGGAGAGCACGTCAAGGCAAGTCGGGACAGCGCGGCGGACGCCCGGGCGCAGCTTGGTGTTGCGGCGCCTCGATACGAGCTCGGTGCCCTCGGAGAGCGTACGCAATGCGACGACGAAGAGAGCGCCGCCGCGAGAGCGAGCAGGGGCTCGTGCGCCGGTCGGAGCGCACGTCCGCCTTTCCGCCGCTGGCCTCGGAACCGCGTCCACTTGTCTGCCTGCGGGTGAGATGTTAGCCACTTTATCTGTAGCACAGACTCATCTGTTCTCCCAAGTAACTGGCCGCGTGGCCCAATGGCAAGGCGTCTGACTACGACCTCGCTTCTTCTTCCGAACTCCAGGAGAGAGCGCGCGTAACTATCAGGAGATCGTGGGTTCGAGCCCCATCGTGGTCAAATTACAATTTTTTGATTCCGCTCAAAATTGAGCGAGTAGAGATCCGCGCATGTGGTATCGGCGCGAGAGGCGCCTGAGAAATGGCTTCGCCACGGTACGGCGCAACGTCCAGATCGTCGGGACGACCTCGCAGAGTACTGTGCCGCACACGCGGGCGGTCTGCAGGTTGCGAGGCGAGCAGGCGGGAGCGCGCGAGGCAACTTGGGAAGGTCGCGAGGGTCCGTGCGGTTTGCGGCTCTGCAGCGCCTCGCGCCGCTTTGGTGTTTGCCTCTCAACGTCGTCACTGTACTCGACAAGTGCAGCACCTGGCCGAGGACCGAGGGTGAGCTCAGGCTAAGGCGCGACAAGCTCGAGCGCGATCTCCTCGAGGAAGCGGCAACGCTTTCGAGACTCATTGCGTGCGCCGACCAAAGCAGGGATGCGTGCACGGCAGCCGCGCCGACACGTCAAGCGGCAGCCAGCTACGCTCTGCCCGGACGGCGGCGCCCTCGACAAGCGCACACAGCTCCAGAAGCAGGTGGTCGGAGCGGACGCTCAGGCCTCGGCTTTCAGCGGCGGCGAGACTCGCTCTGTCCGGCTCAACGCTGCGTCTGCGTAATGCCTGTAGATAGCCACAGTCAAACGGACAACGTAGAAGCGAAGAGAGACGCCGAAACGAGATGCGGAAGAACCTCTCGAGCAGCAGGAACAGCGGGGCGGTCGACGGGACAGACTCGGCGCATGCGCACGCTATACAAAGACGCTCGACTGCGGAAGACCTCACAGTAGCGCCCCTGCTCCCGCGAGAACACCGACAGCGACCGCGCCGAGAGCCAGGAACGCCTCCTTGCCCGGCACGCCTGTCCTCCCTGCGCCGCTGCTCGGACTGTTGGTCGCACCGACGGTCGCCGAAGCTACGCTCGTGTCGACGGTGCCGACCTTGGTGTACGGTGCGCGGGTCGCCGTCGAGAAAACCTCGCCACTGCGAGCGGAACGAACGAAGGGAAGCCGTCAGGGGCAGGCTCGACCGCACAGGAGCGAGAGAGACAGGGACGCACGGGTTGCCCGACTGGAAGCCGATGACGCTCGTAGCTGCGACGGGCGAGTTGGTGTCCTCGACGGTCGCCGTCGTCGGAAAGGCGCCGACCAGTCCAGTCGCCGTATCGGTGCCGGACGCCGCGAGGATGCTCTCGGCGTTCGCGCCGGCGGTCGAGATGGCGTTCAGGAGCGAGGTCGCGGCGGACGCGCCGTCGTAGGTGTCTGTCGGCGAGGAGGACAAGGTCAGCGAGGCAGACACAGTCGATGAGGACGGGCGACGCACAGATGAGCGGCGGGAACGGCGCGGCGGTCTGTGCGCGCGCCAGAGCGGCCACGAGCGCGATCAGGAGCACGCAGACAGTGCGCATCGTGTGCTGTAGAGCGAGGAGAGAGCAAGAGAGAGAGCGGAGAAGGGGCCACGCTAATTGAAGTCGCCGATCGACCGACCCCACTCTCGTCGCTGAAGAGGGAAAGGGCCGGGTTGCAGGCGAGAGTACAACACAGAAGACGACACAGCACGCCGCACAACGAAAGCTCAAGACTGACCACCACCGCTGCTGCCGCCACCGCCGCCGAAGAACCGAGTGCCGAGTCGAGCGCCGAGCCTTGCGAACGCTCGTTCCTCCCTCGCGCCGCCCTCTCCTCGCGACAAAGCCGGCGTGCCCGACCTGCTGCCGTCTCGACTGCCTCCTCCACCAGGGAGCATCGGCAAGGACGAGGCGGCGGCACCGAAGCCGCCAAAGAGGCCGAGGTTGGACCCGGCGGTCGTCGGCGACGCGAGGCCGGACGTCGACGGCGAGGTGAGCGAGTTCGAGCCCGGGTCCATGTCGAGCGTCGTGAGGAACGACGAGTCGGACAGGCCGGTCGCGGTCGAGGTCTTGGCGAGGAAGATGTCGAGGAGGTGGTTCTGGTCGACTCGGCGGACGCCCTGTGCGGCGAGTAGACGAGTTAGTCCGAGGCGAGCGCACATAAAAGTGAAAGAAGGGACGCACCTTGAGCTCGAGGACCTTTTGAAAGTCGGAGAAGGACTGGCACGGGATGAGGAGGAGGTAGTGCTTGACAAAGTCCTCGGCGGGCTCCTCCGGGCTCATGATGACCTTGAGGAGCGTGTCGATGTTCTGCACGTTCCTCGAGACGTAGCGCGAGTACCTGCAGGTGAGAGAGAGGTGTGAGTCGACGACGTACGGAGAGAGGGAACGAGAGGTGGGGCGCACGAGGTCGGGATGGGCGTCGTGTCGCCGGGAGCGATGACGAGGTGAAGCAGGCAATGCTTGAGCCCTTGAAGGTCGAGGAGGATCTGCAGGGACACTGTCGAGTCAGGTGACGGGTCGCTGTGGCCGCGACACAGAGAGAGAGAAGACGCACCTGCTCGGCGCCCGTCTGGGTGATCGGTCGAGTCTTGACGATGGTCTGCGTAAACTTGGCGAGGACGAGCCTGTGATCGGGCCGTGAGCAACTCGTCGACCGACACAAAAGAGAAGGAGAGAGAAGGGGACGCACCCGACAATCTTGTCGCACGCGCTCCGCACGTACTTCTTCTGCTCGACGCCTTCTCGCACGACGCCGACGACCGTCTCGAGCGCCCTCGTGAGCTCGCCGACGTACACACTCTCTGAACTGACGAGCTCGGCCTCCCGCCACGGGCTGCGCGCCATCGACGCGAAGCAGGGCTCGGCCGTGAACTCGAGCTCGCGCAGGATGGCGAGGAGGGCGGCCGACGCGGTGCCGGTGAACAGGTCCTTCTCGGCCTCGAGCGAGACGCGGTCGCGAAAGTCGGGGTGGATGCGCTCTTGCAGGCGCTCTTCGAGCTGCGGGCCTCGACGGGTAAGGATCGGTCGGGCTCGCGACTCGGGAGGGGAGACGCACTTGAGTCGCCGTCTCGAGGCAGTACTCGGCCGTGTTGAGCACGAGGCACGCCGTGTGCAGCTCCTGCATGTTGGGCCGACCCTCGCTCGACTTGCGGTCGAACCTGCAGGCGCGAAAAGAGTCAGGCGAGGTCGAGGAAGGGGAGAGGACCGTGCGCAGACGTACTTGATGAGCGCGGCGGTCAGGACGTTTTCGGCGTACGTCTTGAGCCACTTGCGGTACACCTTGCACAGGTCGAGCATCGGCTGCCGGGTCGACAGCTTGGCGCACCGCTCGAGCGCCTCGCGGTAGAAGTAGAAGAGCTCGGTCGACGACGGGAGGACGGCCGACGGGTTATCCGAGGGCGAGATCGAGATGCGCGACGACGTGAACGACTGCATCATGTCGGACAGGGTCCTGCGTAAGGTGCGGCGGGTCAGGGAAAGAACGACTGGCGCGCGAGGGAGGGAACGGCCCGGGACGCACTTGTCCTGCGCGTCGACAAAGACGCCGAGGTACGGCTCGAACACGCTCGTGATGAGCATGGTCGAGTCGTTGACGCCGTAGGTGATCTGCGACAGCTTGAGGACCTCCTCGAACGGGACGTTGTACTTGCGAGCCATCTCGCGCTCAAAGTCGTCCGTCTGGGCGATCGACTCGAGCAGAAGGCCGACATTGAGGCTCGACGACGACTTGGACAGGACGCTGCGCAGGTCATTCCTGCAGGGCGTGATAGACGGTCAGTCGGGCCCGGGCTCATCAAGGAGGGGAACGAGGGCGACGCACTTGGTCACCTCGCTGAACCCGCCGGCGAGTACTGCGCCGACCTTCCAGTCCTGCGGGAACACGGCGCCGTTCTCGTCCTCGTGCGTCTTGAGCACGCGCCGGAACCAGGCGAACCGGCGAGAGATGTTGTCGAGCTGGCCCGCCTCGGACGCCGAGCCGAAGATGCGGCGGTAGTCGCGCAGGAGGAGGAGCGAGTACCACTTGAGGAGGGCGTGCCTGTCGAACGTCTCGAGGTCAGTGACGTGCGGCAAAACCGTGCAAGAGAAAGAGGGACGCACTTGGCGTCGTCGCCGAGAGCGTGGACCACCAGACAGGCCTCGGCCAGCTGCGCATCCTTGCCCGCTCGCGCCGCCTCGCTCGGGAACCTGCAGGTGCGGCGAGTCAGTTTCGGTGTTCGGCGGGGGACGTTGAGAAGGAGAGCACGACGCACGCCTCCTCAAACTCGTGCATGACCTGCTCCTTGAGGACGTTTTGCACCTCGAGGACGCCTCGACTGACGGCCGACACGCGCTCGACGCTCGAGAACGTCTTGAAGTATGCCGACAGCTCCTTGACGGCGGCGAGAGCTTGCGCCGTCTCGCGGTACCGGCGAGATTTGGCGAGCCGAGTGAGCTGGTCAAAGGCGTTGACTGCGAGGAGAGACGACATGAGCGGCGCGCTCGGGCTGAGAGAGGGAGAGCGGGACGAACCGAGCATCTGGAAGCGCTTGAGGGCGTTCATGCTCGCGACGAGGTTGCGCTTGGCTTGGTCGAGCGACTGGATGTCGCGGGTGATGTCGCGAACGACGACCTCGCTCTCGGTCGCCGCGTCTCGAATCGCCGTCACCTGCGACAGGAGGTCCTGCACGCCGTATTGCGTTAGGGGATGGCGCAGGAGGAAGGTAAGGAGGCGAGAGGGGACGCACGCCGATAAGCTCTTGCAGTTCGCCGAGCCGGCGCGGGTCCTGGTCGTGCTCGAGCGCCTTGGTGAGGAGCTCGATGTCCTCGCGGATGCTCTGGATCTTGGCCCGCAGTAGAAGCCCGACCAATGGGGCCTGCGCGAGGCTGGTCTCTGCAGAACGGTCGGGCGAGAGGGTGAGCTCCCCACTTGGTCGAGGTGCCGGGGGAGAGAGGAGCGAGAAGGGGGCGCACCGTCTGGAAGCAGCTCGTTCAAGATGTCCTCGACCTGCACGCCGCCGGTGCTGTCGCCTCCACTGCCCGCCCCGCCGCTGAGGACGAACGCGTCGAGTGCATCGCGGTCGTGGTCGGGTGCGGCCTTGTTGGTCAAGAGGGTGAGGAGGAGCTGCGGCGGGAGCTCGGGCAGAGGCTCTGGTGGCTCGTGAGCTGCTCGTGGCGGCAGCGCGATCGTCGGTGTCGACATCGAGCCGTGTGGACGAGAGCGAGGACGAGCGGCGCTCGCTCACGGACGAGAGCCGAGCCAGCTGTCGCCCTCTCGTCCTGCCGGTGCTGCGCTCGCGCTATGTCGCTTGATGGCCATTCGCTCTCGACAATGCGCCCAGGGGCTGCCGCAGACGAGCCGCGAGAGACCTCTCCTCGAGCCCCGACTCGGCGCCGACTGATGAAGCCGCTCGGGCAGCGACGAAGCACACGAGAGTCACGACGATGCATTGCTTTTGTAGAGAGAGAGAGAACGACTGGGGCCACCCCTCCTGGCGCTTCAACAACCCGCGTGGAGGGAGGAAGCCCTCTCTCGACTTCTCCCCTCCGCCTCCTTCTCCTCCTCGACCTCGTCCTCCTCCTCCTCCTCGATCGACCGGCCGGCAGAGACAACGCTCGCTCAGCCCATCAGGTCACCGAACGCCTCCATGCCGGGCGTCGACTCCTTGACGGCCATCTCGCTGCGCAAAGGGAAGGGGAGAGGAGGGTCAAAGCCTGTCGCACGCTGAGGCCAGACCGAAAGGGGAGAGAAAGGGCGAGCGCACAAGTACGAGTAGATGATGGTGACGCAGAGGAGGATGCCCGTGCCCGAGCCGAGGGCGCCGACGAGGTCGGCCGCGACCGAGAGGAGGCCAATGACGGCGCCGCCGAACAGGGCGGCCGTAGGGATGACGCGCTTGAGCTCCTTGTACATGCTGCCGTCGCGCTCGCGGCCGGCGATGACCATCTGCTGGTCCTTGAGCTGCTTGGCGACGTCGCGCGGGCCCGAGCCCGAGATCTCGATCCACGTCTTGGAGAAGAGGGCGCACGCCGACAGCATGAAGGTGATGTAGAGCGCCGTGTGGATCGGGTCGGTCGCGAGCTCGCGCAGGCTGCGCGGCGGCGACATGTAGTAGACGAGGCCCGACTTGGCGAACAGCTGGGCCGAGTCCTCGAGGGGCTGCGGGCGCGAGAGCGAGGTGAGCCTCGAGGCGCTCGGACGGCGACCGGCATCGAGAGAGAGAGACGCACCTCCCACACGCCGAGGAGACGAACGAGGAGGTTCTCGGGGAACCGACTCGACAGCATCTGGGACACGATGAAGACGTTCGAGGTGAGGGCCGACTCGAGCATGATGCTGCGGGCGACGAGGCAAAGTCAGTCCGAGGACCACCCATCGACCATCGAGAGAGGGCGAGACGAGTCGACGCACGGCATGTTCGAGGTGTAGAAGAGCTTGACGGGGAAGGTACCGCGCTGGCCGCGGAACCGGTTGCTCTTGACCGGGATCTCGATGCGGAAGCCCTGGAGGTAGATGACGAGGGCAAAGACGGCGACGGTCGCGATGAGGTTCATGACGTTAGGCAGGCGCTCGCGGTAGAAGGCCTCCTTGAGCGCGCGCGACTTGTCGTTCCAGGTGAACAGGAGGTGGAACAGGGCGATGAGCGCGCCCTCGAACTCGGGACCGCGGCCCGTGTTGACCGTCGTCGGCGAGAACGCCTTCCACACGATCGACTCGCAGATGTTGGTGGCGATGAACAGGTTGATGCCCGAGCCGAGGCCGTAACCCTTCTGGAGGAGCTCGTCGAGGAGGATGACGATGAGGGCGGCGACGATGAGCTGGAGGATGAGGAGGAGGCAGACACCGGCGCCGAGGTCCGACGGCTGGCCGTAGAGGCCCGTGAGGACGTAGACCGTGGCCTGGCCGAACGAGATGAGGAGGGCGAGGACTGCGAGGCGGGCAGGACGAGGCGAGGTGACAAAGGGACGGGCGAGGGTGCGTGTGTCAGTAGCTGAACGCCTCGGCAGGCACTGCGAACATCGCTCGGGAGGGAGGGAGGTGGACGCACGCTTCTGGGCACCGCCAAAGAGGGCGCGGTCCTCCTTGAGGGTGAAGTCGACCTCGATGAAGCCAGCGCCCTGGAGGAGCTGGATGATCATGCCCGACGTGATGATGGGCGTGATGCCGAGCTCCATGAGGGTACCACGGTTCGAGGCGAGGATGACGCGCATCCAGTAGAGCGGGTCTGCGAGGGAGAGGGGCCGAGGTCAGTCAGGGCCCAACGGCTGAAGATGATCGAGGGACGGTCCCGACGCACCGGACGAGTCGGACGACACGATGCCATAGAGCGGGATTTGCGAGCACACGAGGAAGATGAGGAGGGTGATGGCCGTCCAGCCAACCTGGGGGAGGAGGAGGAGAGGGTCAGGACGGGCTTCCCGACTGGATGCAAAGGCCGAGGGCTGCTCACCTTGGTGTTGAAGGGGATCTGCGAGGCGTACGATGCAGCAGGTCAGGGCGTGCGACTGGCAAGACGAGGACGAGGGGGAGTGCACGCGGCGGGGGACGCACCTTGCGATCAGGAGCGGAAACCTCTGGCAGGATAGGCAGGAAGGGCCGGACGAGGTCGAGAACGCGGACCATGGTGAACGCTGGTCTCGCAAGGCGAGGCGAGGTGGGCGTCGGAGGGGGAGAGGAGGAGGAGGGGGAGATGGGGACCGAGGGGGACGCGCACAGAGACGGGCCGACCGAGTGGAGGGGCGAGAGGGTGCTGTCTGGAGGGTGACGGGCCTGACGGTGGCTTGCAGGCGGCTGGCACGGGCGACGGAGGAGCAAGAGTTGCCCTTTCCCCTCCTCGTCGACCGCCGGCCGTCGCGCGACCACGTCGCACCTTCGCCGACCTCTCTCAGAAGGCCTTGTCGCGTGAACAGGCACGCGTGTTACAGCAACAGCTTGATCGCGCTCTAATCAGACCCGCCTCGCCCGCTCTGCCCTGTTCGCCCGGTCCGCGAACGCGTTCGTCTCGCTCGAGACGACCTTGGTGAGGTGCCGCCGCGCGCCGTCGAGTGCCGAGTTGCGCAGCTGCGTGGTGATAAGGTCGAGGAGAGGCGCATAGGCGGCGGGGTGGCGCGAGAGCACGCGGTGAAAGGCATGATAGCTGAGCCTGCGCGAGAGGAGAGAGGAGGTCGGTGCGAGGCCGAGCGGGTGGGCGAGAGGCGAGCGCGCACGCACCAGGTCACCCACGGTCTCTTGAGCGAGAACTCGACGCCGAGCTGGCGCGCCTTGCGCGACCGCGACTGGTTGGCGCTCGCCGCCCACTCGAACTTGACGACCTGCTGGACGACCTCTGCGAGACGCTCCCGAGCAGGGTCAGTCCTCTGCCTCGACGAGTTGCACGAGAAAGGGGGACGCACTGAAGAGGAAGGCAGCCTTGCGCCGTGGCAGGATGCCCCAGTCGTGCACGTACGCCTGGAACTTGAGCGCAACGACGAGGACGGCGCGGTAGACGTTCGAGTAGGCCGTCGAGAGCGAGTTGTGCGACGTGTCGGTGTACAGGACGTGCGAGCGGATCTTGACGGCGCTATTGAGGGTGGAAGATGGTCAGGTTCGACGGCCATGGAGCCCGAGAGAGAGGCGGAGGACGCACCGGAACATCGAGTTGACGAACGCCTGCCCGGGCGTGCGGCATCGCTGGATCGTGAGCTGGTCGTGGATATCTGCGTCCGTCGATAGCGTCAGGAGCGACCCTTGAGAGCTCGAGGGAGGGAGAGCGCACGCACCCTTGTCCATCGTGAGCGACGTGTTGAAGCGGACCTCGAGCGTGGCCGGGTTGATCGCCAAGCCGCACCAAGGAAAGTCTGCGTCGTCGCACTGTCAGTGTCGGTGTCCTTGAGGACGAGGAGGGAGAGTTGGGGCGCACCGTCGCCTTCCTTGAGCGGCGGAACGACCTCGCCGTCCTTGAGCGAGATGTCGAAGTTGGTCAAGCGCTTCTCTGCCGAGATGTTGCAGCCGTACTCGGGGATGCCTGGAATCGGTGCGGGCGTGAGTGACGGCGACGGGAAGAAGGAGAACGAGTGAGAGAGCGCACCGTCGTCCATGACTCTCAAGAACCGGCCCGCCCTCTCCTGCTCGGTCGAGATGAAGAGGAAGTCGTCGACGTAGCGGAGCATCGTCTGCGTCGTCGAGGTAGATCAGTGTGCTGCTCGAGGAGCGAGGAGAGAGTGGACGAGAGGCGCACAGAGTTGTCATCGTCGGTGAAGCCGAGTCTCGTCCGCTCCATGTCGGCGTAGAAGAGGCTGCACAGGAGGCTCGACAGGACCGAGCCTTGCGGGATGCCCGTCTTCTGCCGATACAGACGACCGCTGACCTGCTCGGGAGGAGGGGGGTCAGTAAGGCTGAGAGAGAGGGGAAGGAGAGGGACTGAGCGCACCTTGACGAGGTTGGTCGTGATGTGCTCGCGCAGGAGCTGCATGAGCCTGTCGCGCTCGACGTTCTGGTAGACGACCTGTGGAGCGTGGCCTGTCAGGTGGGGGTGACGATGGACAGGGGCGAGCGAGCGAGGACGCACCTGGTCCGAGATGACGACGTTGTGCAGCTCGGCCGCGAGCTTTTGCGCCAGCTCGGTGAACGCGCCGTACTCGCCTGCGCAGACGACGAGGTGTTAGGCACGTCCTGGTCGGCGCAGAGAAGAGAAGGGACGACGCACTGTCGGTACACGCCGCACGCTTGAACGCCTTCATCGGCCGGCCGGCGGCCGGCGACACCTGCGAGTACTTCTGGATCCAGTAGAGCGTCTGCGTATCTATCCGAGTCAGTGTGTGGGCCCAACAGAGGCGTCGAGAAGGGGGCGCACCTCGCTGAGCACGTCCTCGACGATCTCGAGGAGCTTGTCCTGCTGGATCGTGTCGTACGCCGCCCGGACGTCGACCTTGACGAGGTAGAGCTTGGGCCTGCAGGCTCGTCGAGTGTAAGTGACGACGACGACGAGGGGAGGCGGCGGCGACGCACATGATGCCGTTGTGCTTGTCAAGCATGCGCCGCTTGTAGGTGCGAAGCTTGGCGTAGATCTGGTGCGGGTCCGAAACGAGGCTGCCGACGAGGTATGGCTTGCGCTTCTGCGGACGAGATGCGCTCGAGCGAGCTTCATCGAGGCTCAGGAGGAGAGAGAAAGAGGTGGGACGCACCTTCTCAAACGTGAGGACGTCGAACACGCTCTGCAGGATCTTGTTGATCGGCTGGCCGACCTCCTTCTGGCCGTTGAGCTGCACGCCGAGAACGTCAGTACCGCCTCGAGGGAGAGAGGGAGAGGACGAGGGACGCACGCCGAGCTTGATGGGCCGTCGAGCGAGGTTGACGATGGGCCGCACGCCCGTCTCCTTGGGCAAGAGGCGCACGTACGAGAACCCGAGCTCTCGCGCTCGCTGCAGCGGCAGAAGCTGATCCTGCACGAGGAAGAGAGTCAGAGTGGGTCTCGAGGAGAGATAGAGGGGTAGGACGCACGGGCGGCACCTGCTCGAAGACGGACGAGCCGAGCTGGGCCAGCAACGGCGCACACATCGAGTTCCAGTCGTCCTGGCGGAAGTACAGCGGGCGGTTCTGGTGCGTGGCGGCATCGGTGACGTAGAAGTTGGTCTGTAGGCCGAAAAGAGGGCGTCAGGGCAGGTCGTCGAGGACGAGGGAGAGAAACGACGGACCCGGATGAGGTCGACGACGAAGCCGTCCATAACCCAGAAGAGGAACTCGCTCAGAAGCTCCTTGCGCTTGTCCATGTCGGCCGCAGTCGGACGCTGCTCGTTGCCGCCGAGCCACGCGCACGTCGTGACCGAGAACCCTTGAAGGAGCGCGTGGACCGAGGTCGACTCGTAGCGGCGCATGCGGATGAACGCCGAGATGCCTGCGTGCACGAGCATGTCAGAGAGGGGGACGGGAGCACGAGAAGGGGACAGGGACGCACGGTCGTCGATGAGCCGGGCATTCTCGACCGAGCCCCAGAACGCTCGCGGGATGACCTCGCCAACGGCGCCCTGGACGAACCGCTCGACCTGCAGACGCGCACACAGTCAGGAACGGCGCGCAGGCGAGAGATAGGGAAAGGAGAACGCACCTCGTGGAACGAGCACGCGAACTCGGCGAGCTTAGGCTTCTCGCGCGCCTTCTCCTGGGCCTGCGTCTGGCCGTGCGGCACGACGAGCGACGCGTGCGAGATGTCGATCGAGACGTCGCCTCGCGAGATCTGCGTGTGCGGCGGCTCGGCGAGTTCCTGCGAGGCGAGAGAGGGCGCAAGTCAGGGTCGGCATACGAGCGGGGAGTGGAAGAGGGACGGACGAGGCCGACGCTGCGGTCGCCCTGCGACGAGGGACAGCGCTGTCGAGGCATCTGCAGGACTCGTCTGTCAGTGCTGCGCTGTAGAAGAGGCGAAAAGCGAGCGCACCTTGGACGGACACCGGCGGTCGAGGAGCTTGCGGTAGTTGCACCTCGCGCTCAGGGTCGCGAGCTTGTCGAGGATCGGCAGGACCGGCTTGAGGCGCTCAGGGGTCTTGACCGGGCCCAGCTTCTGTACGACGCGGTGACTGTCAGGTGACGCTCGAGGTGGGCGAGGGCGAGAAGAGAAGGAGAGAGAGAGAGAGGCGCACCTTGATCTCGACCTCGCGGTCGAGGTAGTCGGGCATGATCTGGAAGCTCGTGCGCGCCTTATCGCTCGTAAAGACGTTGTGGAGGCCAAACTGGCGAGGGAAGATGTACTTGGCGAGGTGACGAGCGGGTGCTTGAGCGACGGCCTTGCGCGGACGAGTCGACGAGGGCGCCACAGGGGGGAACAGGGTCGACAGACGGGTCAACACATCTGCGAGAGAGGCGCACGATCAGTGAGGACGTGCTGGAGGGAGAGAAAGGGGGACGGACGCTTTGGCGGAAGGCCGTAGGGCGGCTTCCCTCCCTTGACGTTGGCGACCCGATTGTGGTACATGCGGTGGCGCGAGAACACGATGGCGTTGGCCGAGTTGCTGCAGGTCGAGAGAGTCAGGTCGAGGTATCGGAAAGAGGGAGAGAGGAGAGGGTCGACGCACAGGGTCGCGAGCTTTCTACGCTTTGTCGGCCGGTCGAGCGCCTCGGACCCGCCGCCGAACGTGCTGTTGATCGACTGCGACGGCCGCAGCCGTTTTGTCGGCAACGGCTGAGAGTCGGCGAGCTGCGTCGGCGCCTGGATCTCGAGGAGGGGCGCGCCGGCGAGGAGCGGCGCCGACAGGACGGGACCGAGACGTCGCGAGCGACTTGTTGGCGGGCTCGGCGACCCGAGCGCAGGGCTTGTGGACGCTCTCTCGGTCGGTGAAGGAGGAACGAGGACGATGTCGGTAAAGCACGTGTCACCGTCGAGCTCGCGCTCGCCGGGCTCGCCTCGCTCGTCGATCTCGAGCGTCGCCGCCGCGCCCTTGCGCCGGCGCTTGCGCTTCGTGCGCTCGTGAGCCGTCCTGGACTTGCGTTTCGACGTCGAGCCGGCCTTGTTGAACAGGTCGTGCGGCTTGAGCTCGGCGACAGGCGTGCCCGAGACTTGGAGGAAGCAGGCGTTGGCAAGCGGGACGAACAGGGCGATGGTTGGCGACGAGAGGAGCTCGATGAGCGAGTCGGCTCCGATACTGCGAGTGCGAGGTATCAGGTGCGCTCGCCGAGAGGTGGACGAACGAGCGAGAGAGAGAGAGAGAGGCGTACCGAGATGCGAGAGTGTCCCACTCGATCGAGCTGACGAGCGCCGAGACGACCGTGTTGGGGAAGACGCTGACGTAGGACGCTCCGAGACCACTTCTTGTGCGCTGTAGGCCACGCTTGGGGTCGCTCGTTTGCTGCGGGAGGTCAAGGTCAGTGCGGCAAGGCAGAGGGCGAGGGCGAGAGGACGGACCAGGCGATAGCCGAGGGCGAGGACGTGCTTCGGGGTGGCAAAGACGACCCTGCCAGCTTGTTTCTCGCGCTGGTAGTGCTTGGTGTGGGCCGAGAAGAGGCGCTGCTGGACCTGGTCGACAATCTGTGTCGGCGCGAGCGAGGGTCAGGGGTGCTCGGCCCGCCGTCGAGTGGGAGAGGGGGCGTACCTCGGTCATGCTGGTTGTCGTGGACCGATCGGTGACGGGTGCGAGCTGCGGCAAGCCCGTGATGGCCGAGCTGGCGACGAGCGTGTCGGCGACGAGGCGGCGGAACGTGTCCGAGTCGGTGTCGCGGACGAGGGCGAGGTCGGCGGGCAGGAGGTCGGCGAGGGGCTTGACGTCGGTGTAGAAGGTGGCGAGCAGGCGCAAAGTGACGGCAAGCGAAGGCGGTGGACCTGCAGGCGGGGCCGTGTTGTGCGACGAGGGCGGGTGCGAGGATGGCGCGTCGGGGGTGCGAGGCGCAGCTGGATCGTGTCGAGGCATAGCTGACAGCGTGCACGAGCTCTCAGGTGAGCATCTGGGCGCGAGCGAGCGTGACCCGTCGTCGTCGTCGGCGAACCAAGTCGCTCCTGGCCTCACTCCCTTCCGCTCCTCGCACCTTGCTGCACAGTGCGCCATACCAGCACCTGTCGAGCACCGACACACCCTCCCTCGACCGGCCCACCAACGCCCCACCTCGCGAGCTTCACCGCCCCTCGTCCTCATCAGCTCTCGTCATGTCGTCGGCCAAGGTAGGAGCCTACGGCGCAAACTCAAAGGTGCGCACCCTCAGTCGCTGTTCAGAGTACCCTCGCTGACTCTCGACCCACCCGCAGAACGACACGGGCTTCCGAGTACGTCTCCCTCCCCTCCCTCCTCCTCGACCCGCGCCTTGCCGCCGTCGCCTCGCCCTCCCCGGTGAGCCAGACCTGACCTGCCGCTCGCCAACTCGCAGAAAACATGGGACCAGAAGGAGTACGAGGAGATTGCGAGGGCAAAGGTGCGTCGCCCGCCTTCTCTTCCATCCCCTCGCCCTCGACCCGGCTCGACCGACCCCCTCGTTGCTGACCCGCTCGGGCCCCACAGGACGAGGAGATTGTCGAGCACGCCAAGGCGGCCGAAGCAGCTGCCGCACAGGGTGCGTCCAGCCTTTTGCTTCCTCTCGACTCGCATGCACACCAACGCCGACTGACCTCCTGCTCCTCTCCCTCGCCAGGCAAGCGTGCCCCGCCGCGCAAGAAGGACGACCTCCCCAAGGCGACCCAGGCGATGCAGGCGCGCGACGTCCCGCTCGAGCTCGACAAGAACCTGAACAAGACGATCGTCATCGACGCGAGCGCCGGCAGCGGCCAGAAGCAGCCGGGCTTCTACTGCGACCTGTGCAAGCGCACGTGCAAGGACAGCGCGAGGTACCTCGACCACCTCAACGGTCGAACTCGTGCGTCCCCTCCTTCCTTCCTCTCGTCGCCGTCCGTCCTGCGCCAAGTCGAGCTCACCTCGCCCGTGCCGTGCCTCTCGCAGACCTGCGCCGCCTCGGCCAGACGACCAAGGTCGTCAAGTCGACGCTCAATGACGTGCGGCAAAAGATTGCCGAGCTGCGCGCCAAGTCGGCCGCGAGCGCCGACGCGAAAAAGTACGACTTTGACCAGCGCATCAAGGACATCAAGCAGGCCGAGATTGCGAGCCGGGACGAGGCGCGCGAGGCCAAGCGGCGCAAGCGCGACGAGGAGCGCGCCCAGGCCGAGAAGGACAAGGTCAAGGGCGCCGACGAGGAGATGCTGGCGACGATGGGCTTTGGCGGCTTCGGCGGGGCGACGAAGCGGTGACGGGCGCTGTCTTTCTCTCTCTGCCTTCCCTCTGCAGTGTTGTAACATGTACGAATCTGTCGTCGAGCATGCGAGACGGAGAGAGAAAGCCGCTGTCGAGCGTTCCCTCGCCTCCTTCTCGAGCGCTTTCGCCCGCTCCTGCGTCGCGCACTGGCGGTTGTGCCGAAGCGCACGCAGCTCTCGCCAGGCACAACCCTCGGGGTCTCGCCGTGCGTCGTCTCTGCGGCAGCTGGAAGCCGAGGAGGAAGGTCAAAGCGCGCAGGCGCATGCTCGGTTCGAGCTCCTCTCGAGTGGCTACCGCTCTCGCTGTTGCTCTCGTGGCTGCTCGCACTCTCGGGAACGAGAAAAGAGAGAACAGAAACTCGATCCGACGTTGCAGGCTCGACAAAAGAGAGAACTGCTCGTCCTCGCGCCCGCCGACGACCCGACCGCCCGAGGCGACGCCGTCGCCCACGAGGAGCACCGACGACGCCGCCGAGGAGGAAAGAGTAGAGGAACGAGAGGAGACAGGTTCAGAAAGGTGCGCATCCACCGCGCTGCGCCGTACAGCCTCCGGCCCTAGACCGCGCGAGGCGAGCCGGGGGCAGCAGAGGCCGGACAACCCACCTCGGAAACGAGGGGGCGGTACGAGCGAGCTCAAGGTCATCGAGGAGCGCACGCGACCCGGCTCCCTCTAGGGAAGCGCGGGAAGCGCACGCCCGTAGTTCTCGCTCAGATGGGGATGCGACCTGTCGCTCATCGCGACCTGCAAACAGTGTAGCTCTTTTGAGAGAGCAAGACAACTCGGAGAATAACCTGTACGAGCGCGGCACACGTCAGCTCTTTGCGTCCTGGTCGAGGGGGAGGGGGAGGAGAGGGAGGGAGGACGCACTGTAAAGAGATCCTGACTGACTGCTCGCGTCGTGCGCAAGGAGGGACGGGAGGGTGCGACGAGTCAGTACGTGTGGCTTTGGCGGTAGAGAGCACGTTGTTCGGGAGGTGGACGGACGTGTGGTCTTAGAGAACAAGAGGAGGCTGCCGCCCCTGCTCGCTACTTGGCCTGCGCGCGCCGCCGCCGCCGACTTGTAAAAAAACGCAGTCCGAATCGTTACCCCGCTGTCCGCCCTCCCTCTGGAGAGCTTCTTCTCTGCCGCATGCACGCTCGTACTTTGTATGCTCTCTCGGCGAGGGAGAGCGCGAGCGGGTTGCGAGCGGGCGAGGCGAGTGAGAGGAGGGGCGGCGGCGGGAGGAACCTAGTCCAGCAGGAGGTCAAAGCGAACTTGTAATGCCAGCGGCGAAGTAGTAAGCGAAAGCAAGGCGCTGAACGCTATTCAAAGTCGAGGCGAGGTCAAAGCGCGGTCACACGCTCCCGTCTCTATCGCTCTCGTGCCGCCTCCCTCGAGAGCCACACGCGTTTGCAAGGCTCGAGACGAGCACGTCGACGCCGAGGCAGCGCCTGAGAGCCCGTGCGGAGCATGCTCGCGACTCTCCTCTCGAGAACGGCCTGAACCCACGCACTCGCTGCAAAACCGGCTCGATGCACTGTCCTCCTGCGCACGACGAGCTACACCAAGACGCCCCACGCGCCGAGGACGCCAAACAGCATGCCGAGGAGCGCGACGAGGCTCGCGAAGCTCACGCTCGGGATCCCGTACGTCTTGACGGTCGCGAGCCAGGCGTACGCGAGGGCGGCGTGCGTGAGGGCCGCAAAGGCGAACGTCGGGGCGAGGCGAAAGGTGAAGAGGGAGGGCGGCGTGAGGCGGAAGGGAAGCGAGAGGAGGAGGGTGAAGATGAGCGAGAGGAGGATGCTGGATGTGGTCGAGCGCGTGCGGCGAGTCGGCGAGGCGAGGCGGGGCGGGATTGAGGTGAAGAGAGGGAAGGAGAGAGGGCGGCGTGTCAGTCGCAGGGACGGGCGCTGAGAAAGAGAGAGGTCCCGGACGCGCCTGTCGAGCCTCCAGATGAACACGACGCCGACCGGCACCTCGGGCAGCGGCACGCCCAGCTGCGCCTCGAGCTCGTCCCGCTGTACCGCCCTCAGACGCCGCTGAAACTCCTCGTCGTCGCCGCCGTCCGTCGTGCCGTCGAGCCCGCGCTCGTACCCTGGCCCTGCGCCCGCGAAGCACTCGACAACGCTGTACTCTTGCTCGTCCTCCTCGCCCTCGTCCCGGTACTCGTCTTCTTCCTCCTCGTCGTGCCCGTGCCCGTGCCCGTGCTCGGCCGCCCTCCTCCTCCCGACGCCCCTCAGGACCCCCTCCTCGTCCAAGTCGCGCCCGTCGCCGTCTCGCGGCAGGACGTCGGCGTACAGCTCGAGCTGCTTCCACAGGCGGCGACTGCCCCAAAGGATCTCGGTCATGGCGCTGCCGAGGCCGAGCCACAGGGCCGACCAGAAGAGCGGGTCGAGGGGAGGGAGGGGCGCGCGCTCGTGCGGCGAGTGAGGGGCGGCGGCGAGGGAGGGGGACGGGGTCGAGGTCGAGGTCGAGACGGAGGGGAGGAGCTTGACGACGAGGGCGACGGCGCCGAGGCGGAGCGCTTCTTGCGCGAGGGCGTGGACGATCGTCGGGAGGGCGAGGTGCGTCGCACCGTGCGCCCTCGACGGCGACACGGGCGGCAGCGGCTCCTCGAGGGCGACCTCGACCGTGTCGTAGTCGTCGCCGTCGTCGACGGCTGCGCCCGCCGGCGTGAACAGCTCGAACACGACCTCGCGCAGCTGCTCGGACGCGAGCCAGCTCGCGACGCCGAGGAGGAACGCCTCCCAGCGCAACTGGTGCGCGAGGACGACGACGACGACGACGGGGACGACAAAGAGGAAGAGGAAGGTGAGGGCGAACTGGACGAGGTGGTAGTTGCGGAACGTGCGCAGGGGGAGGAGCGAGTAGTGCGACGACAGGGACGAGAAGGACGACTGGCTCGAGGTGGGCGAGCCGGGGCGGGGCGACGGGCCGCCGTGACCGTGACCGTGCGCGTCGGAGGTCGAGACGAAGTGGGCGTGCGGGTGCGCAAAGGGGCGAGGGGCGCCGGCGGTCGCCGTGAGGAGGGACGAGGTGGATGCGGCGGGCGAGTCCGAGTCGTGCGCTGCCGGGTCGGCGCTCGAGTCGACAAGGAGGGCGTTGCTGGGCAAGCCCTGCGACGTCGGCGGTGCTGGTGGCGGTGCTGGTGCTGCCGCGACGGCGACGGCGGAAGGAGCGACGACAGGAGGTCGGCTGGCGGCGGCGTCGCCCGCTCGGGGGTGGTCGAGCTTGAACGAGGGCGCTCTCGGGTTGAGGGCGGTGCGCGTGTGGCCCTGGTCGCTGGTGCCGTTGCCAGCGAGGAGCGGCGAGCGCTCGTGTGGGGGCCTGGGGGAGGAGGAGAGAGGGTGAGCGTGGCGAGCTCGGGCAAGATCGAGTGGGCGCACAGGGCGACGCACATGGTCAAGGTCGCCCCTTGCGCTGCTGGTCGTTGTCGTTCGAGGCTGTCGTCGAGCAGGGAGAGCGAGGAGAGATGGCAATCGCGAGGGCCGTGTCTCTCTCTTTTGACCCGCCGTCCTGGCTTAACTGGGTCGCTGGAGCGAAAGGGGTGCAGCAACTTAAATAGCCTCTAAGGTTTTAAGTTTTATAAGAAAAAAAAGAATATATAAGGCTTTTAAAGCTTTTAAGGTTTCACTTGGCGCCGAGGGCCGCGCGTCGGCCGGTTCGCCTCTCCTCCTCACGCCCCTCTCTCGACAGAGCCACAGCTCCGAACCAGCCACACGCCCGCTCTCACTCTCCACCACTCGACCCACCACCACCACCGCACCCTCGCCCGCCCCTCGCGCCCTCTCGAGATGGCCGCAGGCGATCCCGACTACAGTCAGCTCTCGGCCCTCGTGTCGTCGTTCCAGCAACAGCAGCAGCAGCCCGACCAGCAGCTCGACCCGCTCGTCGTCGACCCACAAGACCCCACCACGGCCGGCATGAGCTTCCACGAGCTGTTCAGGTCCGTCCCGCCTCTCCATTCACCTCTCGCTCCCCTCGCCCTCGTTCGACGTGATTCCCCGCCGCATCGCACCCCTCGGTCAGCCGTCGGACCCGGCGCACTGCTCTCAACGAGCTTGTCGCCACGTACCGTGCCCCTTCGCCGAGCAGCCGGGGCCGAGTGGCCAACTGGCTCGCTCCGCTTCCTCGCGCGCCCTTCGGCCCCTCGCTCGGGGACTCCCTGCGATCGGCACCCCTCGCCCTCCGAGCCACCGATACTGACTGCGCACTCGCACCCGACCACAGCCACTACCTCGCGCCCGAGGTCGCCAAGCTCCCGCAATCGAGCGCGGCCCCCGTCGCCGCCGACCCGCTCGCCTTCACGTTCGGCGACGACCAGTCGTCCACCAACGCCGTCGCCGGGCCCTCGTCGGCGTCGACCTTCGACCCGTCGACGTTCATGCCCACGATCCCGGGCTCCCCGATCGGCGGCTTCTCGCCCTCGTCGGACGGCAACTCGAGCCACCGCTCGCCCATGAGCTTCCCCGACCTCGACTTCTCGGCCACGTCCGACCCGTTCGCGCTCGACCCGTCCATCTTTGGTGTCTCGGCCGGCCTCGACTACGGCATGCCCGTCGACGCCGTCGACACGTCGTTCACGTTCACGCCCGCCACCTCGACCGCGAGCGACACCCCGCTCTCGGTCCTCCCCAACGCGCCGCTCCCTCCCCTCCCGAACCTGTACCTCGACACCACCACGACGTCGGCGCCGACCGAGGTGCCCGCCGCCGCCGTCGCAGGCGCCGCCGAGCTCACGGCGTCGGGTCGCCCCAAGCGCAACGTCGCCCACTCGGTCCTCGATGCCGACGAGGACGACGACGACGCCATGTACTCGTCCGACGCCTCGAACGCGACGACGACGCGCAAGGCCTCGGCGCGTGGCTCGTCGCGCAAGCCGTCGGCGGCCAAGAAGGCCCGCGCGAGCTCGTCGGGCGCGAGCGAGGCCGGCGCAGCCCACCACGCGTCGGCGTCGGCGTCGACGTCGGCTTCGGCCGCCGCAGCGGCCGCCGAGGCCAAGCGCCTCGCGCGCACGAGCGTCGTCCCGCTCGCCAGCTCGGACCTGCACAAGACGACGGCCAACAGCAAGCTGCCGCCGGTCCCGCAGTGGGCCGACAAGCCCGACCCGGACGAGTACCAGAAGCTGTCGAGCAAGGAGAAACGCCAGATGCGCAACAAGATCTCGGCGCGCAACTTCCGCCACCGTCGCAAGGGTGCGTCCCCCGATTTCTCTCTCTCTCGTTCCTCGCCCGCCCGACCTCGACGAGCAATGTCCCTGACCCTGTCACTCTCGCCCCGCAGAGTACATCACGACGCTCGAGGAGGAGATCAGCAGCCGCGACACGATCATCTCGGAGCTGCGCGACGAGGTCGGCGTCATCCGCGCCGAGAACTCGGGCCTGCGCACCGAGGTCGCCACGCTCAAGGAGAAGTGGCAGGACCTCCTCGACAAACTCTCGTCGCTCAGCGGCACGCCCGTCGCCTCGCCTGCTGGCACTGCCGCGGCCGGCCTCGGTACCAACCCGCCTCGCGCCGTCGCCGCCGCCGTCGCCGGCTCCTCGTCGGCCGCCTCTCTCGCCGCCGTCAAGGAGGAGGAGGGCGAGACCGGCTCGCTCTCGGCGCAGCCTGCGTCGGCATCGTCGCGCCGCATCGGCACGCGCTCGGGCGGCGTCGCGCGTCCCAACCTCACCAAGGACGTGAGCGCCCTCGGTCGTCGCGGCGCGACGGGCAGCTGGGCGACGGCGGGCGGGTTCGGCGGCGGCTTCACGAGTGTCCACACGACGCTCCTCCCCGACGTCAACCTCGCCGATGGCCTGCACGGCAAGCCGAGCCTGCCGCCGTTCGCCACCCAGTCGTTCAACCCGGCGCTCAACGCCCTCACCGCCCGCCAGCTCGCCGACCTGCCCGCCATGACGGCCCACCTGCGCAACGCCGGCCTGTCGTCGGGCGGCAACAACCAGCAGCCGCAGCAGTCGCAGCAGGCGCCCAAGGGCACCTTCGAGGACTTCTTTGCGTCGAACCCGTACTGGCTCCGGCCCGACCAGCTCGACCAGAGCCGCGCAGCGCTGTACGGCAAGCTCGCCAACAACGCCGCCGGGCTCGTCGCCGCGCAGGCCAAGTCGTCGCAGCAGGACGGGTTCCTCCCCGTGCCGGCCGGCTTCGCGCCGAGCTTCTTCCGCTCGTCGACCTCGCCCTCCGCCGCCTCCTCCGCCGCTTCGTCCGACTTGACGGCATCCACCTCGGCCGCCGCGCCGACCAAGTCGTCGACCGCCGCCGAGCTCCTCGCGTTCCAGTCGCCGGCGACCGCCTTTGCCCTCGGCGTGTCGCACCAGGACGCGACCCTCGGCGCCGCCGCCGCCGAGCAGCACGCCGCGCTCATGACGGCCGCACGCGTCGCGACCCTCGCGCGCGAGACGCTCGCGAGCCGCATGTGGAGCGCGTTCGTCGACGCGTTCGCCGGGCCGGCGGTCGGGCCTGGCGCCGCCGCCGCCGCCGAGCAGCAGCAGCGCGGCGCGATCAGCGCCGACAAGGTTGCGGCGGTGCTCGGCGGCAGGGCGCGCGTAGAAGTCGTGCCCGTCGTCGCTGCGCCGGCGCCGGTGCAGCAGCAGGAGGTCGACGCGCTCGGCGAGCGCATGGGCGGCATGAGCCTCGCGCGTGCGGCGTCGCCTGTTGGTGGGAGCGGTGCCGACGAGCGCGAGTGCGGGTTCGAGGGCGTCGTCGGCCGGTGGCTAAGCGGCGGTGCGGCGCCGAAGAGGGCGTGAGCGCTTCCTGCGCCTCTTTCTCCTCCCTCTCCTCTCCTTTCGCCTTTCGCCTTTCATCAGTCCCACACTTTCCTCTGCCTTCATCCCCTCGACGTCGTCGCCTGTCTGTTCGCGCCTTAGCTTTGCGCCCTCGCCTCTCTCTCCCTCGACCTCCACGATCAGTCCCTCCGTACCCGCCTGTAGACTTGCCTGCTTGTGATCTGCACATTCTCGACCTTGCCTTACGTCCTGTCGAGCGAGAGAGCGAGACTCGGCAAAGCCTCATCGTCGACAGCGGAGAGAGCGAGCCACTTTCGACGAGCGAGTCGGCAACACCCCCTCTTGCGCTCGCACCATGTCGCCCACCGCCTTTGAGCGCGCCGTCGCCTACGTTGGCAGCTCGACCGCACCAAGCTCGACCGAGCTCAAGCTTCGAGTGCGTCCCATCCGCCCTCTCTCGTCGCCTGTCGGCGCTCATCAGTTGCCTCGTCGCAGCTCTACTCTCTCTACAAGGTCGCGACCACCAGCTCTCGGACGCCGACAGCCTCTCGACCAGGCCTGCTGGACTTCTCGGGGCGGGCCAAGTGGGACGCGTGGAGCCGGCTCGGCAAGGAGGACGAGATCGCGCGGCTGAGCGACGACGAGGTGTCGGACTGGGCGAGGCGAGCTTACGTCGACGAGGCGAGGGCGCTCGGCTTTGCGGAGGAGCTGGACGAGGTGCAGGAGCGGCCAGGGCCGAGGAAGGGCAAGAAGGACCAGATGGTCGCCGTCAGCACCCTCGAGGACTCGTTCGTCGACGAAGCGTGCGTCCCTTCTTTCTTCCGTTGCGTCGCCATCAGTCGTGCCGCCACTCACTGGCTCTGTCCGCCACGCAGGCCGCCATCACGGATACACGAGCTCGCGATCGACGGCGACGTCGCCGCTCTCGAGGAGTTTCTCGCCGGCGACGGCAAGGGCGTCGACCTGAACGAGCGCGACAGCTACGGCTATGCGCCGCTCCACTTGGCGACAGATCGAGGTGCGTCTCATCGAGTCCTCTTCTACACGTGCCAGGTCGGTCGCTCACCTCGACCTCTCTCGCAGGTCACGCCGATGTCGTCAAGGCACTTCTCGCTCACGGAGCAGACCGCTCTCTACCTGTGCGTGTTTCTCCTCTCTCCCTCTGCCGTACAGGCAGTGAACGTCTCGGGCTCTGCGTGAACTGAAGCCTCCTCCTCGCAGGATGAAGATGGCAACACAGCTCTCGACCTCGCACGCCTCGCCGAGCACGCCGACCTCGTCGAGCTGCTCTCGTAGCCCGCCTGCAATACATAGTTTCCTCTCTCGAGACCTGCAGCTACACGTCTCGGGATCTGAGCGCTCGCGAAAAGCGCGCGAGAGCAGCGAGTTCCTCGCCGCGCGGCGGTCGCCGACGAGCGAGCCGTCCTCGCCGGACGTTGAGTCTTTGTGGGCGAGAGGAGAGCGACAAAGAGTGCGGCATGATCGCGCGCATGGCCTGCGCGGCGGTCGCCGACGAGCGAGCCGTCCTCGCCGGACGTTGAGTCTTTGTGGGCGAGAGGAGAGCGACAAAGAGTGCGGCATGATCGCGCGCATGGCCTGCGCGGCGGTCGCCGACGAGCGAGCTGCGGACGCGAGAGCAGCGCGAGGAGGCTCGAGGAGGAGGACGAGCGAGAGAGCAGGCCCAAGACGAGCATGACCGGCTGTGAGCAGGTTGTAGACGTGCTCAGGACAGCAGGGAGCACGTGTCCCGCCTTGCCCGTGCCGTGAGCTTGCCACAAGGCGAGGGCCTGGCAGCAGGAGGAGAGCGAGGCGACGACGGCTCGCGCGGAGCGGGCCCGTCGCGTGAGAGCTGGGGCAGAGTCGACAGAGCAGTCTCTGCGTACTCGCGAGCCAGCTGAGCGTGCTCAGGGCGAGCGACAGGGGAGAAAGGGGAGCTCGTCGTCAGCTCGCTCGAGCTCTCCCTCGACCACTCGTCGCGCTCTGGCCCGCTCATGCCAGTGCGAGGACAGCCGCTCTCCCACTAGATGAGCACCCGCGACCCGCCCCGACCCGACTCGCCACATCTGCCGGCGGGCGACCGCACAGCTCCCCCCACCGCCTCCGACTCGGCCGCCTACGACGCTCGCCTCGCAGCAGCGCTCGACAGCCCGATCAAGCGCGCACACGACCCGCCAGACGACGACGACGACTATGGCGAGTTCGTCTACTCGGGCAAGGACGCCGCGCGCGAGCACGACGTGGGCCAGCCGGTGGGGGACTACGACGAGCGCCTGAGGGACACGGCGGGCAGCGCGGCGGGCGGCAGCAGTGAGGGCACCGAGCTGGGACGGCGCGAGCCGCTCATCGTCATCCAGGAGGAGCGGCGCGAGAACGGCGGCGACGACCACCACCACCTCGACCACCGCGGCAGCTCGTTGGGCATCGGCAATGGCCTCGGCACAAGTGTGCGTCCCTCATACCTCTCTTGTGACTCGGGCATGGAGCGCGGAGCGTGAGCTCATGCGCGACCCTGTGTCCGACGCTGCAGGCCCCACCGCGAGCACCCTCGTCCCGCATGACGAGCGGCTCGAACGACGAGTTCCCCGGCCTGCGCGCACGACGAGCCGCCCCGACACGGGCGAGATCCTCGTTCGGCTCGATCAATTCGGGCGCAGGCGCGCCGCAACGACCGCCGACCCACCCGGCCTTTTCGCGCCTGCGCTCCGTTTCAACCCAGTCGTACCCGTCGCAGAACCGCATCGCCTCGTCGTCGACCTACAACACTGCGCTCGAGTTTCCTGCGCGTCCGCCCTTCGGCGTTGCCGGAGGGTCCCCCTCGACCTCGGCCCTCGACAACATCTCGCGCCGCTCGTCCACCTCGAACCTGTTCGAGCTCCCGTCGGCGTCCGACCTGCCCGTCGGTACGGGCACGCCCGCCTCGGATACGTCGTCTGTCGTTGGCGGTGCTGGCGGCGTCAGCAACCCGAGCGTCGCCGGCGAGCCGAGGCGCGCCTCGCCCCGAGTGCGCACCATCAAGTGGTCGCCGCTCAAGCGCCTGTCGGCTCGAGTGCGCCCGCCGTCGGGCCCGTCCGCCGCCGCCGAGCTCATGGCGCAGAGCGCGCTCGGGCAGCCGACCGTCATGGCCGTCAACGGGCTCGTCGCGCTCGGCACCAACAAGGGCTGGGTCCTCGTCTTCGACTTTGCGCAGAATTTGCGCTGCGTGTGCGGCACCGAGGCCATCGGTGCGTCTCTCGAGATCTCTCAGACGTCAGACGGAAGGAGCCAGCCACTAAATCCGCCCTTGTGCCCGCAGCGAAAGACGCCGGCGCAGTGACGGCCGTCGCCGTCTCGCAGGACCACACGTTCATCGGCGTCGGCCACGAGACGGGCCACATCCACCTGTACGCGCTCGTCAAGCCCGCACAGCCGGCTCGGTCGGTCCCTCCTGTCGAGCTGCAGCAGGTCCTCGCCGGTCGCAAGGAGGGCCACATCGGCGGGTCCAAGATCCTCCATCTCGGCTTCGTCGGCGCCCGCCACACCGCCATCGTGTCGTCCGACGACCGAGGGCTCGCCTTCTACCACTCGTTGGGCAAGGTCCTCATGCTCGCGTCAACCGACATCATCCGCATGCTCGGCCAGTACCCGGACCCGAGCAACCTCCTCGCCAACCCCGCGCCGCCTTCCCCTGCGCCTCGACGCCCTCGCCTCTCGTCTATCGCCACCTCTCCTGCCGCCATGGCCTCGCCTCCCGACTCGCCCGGGCCCTCGCCTCGCCTCCCGACTCGCGGCCTCCCTTCCCTCGCCTCCCCTCTCGGCGAGCCTCGTTCCCCTCGAGTTGTGACGCCGCCGCCGCCGACCAAGAAGCCGGCCGTCGTCCTCGACATGGCGCCGCTCCCGCTGGGCCCGGCGCCGCATCCGCCGACGGACGGCCTGTCGCTCATCGCCCTCCTCACGCCGACCAAGCTCGTCGTTGTCGGCTTGCGCCCGGCGCCCCGCACGTGGTACCGCGTCGGCTACTCGCACGACGGCGATGGCGACGGCGACGAGGCGCGAGGGTACGCGGCGCGAGGCGTGCTCGCGTGGTGGCCGAGCGCGCGACGAGCAGGGACGGACGCGGCGGCGCAGGACGAGGGGCGGGAGCAAGTGGACGTCGAGCGGAAGAGGGAGGCCGAGGAGCCCGGCGAGGACCCGCTGCTCGTGTGGGCGTGGGGCAGGCGGGTGCACCTCGTGCGGGTCAAGGGCGCCAAAGGCGGCGCGCCTCCGCCGGCGAAGCGGACGCCGGCGGGCGCGCTCAAGCCGCTCCCGCCGCCGCCCGAGAGCGTCGACTTCGAGCAGATGGACGGGTGGGTGTGCGACGCTCCGGTCGTGGCGCTCAAGTGGTACAACGAGCGTGTGCGTCGTCGGCCCCTGCACTTCCCTCGAGCCTGTCCTCACTAACCTCGCTTCTCTCCCTCCTGCAGATCGTCATCACCTTTACGATCGACAGCTTCGAGGTCTACGACGTCTCGACCCGACAGCGCCTCGGCCGTGACGCTCACGTCCTCGACAACGTCGTCTCGACCGACCACTACTCGTCGGCGTTCGACCCGGCTGTGCGGCCCGCCGAGACGGCGTCGTACGCTACGAGCCTCGCCGTCTTCAAGCGCAAGCTGTTCCTCCTCGTGCGTCCCGACCTCTTTCCCGGCGGTCGTGAATGGCGGGCCTGACCGCCTCTCCCCGCACACAGGGCACCACGGACGTCCGAGTCGGCGCCATCCTGTCGTGGGCCGACCGCATCCTGTCGCTCATGCAGCCGGGCACCATGCTCGACGCGATCGAGACGGCGACGGCCTACCTCGAGGGCCAGGTCGACGCGAGCACGATCTCGCTGCCGGACGACCCGGTCGCGCGGCGCGATGTCCTCGAGCCCAAGCTGCGCGAGATCCTCAACGCGTCGCTCGAGTACGCCTTCTCCGAGGACCGCCTGCGCGACGGCAGCCACGCCGACGGCGAGACGATCCAGCACTTGTTCGAGGGCCTCGTCGGCACATGCGCCCGGGCCTGCCTCGCGCTCAACGACCCGGACTGGCTCTTCGACGAGCTGTTCGAGCGGTACGAGCAGAACGGCATCGAGGGCATCTTCCTCGACCGCGTCGAGCCCTTCATCCTCGCCGGCGCCGTCCACGCCCTCCCGCCGTCCGTCAGCCAGCGCCTCATCGCCATCCACGCCGAGCGCCGGCAGCTCGACGCCGCGCAGCGCATCATCTTCAGCGTCGAGCCGCAGAACCTCGACCTGAACCAGGTCCTCGGCCTGTGCCAGCGCGAGCAGCTGTACGACGCCCTCATCCACGTCCAGACCCGGGCGCTGCACGACTTTGTCGCGCCCCTCGTCGAGCTCGTCGAGCTCGTGCGTCGCATCCAGCAGCACCGCACGCAGCGGCCGAGGCGCATCGGCGAGAACGGCGACGCGCACTCGGACGAGGGCAGCGGCGGCGACGACGACGAGCTCGAGGACCACGGCGGGCTGTGGCGCAGCGTCACGCAGGCGGACCAAGACGTCGAGGCGACCGTGCCCGAGGCGTACAAGGTGTTCGCGTACCTGTCGCGCCAGCTCGTCGGGCTGTCGTACCCGGTCGGCGACGCCCTCTCGTACGACGAGGCCGTCCGCGCTCGTGACGCCATCTACGGCTTCCTCCTGTCGGGCACGACGCGCAGCTGGCCCGAGAAGGGCGGCAAGCCCGTCCTCACGTCCGACGCCGGCGCCGGCGCGCCCGAGCCGCCGTACCCGTACCTGCGCCTTCTCTGGCGGTTCGACGCCGAGGCCATGCTCGACACGCTCGACCTCGCCTTCGAGGACCCGTACCTCGACGAGGACGACGAGGACCTACTCACGACGAGTCGGCGCCCGGCAACGCGGCAGCGCATCGTCGACCTCCTCCTCGAGATCATGTCGCCCTCGTCGGCGCCTCACGGCGACGACGCCGACGGCTTTTCCCTCGTCGACCGCACCTTCCTCCACATCTTCGTCGCCCGCAACCTGCCCAAGTACCCGCAGTACGTCTCGCTGCCCGTCGGGACCCTGCGCGACATCCTCGTCAGCCTCGCGACCGACACCGACCAGAGCACCGTCGAGGACCGCCAACTCGCCGCCGAATACCTCCTCTCGACCTATACCCCTGCCGACAGCGATACCTTCATCCCCCTCTTCGAGCGCGCCGGCTTCTTTCGCATCCTGCGCTCGATCTACCGCGGCGAGCGCCGCTGGTCCGCCCTCGCCGCCACGTACCTCGCCGACCCGGACGTCGCGTCCGACGTGTTCGGCTTCCTCCGCGAGACGTTCAAGCTCGCGTCGCGGGCGTCGGGCGCGCAAAAGGCGCAGCTCGCCGACACGGTCCTCGAGGCGGTCCCGACGCTCGTCGAGGCCGACGAGACGGGCCTGCAGCAGACGGCCGAGCTCGTCGACTCGTACCTCCCGACTCGTCACGCCGAGGTCGTCGACCGCCTCGCGTCGCACTGGCGGGCGTTCGCCTACCTGCGGTGCCTCCTCGAGCCCGCCCACGCCGGCCTCGTCGAGTCGACCTCGGCCGCGAGCGAGCGCGTCCCCTCGCCGCATGTCGACCTCGCCCTGCGCCGTCGATACGTCGTCCTCCTGTGCGCCCACGAGCCGCAGCACGTCATCCGCTTCCTCCGCACCGACGCGCACCGCCTCGCCCAGGACGCCGACGTGCTCGAGATCTGCGAGCGCGCCGAGTCGTTCGACGCACTCGTGTGGGCTCTCGACAAGAACGGCGAGCCCGAGGCGGCGCTCGAGCGGGCCGACGAGGCGCTCGAGTCGCGCACAGACCTCCTCGTGCAGCGTCTCGTCGGCGGCGACGGCGACGACGACGCGCAGGACGGCGGGTCCGTCCAGCCCTCACGCTCGCCCGATGCGCTCCTCGAGCAGGTCGCTGCGGTCGCGAGAGCGGCCACGGCCGTGTGCGTCCACCGCACGTCCGGGCGGCGGCGGCCCAAGGACCCGCCGGCCGAGGACCTGTGGTACCGCCTCCTGTCGTCGCTCGTCGCCACCGTGCGCTCGATCCGCTCGGTTGCACCCACGTCATCGGCCGACAAGGCGTCGTCGCACCGCCGCGTCTCGAACGCGTCCATGATCGTCCACGACGAGGTCGACGAGGACGGCGGGCCGCAGCACCTGTCGGCGCGCTCGTCCGAGATCCTTTCGTCGCTCATCCCGAGCGCGCTGTCGGCCCTCGTGTCGACCACGTCGTCGCACGAGGTGTCGTTCCCGAGCTTGATGCGCCGGCTCATCGAATCGAACTCGCGCTCGTCCGCCGCCAACCGGTCGTACGCCGAGTTTAAGGCCATCGTGACGTCGATGCTCGACACGTACGCGTTCGAGGGCGACCTGCTCGAGCTGTCGTCGACCATCTCGGCGCAGGACCTGTTCGAGCACGTCGAGGCGTTCAAGCGCGAGCGATACCGAGGGTGGCGCCCGGGCGCCAACGACCCGTCAGGCGCGTGCGCCGAGTGCCTGCAGCCCGTCTGGGGGCCGCACGGCGCCGGGACGTCGCCGGCCATGTCGCGCTCGGCGAGCGTGTCGCTCGTCATCGAGTCGCTCGGCATGAACGACGAGCGGCCGCGGATGAAGAAGCGGCCGTCGCTCAAGGGCAAGGAGGTCGACTGGCCCGAGCTGCCGGGTGCGTCGGCGAGCGGGTTCAGGAGCGTTGCGAGGCCGGAGCATGAGCCGCCGCGAGGAGTGGTCGTTGGGAGGGACGGCCGGCTGTTCCACCAGACCTGTCACCTCTTGCGCTCGTACGAGTAGATCCAGCACCTGCATCGTCGCACAATCTAGACTCTTGCGAGCTCGTTCTGCACTGTCCTGCCTCGAGAGCTCGAGGAGAGTCCGTGCGAGGCGCTGATCCGGCCGGCCGCAAGGAGGGAAGCTCGCTTAACTCTCAACTCTCGCCCACCGCCTCTCGCTGAGCCTGCGCTGCTCTCGAGGTGGCCGTTTCGCCTTCTCTGCGGCCACCGACAATGGCCGTTGCGCCCTCCAGGCCGTCGAGCGACTCGACCGCGACTCGGACTTCATCAGCTGGCGATGGCGCGACCGCGGTTCCAGAACCGCTCACGCTCAAGGAGGTGCCGACCGACAGCGTGCGAGGTGAGCAGGGCGCGAGGGACAAGCCGCTCGAGCCTGGAGCAGCAGACGGCGACGCGGGCGAGGAGGCGCGGCATGCCTCTCGAGGACGGCGGGTGTGGAACGCGACAAAGCGGGTCCTGGGGCTGCTGGTCGACCAATGGGTGCGTCCCTCTCTCTCCTACAGAGGTGTGCGCCCGCCCCTGACGTCTCGATCCGCCCTTCCTCCTCCCGTCGCCTCGCCCTCCTCCTCGCCGACCTCCTCTCCTCGCCCCGCCCGCGTCCGCCTGCCCCTCCTGCCGCAGTTCCTCATCGGTATCGGCGTCTTCATCGTTCTCGCGTGAGTTCAAGCTGGTACCGCTTGTCGCGGTCGAGGAGAAGGAGCTGACCTTGCCGCCCCGACAGATGGCGCTTCCCCAACGTCGCTCGGCAAGGCGGCGTGATCCAGTCTGAGTGGAGCATCCGGCTCTTGTGCGTCGCGATCATCTTCACCATCAGCGGTCTTTCTATTCCACCTCGCAACATGGTGAGGCGAGCTGGCGGCGCTCTCCCTCCCTCTCTTCACCCTCGCAAGGCGCACAACTGACCCTGCTTCCCTTCCACAGTACCTGCGCGCGCTCGACTGGCGATTACACCTCGTCTGCAACATCACGACCTTCCTCCTCTTCCCTGCCATCGTCTTTGCCGTGCGTCCAAGTCCAACGTCATTCTGGAACGCCCACTCACTAGCCCTCTCGCTCGCAGATCGTCTCGGCGGTCCAAGCCGCCGACCCCGAGCACAAGCGGTTCGACAAGTACGCGCTCGTCGGCCTCGTCGTCATGAGCTGCATGCCGACTACGGTGTCGTCCAACGTGACGATGACCGGCCTCGCAGGCGGCGACGTCGCCGGCACGACGATCGAGGTCCTCCTAGGCAATACGCTCGGCGTGTTTATCAGCCCGGCGCTCCTCGAGATGTTCCTGTCGAGCTCGACGTGGGCGTTCGGCAAGCCCGTCGCGTCCGGCGCCGGCGGTCTCGGCGAGGTGTACCGGCAGGTCATCGAGCAACTCGGGTACTCGTGCGTCCACCTCTTCTCCTTCCCCTCCTCTCTCCTCGTCCTGACGATGCGCCCTCTTGCTGCAGCGTCTTTATCCCGCTGTTCGTCGGCGAGTGCGTCCAGTGGGCATTCCCGAAGCAGACCAAGTGGGCCTTGCGCACGTTCTACCTCGCGAAAGTCGGGACCTTCTGCCTGCTCCTCGTCATCTGGCGCGTCCCTTCTCTCTTCTCGTCTCGTCGTCTTGATCGCGTACTGACAGTCTCTCTACAGGTCTACTTTCTCGGGAGCGTTCTACGCCGGCTCGTTCGAGCGCATCTCGGGCGAGGCCATCGCCATGATCGTCACCGTCAATCTGGGCCTGCATCTTGTGCGTCAAGCTCTCTTCCCCCCCTCTCTCTCTCGGTCTGTCTCACTGTGAGAGAGCTGACTAGCTTTTGGATGCGCAGCTCTTCTCGGTCGTCATCTTTGCCGTCTGCCGGCTCGTGCCGGTCCCGCAAGGCAAAGCTACTCGCGGCCTGGACGGCAAGCGGGCGGTCGGTCCCCTCCTCTCGCCCGAGACGACCATCTCGGCGCTCTTCTGTGGAGGAGCGAAAGGCGCTGCCCTGGGAGCTCGTGCGTCCCCCTCTCGCCGTCCCTCTCTCGTGCGGGACCTGCCTTACCACCTCTTCCTCTTCCTGATGTGCCACAGCCATCGTCAGTATCCTCTACGGCGGTCTCACGCCCGAAGCGCGAGGGATCGTCTCGCTCCCCCTCGTGCTCTACCAGGTGCGCTCGCCGACCTTCCCCTCCTCTCAAAGTTCGCCCGACCCTGACCGTCCTCAACGCTCGCAGGGCAGCCAAGTCGCGCTCGGCCAGGGCGCCGTCTACATCCTGCGCCGATGGAACGAGCGGCAGAAGCTCGTGGCGAGGGAGGCAGAGGAGGGCAAGGGGCGCGAGGGGGACGAGGAGGCGTCGAGAGGTCCGGGCGAGGGTCGCTTAGACGGTGGGCCAGAGACAGAGGGCAAGTAGAGCTATTGTATTATACGAGCATGTCCGTCACGATACCTCTGTCTGTTGCGCAGAGTGCTGCGGCCCTGCTCGAGCTCGTGGTCGCCTTTGCCTGGCTCTGCTCCTCCTCGCCTCGCCTCCTCGCCGGGCTCGGGCACGTCGAGAGTCTCCTGTCTCGATCAACGGCGCGCGTTCGTCGTCCCCAGACGCCTCGCGGAATGTCCGCGAGCGTTTGCGTCAGGAGATGGTGGGCGACGGACGCTCGAGCCTCCGGAACCTCCGTGGACGGTCGCGCGTCGGTCCTTCGAACTCTCTCGACGCGCAGCTTGTGGCGCTCGCTCTTCTCTCTCTCTTGAGCTCTTGTTCCTCGACGACCGAGCGGAACCCGTACGACCATGTGCCGCCCAGGTCTGGACACAAAGGACGACCCGTTCGACCCGCAAGCGCGCACACCTCCTCCTCGCCCTCGGCGCCCAACTCTCGAGTTGTCGCCTGACACGCGGCACATCATCGATCGGGCGACCGGCTGGCCGCCGCGCAGCCCGAGCGCCCCGTCTCTCGGTCCCCATCGCCCGCACCCGGTCGTCAACCATGCAGCGCTCGCGGCGCTCACTCGCTCGCACGACGAGGTCCGCGGCAACTCGGGCGTTCTCGACCCGGAGGTCGCCCACCTGTTCGGCACCGACGCGTGGCTGCACATCGGCAACACGGACCGCAACCGGCGGCTCATGCGCGAGCAGCGCAGGGCTGCAAAGCGAGCGGCACAGGGCCTCACGACGCCCTCGCCCGTGTTCAGCGTGCGATCGGCATCTGCGCCTGCGTCGCCTGGCCCTGGCGAGTCGCACGCGCCGATCCGATCCTGGTTTTCGGTCGCGTCGTCCTCGTCCGGCGACCACGACGACCACGACGACGAGCCGCCGCTTCCTCGGCCGCTTCCTCGGCCGCGCCCGGGCCTCTCGGTCCATCGAGGGCGTCAGCCGGGGCTCGTCCTGTCGCGAGTGGACGGCCCGCCCGGCGCCGTGCGCCACCTCGCCCTGCCGGCAATCGGCTCGCCGTTCAACGTGCGCCTCCCGGCGCTCGCTCGCGGCCGCACGCCGTCGCCCGAGCTGCGTCGTGATCAGAGAATGATCACGAGGCCGACGGCGGACATGGACGCGGTCGTGCGAGGCTCGTCGCCGTCGCGCCGACCCAATTCGCGAGGCAATCATTGTGCGCCTCGCTCCTTTCTCTCTTTCTCTTCATTTCCTCCTTTGAGACCGACCTCCAGGGACATACTGATACTCTCGAATTCCTGCAGAGCTTTCGCCGACGCGACCGCGGCGTCAGGGCGTGCAGCTCGGCGACTTCTCGACTTGAGAAGGTTCCGCTCGACACCGCGCGTGAGCTCTGCGCCCACCCACACACCCTACCCTCCTTCCGACCAGCATTTGTCCGTTACCTAGATTGTCCCCTCCCGCATCCACTTTATCCCCAAATCTGTAGCGCCTCGCTTCACGCTCCCCTTCTTCCCCCATTTTGCAAGCAACAGACACTCTCGACCTCCTCCGCTCGAGAGCAGTCCCTGCGAGAGAGACCTCGAGCGTGGTCGAGCGGATTGGCAGCAGGAACATTCGCCGAGACGCAGACGTCCAGGGTGGCGCAGCCGCAAGCGCTTGCCTGTTCCCTCGCCTAGCTCTCAGCTCCTTCCTCTCATCACTTCCTCGCTCCACGCCGGTCAGGCTCGGTTCTCGAGCGCTCAAGCTGTGCCGTCGGATCGCTCACAGCAGAACAGAGGCCGAGAGGAGAGCAAGGAGGGCGGCCGCCGATCCTGTGCTGCCACGTCAGCTACGTAGGCCCGACGCTGATTGGCTGTCGCGCTTCCGGCGGTGAGCGAGCGACGGGGTCGAGGAAGCGAATCGCTCACTTGAGGGCGGGCAGCGGGCAGCTCTCGACGGACGTCTCGGCACGTGTAGAAGGGACCGGCGCCGGCCGCCGAAGCCGTGTCAGAGCGCCCGGACCTCTCTGCCCTGGACGGCGGGAGGAGGGACTCGCATTTCGGCCAGGCGTGCTCTCTCTTTCTCGGCCCTGAGCTGCTCGTTCGATGCATCGAGACGTGTGTTCGACGATGCGCCCGTCGTCTCGGTCCGCTTGGGTGGTGAGAGCGCAACTCTGCGCCGAGAATGAGATCCAGAAGGAAGGACACGGTTTCTGGCCCGCAGGCTGGCTCTTTCTCGCGCCTGCCCTGCTGGATAGACCTATCGACATGACTGCTCATCGGTGAACCTGCTCGCCCCGGACCAGACGAGAATGTGCCCGCACGATCCAGCGCAGAGGAGATCGAAGAGGGACAAGCGGACTCGGCGCGCAACTCGCTGTTCTGCGCTTCGTGAACTTGCAGCCTCTCGATTGACGTCTCGAGACGTCCGTTCGAGCCTCGAGCCTATCGCGAGGAGAGGAGCGGGAAAGCCGAACGCTAGAAGCGCGAACGGGCGAAAGAGGTTCGAGTGCCACGAGACGGGTCGCAGCTGAAGCGCAGCTCTCGCGCTCTGACGCTCGCTGCCCAGGCAGTCGTCCTGAGCGGGCTCTCGAGGACGACAGGAAGCTGACCGAGCGTAAGGCCGGACGCCGAGAGAGATTGAGAGCTACTCTGCTCTCGAGCGACGAGACGATGTTTTGGCTCCTGCGGCTCGTCTCGCCCTGCGCCCTCGACGTCGCTCTCACAGCTCGGATCGACGCGAGAACGTCGGTCAGTCTGCAACTCGCGTCGCTCTACTGCCCCTCCTGCTCGCCCTCCTCGCGCCCCTCGCCCTTCTCGTACCCGTAACCCCTCGCGATCCCGCCCTCGCGGCCCATCTCGAGCCTCGCGGGCTCGTCCATGCCGTACCGCGGCTCGAGGCCTTTGTACGTGCGCGTCTGCATGTACTCGCCGGCGGCGCTGCCGAGCACGCGAGAGACGGCCGACGACGTGTCGCGGATCGAGAGGGCCGAGGCGGCAGAGGTGAGGGCGTCGGCGTCTGCTCGAGGAGGGGTGACGGGTGGTGCGGCACGGCGAGAGAGCAGGAGGAAAGGGAGAGAGAGGAAAGAGTCAGTGACCGTCGAGGCGAGAGGGAAAAGAGAGGGCGAGAGAAGAGGGAGGAGCGCACCTGCAAAGACCTTGTTCGTGTACCGCTTCGGGTGGCGGTACGTGCCCGTCGCCGCACTGAACACTGGCCGCTCCCCATCGTCCTCGTCCTGCTCCTCGTCGTCGTCGCTCTCGCTCGCGCTCTCGCCCGACCCGACCGTCCCGGCGTCCTGCCCAAACGTCGAGCTCTCGAGGAGCGCCGCAAAGTCGAGCAGGTAGTCGCCCGTCCAGGCTTTGCCCGTCAAGGCGAGCTCGAGCTCGAACGGCGTCACGATCGGGCGCAAGAACTCCTGCAGGAGGGAACGCGAGGGACGGCGGTCAGTGCTCGGCGTCCTTGCTCGGCGGGCTGCACTAGAGGAGGACGGGGAGGGGAAGGAGGAAACCGAGGGCGCACCTTGCTGTCGACCATCGAGTTTTCCGGGCACGCGACGAGGACCCAGCACTCGACCTCGATAAAGTTGGCGAGCTTGGCCGGGTTGAGCTTGCCGACGGCGACCGTGTAGCTCTTCTTCTCGCGGCTCGTGATGAGCTGCCGCAGGTGCGTGATGAGCGGGAGGTAGGCGGCTGGTCGTCGGGTCGAGGGGACGAGGAAGGAGGGGCGAGGAGCAGAGGGGAGGTCAGTGCGCGCTCGAAAGAGAGAGACGCAGAGAGACGAGGACGCACCGACGCCGAGCGTGCCGACGAGGATGCCGATAACGTCTGCGTCCTTGGCCTTCTCGACGGTAGCGTACCGCCGCATGAGCATGCGATTCGTCCTCCCGCTCTCGAGCCGCGCTTGGCCCGTCGCCGGGTCGTACGACCACACCTGTCGTCGTCGTCGAGAGGATCGTCAGTGACGTGAAGGTTCTGTGTTCTCAGAAGAGGAAGAGAGGGGAAGAGAGAGGGGAGACGGACCCTGCACCGCCCATGAACGAGGAGCGCGTTGTTGAGCGCCAAGTTCTCGCCGCCGATCCACAGCAAGGCGCACTCGTCCTTGTCGACGCCCTCGGGCAGCGTGTACCGCCCCGCCGAGCGCGGCACCGTCGTCGGCGGCGCGGGCACCGACGGGTCGAGGTCGAACCCGGCCGGCTCAGGTGCGGGCGCGGCGTCGGCCTCGTCGCGCTCAAGATCGGGCGCGGCGGCGTCGTTGGAGGCGGCCGAGGGCGGGTCGGCGCGCACCTTGCCCTTGTCCGAGGCGTGCGCGCGCAGGTTGGCGCGCGAGTCGAGGTGCGAGAGGACGAGGGGGAGGTTGGTCGGGAGGAGCGGGCGTAGGGCGTCGGCAACGAGGTCTGGGTGGGGGTTCGAGTCGTCAGTCCCAGTCTGACTAGAGCGAGAGGGAGTGCGAGAGAGGGACGCACGGGCTTTGTGGGCGTAGGCGACGTCGTACAGGAGGACGACGGCTTTTGGCGGCTCGTCTTGGAGCGAGTCGCGACTCGTGGACGCGAGGGCGCTTGCGGCGGCGTCTGGGTCGATCGAGCGCTTGGTGAGGACGTACAGGACGGGTAGTCGGGCCGTGCTGCGGCGAGGAGAGGCGAGGTTGAGCTGGGCGAACGTGCGAGGGAGTCGAGGGAGGAGGCAGGACGCACGGCGAGAGGCAGGTGTGGCCATAGTGGATGACAAAGTCGGCGTCGACATGCTGGGCTGCGACCTCGTCGACACAGCAGCTGCAGAGGACGGGAGGAGAGGGTGAGTTCGAGGGGTCGAGGAAGGGAGGCGGGTAGCGAAGAAGGAGCGGGGCGCACCTGCCATAAGTCGTGTCTGCGAGGACGTAGAGCTCCTTGTCTTGCGGGAGGCGGCTGCGCAGGGCGCGGTACACTGGGACGGCGTCGTGCAGCTGCTCGTCGGCGAACTGGAGGGCGACCTGGGGGCGAGGGGGGCAGAGGGTGAGCTCGGGTGGGTCGGTGTCGAGTGGGATGGAGTGTGGTGCGGACCCTCGAGTAGCCGCCGCGAAGGACCTCTTGGACCGAGAGGTCGACCTCGTAGGCGTCGAGGAGCGAGACAGAGTCGAGGTCGGAGAGGGGAAGCGGTTGAGCGTCGATGTGCTGCAGGATGGCGTCCTCGCCCGAGGGGGCGACAGAAGGTGGAGCTTGCGACATGGCGGGTCGGTGGTCGAGGCGAGGGTGGTGCTGCGCCGGGGTGGAGAGCGAGCTGTGAGCTGAAGCGGGCGCCGAGCTGAGAGGGAGATGAGACGATCTGATTGGCCGAGACACGGAACGGCAACCGGCTGCGACCCAAGGTGCTGCGAGCGACACCCTCCCTCCCCCTCGCCCTCGTCCCTCTTGCCCCTGAGTCTGCTACGCTGGACCACCACCACGACGACTACCCTGGGCACCAGCCCTTGATGCAGGCCTCGGTCGCCACCACCCACCCGCCAGCGTACCTGCACCACCACTCGCAGCTGGCCTACCCGCACTCGCCAGCCCACTCGCGCCCACACAGCCCGGTCCCACCTCACCTCCAGCACCAACGCCACCAGGCCCACCCGCGCACCACCACCCCCTCGAGGCAGAACCACCGCTCCACCCCGCCCTCGCACTCGCACGGCACCACTACCACCACCCGCCAGCCCCGCTCGACCCGCCCAGACCGCGACAGCCACCACCAGCAGCAGCAGCGGTACGACCCGGACTATGACCGCGCCGCAGCCTCGAGGTCCACCACCTCGCTCGCCAACCCGCCCTCGTCCTCGTCCCGCGAGCTGTTCAACCCCAACTCGCACCACCACCACCACCACCAACAAGCACGTCGACCCGCCAGTCCGGCCCTCGCCCCTCCTCTAGACCCGCCCTCGCGTCCCCGTCGCGAGCACCGCGACCGCTCGGAGCGCGCCGATCGCGCCGACCGCGACGACGCCGGCCCGCGCACCCGCAGCAAGCGCGAGCCCGTCGACCCGGCCGACCTCGGCCGCCGCGCCGGCGCAGGTAGCGGCTCGGGCCTCGTCGCGGCGCGCTCGGGCGCCGGAGCTCACGCCCACCACGGCTCGTCGTCCCGCGCGACGGTCGCGCAGGGCAGCAAGGAGTCGCTCGAGAGCGTCGAGACCGACTTTAGCGGCCGCACGAGGAGCAGCGGCGGCGGTGGTGGGACGAGCGGCCGCCGCCGTCGCCGTCGCGAGGACGCGGGCGGCGCAGGCGACGACGGCGACGAGGCGGCCGACTCGGTCGCGGCCGGCCTCGGCTCGGTCGCAGGAGCGAGCTCGGCGAGCCGCAGCTCGCGCCAGCTGTTCGACCCGCGCCGCGACGACCCGATGCGGTTCGCCGAGGCGCGCGCCGAGCGCACCGCCGCACGCCACGGCGGCCTCGCCAAGGGCCCCGCAGCCGACACGCGCTCGCTCGCGAGCGGCTCGGTCCTGTCGTTCGCGAGCGACATGACGGCCGACGACGCGGCGAGCGCGAGCGCGAGTGCGGCGTCGGGCGCCGCCCCGAGCGCGTCGTCGTCCAAGCGCCCGCCGCACCCGGCCATGGCGCCGCTCAAGCGCGCGTACCGCGAGATCACGGACCTCGAGGCGCGTGTCGCCGACGAGCACCGTGCGGCACAGGCGGCGAGCGCGAGGGAGGGAGGCGAGGCGGACGACTTTGCCGCCTCGGGCGCCGGCGGCGGTGGAGGGGCTAAGGCGGGCGTGCGCATTCAGGGTGCGGGCAGCCGAGCGAGGCTCGACGACGAGTTCTGGGTCCGGCTCGCGACCCTCCACAAGCAGTGCGTCCTCACTTTGCTCTCCCTCGAGCCGGCCTTCCCGATCCGAATCTCACTGACTCTCTCTCTCTCTCTCTCCTACAGGCTCGCCGACGCGCACTACTCGTTCCTCCAGCTCGCGCTCGACCCTCGCCTCCCGGCGTCGCTCCACTCGCTCGCGCAGCGGTACAACATCCCGACCCGCCTGTGGCAGGTCGGCTTCCACCAGCTCCTCGAGCGCATGCGCCACGCCGTCCTCTCGGCACCCCTCCCCTCCTCGACCTCGTCTCACGCCCACACCCATGCCCAGGCCCACGCCGAAGACTCGCCGCCGGCCAATGTCCTCGAGCACCTGATCGAGTTCATCCAGCACGCGTACGGCTTCTACTCGCAGCTGTTCGAGGACCCGACCATCGCCGTCTTCCGCGCCGCGTGGATCGAGCAGCTCGGCGACCTCGCGCGGTACCGCATGGCCGTCGCAGGCCTCGCCTCGCGCATGCACGCCGCCTCGTCGTCGGCGGCGCCGGCCCGCCTCACGTCGGCCGCGCTCGACGCTCACGCCAAGCCGGCGCAGCAGCAGCAGCGTCCCGCCGACGCGGCGAGCATTGGCCAGGCGGCGCTCAACGACTGGGACCTCGAGGAGCACGAGACGTGGCGCGAGATGGCGCGCGACTGGTACGGCCAAGGGCTCGCCGAGAACCCGGGCACGGGCCGCCTGCAGCACCACCTCGCGCTCTTGAGCAAGGGTGACGAGTTCAGGGCGCTGTACCACTACGCCAAGAGGTGCGCTCGCTCCCCTCCCTTTCCTCGCTGTCCTCCCTTTCCCGCGAGAACGACACTGACCCCCTCCCTCTCCTCTCTCCTCCTCCGCCTCAGCCTCACGGCCACGCACCCGTACCTGTCGGCGCGAGAGTCGATCCTCCCCCTGTTCGAGGACGAGCACCAGCAGCGCCGCACGCAGCCCGACGTCACCAAGGCCGAGCTCTTCGTCCACCTGCACGGCATGCTCTTCACCAAGATCTCGCTCGACGACTTTTCGCCCGCTCAAGAGCGCTTCCTCGAGCGCCTCAAGGAGGAGCGCTGGGCCATCCTCAAGTCGCGCGACGAGTGGCTCGCCATGAGCCTCGAGGCCAAGGGCGACCAGGCGCCGTTCGGCGACCGCGAGTGGTTCATGCTCGGCGTCGTCAACGTCGCGTCGCTCCTCCAGTACGGCGCCGACGACGGCGTCCTCAAGAAGCTCCTCGCGCGCGACTCGGCGTCGGGCGACGGCGGCGAGGACGGCTCGGCGTCGACGGCGCACAACGGCCACGGCGACGGTGGGCACCTCTCGGCGCGTGGGAGCCGACACGGTCGCGGCGGCGGCGCCGGCGGCGCAGGTGGGTCGAGCCGGCACGCGTCGTCGGCGACGCTCGCGAGCGCGAGTGCGGCGAGGGCCGCGCCGCAGGCCATCATGGTCAAGCGCTCGGACGCCGACGACGCCGCGCTCGACGACGAGCGCACCTCGCGCGGCGGGAGCAGCAGTGCGGCGTCGACGGTCGGGCCTGGGTTCGGGCTCGGCGGCGCCGAAGACCTCGTCAAGCAGCTCGGCAACGGGTCGGGCGGCGCGGCGACCCTGCCCGAGGACGACCCGCTCCCGTTCAAGCTCGCGCAGGAGCTCTCGTTCTCGCTCCTGTCGTTCCTCATCGCCACGCCGTTCCGCACCCTCGCGTCGTCGACCCTCGCCCTGCCCAACCCTTACGTCACCCTCGTCCTCACGTTCGTCGCCCACCTGTCGCACCACCCCTCGGCGCTCGCCCACCTCGAGCGCGCCATCCCCTGGGCGCACCTCGCCTCGCTCTTCAACCGCATCCCGTCGGGCATCAACGTGCGCCTCGACGCCCCGCCGAAGCTCAGCGCCGGCCGGCCCCTCCCCGAGGACTGGTGCCTGCGCGGCATGGACTGGGCCGGCCGTCAGCTGTTTGCTCGCGGCTACTGGCGCGAGCACCGGCCCCGTGCGCCGGCCTCGCCGAGCGGCGACATCGGCGGCGCGAGCGGCGAGGGAGGTGCGGGCGCGCGCGTCGAGAGCGAGATGGACGCGCTCCGGTTCGACATGGCGGCGCTCGACGAGGGCGAGGGCGGCGGCGGCGGCGGCACGAGCTCGGCCAACGACGAGGCGGGCGAGGGCCGGTCGTACGGCGTCGGCGGCGGCGGCGGCGCAGGCTTGAGCGCGGTCGCTCGACTCGCCGAGGCGAGGTGGCGCCGCCTCGCCATCTGCGCCGCGTGGCTCGTGCGCAACGTGCCCGGCTTCGACTACGACGCGCGCGCCGTCGACCCGTCGCGGCGGTTCCGCATCTCGGGCGCCCTGCAGCGCAAGATGGAGCGGTGGCAGCGCGAGGACGACGACGCGCGCGAGGCCGAGCGGCTCAGCCGACTCGCGCTCGACGAGAGGAGGTCGGCGAGTGCCGGGAGCGCCGAGGAGGACGACGAGGAGAGTGCGGGCGAGGATGACGACGACGAGAACGACTCGGAGGCCGTCAAGGAGCTCAAGGTGCGCCTTGCCGTTCCCTCTTTTTCCTCTCTCGACGAGCGTAGATTGACTCAATCTTCTCGCACCGACAGTCTCGCCGTCGTCAGCTCAAGGCCATCATCCGGTCGGCGCGCTCGGCGACTCGCGGCCCCAAGCTCGGCGGTCGCCTCGCAGCTCGTCTCGGCGGCAAGGCGGCGTCGATCCCCAAGGTCTTTGCCGGCTACACGGTCCTCGTGTTCGACACCAACATCCTCCTCACGTCGATCGACCTGTTCAGCGAGCTCGTCGCCGCCGAGTGCTGGACCATCATTGTCCCGCTCGCCGTCGTCACCGAGCTCGACGGCCTGCGCCGCAACCCGACGGCGCTCGGTGTCGCCGCCGCCGAGGTCATCGACTACCTCGAGCTCGCCGTGCGCGGCTACTCGCGCTTCCTCAAGATCCAGACGAGCCGCGGCAACTACCTCAAGGACCTCGCCATTCGCAACGAGTCGATCGACTTTGGCAGCTCGTCTGCGGCCGCCTCGTCCTCGCTCGACGGCGCCGCGCCGACCTCGTCGTCGCACGACATTGCCCGGTCGATGGATGACGTCATCCTGCGCGCCGCCGCGTGGCAGCGCGACCATTTTTCGAACCGGCTCGCGCTCGTCAACCCGCAGGCCGTGCTCGACAAGCGGCGCGTGCCGGCCGACGCGGCCCAGGTCGTCCTCGTCACGTTCGACCGCAACCTGCGCCTCAAGGCGGGCGCGAGGGGCCTCGACGCGACCGACGAGAAGGGCCTCAAGAAGGCGGTTGCGGCCGCAGCTGGGTTCGGCTGAGCCGAGTCGCCGCCCCGCGCTCTCTCGCCCTTCCAGCCCGCACTCGTCGTCGTCCTCGTCGTCGACGACGATCGTCCTTCCCTCCTGCGTCCCGCTCCAGGCGTCAAGCCGGAACGCGCACCTCTCGTCGTCCTCCAGTCGGACGCCGTCTCGCCGTCGACCTTCTCGTCGGCGATCCTCGGTCGAGCCTCGAGCTCGACAGCTCTCCCTCTCCTTTCCCTTCCTCCGAGCGGACTCATCGCCGCACGCCCACCTCGAGGGCTCGTGAGCCATCTCCTTCCTCCCTTGGACTCTTCCCTCCTCTTTGTCGTCCCTCGTCCTCCTGTTGCCGCTGTTGGACCTGTAGTCCCTGCCACCCCTCCGCTCTCTGTGTACCACCCCGCTTCATGCCGTCCTGGGTTGTCTCGCTGTCATGGCATCTTTGTTCCTCGAGCGTACTCGATCCGTCGGCGAGAGAGAGGGGTCCGAGCGAGCGCGAGCCGCATCTCTAGTTTCTCACTCTCGCTCGCTCTCGCTTTCACTCTCGACCTCACACCGGCACAGTCGCAGAGCAGAGAGAATGGCAGGTCATGTTGGCGCTCGAAAAGTACTCGCGCACGCGCCCGTCCCGACCAGCGAGAGGAGGACGCTCGAGCCTCCGACACCTCGTTCCCGTCCCGGCACCCGCACCCGCACTCGCACCCTCACCGCGCCGTACCCACTCGACCGTCAGCGTCTCGCCTCCTCGGCGACGACGTCAAAGTAGCTCGGCGGGAGCCCAAACTCGTCCTCGAGGCGGCGCTCCTCGTCGGCGGCTGCGGCGGCCTGCTGCTGCTGCTGCTGAGGGGGCCGAGGAGGAGGAGCCGAGTGGCCGGGCTGCTGGGCGAAGGACGAGGGCTGGCGGGGAGGAAGCGAGGGCGCGGCGTGCGAGGGAGCGGGAGGTGGAGGAGGGTTTGGCGGCGGGGCGAACGTGGACGCCGACGAGGGCGGCTGCTCGTGCGGGGGCAGCGGGGCTGCTTCGGCAGCGGGAGCTGGCGCACTGTGGGGCGGTGGCGGGCGCTCGTCCTGCGCCGCCGAGCCGACGGCGGGCACGCACGACACGATCTCGACGGGGATGGCGAGCGAGGCGATCTGGGTGTGGGTCGTCGAGCCCGGCTTTGAGCCCGGTTGGCTGCGCAAGGAGAGGAAAGTCAGGCATCTGTGTGTGCTCGAGCGAGACAAAGAGAGAGAGAGAGAGAGAGGAGGAGGACGCACTAGAGCGTGATGGCGAGCTCGTACAGGACCTGGAGGTTGGGCGCGCGAAACGAGGCCGTCATGCCCTGCGTCTGCGTCGCAGGATGACTCGTGAGTCAGTACTTGAGACACGCAGGACGAGAGGCGACGCGAAAAGGAAGGAAGGGCGAGGAGAGAGCCGAGGGAGGGAAGGAAAAGGGAAGGGAACTGAGAGCGAGCGACTCACGAGCGTGACCGAGCCACCGTACGTGACCCTCCACGCCTGAACGCCGTTGTCGAGCCGTACAGGGAGGCCGTCTGGCGCGCCGATCGGACGCACGGCCTGAGCGCGCAGGACGACCGTGTCGAGCGTGTTGACTGCGGGCGAGGCGGCGAGATGCGCGGTCAGTACGAGGTAGGGGAGGGAGTGATGAGGGGAGAAGAGGAGACGCACCGAGGTTCTGGGCGTGCACGACGGTGCGCTGGAGGAGCGAGACGGCGACTGCCGAAGCCGGGAAGCGCCCGCTGTTGGCGTCGGACGTGATCTGCGGGACGAGCGCTCTTCGAGTCAGTCCTGACGCGACGCAAATACAGGAGCGAGGGAAGAAGGAGAGACAGGAAGGGAGGAATAGGGAGGAAGGGCGAGGGGAGGAAGAAAGTAGAGGGAGCGAGACGCACATGCACCTCGAAATCGATGGCCTGGCCCTGGCCCTTGACGAACTTGTGCGGCTTGGGCACCTTGCCCTCGACCTCGACCCAGGCGCCCCTCGCACCGCTCTTGAACAAGCCGCCCCTCCTCGCGGCCGAGCTGCCGGCCCTCGCGACGTACTTGCGCGCGTCGGTCCAGCCCTCGGGGTCGCTCGCGCTCGAGGGCGGGGTGCGGCCGTGGGCGAGGGCGAGCGCGCGCTGCGGCGAGGGCGAGACGGGCGGCGCCTGCCTCGGGACGAAGACGACGGGGACGACCCAGCGCTCGTTGAGCTTGAGGAGGCCTCGGCGGCCGAGCGTCACCTTGAGGTAGTACCGGCACGACGCCTCGAACGCGCCGACGCCCGTCGTGAGGATCGAGGTGGTGCCGGACGACGGGAGCTGGGCGACGGCCGAGTCGAGGACGAACGACGGCGGGGGCCGCATGGCGCGGCCAGGCGGGAGGTCCATCCTCGGGACGCGCGTCAGGCGGCCGGGAAGCGTGACCGAGAACGGGAACGAGAAGGTGCCCTGGAGCTTTGAGGGCTCGTTGGTCGTGTTGCCCGCGAGGAGGCGCTCGTTGTGGGCGCCGAGCGGCGGGGCGGTCCACAGGTCGTGGCCGTCCTCGAAAAAGTCGACCTCGTCCGACACGGGGTGGCGGCCCGAGGCGTGGGCCTTCTGGGCGAGGGTGCGCACCATGCCCTTGAGGCGCACGCGGACGTGCGTGATGGCCTCGGGGTCGCGCAGGTGGACGGTGAGGGTGCCGGCGAGGGTGACGTCGCTGTCGGGCTGCTCCTGGACGAGGATGACGTGGTCCTTGCCGCGTGCGTCGAGGTCGAGGCGGAGCTTGCCCGTCTTTGACGCGAGGACGTGACGGCGCTTTGGCGGGAGGTCGGCCGTGAGGCGAGGGTCGACTGGGGCGCGGCGCGAGTAGCCGGGCAGCTCGTCGTCGCCATCGCCGGGTGGTTGCGGCTGTTGAGGGTCGAGCGGGAAGCTCTGGTGCGAGGCGCCGGTCGAGAACGGGGTTGACGAGGGCCCTGCTGCTGGCGGTGGAGGTGCGTCGGACGAGCGCCGCGGGTTGCGTGGGGCGGTGCGGTTGTGGTCGGCGTCGAGAGCTTGAGTGAGGCCTGAACGGAAGAGGCCGACGAGCTCGTCGACAGCCTGGGGTGACGACGAGATGAGCGAGGTCGGGCGAGAGAGGTGGGGTGGGGGGAGGAGGAGTCAGCGATGAGGACGAGGACAAGGGCGAGTGAGAGGGAAAGGGGGACGAACCGAGAGAGCTTCGTCCCTCCTGCTCATGGCTGCAGTAAGCGAGCTGGTCGAGGGTGAGGACGAGGAAGAAGAGATCCGATGAGACGCGACGAGCTGATGAAGCTGGCTGCCGAGGCGAGGCTCCCCCTCCGTCCCTCTCCCTCTCTCCCTCTTACACGCTCTCGCCGATACCCGCTGTCGCCGAGGTCACCTGCACCACACCTCGCCATGCCCGCGCCCTCGTCCACCGCTCCCACCGCCGTCCCCGGCGAGGCCGTCCTCGCCGGCGGCTACCACCACCCGCTCCTGCGCTCCCTCCAGGCAGAGCGCCACCTCACAAAGGACATGCTCATGTACCCCATCTTCATCACCGACGAACCAGACGCCGTCGTACGTCCTCCTCCTCCCCCTCCTCCTCCTCCTCCTTCTCCCTACCTCCCTCCTCGCTCACTCTCGCCCCCCCTCACTCCCACAGGTCGACATCAAGTCGCTCCCCGGCCAGAAGCGCTGGGGCATCAACAAGCTCGAAGCCTTCCTCGCCCCGCTCGTCCAAAAGGGCCTCCGCTCCGTCATCCTCTTCGGCGTCCCGCTCCACATGCACAAGGACGCCCGAGGCTCGCCCGCCGACGACCCTAACACGCCCGTCATCCTCGCCACCCACCTCATCCGCGACAAGTTCCCCGAGCTCGTCGTCGCGTGCGACGTCTGCCTGTGCGAGTACACCGACCACGGCCACTGCGGCGAGCTGTGCCCGCTCGACCACCTCACGCCCGCCGAGCAGCGCGCCGACGCCAAGATCATCGACAACCCGCGCAGCGTGCGTCGCATGCAGGACGTCGCCCTCGCCTACGCCCGCGCCGGCGCCCACATGGTCGCCCCGAGCGACATGATGGACGGCCGCGTCGGCGCCATCAAGCAGGCCCTCGTCGACAACGGCTTCGGCAACCGCTGCAGCCTCATGGCCTACTCGGCCAAGTTTGCGAGCAACATGTACGGGCCCTTCAGGTGCGTCTCTCCTGCCCTCTCTCCCATTCACTCCCTCGACCGAGTCCTCCCGAGCGACTAGCTCACTCTCTTCTCGACGGTGCCGCCTCGCAGGGAAGCAGCAGGCTCGGTGCCCAACTTTGGCGACCGCAAGTGCTACCAGTTGCCGCCCAACGCGCGCGGCCTCGCCCGACGAGCCATCGTGCGTCCCTCGTTTCCTTCCCTCCCCCCCCCCCCCCCCCTCTCCTCCTTCAGCCGCATCTCCTCGCACCTTCCTGACCCTCTCGTCGCCCTCCCTCGACCCGCAGGTGCGCGACGCACGCGAGGGCGCCGACTTCCTCATGGTCAAGCCCGCTCTGCCGTACCTCGACATCATGCGCGACGCGCGCGAGCTCGCGCCCGACGTGCCCCTCGCGTGCTACCAGGTGTCGGGCGAGTTTGCCATGATTCATGCCGGCGCCAATGCGGGCGTGTACGACCTCAAGGCGATGGCGCTCGAGAGCGCCGAGGGCTTCCTCCGGGCCGGTCCGTCCTCGCCTTTCTCTTCCTCCTCGTCCCTCTCTCTCTCTCTCTGTCGCCGTCCTGACTCGTACCTGTCGCCCTCAGGTTGCACCCTCATCCTCACCTACTTCACGCCCGACCTCCTCGACTGGCTCGACGAGCCGGCGGCCTGAGCGAGTCCGCCCTGCGCCGTCGTTGTCGTCGTCGCCGTTCTCGAGCCAGGGCGCAGGTGCAGCGACGGAGATAGCTCGTCGGGCGGGCACGGCGGGCACGCAGGCGAAGCCCGCTCGCTCGCTGGCGCCCGCACGGCGCATGCCGCCGGCCGGCCCTCGTTTGCAATCGCAGTAGTTGCACTTTCGCCCCTTGCCGATCTCTCCTGTCTCTGCTTTTCTCGTTCGCAGCTCTCGAGGCGAGGAGAAGTCGCTGTTCAAGCAGGGCCTGAGCACGCGAGAGAGAGAGAGAGAGAGTCGAGAGAGCGACGAGAGGCTCGTGCGCGCAAGCGTGGGCGCATACATCGTACGAGGTGGTGCGCCCTGCCTCGCCAGGCGAGATCTGAAGCCGAGGTTCGGGCTCGCAGGCTGGGGAGGGAGAGAGAGGGTTGCGCTCCTGCCCTTCACTCGCTTTCAAGTGCTCTGCTCGCTCGAGTGCTGCGAGCGCTGGGCGGGCGACGCGCGCGCTGCCCTTTGGGCAGAACGTGGGGTCGAGCCGGTGTTTCGCTGCGGGCGCGGGCGCGCGGGCGAGGGGGAGAAGGACCTCGCCCCTCTCTGGCTTCTGCCCTCGTCGCTGTCCCCCTCTGCTGCGCTGGACGCACCTCGCTGCCCACCACCACCGCACGCACCATGTGGCTGCCCTGGACCGCGAGCGGCGCGCGGCACGAGGCGAGCGGGCCACGTCGCAGCTACACCGCCTCGCCCGCCCCCTCCCATCTTCCGCCCTCGTCGTCGCCAGCAGCTTCAGCAGCCTCGAGGGGCATGTGGGACCGCCTCAGCCTTGACAGCACGGCCGACATCCCGCCCGACACCCCGCTCCTGTTCGCCCACGAGCCCAAGCACGACCCGCCCTCGTCGAGCGCATTCCCCTCACGGCGTTCCTCGCCGACCACACCGCCGCTCCACCACCACAACGACCAGCCGCACACTGCCCTCGACCTGGGCAACCCGACCGCACCCTCCAGCCCTCGCCACTACGCGTCGACCCTGCGCACCCACCGCCGCAAGCACCGCCTCGCGTCGCTCGCCTACTCGAGCGCGCTCGTCTGCCTCGCCGCGTCGACCCTCCTCGCGTGCGCCGTCGTCGGCTGGTCCGCCCACTTTGTCTACACGCGCCACGCCGCACTCGCCACGGCCGTCTTTGCCCCGCCGCTCGAGCCACGGCCCGTCAGCGTCGAGTGGGCCGCACCACCGTTTCCCCCGTCGGGTGCGGCGCAGGCCCAGGCGGCGGCGAAACCCGATCACGCCGCAGGACGTGACGGCGTCGACCAGGTCGAGCGCGAGCTCGACAGGCGGTACGTCGACGAGCTGGGCCTCCCGTCGACGACGGGCGACTTGCGGTGCGCGAGCGTCGTCGACTCGGCCGCGCTCTCGCGCCGGTACGACGGCCTGCGCGCTCCTCCTTCGGGCGTGACGTCGTCAACGACCAAGACGCTCGTCGCGCTCAACCTGTACAACAGCGAGCTCGTCATCCCGGCCCTGTCGCACGCCCTCCTCGCCGTCGCGTCCTTCCTCGGGCCCGCCAACGTTCACATCTCGATCTTCGAGAACGGCTCGACCGACCGCACCGTCGCCGCGCTCGCGCACCTCGCGCGCGCCCTGAGCGCCCTCGGCGCCGACCACGACGTCGTGAGCGACCCGCGCACGACCGACTGGAAAAAGGTCGACCGCATCGACCAGCTCGCAGTGTTCCGCAACGTCGCCCTCGCCCCCTTGCACGACGCCACTCGACGTTCACCGACGTCGTGTTCGTCAACGACGTGTTTGCGTGCCCGAGCGACCTCCTCGAGCTCCTGTTCCAGCGGCGGGTCCAGGGCGCCGACGCGGCGTGCGCGATGGACTGGCGGGCCAACAAGGGTCCCGGGCACTGGTGGCGCGACAGCATCCTCTACTACGACTCGTGGTGCGTCCTCTCCTCTCTCTTTCCCTCTCCCCTCTCGTCGAGCCGCACCCTGACGCTCGAGCCCCTTCCCTCGTCTCGCAGGGTCGGCCGCTCGCTGTCGGGCCAGATGATGCGCCCGCGCACCGACCTCTTCCAGGAGTGGCACGACGGCGTCGACGGCCTGTTCAATGCCGAGGGCGACGAGGCGAGCAAGGCGAGGTTCACTCGAGGGCTCCCGACCCCGGTCTGTGAGTTGGCCCTCTCTCGCGCTCGTCAATCTGTCCGAGCGACCTAGCCTGACTCTTTCTGCTCCCTCGCAGACTCGTGCTGGAACGGCATGCTCGCCCTCGACGCTCGGCCCTTCACCTCGACCGCGCCCGCACCCCGTTACGACCCGGCGTCGACCCTGTCGACCTCGGCGCGCAAGTCGTGGCGCCGTCCGCCGCCCGCCTCGGCGCTCGAGCCGGCCAAGTTCCGCTCGGCGTTGAACCGCGAGGGCGAGTGCGCCGCGAGCGAGTGCAAGACGCTCGCCAAGGACTTTTGGACGAGAGGCTACGACCGGTGGCTCGTGCGTCCCTCTCTCTCTGCCCTTGTCTCCTTTCCCGGCGCGCACTAACGTCGCTCGTGTTCGCGCAGGTCGTACCCTCGGTCCACGTGACGTACGACGCCGCCGTCTACAACCATCCTCGACTGTGGCAGCTCGCGTCGCTCCACCCTCCCTCCCTCTCGAACCTCACCCTCACCTCCTCGTCCGCCCTCGACTCGCCCCCACCACCATCACGCGCCGACGGCGACGTCGACGACGACGAGCCGAGCGAGCTCATCCCGTGGGCGACGCTCTCGCCGCCCGACACCGTCGTCTGCTGGGCCTGGGTCCGCGGCTTCCACCTCGATCTCGAGTGGGTCCGCGCGACGTGGTTCCGCCCTTACGCGTTCGCGCGCAGCCTCCTCGACGTCGGTGGCGGTCCGCGACGAGCGTGACGGCGCTGGGTCTCGAAGTTGTACGGTTGTCGGGCTCCGTTTTCCACTCTCTCTCTCTCTTCCTCCCACTCTTTCACTTAGCTCTCTCCTCCCTCTCTCTCTGTACGGCATACCCCTGCGCCTTATGTGCCCCTGTCTCGACTACCACGTCCCCCTCGCCGTCGCCGCCGTTTGATACCCCGTCGCGACCTTTCCTCCCTTGTCAGCGCTGTGCGCTCCCCTCCCTACCTTTCTCCCTGCCTCCTCGCCAGCGACGATAGACCTCGACCCTCAACCCGTCTTGTCTAGATCCCTCCTTGCGCAGGTAGACCCGATCTGCCAAAAGACGTTCCACCCTCTCGTCGTCGTCGCTCGTCGTCATCTTTCGAGAGAGTCGCAGAGCGTCTCTCCCCTCTCGCTCGCTCGCACACGCTCTCGAGAGAGGGACAGTCAGACCATGCGAAACATCTGCGGTTACAGACAGGCTACGCTACAAGCCTCAAGCGTGCACTGGCCGACTTCGCCAACCGAGGGCCCGAGCGCCGCCGCGCTCTCTCCTCGTCCCCTCTCCCGTCCCACCTCGCCATGCCAACCTCGCCCTCCTGCCTCGACGCCCGATGCAGCTGCTCATGCTTCAGACAAGGACGGGGAGGAACGACCCGATGACGAGGAAAGGGCACTGCGGGGCGTCGGCGCAAGGAAGAGAGCGTCAGGGGCCGTTCTGCTCGCGACAATGGCGCCGCCGAGAGAGAGGGGGAGAGGTACGTACCGAGAAGAGGTCCCTGCGGACCGAGAAGCAGAACGCGCACGGGACCGGGCGGCCGTCGGGCGCGAGGACGACGCACTGCATCGTGATCGAGGTCGCCGTCGACTCGAACGCGTGCTTGGCGAACGACTCGTAGTACTCGACGACGGACGCCGTGTCGAACAGCTGCGTCGGATCAGATGAACTCGAGATCAGTAACTCGTCGCGAAAGTGCGCCGACCCGCCGAGAGAGAGAGAATGAGCGCGACGCACCTCGAAGATGTACTTCTTGCCGACAAGGTCCTCGCGCTTCCACCCGGTCAAGAGGCAGAACTCTGTCCCGACGAGGCAGATCTCGCCCGTGCGGCGCCACACGACGGTCGGCGTGCCCGAGAACGAGATGAGCTTGTTGAGCTCGACGAGCGTGCGCTGGAAGGTGCGCTCGACGAACGTCTGCGGCGGCGAGATAGATAAGAAGGAGGCGAGAGAGTGTCAGTACAGGCTCGATGAGCCGAGGAGGAGGAGAGAGTGAGAGGGAGAGAGAGCTGGGCGCACCTCGTCCTCCTCGGTGAGCGGCATCTGGAGCGCGATCAGGCTTGGCCGGAAGGTGGCGAGCGCGCGGATGATGCGCAAGATGTCGTTCTTCTCGAACCTGTGGCGCGAGGGAGGAAGTGCATGAGCTTCACTGTCGACGAGTCGCTCAGAGCCGCGACCGCGCCGGACGAGCGCGGCCGCCGCCCGACGTCGCCGAGAGAGAGAGCGGAGGACGCACCGCTCCTTGAGGTGCTTGACGAGGAAGTGGTAGCTTTGCGCGTACGGGTACGGCTTGGTGACGCTGCGGTACGCCTCCTCGGCCGTCAGGAGCCCGCCCGGTTGCGGGCTCGAGCTGAATGCGGCACGAGACGGGCCCTGCTGCGGCGCCTGCTGCTGCTGCTGCCGCTGCTGCTGCGCGTTGTCGCCGCCGTCGAGCAGCATCGGGTCGGGCTGGCGACTCGCGCCGCCGGCCGATCCCGGCTCAGGCCCGCTTGGACCGCCGCCGGCCCCGCCGCCGCTCGCGCCGAACCCAGACAGCGCCGGCGTCGTGTGCGTGTCGAGGGCGAAGCCGTTGCCGTTGAGCATGGCGTTGAGGATGGCGTACTCGTACCCGGCCGCCTCGCTGCCGAACTGGGTCGCGTCGGCGACGGCGGGCGCCGGCTGCTGCTGCTGCTGAGGCTGCGAGACGGCGGGTGCGGCGGGCGCGAACGAGAGGAACGAGGTCGGGTCGTACGGCCCCGGCGCAGAGGCCGGGATGGCCGATGTGGGCTGCGAGAGCGACGTCCCAAAGTCGAAGAAGGGCTGCGCGTCGCCTTGGGCGAGAGGGGCCGACGGCTGGTGATGCGAGCCGACGTCCGACATGGCGCTGTCGAGGGTCGAGTCTGCGCGCAGTAGAGCGTGAGCTCGTGCGTCTCGAAGTCAAGGGAGGGAGAGGGGGGCGTACCGAGGAACGAGGTATCAGGCGCAAGCTGCGGCGCGTTGCCGTTGGACGGCCCCGGCGTGCCCGACGGTCCACCAGCTTGCCTCCCTCGCTCGAGCACTGCAGGAAAGAGAACGAGAGGGGGTCAGGTACGGTGGGAGAAAGTCGAGGGTGGGGGAAAGGGAGACGCACGCTCGTCGGGGATCTCCTGCAGGTACTTGGCCTTTTTGCGAGCGCCGTCGACGCACTCTTCAGGGCAGCCCTTCTTGATGCACCGAGCGCAAGGTCGAGCTGTCAAGGAGAGGCAAGGTCAGGGTCTGGCTCGAGGAGGGAAGAAGAGGGAGAGGGAGCGCACCGTCGTCGCAGGTCAAGTGCGCCTTCTGGCACGCCGCGCACGCCCTGCCCGCCTTCTTCTTCTTCGGAACGGGCTTGCCGTCCGGCCCGACCTGCTGCCCGCGCTTGCCCCCTCCCTTCTTGCCCTTGCCCTTGCCCGCCGCCGCCGTCGCCGTTGCCGAGCCTGGCGGCCCGGGCGTCCCATCGCTGTCGGCCGCACGCCCTTTGCCCTTGCCCTTGGTCGTGCTCGACGCGTTGCCGCCCGACGACGACGCGACGCTCGCCGCTCGGGGCTTGCGGCCGCCGGCGGGCGCGGGCGCGATGGCCTGCAGGCCCTGCGGCGTCGCCGTGCCCGTGCCGGCGTAGGCTCCGACGGCGGCACTGGTGCTGCCGCCGCCGGCCTCGCTCGTCGAGTCGTCCTCGTCGCTCAGGAAGGTGGCGCCGCCGGTGCGGGTCGGCGCGGTGGTCGACGAGGACGAGTGCGAGGGTCGTGGCGGTGCGGGCTGGATGGGCGGGAGGAACGATGCCGAGGTGGCTGGTGGCAGTGGCGGGCGGAAGGACGACGCCACGGTGCCGTAGTGCGGCCGGTTGGACGAGAAGAAGGACGACGAGGGGGTGCCGCCCTCCCCCGGGCTCGTCGACGCGTTCGAGTCGAAGCCGCCTGGCGATGGCCCGCTCTGGTGCGAGGGCGAGAAGGCCGGGATGCTGGCGGCTGCGACGAGCGAGGGGAGGAAGGCCGAGGACGAGGCGGCCATGGCTCGGCCAAGGAGGACGAGGGGGTGGGGGGAGAGACGAGGGGGGAGAGGGCAGAGCGTCGCCTTGGCCTGCTCGAGTCGGGGTAGGTCGCCAGTCGGTGTGCTCGCTCGCTGGCGGTGCGCGCTGTGCGCTCGTCGCGGCGTTGCGGCGGTGTCGTGTGGGGTCGGGCGTGGGCGGAGACAACGAGTGCGAGCCTGCTGGACGACGAGCCGCGGCGGGTGCAAGCGGACCGGGTCGTACTCGAGTCGGAGAGTGCTGTGCGCGCAGACTCACGAGGGCTCGAGTCGAGGACGAGCCACGGTGAGAGGGCGCGCTCGTGGTTGGTGGACACAGAGGGGCTCCCACGCATGGGCGATCTCAACTCGCGCTCAACTCGACTCGCGCCAGAACAACTCTGTGCGCAATGACTGCTACATAGTTGCACCCAGTCGCACCGCCGACTACCGCACCTCGACCCCCATCTCGCTCGTCACCCGCTCCTGCACCCGCTCCTGGATCACGTTCACCTCCTCGTTGCTCAACGACCTGCGCGCGTCGGCGACTCGAGAGTCAGCGTCGACAGCTCGACGACGTCGACGAGGAGACCGAGAGAGAGAGAGAGGCGGCGCACCTGTCCATCGACCGGTAGTTGAACCGGTAGCACCGCGAGACCCGGCCCGTCTTGGGGTGCGTGAACTCGTCAATCTGCAGGGCGGTAACGTAGTTAGTGCCGTCACATACACACCGTCATCAGCCCGAGAGCGGACCTGGCAGGTCCCGACTCCCGAACGCGAGAGGGAGAGAGAGCGACGCGGCGTCGGGACGCACCAGCTGCACGCCCTCGACCAGGTCGCCCGCCTCGTCGCGCACGAGCTCCATGAAGTCGTTCTCGTGCCACTGCTGCACCTTGTCGCCGCCTTGAGCGCCGCTCGCCTCGGGGAGCCAGAACGCGAGGTCCTTGTAGCACTCGGGGAAGCGCGAGTAGGGCTTGAACGTCGTGATGTCGCCCTGGCGGAACTGGTTGCTGAACCGTGCGTCGGACGACCAGAAGAGGCGGATGTCGGGGATCGAGAACAGGACCATGGCGATGCGCTCGAGGCCGAGGCCGAACGCCCACCCCTGCTTGTGGCCGACGCCTGCGAGCGGCGCGTGCACGAGGTCGAGCGGCAGGCGTGGTCGAGTCGGAAGTAGGTCGAGGGAAGGTGCGGCGAGGGAGGTCGACGAGGGAAAGGGAGGAAAAGGGATGAAGGGAAGAGGGACGAGGTCAGTGCGGTCGACGAGAGGGATTTGAGGGTCCTCGAGAGAGGGAGAGAGGGACGCACCCGACTTGTCGAGAGCCGCCTGCCGCACGACACCGCACCCGAGGATCTCGAGCCACTTGCCGTTGAACATGACCTCGACCTCGTAGCTCGGCGCCGTCCACGGGAACGTCGCCTCGATCCACCGGACCCGGAGCGGCTCTGCGCCGTCGCCGCCGGCCCGCCCGCCGAACAGCTTGAGCACGAGGCCGTTGAGCGAGTTCTTGAGGTGCTCGGCGATGATGCGCGCCGTGCGCGGGTCGTGCTCGGCCTGGTAAGGGTTGGTCGCCGTCTCGACGCCGGTCGGGTCCTCGATGACGATGTTGGCGGCGCCGAGGGCCGCGCGCATCTCGGCGTTCTCGCGCTCGAGGCGCTCGATGCCGCCCTGGGCCGGGTCGACGACGTTGCAGCCCTCCATCTGGTGGAAGACGGGGTAGTGCGACCGGTCGATCTCGTCGCGGCGGTACACGTCGGCCGTGACGAGGAACTGGTCGAGCCCTTGGCGGAACAGCTCGACCTCGTGCGCCGACGTGTGTGTGCGCAGCATGTGGCGCTCGTTGAGGTAGTACGAGTCGGTGAGGGCGCGGCCCGGGTGGTCGGCGGGGAACCCGAGGTCGTCAAAGTTCTGGGCGACCGTGACGATGGGCGACAGCGAGTTGAGGTGCGCGAACGACGAGAAGTGCGACTCGATGAGGCTGCGCAGGATGCCGATCGGGTGCGAGGGCTGGAGGTGCAGTCGTCGCGGGAGCTTGTCGAGGATGGTCGGGGTCGCGTTGGTGAAGGCGTCGCGCGGGTACGACGTGCCGTCGATGACGAGGGGCTCGGTGGGCTTGGGTCGCACGGCGTACGCTCTGCGCGGCGGCTGCGGGGCAGGGTGCCGTGCGACAGGTCGAGGTCGAGTGAGGCGAGGTGCGAGGGCGGAGAAAGTGCGAGAGGGGACGGGGCGAGCTGCGAGCTGGCCTGCAGCTCGCAGACAGGTACAGGGCGGCAACTGCCGGAGGGCCATGGCTCTCGGGAGCTGGCTGGCGAGCATGACGGCGTGGTTTCGAGCGAGGAGCGTCGTCCGGCGGCCGGCGAGAGCAGCCATCGCTCGCCGCCTCAGGCTGCTGCAGGAGTAGCTTTGAGCGGTGCGATAGTATGTATATGCTCTGGCTCCCCCCCTCCCACAGCACTGCGCCGTGCAGAGAGAGGTGAGACCGAGTCGAACGTGGGCCCGGCCACAGCTCTCCCTCGGCTCTCCAGCGAGCTGCAGGTGGGCCGTGTACTCTTTGAAGCCTCTCTCGAGCACCTCTGAGCCCTGCACGCGGCCCCTCGAGGTCGAGCGAGGGCTGACGGCGGCGACATCAGTGCTTCGCCGAGCCTCTTCGTCTTCGTCCTTCCCCATCTCACTTCTTTCGCCCTCCCTCAGCTTGTGAGTCGCACAGCAGGTTCCCAGCCCTCGAGACACCACCCAGGACCACGCTGACCCCGTGTCCACGCCCCCGCGCAGCCCAACGGACGCTTCCTCCGACCTCGTTGTCACCCCTCGCTCGCCACCCAAGCGCGTCCCCCACCGCAACACTGAAGGACAGCTAGCCATGGATTCCATGAATCAGACGAAACCCTCGAATCTCTAGTGAGTCGTCAGCTTCCCCCCTCCTCCCCTCCGTCGCGCTCTCCTCCCCCCCCTCCCTCATCTCGGCGCGCCTCTCCTGGGCCTCGACCCTCGTCGACCTCGGGCGCTGACCTCTCTTCCTCGTTCCCGCAACAGCTGCTGCGCTGGCGACGGCGTGGCAACCACCTGCACTTTCCCTGCCGTAGTTCCCTTCTCGGCCAGCGCCCTGGACGACCGTGCGTCCCTCTTCTCTCGTCCTCCTGCCGAGCACCGCCTCGACGAGTCTTGGCGCGCCCGACTGACTTGCCTTTGCTCCCCTCACAGCGTTCGGACGGCGGCCCTGACATCGCTACTAAGGGCCAAAATCCCGGCGCCGCTGCTCAGCAGCAGGTGCGTCCCCCTCCCTCGCCCCCTTCCTCGCGCGCACGCTCATCTCGCTCACCCTCGCCCTCCTTCCCTCTCGCGTCTGCAGGGTCTGCGTGCGTATGTGAGAGATACCGCGCAGGAGTTCCCCTTCATTTCCCTTTCGTCCCTTTCCTCGGCCACCCACGACAACGACAACGCCCCTCCCGCCTACACCTCCATCTTCCCCCCGTCGCCTCCCCTCTCGGCGACGTCGGCCTCGCCCAGCGACTCGTTCATTCTCAGTCGCTTCGCCAACGCCGTCAACAGCAAGAGCGCCGCCGCCCCGGCCCTCCTCACCCCGCCCGCCGAGGAGGAGAGCCGCTCGGCCCTCTCGCTCGGCTCGGCCGCCGCCGCCGCCGTCGCTTCGGCTGGCACACAGCTCCTCGCCGACGTGTTCCCGTCGCACGCGTCGGTGCACGAGCTCCCGGCCCAGTCGGTCGACCTGTCGGACCTTGTCGGCGCCGGCTGGCAGGGCGCCGCCGTCGACAACCCGGTCGCCGGCACGCGCACGCTCTACGTCGGCGGCGGCGAGCTGTCGGACGTCGAGCTGCGCGAGTCGATCATCGCCGTCCTCGAGCGCGCCGAGGAGGAGCTCGGGTGCTCCGGCGTCGTGCTCGCGCTCGAGCGCGGCACGCAGGACCTGAGCAACGTCGTGCACCAGCTCATGTACCTCGGCTGCACGGTCGTATCGGACCACGAGCAGACGGGCCTGCCCAACTCGGAGTACATCCTCCTCGGCATGGACGTCTAAAAAGGCGCCGTCCATCCTCCCTCCCTCCCTCCCTCCTCTTCCCTCTCGCGTCGTCGTTGTCGCACCCTACCCTACCCCCTTGTGCCCTGCTTGATCTGTACCCTCGCCCTCCTCTATAGCAACTAAACCCCCACGTCGCTGGCTCCCCTCCCCTGTTCTCGCTTTCTCTCCCTCCCCTTGGCCGGGGTCTTCCCTCTTCTGCATTTCAGCGTCTCGCTCCCTACATACCCTCGAGAGTGACGAGAGCACTGTACAGCGAGAGTGGGCAAGCTGGCAACGAGAGGACGCGCTCAGGCTCGGTTTCGAGTTGGAACCCGGGCCTCCGCCGACAAGTCGACGTTGTTTGTCCTCGTCTCTCCCTCGCCGCTCGCTCCAGTCCCTCGCTCGGTACACGCACGAGCGCAAGCCGCGCCGTCGCCTCGCCTCACCCGACCGCGCGAGTTCCGCCCTCGTCGCCCACTCGCCCTCGGCCGCCTCGTCGCGTCCCGGTCAACCTCGAGTTCCCTCTCTCGGCTCGCCCCACATCCTCGTCGCCGCCCTCCCTCCAGCCAGCCCGCCGACCAGCACACCAGCGCCACCGCTCGACACGTACCCAGGGCCATGCGCGCCCCGCGCAGCTTCCGCGCCGCCCTCAAGCTCTCGCTCTTCGCCGTCGCCCTCGTCGCCCTGTACCACCTCGCGCCCGCCCTCCTCGCGCCGCGCTCGCCCGACCTCAACGGCCGCGCGTACCCGACCCCGGACCCGCTCCTGCGCCGCAAGGCGCCCGCGCGCGCCCAGCAGACGGCGCCGCCGACGCCCGGCGGGTTCGACTACGAGGGCGAGAAGCGCCGGTGGGCTGAAGGGCAGCGCGCGCGCGGCGGCGAGGACGAGGGCGAGAGGAGGATGGCCAACGACTGGACGCAGCAGGACGGGCGGGTCGCGCCTCGGCGAGGAGCAGGAGCCGGCGCCGCCGGTCGACCCGACTCGGCGCCGCCAGACGACGCCGGCGAGCGGCCGCAGCCCGCGCGCGTCGTCGGCCTCAACGCGCAGAAGGACCGGGCGGCGGCGGCCCTCGAGGCGCGCAGGAAGATCGCCGCCGAGCGGGTGCGCGCGCGCGAGCAGCAGCGCCAGGACGAGGCGGCGGCGGCCGCAGCGGCGGCGCGGGCCCTCAAGGTCGGCGATCGGCACTTGGGCGACGGCGACGACGACGACGAGCACGGTGCGGCGGCGGCAGGTGCGGCCAAGGGCGAGGAGCGCAACGACGGCGCCACGTTCGAGGCCGAGCTGGCCCTCGCCGCCGCGCGCAAAGCTCGCGCGCGTGACAAGCTCCGCGAGTGGGACGAGCGCGCCGCCGCCGCCGCCGCCGCCCCGCCGGACGCCGAGGACCCGCAGGCGGCGGCGCGAGGGCGAGCAGGGCGCAAGCCGATGCGCAAGCTCAACGCGCAGGGCCGGGTGCCCGACCGAGCGCAGCGCGTCGCGGCCGCGCTTCGCGAGCAGCAGCAGGACGCCGACGACGGGTACGGGCACGAGCCGGCCGAGGAGGACGGCGAGCTCGACGCGGCGCCGCGAGGAGCGGGCGCAGGACGGCGAGTTGCGGCCCAGCCGCGCAAGAAGAAGGGCCCGCTCATTCAGGTCGGCGGCGCGAGGGGTGCGGCGGCTTTCGGCGGCGACTCGGACGATGGGCCCGGCGCGAGGCCGGCCGCGGTGGCAGGAGGGAAGGAGCGAGGGGTCGGCGTCGGTGCCGGAGCAGGGTGGGGCCAGCGGTTCAAGAAGCCCGCACCGCCGCCTCCTGCTGCCCCGCCTGTCGACCGCGACGCGTCGCGAGATCTTGTCGCAGGTGGCGGCTCGGACCTGGAGGAGCGCGGCGATGAGCACGTCCTCTCGCTCCCTTACTTTCCTCAAGGCGGCCACTGACCTTCTCAACCTCGCGCCCAGATCTTCTCGAGCCGACGCCGAACCCGCTCCAGCTCCCCCCAAGTTCGAGCACCACCTCGTCGCCCGCTTCGCCAAGCACGACTATGCCCACGATGGGCGTGCCCCGAGCGTCGCACTCGTCCTCGACCCCGACTCGGACGACGAGGTCCCGCTCGCCGGCTCTCGGTCCAGCACATCGGCCGACGACAAGAACCACAACATCACCATCTGCGCCCTTGTCCCCAACGAGAATGTGCGTCCCTGTCTCCCTTTTCACTCGTATGCTCGGCGCTCGGACCCACACTGACCATTCGCCTCTCCCCGCACGCAGCGCTTCATCGGCGAGTGGCTCCTGTATCACCGCCTCCTCGGCGTCGAGCGCTTTGCCCTGTACGACACGTCGACGCCCGGCGCGTTCGGCGCAGCCGAGGTCGACGCGCTCGCCGACCGCATGCAGCGCGAGGGCGGCGGCGAGCTCGGCCCGACGGTCGAGGAGCTCAAGGCGTCGGTCGGCACGGCCGATGCGGGTCCTGACGGCCTCGACGAGCAGGGCGAGATTCGCAAGGAGCGCATCGTCGGCATGGAGAGGTGGATCGACTCGGGCGTCGTCAAGATGCACTGGCTCAAGTTCTCCGGTCCGTCCCCTCTCTCTCTCTCAAGCCCTCCCGCGATACTTCCTGACACTTCTCGAGCGCTCTGCAGACAAGAAGAAGGCGCGCGACTTTCACTCGCACATGCTCGACCACTGCACGGCGACGTACGGCCCGTCGTCCAACTGGCTCGCCCACCTCGACGTCGACGAGTTCCTGTCGACCTCGACCGGCCTGTACAGCGCCGACGAGCCGTACCGCGCCGGCGCCGCCGGCGACGGGCCGTGGCAGTACCCGCTGCACGACGTCCTCGCTCGTCCCGCACTCGCCGAGGCGGCGTGCGTCCCGCTCCCGGAGCTGAACTTCCGCAACTACGGCGTGCGCGAGCTCGGCAAGGGCCAGAGCGTCATCGAGACGCAGACGCACCGCGATGTCCTCAAGCAGAGCAAGAAGGTCGTCCTCGAGGAGGGCCTGCAGCAGAAGGTGCGTCTCGCGCTCTCTCCCTGTCTCTCTTTCCCCTCCTCGTCGCAACTCTGTCACTAATACTGCTTCTCGCGCACAGACGTTCATCCACACCGCCTACTCGTCCAAGCCCGTCGCCCAGTTTGCCGGCCCGCACAGCTGCGAGGTCGCCATCGGCGTCAAGCCGGCCGAGGGCCTCACGACCGAGATCCGCAACAGCCAGGGCACGCTCCTCCAGGACGGTGGGCTGTACGAGGTCGCCAAGCTCCCGATCGAGCCGCTCGCCGTCGCCCGTGCGTCCCAGTCTCGCTCTCGTTCCTCTCGAAACCGCCCTGACTCTCTCTCGCTGGCCCGCAGACTACCTGCAGCGGGACCTGCGCGACTGCCTGTCCAAGCTGTCGTCCCTCGCCGACCCGAACGACCTCCACGCCAAGTCGCGCGGCGTGCGCTCGTGCGAGGAGCACTACCTCCCGACGCCGTCCGAGCGGCGCACGCTCGCCGACTCGGCGCAGAACCGGTTCCTCCTCGAGACGCCGCCGCCCGGGACCGTCATCGAGGACGAGCGCGTGGCCAAGTCGTGGGCGGCGCAGGCCGTCAAGGAGCTGCACGGGCACTGGCAGCGCGCCGAGCAGGCGGCGGCGGCAGCGGCGGCGGGCAAGGCGGGAGCAGCCGCCGGCGCGCCGAGGTTGAGGGGCAAGGGGAGGATGGCGCCGCCTGCGCAGGGTGCGCACAAGGTCGCTGCGGTCGTCGTGCCGCTCGACGTGGTCGAGCGGGCGAGGAGCAAGGTCGAGATCGTCTCGGTCTGAAGGAAGGGGCTCGAGCGCGGGTGTCGGAGTCTGTACGGTCGCGGCTCATCTCTACATCTTTATAGGACCTGCAAGCCGCTAAGTACGCGGTCGAGGATCATCGTTGCACCGCACGAAAGTGAGAGAGAGACGAGCCTTTTCCAAGGCCTCGGCCGATGTCGAAGGACGACGTCAGCGAGGAGAGGCAGGGTCCCCCTCGGGAGTGGGGACGAGCCCGCTCTTGCTCTCCTTCCTCACCAAGCTCTCGCCAGACGCATACCCTCTCCACCCACCGTGCGTCCCTCCCTCCCATGCGCTGCGGCGAGCCCGCACGAGCGGATTCAGCTCTGGACTGGAGCGGCGGCGCCGACTACGTCGTCTCGCAGTTCTCGTCACTGATGCTCCCTTGGCCTCGCAAAGCCACCAGACTACCTTCAAGCACTCCATGTCGAACCACACTGCTCAGACCGGCGGCCCCATCGGTGCCGGTGCGTCCCGCAACTTCCTCCCCTCCTGCTCTCGAACTCGCCGACCTCGAGCTGACCTTGGCTCCAACGCGCAGACCGCACGACCGACCATGCCGCCAACTTCAAGCCCGACATCTCGACCCGCATCGCGGACGCCGAGCAGGGCGCGCCGACCATCGGCAACGACCACCACGAGGGCAACTCGAAGCCGACCGCGCTCGGCAAGGCCGGCGGCAAGCTCGAGGAGGTCGTCGGCAAGGCGTTCGGTGACGGCGAGCTGCAGGCCAAGGGCGCCGCGTCGCAGGGCAAGCAGCCGAGCGCCGAGCAGCAGATGAACAGGACGTCTGAGCAGGGTGGCGACCTCAGCTACGCCGACCGCAAGTAAATCGGTGCGTCGCTCTCTCTCTCTCCCTCGTCCTCGTTCTCTCAAACGTCAGAACCTGACGTTCCTCGATATACAGCGCCGTCCCTCGCCTCTTCTCCTACCGCAACCGCATCGAGCAGCCGTTCAGTAGCCGTACCTCCTTGTCCCTGACATCAAGCAGTGCCTTTTCCTTCCCTGTGCATGCGAAAGCGAAAGCGAGAGTCACGAGAGCCTCAGCGAGAATACGAGAAGCGATCGTGCGGCTGGTCCGGTGTCGACAGAAATCGCCGCTGTCGCCTTCTCCTCCTCGCACCTTCTCCTCGGCCTTCTTGTCCGCTCAGCCCTCTGGCCCTGGCGGCAGTTGCCGGTGAGCGCAAGAGCAGGCGCTTCCGTCGGCGGCAGCAGGGTCGAGACGAGCGAAGGAGCCGACGAGCAGGAGGAGGAGGAGAGGGACAAGGCACCGAGCGAGCCAGGCGCAGCTCTCGAGCGACCGGGTCGACGTCTGTAGAGCATGGCGTGCAGTGTACAGCCCTCTTTGCCTCGCGATCTACCTCGCCGTCGAGCAGTGCATCGCCTCCAAGTCGACGACCTTCTCAACTTGCTCTCGGTCGTCGAGAGGCTCGTGCACGACCAGCTCGCTCTCTCAACGAAAGCGGGACGGGGCCGAAGAGAGAGAAAGCGGTGCACGTGTGTTGCAGGAAACTAAAGCGGCACAGAGACGACAAAAGCGACGGCTAGAGACAAGCCCTCCTCAACCTCCTCCTCCTCCTCCTCGACGACGACCCTGCTCAGCGCTTGCCCTTGACGCCCTCGAACGCGACGATCATGCGGCCGGGAAAGGCCCTCGGGCGCTGCCTCGTCTCGTCGCGCGCGTACACGCGCAGGCCGAGCGGGCCCTCGACGACGCCGAGCTGGCCCTCGGAGCCCGACGGGCGCGACGGCGAGTTGACCGTCAGGAGCTCGCGGACGATGCCCGACACGAGCGGGACGTTGTACGACTCGCCTTCTTCTGCGGAGCGGGAGGAGGAAGGAGGGGTTCAGTGAGAGAGTCCGCGAGGAGAGGGAAAGGGAGGAGGGAGAGGGAGGGAGAGAGGGTGCGCACGGTTGACGACCGACGTGGCCTTGTCGAGGGGCTGGTACAGCTTGGCGTCGCGCGTGACGTCGACCTTGTCGGGCTCGGAAAACACCTTGTCGTCTCGGCCGCACGAGACGAGGTCGACCCAGAGGAGCTCGTTCGGCTTCTTGTCGGCGTCGCCCTTGACGCGGCGCGCGATGCCCGTGACCGAGGGCTGCAGGCGCATCGCCTCGAGGACGTACTTCTGCGAGCGTGCGAGAGCAGGGACGATGGGCGAGCTCGGGTCAGGGAGGGGCTCGTGCGAGGGAGAGAGAAAGAGGGAGAGGCCGGGACGCACGATGATGAGCGAGTCGTTGGCCATGCCGACCTGCTGCTGAGCGGCGTGGCACACGTGCTGCAGGTCCTTGTGGCGCGACGGCTCGAGGAAGAAGTCGACGACGTTGGCGACCTCTGCGCGCGAGCGAGGAGGGTCAGTGACGGGCTCGACGACGACGAGCGCTCGTGAAAGAGAGAGGGATAGGACGTACGAGGCACGACCTGGACGAGGCGGATGAGGGCCGTGAGGAGCACGCCGGCGAGCTCGTCGATCGGACGGTCGCTCTGCGTCGTGCGCTTGTACAGCTTGCGCGAGCGGTCCGACAGGACGTAGCCGCCCGAGCCCTTGCCCGTCAGGACGCGCTTGAAGTCGCGCAGGAGGTCGCCGGCGAGGTCCTGCGGCGAGTGGGAGAGAGAGAGAAGGTCAGGCTCGAGGTCGTCAAGGCCGAGAAGGAGGACGAGGAGGACCGAGCGGCGCACCGGGATGAACTCGGTCTGGCCGAGGCGCATGAGGATGATGCCGCGCAGGAGCTCGCTGTGCTTGCGCGCGCGGTCGCGCAGCTTGAAGGCGACGGTCGGGTCAAAGCTGAGCGAGGCGGCGGGACGAGAGGGTCAGTGCGGGCTCCTCGACGACGCGCAAGAGGAGGAGGAGGGACGCACTCGAGGTAGACGAACGCGTACAAGTCGGTCAGGGCGTCGTACAGGCCGTCGACCGTGAACAGGCCGAGCGGGTTCGACTTGGACTTGAGCGGGATCCCGAACAGGTCGGCGAGGTACTCGACGACGACGGGCACGGCAACGTCGCCGACGACGTCGATGCGGAACTTGTCCTTGCCGTACGCAAACTTGTGCTCCTCGAGCGTGCGCTTGGTGACGTCGCCGAGGTCGACGAGCGCCGTCTGCGCCCAGTGAGGCGGGAACAGGGCGAGCTCGAGGATGTCGGCCGCCGAGTCGCGGCCCTTGGACGAGTCGCCGAGGCGCAGGTAGCTCAGGATCGACGGCTGCTTGGCCTGCGTGAGCTCGTCGAGCGCAGGGCCGTACACGCTCGACAGCCGCTGGCCCTTGTCATCGAGGACCTGCTTGAGGTCGGCGTACGACGTGAGGCGCTTCCACGCGGGAGGGGTCGACGGGCGACGGTAGTCGTACTCGGACGCGATGCCGAGGTGCTCGAGGTTGGCCTTGGTCGTGTGCGGCGTCGAGAACGGGAAGAGGGCATAGATCGAGTTGTAGGTGAAGTGGGCCGAGAAGTGGCGCATGAGGAGCTGGCGGGGCGACGAGGAAAAGAGTCAGTGACGGCTCTGTCGCGCGTCGACGAGGCGAAGGAGTGACGAGGAGAGGAGGGAGAGGACGCACCTTGCCGATGACGCCGCCGAACGAGCCGTTGTCGAGCTCGGGCTTGAGGTCTTCCCACATGGCCGACGTGAGGTTGCCCGCGTTGTAGTCGGTCGTGAACTGCAGGCGAGGGCGACGTCGTTAGTTGGCCGTCGAGGGTGGTCGAGAGGGAGAAGGAGAACGAGGGAGAGAGAGAGAGCGTGGACGCACGAAGCGATCACCGCGAACGAGGGCGGCGGCGTCCGACAGGATGGCGCGCGAGATCGAGTACTGCGAAGTGAGAGAGGCGCAAAGGGAGAGGAGGAGGGGCAGAAAAGGGAGAGAGTCAGTCCTCGCTCAACTTGGGAAGGTCGACTCGCCGATGAGGAAGGGGGACGCACGCCGGGAGCGAGGCCAGAGCCGTTCATCGAGGGCTTTGGCTCCTCGGCCATGAGGCCCGGGTACAGCTCGAGGTGGTCGACGTGCTGGTACAGCTTCTCGGCGGCGCGCGCCACGTCCTTGTCCGGGTTCCACTCCTCGAACGACGAGTACTTCTTGAGGCCGAGGAACTCGCGGAACCTGTGTGCGACGTTCACGAGTGTCAGGGCGAGGCGGCACGAGGGAGGAGAGAGAGAAGAGGCGGACGCACTCGTTCATCGAGCAGCAGCGCCACGTCTTGCGCGCCGCCTCCATGCCGAGCAGGTCGATCGCGCGCATGACCTCCGGGATCGCTGCAGACGAGGCGACAGAGTGAGTGCGAGACCTCGTCGTCGTCGAGGAAGGGAGGAGGGGACGCACCACGAGCCTTGAACGCCGACGCGACGTTGTCGGTCGCCTCGAGGAGGACCTTGACGATGTCCTCGTCGCTGCGTCATACATCCGGTCCAGGCACGAGGTCAGGTCAAGCTCATGGACCGAGAGAACGAGAGGGGAAGGGGGCAGGACGCACCGGAAAGCGCCCGACTCGGTGCGCTTGAGGCCGAGGAAGGTCCACGTCTCGGGCCCGCCCTTCATGTCGTCGAGCGCCTTGCGCGCCGCGACCTGGAAGTCCTCGGTCGTCATCTGTGGGCGTCGGGCGACGTGAGTCGAACTTCCTCCTCGAGCCGAGTCGAGAAAGAGAGGGAGAGGGGACGCACCTCGGAGAAGGGCTTGCCGCCGTTGTACTGGCGCATGAGGCCCTCGAGCCACTCGGTGTCCTTCTCACTCGACGAGGCGTGCCAGCGGTACAGGATGTTGAACTCGACCGAGACGTGGTTGCCCTCGCCGCGAGCGAGCCGGCCGCCGAGGAGCGACTTGATCTCGCCTGTCGGCACGAGCGACCAGGTCGAGTCGGTCTTGTTGAGGTTCAAGATGACGCGGATGTAGTCCTGCACGAGGTGGGCGAGAGGGAGAGGGCCGAGGGGGAAGGAGGAGGAGAAGATGAGCAGGAAGGGAAAGGAGGGGTCAGTGCGGCGCTCTCCTCGACGACGACGGCAACGAGAGAGAGAGAGAGAGAGGCGAGGCGCACCTGGAAGATGACGTTGACAAAGTGCCCGCAGTTGACGTTGCGCGCCGTGTTGAACAGGTCGTTGTCCTGGCGCTTCTTGGCCTCGTCGTCGAGCGAGTCCCACTCGGCGTACCGGCCCTGCTCGTTGACGGCAAACAGGCGCTGCGCGATGTCGTTGTGGTTGCGCGAGAACAGGATGGCGAGCGCGACGCAGCTCGGCGACACGAGGAAGATGCGCTTGTTGGCGACCGCGTCCGGGTGCAGGAGGCCCTGGACGCCCGAGCGCACCGTCGCCTGCTCGGCCGCGTTGTTGCCGTAGATCGGGCTCAGGTCGAGGTAGCTCGACGCCTCGTTGACCTCGCCGTTGCGCGGGTCCGTCTGGAAGATCGAGTGCACGATGAGCTGCGCGAAGCCGAACAGGAGCGACCTGCAGGACGAGGGGCAGGGACGACGACGAGTCAGTGCCGGCTCGACAGGCGACGACGAGGACGAGGAGGGACGAGGGGACGCACGAGATGCCCGACGGGTGGGGGACGAACTTGTCGCGCTTGAGGAGCGAGTCCCACACGACGCCGTGGTCGGGGAGCTGAGCCGGGAACGCGTGCAGGTTGGGGACGCTCCGCGCGTACGGCATGCGCGCCTTGCCGAGGTCGTGGAGGAAGATGTTGTTCTTGCTGCCGTCGGCCTCGCGGTAGCGGTAGTCGCCGACGAGGGTCGCCGGCGGCTTGGGGATGTCGTCCCACAGGACGCGCAGGAGGGCGTTGGTGACGGTCGTCCCGATCGGCGCACCCGGCGGCAGCTTGGCGAGGACCGTGACGATCTGCGGTGGGCGAGGGGGGCGAGTCAGTTGCTGAGGAAGGCGAGGAAGAAGAGGCAAGGGAAGAGGGTGCACGCACCTCCTCGAGGAGGAACTTGCGGTCGTCGAGACCGGCGACTTGGCTCTGCCCGACCTGAATCATGCCGATGGCGTCTGTGAGCGAGAAGGGAGAGAGTCAGGCGTGACGACGGCGATGAGGGAAGAGGGAGGAGGACGCACCCTTGGCGAGCGTGTTCTCCTTGAGCGAGTCGAGGAGCGAGTAGAACGCGTGCTTGCTCTCGTGCGCCGCGTGGTGCGCCGCCTCGACGGGCGCCGTGTCGGCGAGGGCAGCTTGAGCCATCGAGAGCGTCTGCGAGAGAGGGGGGCGGGGAGGAGAAGGTCAGCCGGAGAGTCCGCGGACCGCGGGGGAGGACGCCGGAGGAGAGAGTTTGGGGAGGGGATGAGGGGACGCACCGTCGAGACGACCGAGCGAGCTGCTCCGAGGACGCCACGGCGAGACGAGGGCGAAGGCGGCGTCGACGACGACGAGGAAGAGCCGGGCTGCTGGTACTCCTCCTGGGGCTGGCCGAGCGTGACAGGCGCGACTGTCGTGGTCGGCATGGTGACGAGAGCGTCGAGGAGAGGCAGACGCGAGTGAGGAAGAGGGCTAAGTAGGAGGGGAGGGGGAGGGAGGAGTGAGGAGAAGGAGGGAAAGAGGCGAAACGGGGCGAGAGCCTGCGAGGCGAGAAACGAGGACCCATCGCCTGCTCGTCCGACCGAGACGACGCTAGCGAGCGAGAGACGCATACACTCGTTGCAACGCGCCCCTGCTCGGCCCTGGTACACGCTCAGAAGTCGCCCTGGTAGTGCGACAGCCCGCTCGTCCGACTCGTGCTGTGGCCCGCCGTCGCGTTGTACCAGCTCGCGCCGCCCTTGTTGAGCTCGATGGTGACGACTGCGGAGCGAGAGAAGGCAGGTGAGCACGCGAGCGACGCCCTTTTTCGGGCGCCGAGAGGAGAGCGAGAGGGACGGACCGTCGGGCACGAGCCCCTGGAGGAACGCGGACATTCCGGGCGTCAGTGTTTGTCTGGGTCTCGAGACTCGCCTTTACAGCCGAGGAGGGAAGAAGATGGCGCAGGTGGCGGCGAGTGCGACGAGGGCGGGGCGAGAGGGGGGCGAGGGGAGGGAGGGAGGAGAGAGGAGAAAAGGGAAACGCAGCGACGCACCATCGTCGCAGCGATGTGCAGCCCCACGTCCGTGTTGTCGACGTTGCCCGACAAGCCCGTCGAGTTGTAGCTGCAGGAAGGGGCGAGGTGAGCGAGGCAGTAGAGGTGAGGGAGAGCGAGAGACGCACCCGAACGAGTACAGGTTGACGTCGACGCCCGAGTGCCCCGCCGTCGACCATCCGACCTGCGCCCTGCGCGAGATCTGTGCGTGTATCGAGAGTCAGTCTCGTCGCACGAGAGAGGCGAGACGAGGGAGGAGAGGCGGCGCACCGCGTCTGCCAAAGCCCGATTCGCCCGATACGCGTCCGCCCTCTCTGTCCACACCTCGTCCACCTCCCACCTCGCCGGGTCGATGATGCCGAGACCCTTGTCGAACAGCTCCGACACGACCCACTCGCGAGTTGCGGCCGGGTAGCGCGAGACGAACAGCTCGCCGAGGTACGAGGTCGAGCGCGTGGCCTGGAAGAGGACGTCGGGATACCTGCGTCCGGGCGAGAGGGTCAGAGATGGGCGTCGTGCGGCTCAGGAGACGTCGAGGATGGAGAGGAGGAGGGACGTACCACAGGTACTCGGGATACTCCTCGCCCAACTGCCGCCCGAGCGCGAGCCCGCCCGTCTCGTGGTCGCTGACGCTGACGAGCATCGTCGGCGTACCGAGCTCGTTCTGCTGCTCGACCCACCGCTTGACGTAGGCGACCGTCTGCTGATACGCGAGCATGTCCGAGATGTGCGCGACCGGGTCGTTGTTGTGCCTGCAGGAGGGTCGTTCTGGATCAGTCCGGCTCGGCCTCGAGACAGAGGAAGGAGAGGACGAGGGACGCACCCTGCCATGTCGATACGGCTGCCCTCGACGACGAGCAGGAAGCCCTTGCCACGCGAGCCACGCTCGCCGAGGTAACGCAGAGCTTGCGTCGTCCTGCGCAAGGTCCACGAGGTGTCAGCGTTCGTCCTCTGCAAGTCGGCGAGACGGATCGACGGCTGAGAGAGAGGGGAGGAGAAGAGAGGGAGAGGACGCACATCTCGCGCAAGCTCGGCTGCTCGTCGGTGAGCGTCGTCGCGACTTGCCGGTCGATCTCGTACGCCATGTGCTGCTCGAGAGGAGGTCAGGGCCGACTCGCCGACCGCGCACGACAGAGGTAGGAAGCGAGAGACGCACGTCGTCGGCAAAGAGCCCCAGCACCGGCGCGTCCTGCGCGTCCTCCTCCCTGAACGCCCGCAGCGCCGCCATGCCCTCGAGGACCTTGACGCCCTTGCCCTTGGCCGCTTCAAGCAGGTCCTCGTCATCGGTCCTGCAGCTCGAGCTCGTGCCGTTCGGGCGGAAGAAGCACGCGCCGCCGCCGAGCGCGATGTCGACCGGCAGGTTCTTGAGCCCGGTGCGGGCCTCGCCGACGAGGAACCGCGCAATGTCGCTCTCGAGATCGCGGTCCGGGACGTGGGCGTAGAAGCTGGCCGGCGTCGCGTGCGTCAGGCGCGAGGTGGCGACGATGCCGGTCGAGAAACCTTGACGCTTGGCGGCTTCGAGGATGGTGCCGCACGGCGTGCGCGACGGCGTGATACCGATGCCGCCGTTGTACGTCTTGAGCATGCAGGCGAAGGCGGTCGCGCCGGCGGCCGAGTCTGCAGGGGCGACGTTGTCAGCGAGCGCCTCGTCGGCCGCAAGGTCGAGGAAGAAGGAGGGGACGGACCGGTGATGAGGGAATTGGACGACCGAGTCTGTGGCGCAAAGTCGTGAGCTCGAGACCACGAGGAAAGAGCTGAGAGAGAGGTGAGCGTACCCTGGACGTGCCGACGAGAATGTCGTCGAGAGGGAGGAGCCCAGAAGCGTTGTCGCGGCCGCGGTACCCGCTCGCGAGGTCGGCGTAGGCCGTCTCGTTGAGCAGCGGTCGAGAGGTGCCCGAGACAGACGAGTTGGTCGAGTACAGGTACTGAACGTAGGAGCGCGCCATCGTCTCGCTCGCGGGACCTGCGCGACGAGGAGGAACGAGGTCAGTAGCGGGTTCTGCGACGAGGAAAGGGGGAGCGAGAGAGGGAAAGGGTGGCGCACCCATGCCGTCGCTGATCATGAGGATGACCTGGAGCTTTGGCGCTTGGCCGCCGAACCGGGTCGACAGGCTGGCAACATAGGTGAGGATCCAGCCGCCGGCCAGGAGGGCGAGGAGGCCGGCGACGACCTGCGGGAGGTACCGCGGCCTTTGCCGAGGATGCCGCTGGACCTCGAGGACCTGCTCGCGGGTCGGGATCTGCACTGCGACGTGCGAGGGCGGTCGTGGGCGGCCTCGGCCGTGGTCGGCGCTCTTCTCGCCGGCCGTGTCGGGGTCGTGGTCGTCGCTCGGCGGCTCTGCGCTGGCTGGCGGGTAGCGGTGGGCGAGGGGCGGATAGGGAGAGTGTGCTCGGCCGAGCAGCGACTCTGTGTCGGAGCTGGAGGGACCGGATCGCTCCTGCACCGCGATGAGACGGTTCATGTGGGGGGCAGTGAGCGAGGGCGGGGACAGAGGGGCGGGAGAGAGGGGGCGCACCTCGTCGAGAACGAACTGGACTGGACTGTGGCTCCTGCTCATGGCTCAAGCCGCTCAGCTCATCGAGGTGTGGTCGAGGGAGCGGCGACGGCTCGGTCGGCGTGTCGCTTGGCTCCCTCCGCCCGCCGCGACCTGCTTCACTCGCTCCAGCGCCTTTGCTGGCCCGCTTGATCTACTCTGAGCACGACTCGCCACCTGCTCGCCTTCCTCCCGCACCTCCCGAGCGAGCCGTCGCCAATCTCTCAACGCGGCCGCCTCCTCCTCCAATCTCGCCTCATCACGCGCCGCACCCTCGTCAGCGAGCCAGCAGAGGCGAGGGGACGCAAGGCGCGGGACTTTCCAGTATGCAGGGCAGCAGGCGCCGGCGACCACCGTTCGACTTTCCTCCCCGTCCTTCCCTACCCGACCTCGCCCACCCGTCTACCGTCCGCCTCGGCTTGCGCAACCAGCCGCTCGTCAACTGAGCAACTCGGCGTCCGACACCTCACCGCCGACGACGGCGACGAGATGGCCACCTCGCCGCACCCTGCGGCGACGAGCCAGGCGCTCGGCGTTTTTGTACTCGTCGCGCGTCGTCTCGTCTGCAATGGACAAGCTTCTGCCTGTCGAGCACCGGAGCGCGACGATCGAGCGGCGCTTTCAAGACTGGCGGGCTCGACAGCGACAGCTCGGTCCTGCGCGAGGGTCGCCCTTTCTCGCGGTCCTTGCGCTTCTCGACCGGCGCGATGCATCGCGCTCGCCGCACCCGGGTCGTCTGCGCTCACGTCGTCGACTTGCACGTGCGCAAGGAGGACACGCGGCGGCTGGCGCGTCGCAGGGGCCGGCGACCGTGAGAAGGAGGGCTCGAGGCGCGGTCGAGGTGCCGCTCGAGCCGGCCGAGTCGGCTCTCTAGCGCAACTGCGCCTGTGCAGCCGGCGACGTGTGCAACGCAGGGACCAGTCCTCGCACCGAGTCGCTCGCAGAAGCGCAGCGTTGTCGAGCAGAGCGAGAGCGACCGTTCGAGGTCCGAGAGCTGCGGCGCGAGAAGACCGCTCTCGAGGCCGGCGAGCTCAAGCTTGCGATGCAATTGAGACCCGGGCTTGCCCTCTGTGCTTAGCGTGAGAAGCTTGCTCCTGGAGCCCTTCGCAAGCAAGGTACGACACACTCGCGTTGCGTCGCGAGGCTGGGAAAGGGGAGCGAGGAGGAAGGGGGAGCGAGGACGAGAGAAGAGAGGTGCCGGGCCCGGCACGGCGGGTCGGTGTTGGCTAGCTGAACCTACAGCTGCAAGCAGACAAGCCCGCGAGGCAACGCAGAGCGAGAGAGAGGCCGGCGGAGCGAGTTGGCCGACGACGTCGAGTTGCTCTCGAATCGCCCTCCTCCTCGACGAGCTCTGCCAGACCGACCAGCACCACCACCACCAGCAGACCAGTGCACACCTACGCCCACACGGCACCCACGCTCGCTCATCCACCTGTCGGCCCTCCTCCTCCTCCCTCAATCACCGCGTCGTGCGGGGCTCTCGTCGACCTTGGCTGCCTCATCAGCATCGCCGCACTCGACTCGCCAGTCCCCAGCCGCTCCTTCACCAGCGCCCTCGTCTACCACCTGCACCTAGCGCCCTCAATCGAGCAGCACCCTCGCGGCGCGAGCACGGCTCGCCCTCCTCGTTCCTGCCCTCGGCCAACTCGCCCCGCCTGAGCCGCCGGCGCACAGCCGCATGGCCTCGCAGCCTGCATCGACCGCGCCATCCACCACCACCGCCAAGCCCGTCGCGGCCCGCCCCGTCTTTCCCCTCAGCCAGGTCGAGCTCCAGCGGTGGTACCGCTTCGCGCAGAGGGGCGGCGTCGGACGGGCGCGCGCCAGGGTCGACAAGGTCTCGCAAGATGCGGCGCGCGACCTCATGTTCCTCGAGGGAGACGAGGTCGTCGTCCTCATGGATCTCGGCGGGTCGAGCTACCTCGTGCGTCCCTCTTTCTCCCCCCGCCTGGTCCACCAACCCTTGCCCAGCGTCCTAACCTTGCGCCTCGGCACACAGGGCTTCTGCGAGGGCGTGACGGGCCTGTTCAACGGCGCCGACGTCGTCATGCAGCAGGCCAGGCTCAAGCGGCCTGTCGTGTCCACCCGCTCCTCGTCGGCGACCTCGCGCCCGGCTGCTCCTCCCGAGCAGGCGCTCCCAGGACGAGGAAGCAGCATGTCGCGCACGGCGGCGGCGGAGAGTGGGGCGGCGAGGGCGCGGAGCAGAGCTGTGGGCGAGCCGGACGTCGAGGTCATCGCCGACCGGTCGACTACGCTCGGCGGGTCGCTCAGCAGTCGGCGAGGGTGGGTGGCGGACGGGTTGCGCATCGCGGCGGCTGAGGGTCGGACGGGAGGGGGCCGAGCAGGGCGCGTCGTCGACGCCGCGCCGCAGGAGGACGTCCAGGGTGCGTCTCCTCTCTCTCGCGCTTCCTTAGATACATCATCTGACAGACTTTCCGCCTCACAGAGATCCTCACCAACGCCTACTCGCCCGAGCTCGCCGGCGCTTTCGCCTCCCCTTCCCTACCTAGCCCCAGCACGTCCTCCCTTCGCCGCGCTCGCACCTACGCCGACTCGCCTGCGCCCTCGAGCACCTCCACCGGCATGGCCCGCACCCCGTCCCTCCTCATGTCGCCCTACTCGGACTTTGTCGACCGCGAGCGCGACGACGAGTCGGTCTCGTCGATGAGCGGCCACGGCCTCACGCCGGCGCAGGGCCCGTTCACGCCCGTCGAGCCGGGCAGTGCGTGGCAGCCTCTTCGCGACGATGCCAAGGCGGCGCAGCCACGCAGTCGAGGAGCGCCAGACCTGCGCGACGGCCCGACGCCGACGACCGAGTCGTTCCCGCTCGACGCGTTTCCGTTGCCGGCGTTCGGCGACCTGAGCATGGACGACGCCGCGCAGGTGGCGTACTCGTCGCCCATCGAGCAGCTGTCCGACGAGCTATCGTCCAACCAGCGGCGGCAGCAGCAGCCCGGCGCTCGCCGTCCGTCGCACGCCCTCGCCGCGTCCGGCGTGCCCGTCCCCCTCTCCTCGCCTCGGCAGGCCCCCTCTCCCTTTTCCTTCTCGCCCTCCAGCTCCGCGACGTCGGCTCTCCCTCCTTCGCTCCTCTCGTCGACCGACCTGTACGCCGATCGCAGCCCTCGCGAGCCCAAGTCGTCCGGCTCGACCATCGGCAGCACGAGCACGAGCGGCCAGCACGTCCCCGGCACGCCGACCGACGACCCGACGCTCGCCTTCATCTTCGACGCGTACCGCTACTCGCTGGCGCAGGCGCCCGACCGCGACCGAGGCGCCGACTCGCCGGCTCGCAGCCTGCGCGACCTGGGCGGTCTCGGCGCGCTCGAGGAGCTCGCCGACGTCGAGTCGCCTCCTCGAGCAGCCGCCGACGACGCCTCGACGCTGCGCACGTACGGCGCGGCGTCGCACCTCCGCCGCGGCCTCTCGAGCGCCGCGCCGTCCTCCTCCACTGCGCCCGACCCCCCGCACCACCGCCCCGCAGCCTCGTCCTCGTCCCTCGCCTCGCTTGACAGCGTCCGCATCCCGCGCCTGTCCGAGGTGTTCCCGCGTTCGGGCACGCTCGACTCGCTCGCGAGCTGGGCGACCGAGACGAGCGGCGGCGCGAGAGGCCCGGGCGGGAGGGGCAGCGTGTCGGCCGAGGCGCGGTACGCCATGTGGTCGCCGCCGACGCCGAGCAAGGACGTCTACCTGCGTCGGCCGGCCGAGCACGAGCGGCGAGCGGCCGAGGCGCAGGGCGAGCCGGCCGTGGCGGCGCAAGTCGAGCGAGCGGCGGCGGCGGCGGCGGCGGACGACACGGCCGAGCAGGAGGGGCCCGAGCGCACGACGAGTCGCCGCGAGCAACAGCGCTCGGTCCCCATGACCGACGCGGCGCACCTCGAGCAGGACTTGGCGGCGTCGCGCCGGCTCTTCCACCAGCACTTCTCGCCGCCGCAGGAGCTCGTCGCCGCCGCCGCCCAGCAGGCCAAGCTGTACGACCATGGGCGGTACGGCAGCATCGACGAGCTGCCGTCGCCGTCGAGGCGGCAAGAGTCGCCCGGGCGGCTGCGGCGCAAGAGCGCAAAGGGCCTGCAGATCTCGAGCCCGGCGGTGCCGGCTCTGCAGGCCGTCCCGCGGTGGCGCAGCGCCGAGGGCGCCTCGCCGGTCGAGCAGTCGCTCCCAGCTGCGCCGGGCGACGTCTTTGCGCCGTCGGCGCCGTCGTCAGCGTCGATGCCGCACGTCGAGGTGTTCGGCGCGAGCCCGAGCGCCGGCTCTCGCACCTGGGCGTCGCCTCGCCTGCGCGACCTGAGCCAAGACTCGCAGGCGCTCTTGCCCTCACTCGAGAGCACGGCCTCGCCGACCGTCAGCTCGCCGCAGACGTTCACGTCGGCCACCTCGAGCCCGGTCGCGCCGTCGTTTGAAGACCCGCAGGACCGCGCCGACGCCCGTCGTCGCCCATCCGGCAGCGGCACGAGCCTGTCCAAGAAGCTGCGCAAGCCGCTGCACCGCGCCAAGTCGTCGCCGTCGCTCGGTCGGCAGCAGAACGACCCGTCGACCTCGTCGTTCCCATCCGGCGGCGGAACGCGTCCGCCCGTGCCGACCCGGCAGGGCAGCGACCCGTTCTTCGCGGCGGCGGCGGCGGCGGCCAAGGACAAGACGGCGACGTCGTTCTCGTCGTCGTCCAAGGACTCGAGCGAGCGGCGACGGGTCGACTACAGCGCCGGCATCTCGTCCAAGGACTTTGAGGAGGAGACGGTCCAGATCGGCAAGAGCGAGTTCGAGATCGTCAAGCCGCTCGTCGCGCTCCTCTCGCAGCCGAGCGAGTCCGACGACGGTTCGGCAGAGTCATCGTCGGCGCACGTTCCTCCTTCCGCCGTCGACCACGTCACGCCTCGACGCCCGACGGCGCCGCCACCGCCGCACACGCCGGGCAACAACCTCGGCCTCTCGACACCGTCGCTCTCGCACTTCTCGCCGCCGACGCCGGCGTCTGTCGAGGACGGCGGCCAGCACGCCCTCGACGACTACCGCAAGAAGGAGGCGCAGTGGGTCGCCGCGCTCGGCAGCATGTCGCCGACGCAGGTCCGCAAGAGCAAGAAAATGCGGGCGCTCGTGCAGGCCGGCGGCGTCCCGAGCAGTGTGCGCGGCAAGGTGTGGGCATTTTTGGCTGAGGGGAGCGTCGAGAAGCGGCAGGGCGTTTACCAGGTCCGTCTGCGGGCTCCTCCTGCCTGTTCCTTGACGGTCTCACTAACTCTGTCATTGCCAACAGTCGCTGTGCAAGGTCGCTTCACCCGCAGTTCCGCCACTCGTCGAGGAGGACCTGTCGGCGACGCTCGACCACCCGCAATTCGCCTACGGCTCGGCAGGGCGCTCCGACATCTTCCAGGTGCTCCAGGTGCGTTCTCGTCCTTGCCTCCGCGCCTCGTCTCGCCGGCCCGTCGCCAACACCTATTCCTCCAGGCCTTTGCGCACTTCCTTCCCCTCGACTACTACCCCGGCCTCGGCTCGGTCGTCGGCCTCCTCCTCTCGCAGATGCCGGCCGAGGACGCCTTCTGGACGCTCGTCGCCCTCGTCCAAGATTATGGTCTGCGGCAGTACTTCCCGTCGGCGCAAGACGAGCTGCGGCTCGAGACGTTGGCGTTCGAGTTCCTCCTCGAGGCGATGGAGCCCAAGCTGGCTCGACGACTGGTGCGTCGCCCTCTCCCAGTCCCACCTCTTCTCCTTGGTCTCTCTCCCTCTCCCTCTGTCGCGTCGCTGCGCGTGCGGCAACTGACGAGCCCTTTTCACCCTGCAGCGCGAGCTCTCGGTTCCGCCGTCCGACTACCTCGCCGTCTGGCACTCGACCCTGTACCTCACCGTCCTTCCTCAGCCTACCGTCCTCCGCATCGTCGACCTCCTCCTCTTTGACGTCAAGGCGCGCCACCGTGTCGCTCTCGCCCTCCTCGACCTGTCGCACCTCGACGACCACACCGCCTTTCCCTCGCGCGACGCCGCCCTCAACCACCTCCTTGCGCCGCCGCCAACCGCCTTCACGCCCACGCTCCTTTTTCCTGCCATCGCGTCGACCAAGGTGAGCGACGACAAGCTCAAGAAGGCGTTCGTGAAGGCGGCCAAGGCCCTCGAGACCTGAGATCTCCTCGTTCGACCAGGTGCGCTCGCCCTTCATCAGCCCGTCCATCTTCTCGTTGTCGGGGACTGACCTCTGGATGGGCGTGTCCGCAGATATCCCTCGCCCTTACTCGCACTCGCCCGCACTCGATACCTTCCCCGTCGTCCCGATACCTCGTACTCGCGCTCGTTGTGCTCCCTCGGCAATCTCCTTTCGCCTACCTTCGTCGGCATGTGTCCACCAGAGAGGCTCTTGCTGAGAGCTGTGCGAGGCCGGGAGAGACGAGGCCGTCCTCGGCGAGTCGAAACACGCTCGCCAAGGCTGCGTCCTCCTCCCTCTTCTCTCATCGCCGTCGTCGTGCCTGACTCTCCCCCTCCTCGCTCACAGACGCCATCGGCATGATCCAGGTCGGGCAGAGCCAAGTGGCCGGTCTCGACGACCGCAAGTTCCTCCTCGAGGAGGTGCGTGCACCCTCTTCCCTTGCCTCTTCTTCCTCGCCTTCCTCAGCAACTGACTCGCCCCCCTCGCCCACCGCAGATCGTCACGGTCCTCGCCAAGCTGCCGCCGGGTGCGCCGATCGGGACGACCGTCACCAACGCCCTCCTGCGCGTCCTGTGGGACGACATCCCCAAGCCGCCGGCGACCCTCGTCGGCGACTACCGCTACCGCGAGGCCGACGGCAGCAAGAACAACATCTTCCTCCACGACCTCGGCAAGGCGCGCATGCCGTACGCGCGGAGCGTCCCCAACCTGCACGCGTTCCCGGCTCAGCTCCCCGACCACGGCGTCGTGTGGGACTCGCTCCTCAAGCGCGACAAGTTCGTCCCCCACCCGTCGGGCATCTCGTGCGTCCCCTCGTCCCTCCTCGTCCTCGTCGTCGCCTGTCGAGCCGGCACTGACTCGTCGTCGTCCCTGCCCCTCGTCCTGCAGGTCGCTCCTGTTCGGCTTCGCGCAGCTCATCGTGCACTCGATCTTCCAGACGGACCCGCGCAACGGCGAGGTCAACGAGGCGTCGAGCTACCTCGACCTGAGCCCGATCTACGGCAACAACGCGGCCGAGCAGGCGACGGTGCGCTCGGGCGTCCAGGGCCTCCTGACCCGGACGCGGTCGCCAACAAGCGCATCTTCCTCGTGTCGCCGAGCTGCGTCGCGCTCGCCATCCTGTTCTCGCGCAACCACAACGACATCGCGCAGCGCCTGTTTGCCGTCAACGAGCAGGGCCGGTACGCCGAGTGGGACTCGCTCGACGACGAGGCCAAGAAGCGCCAGGACAACGACCTGTTCAACACGGCGCGCAACGTCAACTGCGGGCACTTTGTCAACGTCATCTTCCAGGTGCGCCTCGCCTCTCTCTCTCTCTCTCTCGTTGCCGTCGTCGTCGAGGAGAGCGCCGCACTGACCCCTCCTTTCCCTTCCTGCTCATCTTCTCCTCCTCCTTCCCCCTCGGCCCTCTCCCTCTCGCCCACCTCGTGCAGGACTACATCCGCGTCATCTTGAACCTCAACAAGACCGACTCGACCTGGTCGCTCGTGCCGACAGGCGAGATCAAGTCGCTCCTCGGCGGCCGGCTCGCTCGTCGCGAGGGCAACCACGTCTCGGTCGAGTTCAACATCCTGTACCGCTGGCACGCCTCGTCGAGTGAGAAGGACACCGAGTGGCTCGAGGGCCTCATGCGCCAGTACAACGGCGGCAAGCCCTTCTCCGAGGTGCGTCCCCTCTCCCTCTCTTTCTCGACTCGGCTCGAGGAGGACGTTCGACTCACGTCGCCCGACGCCCACAGATGACGACCGAGGACTTCCAGGTCGCGGCGCGCAAGGCGCTCGACGACATGAAGGGCGGGCCCGAGACGTGGACCTTCCTCGGCCTCAAGCGCACCGAGTCGGGCGCTTTCCGGTGCGTCCTGCCCCCTTCCCCTCTCGTTCTCTCGGTCCATGAGCTTGACCTGACCTCGTGCCTGGACCGGATGTATGACGCAGCGACGAGGACATCGTCAAGGTCCTCCTCGAGGCGACCGACAACGTCGCGTCGGCGTTCAAGGCTCGTGGTGCGTCCCCTCCTCCCTTCCTCGACGACGACGAGGTCTCGCACTCACTCTGTCGCCTCGTCTGCAGCGATCCCGGAGGTCATGCGCGCGATCGACCTGCTCGGCATGGAGGCGGCGCGCAAGACGTGGCGCTGCTGCTCGATGAACGAGTGCGTCCGCCTCTTCTCTCTCTCCTCCCTCGTGCCGCCTCGCCCTGACACTCGTGAACGTCGCACACAGGTTCCGCGAGTTCCTCGGCCTCAAGAAGTACTCGTCGTTCGAGGAGTGGAACCCGGACAAGGACGTGGCGCGCGCCGCCGAGAAGCTGTACCAGCACGTCGACCACCTCGAGCTGTACCCGGGCCTCATGGCCGAGGAGCCAAAGCCCTCGATGAACGGCTCTGGCCTCGCTCCCGGCGTGCGTCCCCCTTCCTCATCGGCGAGTCGACCTTCCCAAGTTGAGCGAGGACTGACTCTCTCCCTTTTCTGCCCCTCCTCCTCTCCCTTTGCGCCTCTCTCACTTCGCAGTACTCGATCTCGCGCGCCATCCTGTCGGACGCCGCCGCCCTCGTTCGCGGTGATCGCTTCGTGCGTCCACGCTCTCTCTCTCTCCCTCGTTCTCCTTCTCCCTCTCGACCACCCTCGACGGCCAACTAACGACGTCGCCCTCGCCTGCAGTTCACGACCGACTACAACGCGGGCAACCTCACGTCGGCCATGTGGGAAGACCTCAAGCCCGAGCTCGACAACGGCTCGTTCGGCGGCGTCATCGGCAAGGTGCGTCCTCTCCCTCCTCTCCTCGTCACTCCTTCGCCTCGTCGACGCGCGACAGAGCCGTCATTGACTCTTTTCCTCGTCGCCCCGCCAGCTCCTCATGCGCCACTTCTCGGCCCACTTCACCTACAACTCGATCTATGCCCTCTTCCCGTTCTCGACGCCGCACACGACCAAGGCCAACCTCGAGCACCTCGGCATCGCGTCCGAGTACGACTACCGTCGCCCGTCGACCCCTCCCGCGTGGAAGCGCCTCACGTCGTACGCCGACCTCAAGCAGGTCCTCGATGACAAGGGCCAGCGGCTGTCGAGCGTGTACGGCCCTGCGCTCGACGAGCTCACGCAGGCCAAGCAGCCGTCGATCCTGAGCTACCTGCGCCTCGGCGACTCGTCCAAGGGCCGCGACTCGGCGGCCGACATCCTCGAGCTCGCCCTGTTCCCGCCTCACTGGGCGCAGACGGCGCTCGTCGACCTCGGCGACGTCACCAAGCGCACGCTCGAGGAGCACAAGTTTGCGTACGGCAAGGACAAGTTCCGCATCGACGTCGTCGGCGACGTTGCCGTGCCCGTCGTCGTCGAGTACCTCGCCGACCTGTTCGGGATCCCGCTCAAGTCCAAGTCGAACCCGCTCGGCCTGTTCACGGTCGACGGCCTGTACGACGCCCTGACCGACTTGTACGCGTTCGTCTACCTCGAGTGCGTCCCTCCTCCTCCTCTTGCGCGTCGTCGAGGAGCCCGCACTGACCCTCTCGTCCCGCCGCCTCGCTCAGCTTTGACCCGACCGTCGCCTTCAAGCTGCGCGACCGCGCGCGCAAGCACAGCGAGCTCCTGCGCGGCATCATCCTCATGCGCCTCGGCCAGACCGAGTTCATCCCGGTGCGCCGCTCGGTCCTCCTCGTCCTCCTTCTCGGCCTTGACGACCTCGAGCCTGACCTTCTCTCTCTCTCCCACTCGCCGCAGGACCTCGCCGGCGACCTCCTGCGCGACTTCAAGCGCGTCCTGACGGGCAAGGGCTCGGGCGGCTACGTCCTGTCGGACCGCTCGCGCAAGCTGTACAAGCGCACGACGCAGAGCGACCGTCCGATCGACGAGCTCGCCGGCGTGCTCCTCACGGCCCTCATCCGCCTCGTCCAGGTCGTGCCTCGTACGTCCTATCCCTCTCTCTTTCACGAGCGCTCGTCGTCGTCGAGCCCGTCACTGACCCTCCTCGCTCGCGCGCAGAGGTCGCCAACGTCGTCGACTTCTTCCTCGAGCCGTCGCGCCACAAGGACCTGCAGCACGTGTGCCACGCCGCTCAGCAGCAGGTCGGCATGGCCAACGACTCGCTCATCATCGTGCGTCCCGGCCTCTCCCTCTTTCTCTCTCCCTCGCACGAGCCCCTCCCTGACCCGAGCTCGCCCATCGTCCCTGCTCTCGCACGCTCGCAGAAGTACGTCCTCGAGGCGATGCGCCTGCAGCCCTCGGTCACGGGCATCGCGCGCCGCGTCAAGGGCGACGCCGACAAGAAGCCGAACGAGCTCCTCTGGGTCGACCTCGTCTCGTGCGGCCGAGACGACAAGGTGTTTTCCGAGCCCGACAAGGTCGACGTCACGCGCGACGCCAAGCTGTACCAGCCCCTCGACAAGGCCACGTCGGTCGTCAACCGTGCGCACCCTCTCTCCCTCCCTCTCCCTCCTCCCTTTCCCTCTCCTCGCGGACTCTCTCACTGAACCCCTCCTTCCTCCTCCCGCTCCGCAGAAGAAGGCGAGTCGTACAACGTCCCGCTCGTGTCGGGCATCGTCCGCGAGCTCCTGACGGTCAACTCGCCGTCGCGCCCGTCGGGCTCCGAGGGCCAGCTCGGCGTCGTCGAGGGCCCGCTCGGCCTGCGCGTGTACGCGCGCGACGAGACGAGGCAGCGCCCGAGGGCCTTTCCCGGCCGCATGATCGTCGCGTTCGAGGGCGTCAAGGGCAAGCGCTGAGCAGGGTCGTCGTCGAGGAGGAGGAGGAGGAGGTTGAGGAGGGCTTGTCTCTAACCGTCGCTTTTGTCGTCTCTGTGCCGCTTTAGTTTCCTGCAACACACGTGCACCGCTTTCTCTCTCTTCGGCCCCGTCCCGCTTTCGTTGAGAGAGCGAGCTGGTCGTGCACGAGCCTCTCGACGACCGAGAGCAAGTTGAGAAGGTCGTCGACTTTGGACGCGATGCGCTGCTCGACGGCGAGCTGGAACGCGAGCTGCAGAGGGCTGTACCCTGCACGTCATGCTCTACAAAGGTCGACCCGGTCGTCCGAGAGCTGCACCTGGCTCGCTCGGTCCTTCCTCCTTCTCCTCGTCTGCTCCTCGGCTCGTCCCACCCCCTCAGCGGGCGAGAGCGTCCTCTCTTGCGCTCGCGGTCGCTCGTCTCGACGCCGCAGGGCCGCACCTGTAGGCAAGCGAGCCATAGAGAGCCCTTGCCCGTCCGAGCGTCGCTCGAGCACGCGGCGGCGCAGAGCGGGACGGCTCGACGAGAAGCAGAGGCGAGCAGGATGTTGTGTGGGTGGCCGAGGGGCCGGGGGCGAGCTGGAGGAGCAGGCCTTGAGCGGGAGAAAGACGCCGAGCGAGAGAGAAGGTCGAGGAGGCCGGCCGAGGAGGGCGGGCGAAGCGGGACAGAGCGACGGCGGCGTCCTGTCGACGAGGGGGCAAAGGCGATGTCAGTTCTCCTGCTCGGGAACGGCGGAATAAGGATGCCCGTCTCGCTCGCTCGTCGACGACGAGGGGCACATCAGAAAACGACGCAGCGACGCGCCTAAGCAAGATCTTCCACACGGCGAGGGGCTTCGCGGTCCTTGAGACCCGGCCCTCGCTCAGCGTTGGATTGTTAAAGTGTAGACATCGTCTGTGCCCGACGTCGAGACGAGGAGAAAGGGAGGAGGAGATGCGAGAGAGAGAGAGGGCGGCTCACCTCAGAAGTAGAGGCTCGACCGCTTCTTGCCGCTCGACGACGGCTCGCCGCCGTGGCCCGACACGCTCGCCGACTCTACGTCGCCCTCCTGGCGCCCGCGAAAGCCGGCGCAGACGAAGAAGCCCTCCTTGCTGTCCTTGCGACTGCTCGGCGGCTTGATCCAGCGCACGACGTGGAAGTGCCGCCCGAGGTCCCTGCGGAACTGCTCGGTGAACTCGGACGTGAAGTGCTTGATGACGAGCTGGACGGGCAGGGCGCGGCCCGAGGCGGCGGCGGTAGGGGCGGCGGCGGGTGGGGGCGAGTCGGGCGAGGCGGCGGGCACGGGTCGACGAGGATGGGCTGGGGACAGGGTCGCGACGGCGAACGCGAGTGCGGCCTCGCACAGAGCGAGCGAGATGCTCGCGTCGCGCAGGGCGTTGCCCGACATGGCCGCCATCATGTCGCTCAAGACGAGGTCGACCTGGTCGCGCCTGCTCTCGCGCCGGACCGTGGCGCGCACTCGCGCCTGGACGACCGGGTCGAGAAAGTCGCCCTGGACAAAGTGGACGCTGTCGCGCTCGCCGATGGCGCGCTGGAGCGGGAGGAGGTCGACGCCGACGAGGGTGGTGCCGCGGTGGTGGACGACCTCGAGGGCGGCCTGGATCCAGCCGCCGGGTGCGGCGCCGAGGTCGACGATGGCCATGCCGGGGCGGAGGAGCTTGAGGTCGCCCTTCCAGCCCTGGTGGAGCTCGAGGAGCTTGAAGGCGGCGCGCGAGACGAAGGCCGTGTTGGTCTCGGTCGACGGGTTGGTGCCCGATGCGGCGCGGGCGCGGACGTAGGGGTCGTTGCGCTGTCGCTGGATCCAGACCTGGGACGCTGCGCCCTTCTTGGCCGTGTTGGCGGAGCTGGACGAGGTGAAGAGGCGAGTCGGCGAGGGGGAAAAGGTTCGAGGCGCGAGGCGAGAGGAGGATGGGTGCAGGAGCCACGAGGTGGGCGATGGAAGGGCTGCTGAGCGTAGTCGCATGGTGGCTAGCGTGTCGCACAGAGCTCTCGAGTCGAGCGACGAGGGCGAGGCGAGGAGAGCGAAGCCAAGCTGGACGCGAGTCGCCTCTGCTCCTCACTCTCGCCCGCTCGCACAAAGGCTCGCTCGCCAGTGCACCCAGTCGACTCAGCAGGTGGCTCTGAGTACAACCCGCCACCTCTTGCGCGCTCGAGTGCAGTAGCCACCTCGCGCCATGGTCTCGTCCCCAGCTCCAGTGTGAGCACCGCGATGAAGCCCTTGTCCTCCTCAGGGCCCCGGTAGACTGACCCGAGCCTCGCCGTGACAGTCCCGCCGGTCCGCCGCCCAAACCCATCATCTCGCCCCCCAACACCCTCTCGCTCTCGCAGATCGCCACCGGCTGCAAGGTCTACATTCAGCGCCAGATCCACCCCGACCGCCCGAACGACACCGAGGTCCGCAAGGCCGAGATCCTGTCGATCCGTCAGCGCAAGATTGGCCGCGCCGAGCGCCGCGAGAAGAAGGCGCGCCTCAAGGCCGCCCAGGACGGCGGCGCCGAGGCCGAAGCTGAACTCGAGCGCGAGGAGCGCGAGGCCGACGAGCGCAGCAGGGCAGAAGGCGACCGTCTCGAGTACTACTGCCACTACGTCGAGTTCAACAAGGTGCGCCCTCGCCGTCCTCGACGCCTCGTGGTCCTCCTGCGCGAGCACTGACTCGTCCCTCCCTCCCCCTTTCCCCTTGTAGCGTCTCGATGAATGGGTCTCGTCGCACCGCATCCTCCTGTCGCGCGAGGTCGAGTGGCCCTTGCCGCCCCCACCGCCGACCGCGCCCGGCTCGACCCGCAAGAACAGCCGCGAGACGACCGCCGTCCCGCCCTCGCCTTCTCCCGTACCCTCGACCCCTGCCCTCAACGGCTCGGCCGCCGAGACCAAGAAGGCGCTCGATGCCGGCACGGTCCTGCGCAAGGCGGCCATCCGCGCCGCGCACGAGCAGAGCGTCGGCAACAAGCGCAAGGCGCTCGGCGACGACGAGGACGACGCGGCGGGCGAGACGGACGGCGAGGGCGACGCCGAGATGGCCGACGCGCAAGTGAGCGGCGGCAAGGACGGCGGCGCGTCGCCGCAGCCGGATGCGGCCGCAGGGGCCGACGGCGCGAGCGACGACGGCGCCATCCCGACGTTCAGCAAGGCGCGCGAGATCGAGAAGCTGCGCACGCAGGGCTCGATGACCCAGTCGCACTCGGAGGTGTCGCGCGTCAAGAACCTCGACCGCATCGCCATCGGGCGCCACCTCGTCGAGGCGTGGTACTTCTCGCCCTACCCGGTCGAGTACGCCCACACGCCCGTCCTGTACGTGTGCGAGTTCTGCCTGTCGTTCTACGCGAGCGAGAAGCAGATCGAGCGTCACCGGCACAAGTGCACCCTGCGCCACCCGCCGGGCAACGAGATCTACCGCCACGAGGACATCTCGTTCTTCGAGATCGACGGCCGCAAGCAGAAGACGTGGTGCCGCAACCTGTGCCTCCTGTCCAAGGCGTTCCTCGACCACAAGACGCTCTACTACGACGTCGACCCGTTCCTGTACTACGTCATGTGCCACCGCGACGAGACGGGCGTCCACCTCGTCGGCTACTTTTCCAAAGAAAAGGAATCGGCCGAGAACTACAACGTCGCGTGCATCCTCACGCTGCCCCAGTACCAGCGCATGGGCTACGGCAAGCTCCTCATCGAGTTCTCGTACGAGCTCAGCAAGAAGGAGGGCCGCCTCGGCTCGCCAGAGAAGCCCTTGTCCGACCTGGGCCTCCTGTCGTACCGCGCCTACTGGGCCGAGACGATCGTCGACGTCCTCGTCAACACCAAGGAGGACATCACGATCGACGAGATTGCCAACAAGACCGCCATCGTGCACTCGGACATCATCCACACGTGCGTCGCTCGCTCCCTCTCCTCTTCTCCTCTCCGTCCTGAACCTCGACTGACACCTCCTTCCCCTCTCCCCTCTCCTCGGACCACAGCTGCCAGGTCCTGCAGCTCCTCAAGTTTCACAAGGGCCAGCACCACCTCGTCGTCTCGCCCGCCGTCCTCGAGCAGCACGAGCGCGTGCGGTCCAAGGTCCGGCGCCGCATCGACCCGACCAAGCTCATCTGGCGCCCGCCGACGTTCACGAGGCAGGAGCTGCGGTTCGGGTTCTGAGGGGCAGGAGGAGCGGCGGGGCGAGGGCGGTGCGCAGGAGGAGAGCCGGCTGTACAGCGAGAGGAGCTCTCGAGGGCGAGGAGGGGCGGCGGGAGCGGTCTGTCTGTTCGTGTTTCGTCGTCGGTCGATGTTGTAACCACCATGGCTGTTCATTTCAGTACGTGCGTCGCACCAGGAGCGCTCGCTGTCGAGAGCGGCGAACGGACCTCTCGCTCAAGGGAGCGTGAGGGAGGGGAATCGCGAGCTCTCCTCTCCGGTCGAGCCGCCCCAGAGTCTCTCTTGCAAGTGTGTGAGAGGGCTCTGCAAGCATCCTCGTTTGCTCTCGAGGCGAGGGAGGGACGGCGGCTGCGTCTCGAGAGCGGAGATTGGCCAGCGACGAGCGAGCTCCTCTTCCTGGTCCGCACCCCTCGACAACCATGGCCGCCGCTCTCCGCTCGACGCGCGTGCTCCGCCAGAAGCTCACGGCCGACCCTCACGCGTACCACGCCACCGACGAGACCCCGCTCTGGCGCAAGATCCGCCGGGCCATCGTCGTCAACCCGTGAGTCCTCGCCTCGTCTCTCTCGCTCTCGCGGTGTGTGGTCCACCTGCTTGTCGGGTCTTCGATGGGTGTGGGGAGCGCTGCGGTGTCGTGCAAGCCTGCGCAGGAGGTGGACGAGGAGGGCGGCGGGTCCGGCCCACGAGGGCGATGAGCAGGGGCAGTCCAGCTCGCCCGGGCGGCCATCTGAAGGACGAGCGGCAAGCTGCAGCACACCACGCGGTCCAGCTCGAGCCCGACGAGCGCGCGCGGCGGCCCGCACAAGCTCGGCGTTGCCCTCCTCCCGCACCCGCCGACGTCGGCCGCAGATGGCCCGCCCTGACACAGTCAGCAACAGCGTCGAAGCAGGAGCCCGTACTGACACATTCGTCCCGTCCACAGTGAGTCGTCGACCGGCAACCCGCTCGCGTCGGCCAACCGCCAGCCTGAACCCGCCTCGCGCCCGGAGAAGTTCACCGTCCCCTCGTCCAGGGCGTCCGACGTCGCGCAGAACCCCTACTTCAAGCGCGACTTCCGTCGCATGTTCCCCAAGACGGAGGTCGTCACCCAGGGCGAGCTCGCCAAGCTCCTCATTGCGCAGGGCGGCTTCGAGGCGTGCGTCCCTCTCTCGTCCCCTTTCTCACTCAGTTTCGACTTGCCGCTCACGCCGCCACGCCCCACACAGCCTCCCGCCCGTCACCGCCTCGGAGAGCGACAAGACGACCGCCCTCACGGCCGACTCGCCCGCCCCGTCCCTCGCCGCCCTGTACTCGACCCCGTCCGGCGCCTCGTCCGGCTTCCGCCCGCCAAAGCCTCCCGGCCGCAAGTACAAGTGCGTCCCGCGCTCTCTTCCTTCTCTTCCTCGAGCCCGTCTCGCGTCCGCCGAGCTGACCGGACTCGCACTCGCAGCTGGCACGCCTCGAAGGAGCAGGCGCCGTCCGACCCCAACGCCTACTTCCCCATGGTGCTCTTCGACACGACCTCGGCGTAAAGGTTTCGTCGGTCGCCTGTAATCAAGTCCGTTTCTCTTCTGGACTCGCGACTGAGCTCGGAGCGCCGTCCTGGAGCACTGCCGACCGCCGAGGAGAGAGCGAAAGCAAGAGAGACTGTGCTTGAGGTGGGCTCCGAGCGAAGCTGGACTTGCTTCTGCCTGTACCGCGACTTGCGCTCAGAGAGCTGTTCGACAGGTCTGCTCGGAACTCACTGCGCAAGAGCGGCAGGGGCGAGCGGTCGCCTTGCAAGTTCCTCCACTTGGGAAGGCGCGCACGGACCTGTCGGTCTCTCTCTCTGCTCGAGTTCCTGCGAGGACTTCCGACCCGATAGAGAGAGCGTGGACGAGCGACTATGCGCGGCAGAGTTCCCACGTCGGAGAGAGGGCACCGGACACAGCGACGAATCCGGGCTCGACTCGTTGTACCGAGAAAGATTGCAGTGCGACGATCCCCCTTCGAACGCGGGCAACAGGGCAATCGAGCGCTGTCACGGTCGGATTTAGCTTCCTTCCCCGCAAAAGTAACCGCCGAGGCGCAGGTGCGCCGGGCGAGATAGCCGCCTTCTTGCGGCTCTCTCTCTCGCTCCTCGCCCTCAATCGCTACAGCAGCTTGCTCTGCACGACCCTGCTGTCGACGAGCGCCTTTGCTGCCCCCTCTCGCGCGCCGCATTTCGAAGACTTCCTCCTCTCGCCTCGCCCCGCTCAGGCTCCCCCACGCCCTCGATATCATGGCGCACAAGGACGCGGCAGCTGCAGAAGCGCAGCCGGTGCACAAGGCCGACGACTCGGAGCGTCTCCACGAGCTCGGGTACGACCAGGGTGCGTCGCCGTCGCCTCCTTCCCCTCCTCCTCCTCGTCCTGATCCTCCTCTCGCAGAGCTCAAGCGCGGCTGGTCGACCCTGGAATCGGTCGGCGCGAGCTTCAGCGTCATCAGCGTGTGCACCGGCATCACTACGAGCTTCCTTCTGGGCATGACGAACGGCGGACCAGGAGTTATGGGTGCGTCGCTCGTTCACCGACTTCTCTCCAGGTTCCTCGAAGCTGACCCGCTTCTTCTTTCAGCCATCGGGTGGATCTGCGTCTCCATCATGACCATGTGCGTCTTCGATCCCTCGAGCTTGCCGGTACGGTCGCCTGACCCGCCAAAATGGAACCTATCTCTCTCCCTCCCTCTCTCTCTCTCTCCCCCTCTCTCTCTCTTTCTCTACCGCGCAGGTTCGTCGCCTTCTCGATGGCCGAGGTCGTGTCGGCCGTCCCGTCGGCAGGAGGGCCCATGCACTGGGCAGCGCTCCTCGCTCGGCCCAAGTACAGCGCGTTCGCCGCCTACGCGACAGGCTGGTTCAACTTGCTCGGCCAGATCGCCGTTACAGCGTCCATCACATTCGGAAATGCAAACCTCAGTGCGTCCCTCTCCCTCCTCTCTCTCTCTCCCGCCCGACCTCAATCCCCAACCCTATCTCTCTCTCGCCCGACCTCAACAGCAAGCTCGAAGGCACGTACTGACCCACCTCTGGTCGACAGTCGCGACCCTCGCCGGCGAGTACGGCTTCGAGAGCTCGGCCGCCCGCATCATCGGCATCGACGCCGGCCTCCTCGTCCTAGCTGGCCTGTTGAACTCGGTCGACGTCAAGCTGCTTGGTCACCTCAACCGCCTGTCGATCGCCATGCACTCGGTCGGTGTCTTCTCGGTCGGCGTCGCCCTTCTCGCGAGCGCGCCGTCTTTAAGGTCGGCAAAGGAAGTGTTCGGCACGTTCTACGACGGCACGGGCGACCCTGGATGGAGCATGCGGGCTTCTCCTGCCTACGTGGCTCTCACTGGGTGCGTCGAGAGTTCTCCGAAAACTTCTGGCTCGAGCGAGGGTGCGACGAGGCGGCTCGTGCGCAGCCCGGTCGGTGGTGGGGCCTTTCAGCTCATGCGCAGTATACTGACCTCCCGCTCGTCCGCAGTATCCTCCTTGCCCAGTTCACCATCACCGGCTTCGACGCGTCGGCGCACATGGCCGAGGAGACGGCAGACTCGGGACGAGCAGCACCTCTCGGCGTCCTCATCTCGGTCGGCGCGTCGGCGTGCTTCGGCCTCTTCTACCTCTTGTCCCTCCTCTTCTCGATGCCGGACTACCAGGCGACCCTCGACTCGAGCCAGCCCGTCCTCCACATCTTCGTCGAAGCGTTCGGCAAAACGAGAGGTGCTGTCGCGTTCGGCTTCATCATTTGCTGCGTCACACTGTGCGGCACCTTCTCGGTCACGTCAAACAGCAGGATGTGCTTCGCCTTTGCGCGCGACGCCGGCCTTCCGCGCTTCTTCGACAAGGTCGGGGCGAGAACGGGCGCGCCGGTCCGGACCGTGTGGCTCGCCGTCGTCCTCGCCTTCTGCCTCGCCCTGCCGTCGCTCGGTAGCGCCGTCGCGTTCACCGCCGTTACCTCGATCGCAACCATGTGCGTCCCTCGTTCGCTCGCTGTCCTCCCCTCGAGCCCTTCCTGACCGTCCTCGCCTCGCGCAGCGGCCTGTACATCTCCTACATCATTCCTATCGCAATCGCGGGCTTCGACCAAGCTCGATTCCGCACACTGCGAGGCCCCTTCCACCTCGGTATGCTCAGCAGGCCCGTCGCCCTCATCGCGACAGCCTACGTGATCTTCATTACCGTCGTCTTCTGTTTCCCGACGGCCAATCCAGGTCCGTTAAATTCTCCCTCGTACCTCTCCCTCGTCCCTCTCCCTCGGCCCGTTCCCTCTGCTCGCCAACTCGAGCCTTTCATTCGACCTTCCGACTCGACCTTCCCAAGTCGACCTTCCCAAACTGACCTCGATCCCTCTTTACCCTCTTCTCGCAGTCGACATCAACACGCTCAACTACGCGCCGGTCGCCGTCGGTATCGTGCTCGTCTGGGTCTTTGTGTCCTGGTTCTGCGGCATGCGGCGCGTCTTCCGGGCGCCGACGCAGGGTGCGTCCTCCTTCTTCTTCTCTTCCTCGCCTAGAGCACCTCGCCCAGCGCCTCCTTCCTGACACTCGGCCGTCCAGGCTCGCTCGCAGACTCTTCTATGGCGGCGCCGACCAAGGTGTCGAGGTTGAGCGACGAAAAGGCCGACGAGGAGGGCAAGGACGAGCCTGCAGGAGGCTCGATCGCGCAGGTCATTACGAGGTGAGGGCGTTCACGGCAGAGGTTACTTGCAGTTGCACATGTTCGACATCTCCCTCTCTCTCTGGGCCTCTCGAGAGAGAGGGCGACGAAAATGAGCGACGAGAGCGAGTTCTGCAAGAGCGGCTCGAGCGCAAGTTTGACAGGGGCGACCATCGAGAGAGGACGACGCGACGGGCTGCCGAACGAAAGTGATCGATTGACAGACTATCCAAGCTGCGACTGTTACAGAGAAGGCGAGGGAGAAAAGGACGAAGGGCGGCGAAAGGCGGGCAAAAAGGAAGACGACGAGGACGGAGGGGAAGACGAGGGACGAGTAGGGCTGCAACAAAGGGGTACGAGGAAAGAGCGCTACTCACGAGTGTCGCTGAGCCGCTCAGACATCTCGCGCTCGACGCGGCCGTCGTCAGTCAGCTCACCGTCCTCGCCAACTTGCGGCTGCGGATCCGGCTCGACGAGGCGAGCCCGGCGACTTGGGGTCCAGCCGCTCGAGCGACGGTCGCACGGGTAGTCTGAGCGAGCTGGACGACTGGCCTGCCAGGCGGCGGCCTCGAGAGGACCACGCGAGAGCGCCGGACGAGCCTTGGTTTGGGAAGGCTGGCTCGGCTTCGGCTTGTCGACGACGGCTGGCTGCAGGAAAACGCGAGATCAGGGTCGCGATGACAAGAAGGGTCTCTGAGCGCTTCGAGGAACGCGTAAGGTCACTGCGCGAGGGAGAAAAGGAGGACGCACCGCCGCATCGACGCACAGGTGGGCCCGGTGACGCCGGACGCACATCTTGCACGGCCTCGGCCCGTTTGAGCACTGCGTGTGGTACCTCTGTGTGCAATTCGAGGCTGTCAGTCCGTCGTCACGAGGCGGGAAGATGTCCAACCGCTTTGAGGAGGCGCACTTTGCTGTCGACGCAGTTGATCGAGGACACGTCAACGCTCGGCTCCTTTCCGTTCGAGGAGAGAAAGTGGGACGCACCAAGGAGCACAGGCACGCGAGACGACCCTCCTCCTCGGCTGCTTCGTCCCCTCGCGCTCGAGAGAGCTCGCCGCGTTCGCGGACTCTCCGCGCTCAGGCCTCGAATCTGCGGATGTCCCCCATCTCGCCTCGTAGCCGGCCTCGAGCGGTTCGTGCTCGTCGTCGCTGCTGTTGACGAGCTCGATGACGAGCCCGGAACTCGGTCTCGACTCGATACAGGGCGAGGCGAGAGGCAAGAGGTGTGCGGCGAGGACGGGGACCGAGCGGATCGAGGGAAGCGTTGGCCGGGACGAGGTCATTCTCGGCCAGAGACGACGAGATTGACAGCGGCGAGGGTACTCGTAGAGCTCAGCGTCGAAAGAGCGACGAGGAGAAGCAAGAAGCGAGCGAGCAGACGAGCGGAGCGGCGAGGTGGGGGACAAACGCAAAGCGACGGTCCGCTGGGTCACCTGCCCTCGGTGTGCGGTGCAGCGACGACACCGAGCGAGATGTACGAGGTGCAGCCAGAATTGTCGGCGCAGTCGAGCGTCGAGAAGCTGAACCGAGGAAAGCAAAGTTGCTGCTCGACGACGGCGACAAAGGCTGCTCGAGAGCGGCGGAATCTAAGCTCTATTGCGCCGTCTAATCAAGGGGAGGAGGTACCACCCGTCGAGGCATGACGAAAGGTGCGCTGAACGTGACCGACTCTGCCGACCCGCGGCGAGCGCTGCTGCCGTCCCTCCTCTGCATCGTTCTCGTCGTCGAGCCCGACCCTCTCCTCCCACGCTTGGCAAATGCCGCCGCCGCCGCCGCGACCGCCGCACTCTGCGCCTCGCGGTCGCGCGCCTCGTCGAGCTCGCGCAGGACGAGCCTCGTCCCCTTGAGGCACATGTCGGCGCGCGCCTCGCCCTCGGTCATGCACGCGAGCAGGTCCTCGACGCTGTCGCAGAGCGAGAAGTGGTCGTCGAGGACGACCTGAGACGCCTGCGCGAGGGCCGACGACATGCCGCGCATGCGCGCGAGCGGGATCGACGCCGAGTCGCTCGTCGTGCGCGCGACGGTGACGATGACGGGCAGGCCGGGCTGAGTCGCCGAGAGTGGGATGACGATGGTGCAGCCGCCGAGAGGGCCGGGCTGGAGCGCCGGGTCGCGAGAGGGGAGGTCGCCGTCGATGGGCGAGAGGAGGGACGCGGCCGACGGCCTGCGCTCCTGCCGCGCGTCGACCTCGTCCGGCGCGCCTCGCAGCGTCACGACGAGCCGACTGCGCCACTGCCCGCTGCCCTCGCCGCCGACCTCCTCGCTCTCGCGGTACACGTCGAGCCGGCCCTCCTGCGCCGCGCCGGGCGGGACGTCGTACTCGAGGCGCCAACGCTCGGGCTCGACGTGCCGCACCTCGACGTGGAACCTCGCCCGCCCGAACGCGCCGCCGTAGAACCGGATGCGCGCCTCGCCGCCGCCGCCGCCGCCGCCGCTCTCGGGCGCAGGCGCAGCCGTGAACGTCGTGCGGTACCGGCCGGCCTGCGCGTCAAACTCCTCCTCGCGCACCTTGACGCCGCCGCCGCCGCCGGTGCGCACGATGTGCGGCGCGAAGCCGTGACCGGCGAGGAAGCGGCCGATGGCGGCGATGTTGAGCGGGAGGAGGACCGAGAGCTGGTTGACGGTCGTCTGCGGCAGGTTCATGCCGGCCGAGGCGCGCACGACCATCGAGACGCCGAGACCGGGGCCGCAGAACGCCGGGCGTGAAGGCGAGGGCCGTTTCGGGGCGGGCTGGGCCGCGAATGCTGGCGGGCCGAAGGGAAACCGAGGGTAAGGGCCGGGGAGCTCGCCCGGGCCGAGCGAGGGCGACGCGTTGTACGAGCTGCTGGCCGACGTGTAGAACGACGTCGTGTGGGCGAGAGGCGGTGGCGCGAGTGGCGGAGGCGTTTGCGGCGCGCTGAAGTTGCCGATGTGGGTCGCCGAGCCATGAAGCTGAGGGCGCACAGGTGGAGCCGGCGAGCTCGCGTCGGCGCCGGGTACAGGTGGAAGAGGGACGGTGGCGAGGAGGGCGCTCGACGTCTGCATGACCGAGGCGCTCGAGCGCGTGCGGCGATGCGACGGGCGGACGGGCTGCGACGCTTCGGGACGCAGTGGTGCCGGCGCTGGCGGCTCAAAGTCGGGAGGGAGAGACAAGGACCGCAGGGCGAACCCGTTGATGTGGATCGTCGTGCGCTGGCCCGATCGCTGCGGCGAAGTCGTCGAGAGCAAGGTCAGGGCGACCACCTCGAGGAGGAGGCGAGGCCGTGAGCACGGGACGTACAGGAATGAGCGGATCGTCGACGGACGTGCCGACGACGTAGGTGACGTTGGTCTTGCCGGGCCGCTCGTCTTGGGCCGTGGTGCCGAGAAGGGACGCGTCTCGAGGTGCGACGAGGTTGCTCCGGATGCAGAGGTGCGTGAGGCTGCGTGATCGCGAGGAGCGCCGTCGTCCCGCCAGTCAGTGACCGATCGAGTGAGAGAGAGAGGGAGAAAGAGAGGGCGCACCTGTCGGTGTCGCTCAAGTGCTGCACGACCTGGCTCTTCGAGGCGTCCATCCTCGGGTCCCACACCGCGCGAGCGCCGAGCGACAAGATGGTGGCCCTGCAAGGAAAGGGGAAAGCTGTCAGTGCGAGCGACAAGAAGGTGTGACCTCGTCTCTCCATCGATGTACGCGGGAGGAAGAGAGGGACAAGGCTTGAGACGCACGCGACGTCCTCCCTCTTCCAGCTGCCCTCGATCCAGCCCTCGCCCCGGAAGAACGGCAACGCCTCGTCTGCCCTCAGTCCCCTGCTCGCCGGTTGCGGTCCACCTGCGCCGCCTCGTGCGCTCGCCGTGCTCCTTGTCGGCGAGAAGAAGGCGGACGAGCGGGTCGAGCGGTCGAGGTCGGGCGGCGTCGCGCCTGGGTCTTGCGACGACGAGTGGAAGATGCGCACGCCCTGCGTCGTCTCCTGGAAGGTCCAGCCGTGCGACTCGAGGTTGGCGATGATGCCCTGCACCGAGAGAGGACGAGGTCAGCGAACAGGCCCGTCGGCGGCGAGCGCCTCGGCGGCAGTGCGCTTGGACGACCGCGCGAGGCACTCGAGATCACACAAGAGAGAATGGACGCACCTGCTCTGCGTCTAGCTCGTCTCTGTCGCCCCCGTCCGAGTCCCCACCTCCACCTCGGCCGTCGACCTGGTCGGCGAGCCGCTGCACGAGCTCGAGCGCGTCCCTCGCCGCGCGTGCATGTCGGTGCGAGCCCCTCAGGCGAGTCGAGCCTGCGCTTGGCGCGGTGCTCGTCGGGAACGGGAGGGGAGCGGAAGATGAGGTCGAGGGCGGCGGGAACACGACGGGCTCGAGTGGGGCAAAGATGGGTGGCTGGGCGAGCATGTAGGGAGCAGAGCTCGGTCGCCAGCCGAGCGCTCTGGGTGCGGCGAGGCGCAGAATTGACGAGAGAGAGCGACCGGTCGGTTCGCCGACGACGACGACGGCAAAGGCGACTGTTCGACTCTCGAGTTCGCGTTCGACAGCTCTCGCAGAGCCTGGGTAGAGACGGCGATTCGATGCGGTGCAATGCAGGACAGAGAACACACAACAGACGGCTCGCTCGCTCACTCGCTCTCGTCCTCCTCACTGTCGTCCTCCTCGTCCTGCTCCTGGAGGAACTTGATGAGCGGCGCCGCCTTGGCGCGCAGCTGCTCGGCGCCCTGCGCCTTGTGGCCCTTGGTGTACCAGTACACGAGCGGGCCCGTCGAGAGGATGTCGGCGCCGACGAGCGTCTTGAGCAGGCGAGGGAACGCCGGCCCGACCTTGGGGTTGTCGTGGCACCACACCTGGATCGTGTTGCTGAGACGAGGAAGATGATGGGTCAGTCTCGGCGGGCGGAAGGCGCGAGGAGGGACGAGAAGGTGGAACGCACACGAGGGCGACCTCGGCAACGGCGCGCTGCGTGAACGGCTCGAGCACAGGCGAGTACTCCTTGACCTGGATGACGGCCTCGTCGACGACGACGGGGCCCTCGGCGTTGAGGTCGATGCGAGAGACGAGCGCGAGGAAGACGAGCGCGATAAAGTCGGTCTCGGACACGATCGCCGGGACCGAGCGCGAGTGGATGGGCTGCAGGACGCCGAGGATCTGTTTCGTGTGGAAGACGGCGAGAGTAAGTCGTCCGTCACGGCGAGGGAGAGAGAAGGGAGACGACGCACCTCGTCCGGGTCGGCGTGCTCGCCGACGAGCCCCTTGACCTTCTTGGTCACCTCGTCGCGGATCTGGGTCGCCTTGCCCTTGGCGTACCAGTCGGCGACGGCGACGACGCCGCTCGAGCGCAGGGTCGGGACGACCTCGGCGCGCTTGTTGGTCGGGAAGAACGTGTCGAGCTCGGCGAGGCCGGCCTTGCGGAACGACGACAGGACGGGCTCGAGCGGCTCCTTGATGGCGACGAGCGTCTTGAAGAAGTTGACGAGGAACGGCTGGGCGATTCCTGCGTGGGCGGAAGAGAGTCAGGTCGTGCGCTTTGTCGAGGAGGGCAGGGCCGCGCGAGGACGAGACGAGAGGGAAGGGCGACCCTCACCATTCTTGACGTTCCAGTCGGTCCTGACGGCGCCGACGACGCTGGCCGGGACGAGGTCGGCCTGGACGAAGAGGGCGGTCGCGGCGGCGAGGCGCTCCTGCTCGACGGGCGCAAACTTGCCGGCGTAGCCCAACACCTGCTTGAGGTAGTTCTCGCTGAACTCGTGCTGGAGGTACTTGTAGCGGCGCATGAGACGCTCAAAGACGGCCGTCGCCTTCTTCATCTCGGCGAGGTCGACCTTGTCGCTGTCGCCGCCGGTCGTCGCGATGCTGAACGTGCACCGCTCGACGCCGTCCTCGACGATGCTGCCGCCCGGGGCGAGCACGGCGCCGACGAGCAGGATCTGGAACAGCTGCTCCTCATACTTGCGGTAGTCGAGCTGCGACGCGAGCGCGTCGAGCTTGGCCGAGATCGAGTCGTAGTCGGACGGCGGGCACGACGCGAGGTGGTGCACGAGCTGGTCGCGGAACTGGAACGGCTCGAACTTGGCGGCGGCCTTGGCCTGGCCCTTCCTGCACGGCGGCAGACGCAGGTAGAGGTCGGATTGGTGGAGAGGGAGGGAAGGGGAGGAGGAGGAGGGAGGGAACAGAGTCAGCTGCTGGCGTGCGCAACGGCGGCCCGATAGGCTTGATGGAGCACGACGACGACCGTGCGTGCCCGTGTCGCGCTCGCGGTGCCGCTGAGCCGTCTGCTCAAGTCGAGCAGGCGGGGCACGCGACCGGACCCCGGCTTTGCCGACAAGACGAGAGAGAAGAAGGGGGAGGCGCACCTCTGCTTTATGTGGACACCCTGTAGGCTAGGCTTGGTACCTGCGCGGCGGCTCGAGTCAGTAGGAGGGCGAGGCTGATGATGAGGGAGGTCGACGACGACGAACCGGCAGGGGGGAGGACAGGGGCGGAGTACTGCGCGGCGAGAGGGTTAGCCGAGGTGCTGGAGTGCAGAGAGAGCGAGCTGTGCTCACCATGCAAAGGCTGCGGCTGGACTGAGCGGTAGTGGATGGTGGTGGAGGAGGGAGGCGACGCGAGGAGCGACTCGTATTCAAGCCAGCTTCCATTCGAAAGTTGCTATTCGGCCTTACAAACTCGCTAACTCGCTCTCTCCTCGACTGCGGGCTCTTGCGCCTCGAGGGACCGAGTCGGTGCACTGCAGGAGAGCGCGCAAAGAGACTCTCTGCGGCGAGCGAGCTAGGCTCTGGAGGTTGAGAAAGTCGACTCGACGACGCTCAGACCGACTCGACGACAGGCTGCATTTCTAGTGCTACAGCGAGAGAGAGATAGAGAAACGACCGACCGACCGACCGACCCTACTCGTCGTCCTTCTTGCACGCGCCCTCAAAGTCGCTGAACTCCTCGGAGCGCTGGCGGACAAAGTTCTCAAAGTCGGCGAGGCGGCACGTGCCGCCGGGCCCGTCGTGGCAGCTCGGGAGCGGCTGCGGCGCGCCGTTGACGAGCACGCGCACGTAGTCCTTGCGCGGGTGCGTCGGGCGCGGGCGGTCCTTGCCGTGGTCGTTGCCGAACGAGGGAACGAGCGTGCGCCAGAAGCTGTTCGACGACGACGACGACGACGACAACGACGGCGCCATGACCTGGTCCTCGTCGGCCTCGCAGTGCAGGCGCTCGATGGTGATGTGGCCGAGGAAGGGCAGGAGGTGGCTCGTCTTCCACAGGCGGTCCTTGGGCATCATCGTGTCGGGGAGGTCCTCGGTCGACGTGTTCCACAGGCCGAGCGCCGTGAGCGCGACAGGCGGCTCCTCGCGGTGCGTGAAGTAGACGTAGAGGAGCTGGGTGTGGGTCGCGTCGGGCGGGTTCGAGGGAGGAGGGAGCTTGGGCTTGCTGCCGGTGACGAACGACGACAGGCGCGAGACGAGCGACGGCGAGGCCGGCATCGTCACGTTCGGGTGCGGGTCGGGCGCATAGGCGGCGAGGAGGTTGTGCGTCGAGATGTTGAGCCACTGGACGCCGAGGTAGGGCGCCGTGGGCGCGCCGTAGCCGACCTTTTTGAAGGGGGGAAAGGCAAAAGAGTCAGGCAACGCTCCACAGGACACCGCGAACGACGAGCTCGAGGATAGAAGAGGGGACGCACCATGTAGTGATACAGAAGGTCCTGGTGGTACCCGAACGCGCGGAACTCCTCTGGGCTGAACAGGTCGGCGCTGCAGAACGGCGACGACGGCGTCTTGGCGCCCGAGATGACGGTCTCGTAGCCGCACAGCATGAACATGGCGATGACGTCGTTGAGCTCAAAGTTCCACCCGGGCGCGTGCGCGTTGAGGCGGTCGAGGACGGCCGGGCCCCACGTCTCGAGCCACTGCTGGGCGTGCGGCTTGCCCGACTCCTTGGTGAAGGCGTCGCAGATCTTCTGCTCGTCGACGAGGACAATCAGAGGGCGTTCGTGCGGCGTGCGAGGCAGAGAGAGAGAGAGGCAGGGACGTACGTGAGGCGTGAGCGAGTGGGCCCAGTCGGGGTCCTACACGAGAGAGGGGGAACGAGCGCAGCGTCAGTCGCGTTTCCTTCCCTCGAGGCAAGGGGGACTGAGAGAAAGAGGGACGCACCTTGTTCTTGACGGCAACGAGCTGGATAAACTTGCCGTCGCCCTCGCCGCCGCCGTTGCCGTGGCCCGCCTGCCAGTGCGGGAACGCGCCCTGGACGAACGACTTGCTCGACTCGACGTCGCGCTCCGAGCTCGCGCTCCACACCTTGAACGGCGTCTTGACCTTCTTGCCCTTGTGGTGCTTCTTGCCGCCGTTCTTGAGCCAGCTCGACAGGTCGCCCTTGCGCTTGCCGAGGTGCTCGGGCGGCATGAGGTCGCCGTACAGCTTGCGGAACCGGCGCCCGAGCTCGCGCGCGTCGTCCTTGCCCGACGGCGTAATGTCCTCGAGGTTGGTCTCGTTGACGAGGCTGCGCCAGTCCTTGAGGAACTTGAGCGGCGACTGGTCGAGGACGGGCACGCCGCGCTCCTGGGCCGAGTAGACGCGCGCGATGAACGGCTCCATGTAGTCGGCGTACTCGTCGTCGTTGGCGTAGATGGACGAGTGCCGCACGAGGAACGCGGCGGCGGCGACCGTGCACTGCGGCGGCGGCGAGACGTCGGCGTTCGGAGCGTCATGGTACGGCGCGATCCTGCGAGCGAAGGAAGCAAGGTGAGCGCCGCTCTCGTCGCCTCGAGCGTAGAGAGACGTGGGCGCACCCACTCATGTGGTCCAACGGGTTGAACTTGTGGTCTGCGCGGGTGAGGACGAGGAGGGTCAGCGCACCGACGTCAACGAGGGGAATGACGAGAGACGTCACGCACGAGGGATCTTGGGGAGCTCATTGATGGACGGGAGCGTGTCTGCAGAGTGTACCGGTGTCAGCCTGGTGCACGATCGCAGCGAGCGGCCGCGGGACGAGGAGGAACGAGATGAGGGACGGACCGGCGGTGCCAAAGACGACCTGCTGGACGGGCGAGGCGCCTGCCGCGGCGGCGAGAGCCAGCAAGCTGACGGCGAGCATGGTAGCGAGCGTAGTGGAGGAAAAGAGCGAAAGCCACGGCCACCGCTCCCCACAATGATGCTCGAGCGTCAGACATGCGGAGCGCGCAGTCAAAGTCCGCTCATGTCCACGGCCTTTGCTGTCGATGCAGCTCTATCTCGTTGCAAGCTCGAAGCTCTCTGTCTACAGTGCGACTCGACGCTCTATGCCGAACCGTCGAGACCCTCCTCCTCGTCGAGCGTCTTGATCCGCAGCGTGACCGACTCGGGGCTCGCGCGCACGACCTCGACCCTGTGCGACAAGGCGACGGCGAGTCAGTGCGTGCGTCACTTTCTCGAACGTCAATCGCGCAGGAGCCGTCGAGTCGCGACGACCCTGGCGAGCGCGACAAGGAGGAGAGGGAGGCGGACGCACCTCGTCAAGTCGACCGTCTTGACCGTCGCGTCGAACGTCCTGAAGCGCGCCATCGGCTGGCCGGTCGACACGCCGAGCGTCTTGCACCCGGCATCGAGGCCCGACTTGAGGCCCGACGGCGCGTCCTCGACGACGAGGATGTCGGACGGCGAGAAGGCGAACGAGGGCCCGCCGAGCTTGCGCAGCTCTGCAGGCGACGGGGCGAGGGCGAGTTCAGCGCTCCGAGGAGCGAGATACGGACGAGAGAGGGAGAGAGCGCGGGCGCACCGTCCATGCCGCGCAGGTAAGGCTCAGGGTGAGGCTTGCCGTGCTCGCAAACGTCGCCCGTGATGAGGAACGGCAAGTTGGGCGGCGTCGAGCCGATCTCGGACGTCTTGAGCGCCGCATCGGCGTACAGTCGAGTCGCTGTGGGCGTGGAAAAGCTCGTCAGGGGCCGTGCGAGAGAGAGAGAGGAAGGAGAAAGAGCGCGAGTTGCTCGAGGACGCACCGCTCGTGCAGATGCCCCACCGTGCGCCGCCCTGCCTCAATGCGTCAAGCAGCTTGGTGACGCCCGGCAACCGCTCGATGCCCTGGCCGCCAGCCTCGTGCAGTCGACGCCCGGTGTCGGCAATCTCGAGCTCGAGCTGACGGACCGCCTCGGCGAGCTCCTCCTCGTTGAGCGTGTGGCCGGGCACAGGGACCGTCTGGAAGCGCTTGATGTTGTCCTGGGTGCGAACGCCTGACGAGAAGGGGTGTCAGCGCACGGTTGTTCGACGAGGAGGGGTGAGCGCTTCGAGGGGGTGGGAGAGGACGGGCGGGCGGGACGGACCGTGCGAGTGCTGGAAGAACTCGGAGGGCTGCATGCCCTGGCGCTGGCACCAGTCGCCGAGGGCCTTCTCGACCTGGGCAGGGATGGCAATTGCCCGGTGAGCGCACGTGCGGAGGAGAGAGTGGGCCGAGGGGGAAGGGGAGGGAGGGGCGCACGGCTGGGGTCGAGTCGACGAGGGTGCCGTCCCTGCATGGATGGACCTGGTCAGCTGGGTGGCTCGTGCGAGTGCCGAGCGAGGTGGAGTTTGGCCGGCTCGTGGAGGAGGAGGAGGGCGGCGAGGGAGGACAGGGAGCGAGGGACGTACATGTCGAACAGGAGGCCCTTGACGGTGATCTCGACGGGCATGCTGGGCTGGTCTGGCTCGTGCGAGTGGGAGAGCAGCTGGGTGATCGGAGGTCGACCAACGACGACGAGCCGAGCCCGAACCCTCTCGCGCCTCTCACACCCTCGCACCCGCACCAGGTCGAGCTGTGCAGCTGCCAGCGCACCCACAGAGCTCCCACTGAGCAGCCTTGTGCACCACCGCGACCCCTCGACTCGACCTCACCTCGCACACTCGTCGACCATCTCATCAGCTCGATGGGACCTCCACACCCTCTCTCGCGCTCCACATCGCCCATGAGCACCGCCAGCTCTTTCGAGGACCTCTCGACACCCGTCTCGGAGGCCGGCATCCCCTCGGCGCACCTCAAGGCCGCCAACTCACCCTCCCGACCCGCCAAGGCCGGCCTGCCGCCTCCTCAAGTCGCCGTCGGCACCCGCGACGACGCCTACTACCGCTCGCTCCTCCCAAGCACACGGTTCTTAGTCCGCCAAAAGCTCGTCGCCAGCTTAGAGCGCGAGATGAGCATCCTCGAGGGCCTCCAGGTGCGTTCGCTCCCTCCTCCCTGTCTCCTCTCCTCGGGCCCTCCTTCGTCGAGCGTCGAGGCTGACCCAAGGCGAGCCACACAGACCAGGTGGCGCACACCGGGTCGCGACGAGTACTTTGTCAAGACGAGCCTGCTCGGGACGCACACGTGAGTCGCGCCTACCGTCGCTCCCTCGAGGTCGTCTTGCGACAGCTCGTGGGTGCACGATGCATATGCAGGCTCATTCCCGACGCTCCTGCAGGTTCTTCATGGTGTTCCTCCCGTTGTGGTTCTGGTTCGGGTACCGGGACGTTGGCCGAGGGTGCGTCCGGCGCTTTCACCTCTTCCCTCGACTCGTGCCCTGACTGTCTTTCCCTCTGCAGGCTCCTCTACGTTCTCGCAGCAGGTGCGCACCACTCCTCTCTCTCCCCGTCGACTGCGAGCTGATGACCTCTTGCCTGCGCAGGTGGCTACGCGACGTCTGTCCTCAAGGACGCCTTCTCGGTCCCTCGCCCCTACTCGCCGCCCGTCGTGCGCCTCTCGGTCGGCTCGCACGCGCTCGAGTACGGCTTCCCCTCGACTCACTCGTCCAACGCGTGCTCGATGGCCCTCTTTGCCGGCGAGACGCTCCTCAACAAGTTCGAGCTCGGCGTCGGGGCAAAGCTCGTCGCGGTCGTCGGCCTCGCCGGGTTCGCGTGGAGCGTCACGTTCGGGCGGCTGTACACGGGCATGGTGCGTCTCGCGTCCTCCTTTTGCGCGCGCATCGTGGCCCGGTCACCGCGCGCTCTCGCTCACTCGAACTCAACGTGGCGCGCAGCACTCGATCATGGACGTTACGGTCGGGTCGACTATCGGTGCCGTCATCTGGCTCGCCTACTTCTTCCTCGCCGACTCGATCAACGCGGCGACGCTCGGCTCTCGGTGGCTCGGCACGACCGTCATCGTCCCGACCCTCCTCTTCCTCGTCACGGTTCACCCCGAGGTGCGTCTCGCGCTCGCCCTCTCCTCTCTGCCTCTCCCCAGCACACTCACCTGACCGTCATGTCGCTCCACAGCCCGCAGAAGAGTGCCCCTGCTTCGAGGACGCCGTCGCGTTCCTCTCGGTCGTCGCCGGCGCCGCCCTCGGCGAGGCCTGGTCGCCCGCCGTCTTCCCGACGCACTCGTACGGCTTCGCGTGGCGCTCAGCGACCGAGGTGGGCCTGTGGGCGGGAGCGGTCGGCGTCAAGCTCGTTACTGGTGCGTCCGGCCTTCTTCACTTCGAGCCTCATGGCCGACAAGGCCCTAGCGTCCTCGTACCTGACGAGTGCCGGCACGCAGGCATCTCGGCCATCCTCGTGTGGCGCATCATCGCCAAGCAGGCGTGTCACGTCGCCCTGCCGCCCCTGTTCCGCCTCTTTGCACCCCTCATCGAGCTCCCGAGGCGGCACTACGTCCCGGCGTCCGAGTGTGCGTCCCCTCTCCCTTCCTCTCACGAGCCCTCCCCCAACTGGCCCTGACGCGCCTTACACATATACAGACGACGCGTACCCGGCCAACGAGCACCTGAACCCGGTCCCGTCCATCCTCGACCTCCCCTCGCTCGTCGACGACTCGGCCGTCTCGGCCTCGGCCTCTGCGTCCCTGCGCGCCTCGTCCCGCCTCAAGCTCGGCCCCACCTTGCGCCAACGCGCGCTCGCCGCGTCCCTCACGCCGCCCGGGTCGCCCACGACCGCGACCGCGCTGCCGCCGCCGCACGTCAGCTCCGGGTCGGCCTCGTCGCCGCACCGCCAGAGCGCTGACGGGCCGGGCGCCAAGCCGGGCGAGGAGCACAAGGACGCCGACGTGCTCACCAAGGTGACGGTCTACATGGGCATCGGCTGGATCGCGACGATTGGCCTGCCGTGGGCGTTCGCGAGGGCGGGACTGTCGGTCTGGGGCGAGGCGCTCTGAGCGTCGTCGTCGATACGGGACGTAGCTGTCTTTATTCTAGCCTAATACGCAGCACGTGCCGTCTCTTGCGCTGCCTGTGCCGGCTAGGAGAGCCGTGTCGGTCGAGGAGAAAGTGGCTCGGGCCCTCTCGCTCGCGACCTCGCAGTCTCTCTGGCTCTGGCTCTCGCGCTCAGCACTTGGCACGCCTGGAACGCCTCGTTGAGAGCGAATGAGAGAAGCGAGGTCTTCATGGCTTCCCTGGACACGCAGCACGGCGCGAAGAGAGGACGGACGAGCTGGCCTTCTCAAGCTCGAGGGAGCACAGGGAGCTCTCGACGGCGGTGTATGAGCCCCACGCATGCTCTCGGTGAGAAAGAGAGATGGACTGAAGGCAGAGCACCGGCTTTGCAAGAAGGAAAGGAGGGGGAAATGCGACCAAAGGAGAAGAGGCTCTACAACACCTGCGCGCCACACCTGCGCGCACCCGCCACCGCACCGGACCCGATTGCTCGTCCGACTCGTCCCGCACAATCGTCGCACGCAAGAGAGGTCGACACGCTCAGGCCGCGAACGTCGGGAAGCAGTCCTTGAGCTGCTTCGAGTGCTTCGAGTCGGCGTGCTGCTGCAAGCTGTGAACGCGAGGGAGCGGGTCAGTGCGGGGCTCGTGACAGCGAGAAGGTGTCGAAGAACGTCTAAGGACGTACTCGGGCGCCTGCACGGGTAGGGAGAGGGTCAGTCTGCGGTTCTCGAAGACGAGGAGTAGGGGGACGACCGCACCTTGGTCGTGACGAAGAACGACTGCCTGCAGATGGTGCAAATGATGTTCATCTGCGCCGCGTTCCTGCGATCATGGAAAGGCAGTGAGCTGGGTGGCCCTGGTGCGGCGTACAGCCAGAGGAGAGGGACAGAGAGGAGGACGCACGCCGCCTTCTGCGAGGTCGGGCCCTTCTTGGCCTCCTTGGCGTTGCGCTCGCGCTTCTGCTGTGCCTTTGCGCCGTTGCCCTGCGCGGAGAGGAATGCTGTCAGAGGTGTGCTCGTCCGGAGGAGGAGTTGCGACGGGCTGCGGGGAGGAGGGGAGCGAGATGAGGTGGCCCTCCCGCTGTAGACGCTGGACGACTGCTCGCCTGCCGTGCTGTACCTCCCTGCTGCGCCCTTGTACCGCCTGCTCGCCCGCCTGCTGCGTCGGCGAGGGGGAGTCGAGCGATCGACTGGTCGAGGGAGAGCGCGTCGACGACGGCGACGACGACAGTGGAACGCGAGTGCTCACCATGGTAGCTCTTGAAAAGTGTCTGGAAGGAGGGTGTGGGGCTGGAACGGCTGCCTGGCGGTGCGAGAGCGGAGGACGAGGACAACGAGCGAGAGCCTCCTCCTCACCGCGTCTGTCGAACCTCACTCTCTCTCTATCCGTGCCTCGCTGTGCCTGTTGTACTGCTACAGCCTCTGTGTCGACCCTCCGACTACTCTCGACCCGCCTCGTCCTGCCGATCACTCGCTCGTCGTCCACTCGTCCACCGCCACCTCGTCCCGAACTCGACCTCGCTTCCCTGCGCACGGCAACGATGCGGTCCGGCATGCCCAAGCTCGGCGAGATTCGCGTACCAGGGCTCATCAGCGGCGCCCATCCGCCAGCACCTTTCATGCCCTTGGTCAAGAGCGTCGAGCTCCTCGTCGACTTCCTCCGCAACGGCCACGGCCGCACCACGTTGTTGACCGGCGCCGGCATCAGCGTCGACAGCGGCATCAGGGTCCGTCCCCTCCTCTCGTTCGCGTGGCCGCAGGAGCCGACTCGAGCGACTGCACCGCCCCCCTCGACCGTCCACTGACCTCTCTCCCTGCCCGCGCAAACAGGCATATCGCGGCCCAGGCGGCTCTTACACGATCCGCAAGCATCGCCCAATCTTCTACGGCGAGTTCATCAACGACGAGAAGATGCGGCAGCGGTACTGGGCCCGCTCGTACCTCGGTGCGTCCCCTCTCGCCCGCTTCTTTCTCTCTTCCTGTACAGCACGAGCTCACCTGTCCTTGCCTCCCGCACGCAGGCTATCCTCCAGTGCGACGAGCAGAGAGCAACCCGACGCACTACGCCATGGCTGCGCTACAGAAAATGGGCTACATCTCGACCCTCATTACGGTCCGTCTCCCTCTCTCTTCGCTCCCTTTACCGGACGTCGACCTGACCCTCGCTCGACCCGACAGCAAAACGTCGACGGTCTGCATCATCGTGCTTACGCCGAGGACCTGTCGGCCTACCTCGCGCCGGCGCCCATCAAGCCCAAGGAAACGCCCGACGCGCCGCTCCCGACCCTCGACCCGTCCATCCTCGAGCTGCACGGCACGCTCCGCCACGCGCACTGCCTCTCGTGCCACACGCCGACCGGCCGCGACGCGTTCCAGGACCGCCTGAGCGAGCTCAACCCGGCGTGGCACGAGTTTCAGCGCGAGGTCGAGAGCGGCACGAGGGAGCACAAGCTCAACCCGGACGGCGACATCGAGCTCGGGCAGGGCGTCGACTATGCCGACTTCAAGGTGCCGGCGTGCGGCGAGTGTGGCGGGCCCATGAAGCCGGTACGTGCACTTTCTCCTTTCTCCCTCGAGGTGGTCCGGCCGTCGCCTTGTTCTTTCCGAGACTGACTCTCCTCTCTCTCTTTCTCGCAGCGCGTGATCTTCTTCGGCGAGTCGCTCGAGCCTCTCACTCGCCGCCTCTCGGAGCACCTCGTCTCGACCTCGTCGCAGCTCCTCGTCGCCGGCTCGTCGCTCGCCACCTTTTCCGCCTTCCGCCTCGTGCGCCAAGCCAAGGAGCAAGGCTCGCCCGTCGGCCTCATCAACATCGGCGAGAGCAGGGGGGACCCGCTCGTCGACTGGCGCGTCGGCTGGGAGGGCGGCGCCGGTGACGTGTTCCCGCTCGTCGTGCGCGAGCTCTTGCGCGACGAGAAGCAGCCACAGGTCAAGGCCGAGGTCGAGCGCATGTTGACGCTCGGCACGGTCAAGAAGGTGTTGCCGGGACCGCCGACGGGCTGAGTCGAGCTTTGTAGAAGGAGGGAAGGCCGCATAGATCTGCATCGCATCGTCGTCCTCATCTCTCGGTCGCGACGGTTCACAAAGCTCGAGAGGAACCATGCTGAATGACAATGCGTGTTCTACAGAATGCAGAGGGAGAGAGAGCGCGAAAGATGATTCAGACCCTGAGGCACCGCTCGGACCTCCTCGCGGCCCTCCACCGCTCGTCGTCAATCGTCGCTGCGTCCTCGAGCCCGACTCGCACGCCGAGGGGTCCAGCCACACCCACCTGCGAGCCCGACACGAGCCACTTGTCGGCGTCGTCGCCGAGCAGCTCGCGAACGACTGCGTGGCACTCGTCGAGCGAGGGCGGGATCGGGAAGTCGGCCTCGTCCACCTCACCCTCGTCGCCGTCAACCGCCCCGACCTCGCCGTCAAGTACCGCATCGCGCTTCCGCAGCCTCGACTGCACCTCCTCGTCCTCGCCCTCGTCCGCCGCCGCCGCTCCGTCCAGCTCGACCTCGTCGCCATCGTCCTCATCATCGTCAAGCGCCTCGTCGCCGCCGGCGAGGCCCTCGAACCCCTCGGCGTCGCTCTCGTCCTCGACGTGCTCGACCGGCACCGCCCAGTCTCCCGCCGTGCGGCCGTAGTCGACGTCGGCCCAGTTGCGCACCCGGCAGTCGTGGACCCGGTCGACGACGCTCCGCCTCGGCGGCAGGACGCGCAGCGGCGCATGGCCCGACGCTCGCGCCGCAAGAGCCGACAGGAGGACGGGGTGGCACATCGGGTGGACGGGCGGAGCGTCGGCGGGGAGGGACGAGAGGAGCGAGGCGAGCTCGTCGAGGTGCGAGCGCGGGGTGAGGAGCACGCGAGGGCGGAGGTGGTGCCACGAGGCGACGCCGACGAGCGCGTCCGGCTCGGAGAAAGAGTCGAACGTGTCGGGCGACGTGTCGAGAGGTGCCGAGAACTCGCCGCCCTCGGGCCCGTCGTCCGTCTCGGTGAACATGCCGAGGAGCCGAGTTGGGTGGTCGAGGTGGAAGGTGAGGAGGGCGGTAATGGCCGGCTGCAGGTCGAGAGAACAAGAGTCAGGAAGCTCCTCGAGAGGAACGCGGCGGAGAGAGAGCATCAGGCGACGCACCTTGTCGAGGAGAACGCTGTCGCTCAGGATCAAGACGCGCTCGCCCTTGACGACCGACGCGAGCTGCGACATGCCGGACCCGATCGGCGGCTTGACGACCGGTACGTCGTCGCCGTACACGCCCTCGGGGCTGTCGACGCTCGCAACGACCACCTCGCCGACGAGAGGCTCGAGCTCGGGCGACTGGACGACGTCGAGCACCGTGGGCGCCCAGGCGATGCGGCCCTGCGTCTCGAGGACGATGACCGAGAGCTTGAACTCGGCGGCGGGCGTCGCAGGAAGATGGCGCTGGAGCGGGTGCTCCATCGTCGGGACGAGGTCGAGCCACTTGAGGCGCAGACGGGTCGCGAGGCGAGTCAAGGTCGCCCACTTGCCGCACCGCGTGTCGCTGCTCCAGGTCGACAGGTCGAGGTGCGACGAGTGGAAGAGGAACCCGACGCCGTCGAGAGGCGACCGCGGGAGGATCTTGTGGCGGAACGTGCGCTCCTGCTCGCGCGAGCTCGTGTTGGACCGAAACAGGACGAGCTGGTCTCGCGCGTCGACCTCGGCCATGAGGAGCGAGAGCGACTCGGGAGCGACAAACAGGGCCGAGTCGTCAAGGTAGGTGACCCAGCCGCCGTCGTCTCGCGCGAACGCCTCGAGGTCGCGCACGACGAGCGCGTTGCGGTCGGGCAGGGCGCAGACGCAGTCAAAGTAGGCCCGACGCTCGATCGCGCCGGTCGGCGGTGACGAGCAGGCCTCGCCTCGAGCGGCGAGCGACCCGCACTTGGCGCACAGGGCGCCGTACTCGTCGGCCGGGTCGGCGAGCAGGGCGAGCTCGTCTCGCTGGAACGACGGCGATGGGACGTCGACCTCGCCGGCACGGTAGGCGATGGCCTGCGACAGGGCCGGGTACATCTGCGCCTCGAGCGAGTCGACCTGGTCGGCCGCGAACGTCTCGGTGAGGATGCGCGACAGGACGATGACGTTCTGGCCGTACTCGGTCCCGACTCGCTGCGTCGTGCACGAGTGGGTCTGCCGAGGGCAGTCGAGCGAGTGCTCGATCTCGATCGACGACGAGTTGGGCGCGCCCGGGGCCGAGTACGACAGGTCGGGCACGGGAGGAACGACTGCGTCGGGCTCGGCGTCGAGGAAGTGGTGAAAGAGGACGTTGTACGGCTCCTTGTTCCTCGCCGCGATGCCGTGCGACCTGCAGAGAGACGGAGATTCAGTCTCGAGTCGGTGGAAGGAAGAGAGGAAGGAGGGGAGGAAGGAGGAGGAGAGGAAGGAGGGGAGGAAGGAGGAGGAGAGGAAGCCGGGACGGACCAGTGATGGGCGATGGCGACGGGTTGAGCGCCGCACATGACCTCGCGCCGTGCGCCGAACCACTGGTAGTTGCACCCGCACGGCAGGAGCTCGAGCTCATCCGGGTGGAGGCGAAAGTACGAGTTGACAAAGTCCTGCTCGCCCCACTTGGCGACGACGTTGCCCATCATGCGGTAGTGGTGCACGACCGACTGGACGTAGCGCTCGACGAACCCGACCTCGCGCATCTTGGCGAGCTCGAACAGGGCGACGCCGCCGTTGACCTGGACCGTCTCGAGCTCGCCCTCGTGGGCGCACGACGCCGGCTCGACGCCGGCGACGGCGCGCGAGGGCACGTTGCCGCACACGAGCCCGGGCGGGACGCGCATGTGCAGGCCGATCGGCCAACACAGGTCGGGCGTGCGCTGGCACACGTCGCCCATGTCGACGCCCATCGAGACGAGCGCGCCGGGTCGAGCGACGGGCTCGCCGTAGCACGCGGCGAGGTCCGACACGACCGTGACGTCCGTGTCGAGGTACAGGACGCGCTCGGCGATGGTGATGATCTCGGTGAGGAACATCTTGCAGTGCGCCGACGTGTGGATGTCCGGGTTCGAGAAGGCGAGGACCTTGCGAACGACAAAGCCGCACAGGGCGTGGTCGTAGGTGCGCACCGTCGTGCCGGCGCCGTTGAACTCCTTCTCGAGCGTGTGGTGGAGCTCGGGAGGCGCGACGAGGTGAAAGACGAGGTCGCGCGAGGTCGTAAAGTGCCGCACGGACCGCATGACCGACTGGACGTGCTCGAGGCGGTGGCGGTCAAAGATGAGGGCCACGTTGAACACCTTGTCGTCGGTCGTCGCCGCCTGCTGGACCGGCTCGGACGGCGTGTAGTGCAGCTCGCCGTCGGGCAAGAGCGGGAACGAGTCGTTGGCGCGCTTGGCGACGGCGGCATGCTCGGCCGCCTTGCGCGCCTCGGCCTGCTTCCACATGGCGGCGCGAGCGAGGCCCGACCAGCCCATCTTCTCGGGCGAGACGGGCGTCAGGCGCAGGGTGACCTCGACTCGGTCGCACTCGTCCGACTCGAGCGGGTCGCTGACGAGCGACAAGGTCGAGCCGACTCGGAGCGACGTCTCGCCGGCAAACTCGGCAAAGCCGTCGTCCATCGTCTGCCACTCGTGCAGGACCTCGGGCACCTCGCCGCGGCTGCGCACGAGGACGAGCGACAGGCGGGTCCCGTCGCCGCACTCGTGGAACGACCGGTACGACGCCTCCACGGCGACGTGCATCGCCTTGGGCGAGCGGAACGTGCGCACCGCCGCGACGCCGGTGCCCTCGGGCGTCACGAACGGGAGCTGGTTGGCGTCGTCGATGAACGGGCGGCGAGGGTGCTCGCGGTCCATGATGAACGACGAGTCGTCGACGATGCCGTGGCGCTCGGGCGACAGGAGGAGCTCCTCGGACGGCCCGGCCGGCTCGAACGAGTAGGTCCACCCGCCCCAGCCCTGGCTGAGCTGAAAGTCGCGGCGCGAGTCGGCGAATGGCGGGACGAGATGCTCGCGCGTGACGATGCTCTTGAGGAACTGGACGGCCGGCGCGAGGTTGAGCGACTGGATCCGAGGGTCGTTGAGGATCGGGACGGTCGCGTGGAAGTGTGCGTCCCACGGGTCCATCGTCCATTTCTGCAGGAAAGGGAGAAGGTCAGGCCGTCGCTCGCTCGCTCGCAGTCACTGAGAGGCAGGGGGACGGACCATGCTCGCCCTCGCCGGGTCGCTCCTCGCAAAGATGAGCTCCTCGGGCACGACGAGGTGCTTCTCGCCCTCCTCGAGCGCGAGCCGCGTGTAGAACTCCCAGTCCTCGCCGCCGACCTCGCGGTAGGTCGAGAAGCCGCCGACGCGGTCGAACGTCTCACGCGCGACGAACACGTTGCCGCTGCCGTACGCGTTCGACAGGAGGCCCGCGCTCAGCTCCTGGCCGAGGAACCAGTAGGTGCGACGGTGCGGCAGGTCGACGCCCTCGGGCCGGGGCGCGAGCGGGTCGGCGTCGCTCGCGAACTCGTCGAGCCAGGTCGAGAGGGCCCGTGCGCCCGTGCGCTGTGCGACCGACAGGAGCGTCGCGAGCGCGTGCGGCTTGAGGACGTCGTCGTCGTCGAGGAAGAGGAGCCATCGGCCGCGGGCCGACGACGCGGCGACGTTGCGCGCCTCGCCGAGGTACGAGTTGGCGATCTGGCGGAAGGACCATGACGGACGGCCGGCGAGGAGGGTCGAGTTGGCGATGTACCGAGACGTGAGGTCGGTGAGGGCGGCGAGCGTCTCGGGCGAGGTCGAGCCGTCGTCGACGAGGACGACCTCGAACTGGGCGAACGTCTGGTGGACGAGCGAGTCGAGGAGCTGGGGGAGGAGGTGCGGCCGCTCGTAGTGCGTGACGCAGATGGTGACGAGCGGCTCGAGAGGGTCGGCGGCCGACACGAGGTCCAACGACGAGGCGCTCGGGCCGACCTCGGCCGGGCGATCGACGATCCAGTGGTGGAAGGCGACCCAGTCGCTCGCCGCCGTCTGCGTCTCGGGCGCGGGCCGCACCGACGTCCACGGTGCCGTCTCGAGCCGCTCGAGCGTCTCGCGGAGCTTGGCCGAGAAGGCCTTGACGAGCGGCGCGAACACGACCTGGTCGCGGTCGGCCGGGTGGATGAGCTCGGGGATGCCGCCGATGCTGCTCGAGATGAAGCGCACGCCGTGCGCGATGCACTCGAGGACGGTGCTCGGCGAGTTGTCGGCGAGCGAGGGGAGGACGGCGAGGCGCGACGAGTTCTGCAGGTACGCGAGCGCCTCGTCGCGGTCCATCGTGCTGAGGAACTGGTGCGAGAACGTCGCGTTCGTGTACTGCTTGATGGCGTCGAGCGCGCCGGCGAGGAGCCAGCTCGCCTCGCTGCGCGTCTTGAGGTCCTGCTGGTCGCGGCCGAGGAACGTGATGTGGCGGACGGCGGCGAGTGCGGGCGGGACCGGGTCGAGCGAGTACAGGTTCTCGAGGGCGGCGATGAGGAGGCGGGTCCCCTTGCGCTCCTCGAGCCGGCCGAAGAAGACGAGCTCGGTGACGGGCCCGACCGCGCCGCTCGCCGACACGGCGCTGGAGCGGTCGCCGTTCGACAGGGCAGGGACCTGGACGACGTTCGGGATGACGAACGAGTCGTGCGGGACGGCCCACCCTCGTTGGCGCACGTACTCGAGCATGTAGTCGCTCGGCGCGACGACGGCGTCGGCCCACTCGGCCGTGCGGCGCTCAAAGACGCCGAGCTCGACAGCGTACTTGTCGACCGGGTACCGCTTGTTGAGCATGGCGGCCCACTCGACGTCTGCGCCGTGCAGGCCGACGACGATGCGGCTGTCGACGAGCGCGAGGCCCTCGTGCTTGGCGAGCGCCGAGAAGTAGCCGATGCCGGTGTTGTCGGGGAAGTGGACGACGTCCCACTCGCCGTCGTGCGCGCGCAGGTACCGCCAGACTCGCATCGAGGCGACGGGCGTCCAGGCCTGGGGCCAGAACGGCTGCGGCTCCTTGTCGACGAACAGGAGGCGGATGCGCTTGTCGGCGAGCCTGCAGGAGCACGAGTTGGTGAGCTCGACTCGTCGCGCGAGGACAGGGAACGGTGAAAAGGGACGCACTCGGCGGTGAGGGCGTCGCGCTTCTTGTGCGGGAACGTGTCGGCGAGGTGGGCGACGAGGATGCTCGTCTCGAGGTCGGCGTCGGCGAGGGCGTGGGCGAGCTCGCGGAAGGCGGTGCCGATGCCGCCGTTCTTGTGCAGGCCCGACAGCTCGGACGTGACGATAAGGACCCTCGGCGGAGCTCGTGCGCGCGCCGGCTCGCCTTGGTGTCGCCGTGGTTGCGCTCGCGGCGAGTCGGGGTCGGCGGGCGAGGGCCATGGCAGTTGGCGCCTGGCTCGGGCGGGTCGCGGGTGGTTCTGGTAGCGGTGGAGGATCGAGCCCCACGCGTAGTCGACTGGCGGCGGTGCGAGCCTGGGCGACGCGGTGCTCGAGTCGAGGCGGAGCGAGATGGGGCTGCAGGCGCGGGACCAGCACAGGGCGGCGACGGCGGCGGCGATGACGACGTAGCGCAGTGCTCGTGCTGCCTTGCGCGGGAAGCGCATCGGCGCGCGTCTAAACGCACAGCGGGCGAGGCGGAACGAGGTTGAGCCAGGTGCGTCGTCCTCTTTGGAGATGAAGCCGACGCTCTCTCCCACGCTACTCGGCCCAGCTGCCAAGCCGCTCACCAGTACCTCGACAGCTGTACAAGGAACCTCACCCGCGCCGCTCGCCACCGGTCCTCGTCCTCGCCCTTCTCCTCATCTCGCTCCCCCCACTTCACCTCGCCCGCTCCCTCTCGATGCCCCGCCGCACGCAAGCACTCGTTGTCCAGCACGTCAGCGCACCAGCAGTACTCGCCGACATAGACCTCGCCGAGCCTCGACCAAACGAGGTCCTTGTGCGCATCACCGCCTGCGGACTGTGCGCTCTCGTCTCCTCCCTCTCGAGTCGTCGCCCTCGCCGCCGACTCGCCGAGCTGACTTTCCGCCTCCCGCGCAGCTGCCACACCGACCACCTCGTCCAGCACGGCGGCATCCCCTCGGCGTTCCCGTCCATTTTTGGCCACGAGGGCGCAGGCGAGGTCGAGGCGGTCGGGAGCGCCGTCAAGCGCGTCCAGAAGGGCGACAGCGTCCTCCTGTCGTACGCGACGTGCGGCGAGTGCCCTTACTGCACCGCCGACCGACCGGCAGGGTGTGCGCGCTTCTTCGAGAAGAACTTTGGGCGGGCGCGAGACGCCGCGGTCGGGGACGAGCCGGTCGCGAGGGCGGTCGAGACGGGCGAGCCGGTCTACGGTGCGTCCACCCTGGCCTCAAACCCTCCTCGACATCTACTGACCCTGTCCGTCGAGCCGTGCAGGGAGCTTCTTCGGCCAGTCGGCCTTTGCGCGACATGCCGTCGTCAGCGAGTCGAGCGTCGTCAAGGTCCCGCAGGGCACCGACCTCGTGCAACTCGCTCCGCTCGGGTGCGGCCTACAGAGCGGGTGAGTGCATCCGGGACCCTCTCCTTGTCCTCCCGGCGAACTCTCGAGCGGACACGGGCTCACCCTCTTGACCGTCCTTGCAGGGCCGGTGTCCTCCTCAACCAGCTCAAGCCGTCGCGAGAAGACTCGGTCATCATCTTTGGTCTGGGTGCCGTCGGCTTCGGCGCGTACGTGCTCTCCCCTCGTCGTCTCGCGATTCGCCAGCCCGGCGAGCCAGCCTGACACCCTCACTCCCTCTGCTGCAGGTTGTGGGCCGCCGCGCACCTCCAGCTCCGAACGATCATCGTCGTCGACCTCGTCTCGACCCGACTCGACCTCGCTCTCGCTCAAGGCGCGACGCACGCCTTCTCGGGCGCGTCGCCAACGCTCCTCGCCGACATCCGGGCCGCGACGAGCGGCATCGGCGCACGGTTCGCCATCGAGGCGACAGGCGTCGAGCGCGTCCTCAAGAGCGCTTGGGACGCCGTGTGCAACTTTGGTCACGTCGTGTCGGTCGGCAACCCGGGTCCGGGCGTCAAGGCGCCGTTCGAGTGCGTCGGGCTCCTTCTCTCTCCCTCTCTCGGTCCTCGGGAGCTAGACGAGGTGGGCCTCTCGAGCATGATTGACCGCCCCTTCCCGTTCACGCAGCATCAACGATCACGTGAACCAGTCCAAGACGTGGTCAGGCCTCGTCGAGGGCGCCTCGAACCCGCCGATCTTCATCCCGCAGCTCATGCAGTGCGTCCTCTCTCTCTCTCTTCCTCTCAGGATTCGTCGAGAGAGCAGACTCTCTCGTACTCACACTCTCATCGCACAGGCTGTACGAGCAGGGCGCCTTCCCCGTCGACACCATCTCGCGTGTGTACCCGGTCGAGCAGTACGAGGAGGCGCTCGCAGCCATGTGCGTCTCTCTTTCTCGCCCTCACTCCTTCATCAATGTCTCGTTGTCGTACTCACACTCTATGCCTCGGCCTGCAGGAAGAGTGGCGAGCTCATCAAGCCCATCATCACGTTCTGAGCGCCGGCCGCTTTGATGCCGAGCGTCGGCTACGACCTTGTCGACCTTTCTCTCTTCCCGTAGACCTCGCTGCAACCTAGAGCGTACAGCTGCCCTTCCTCGATGGGCACAGAGAGGGCGGCCGTCGAGCGAGGACCGAGCGGGCGAGAGACGAGTCGCATTTTTCCGCTTTCCCGCTCGGTCTGTCGGTCGTGCCGTAATCAGACTCAGCTCGCAGTACTTGCAGCCCAGTAGCATAGAGCCCCGAGCGAGTGCAAAAGCGCCTATCGTGGCAGCCGCCGCGAACCGCGGTGAGCGTCCCCACCCGTACGACGCTGCGCCCGCGGTCTACCTCGCGGATGCTCTCTGCTGCGCGCACTCTACTTCGACGACCTACTGCACTCGCCCCAGCACCTCGACTCGCCGCCCTATCCCTCCCTCGACCTCGACCTCTTCATCAGTTGCTCTCAACGAGATCCCTCTCGACCATGCCGACCTCGACCACGATCCAGCTCAACGGCAAGGAGGTCGCTGTGCCGACCGGTATCTTCCTCGACAACGAATGGGTGCGTCCCCTCACTGCCTGTGTGACCAGCGAGCCTCGACCTGATGACCCCCACTTCCTCCTCCCCTCCCCGCACCTCTCCCTCGTCACAGCGCGACGCCGCCGACTCGTCCACGTTCGAGGTCCTCAACCCGGCCAACGGCCAGCCGATCGCCACCGTCGCGCACGCCAAGCAGGCCGACGTCGACGCCGCCGTCGCCTCGTCCCGCAAGGCGTTCAAGTCGACTTGGGGCCTGCACGCCGGCCCCGAGGAGCGCGCGCGCCTGCTCAACAAGCTCGCCGACCTGATGGAGCGCGACATCCAGTTCCTTGCCGAGCTCGAGAGCCTGAACGGCGGCAAGGGCGTCCGCATTGCGCGCGACATGGACCTCGCCGACTCGATCGCGTGCCTCAGGTGCGCCCTCGCCTCGTTCCTCCTCCTTCCCTCTCGCACCAGACGACAGAAGCTGACTGGGTCGAGCGCGCAGGTACTACGCCGGCTGGGCGGGCAAGGTCGCGGGCGAGACGATCGAGACGAGCTCGACCAAGCTGGCCTACACCCTCCTCGAGCCTATCGGCGTTTGCGGCCAGATCATTCCTGTGCGTCCTCGCTCTCTGTTCGCGTGTCCAGGACTACTCCGACCGGGACTGACGCTGGCCTGCCCCACAGTGGAACTACCCGTGCGCCTCCTCGTCCTCCTCGTTCGTCTCGGCGAGCCCGTCTGACGAGTTTCTTTGCCCTGCCCTCTCGCAACAGCGTCATGATGTGGGCCTGGAAAATCGCTCCGGCCCTCGCCGCCGGCTGCACCATCGTCATGAAGCCGTCAGAGCTCACGCCGCTCACGGCGCTCGCCCTGTGCAACCTCATCGCCGAGGCGGGCTACCCGGCCGGCGTCGTCAACGTCGTTCCTGGCCTCGGCACGACGGCGGGAGCGGCTATCGCCGAGCACCTCAAGATCGACAAGGTGGCGTTCACGGGCTCGGTCGCGACGGGCAGGAGGATCATGGAGGCCGCGGCCAAGTCCAACCTCAAGAAGGTGCGCCCTCGCTCTCTCCCTTTCCTCCACCCACTCAGACAGGGGTCACTAACTCGTTGCGCCGACAGGTCACGCTCGAGCTCGGCGGCAAGTCGCCCTCGCTCGTCTTCCCGTCGGCCGACCTCGAGGAGGCGGCAAACTGGAGCGCGCTCGGCATCTTCTACAACTCGGGCCAGGACTGCACGGCCGGTTCGAGGATTCTCGTGCACGAGGTGAGCAGCCGCCTTCCTCTTCTCGCTCTCCCTCGTCGCCGCCATCGTCGAGCCGGACTGAACCGCTCGGACCCCTCTCGCAGGACGTGCACGACGCTTTCGTCGAGAAGTTCGCCGAGAAAGCACGAGCATGCGCCATTGGCAACGTGCGTCCCACTCTCTCGGCCTCTCTGTCGACCGCCCCTGACGCCTCGAGCCCGTCGTCGCACAGCCTCTCGACGAGTCGACCTCGTTCGGCCCGCTCATCAGCGGCCCGCAGCGCGACAAGGTCCTTGGCTACATCGCCGCCGGCACCGAGCAGGGCGCGACGATCGTCACGGGCGGCAAGAAGTGGCAGGAGGACAACGGCGGGTTCTACATCGAGCCCACGATCCTGACCGGGTGCAAGCCGGGCATGAAGGTCGTCGACGAGGAGGTGCGCCCGCTCTTTCTCTCTCTCCCTCTCTCTTCCATTCACCTCTCGACGTCGGACATTGACAACGACGAGCATCCTGCAGATCTTTGGCCCCGTGTGCTCCATCATCAAGTTCTCGTCCGAGGAGGAGGCGATCGAGATGGCCAACGACTCGATCTATGGCCTCGCTGCCGGGTGCTTTACCTGTGCGTGACTCTCTCTCCTCGTCACGGCGTCGCACGAGATACTGACCCGCTTCGCGCCCGCAGCCGACGCCAAGCAGGCGATGCGCGTCTCGAGGGGTCTGAGCGCGGGAACCGGTGCGCCCTCTCTCTCTCCTCTCGATCTCTCTTTCCTCGCGCCCTCGCCCTAAGCCTGACGTCTCTCTCCTTCCTCTCGCAGTGTGGGTCAACAACTACGGCCTCCTGTCGAACGCCGTCCCGTTCGGCGGCATGCGCCAGTCTGGCATCGGGCGCGAGCTCGGCCGGCAGGGCGTGTACGAGTACTGCTCGAGCAAGAGCGTGCTGCACAACATTGGCGAGGAGCTCAGTTGGCCGATCTAGAGCGCCGTCGGGCTTGGGAGGACGCGAGGAGGAGGCTGCGCCGCAGGAACGGCGTGGCGGGAGGAGCTCTCGAGGTAGGAAGGTCGGCAGTGCAACTCGGTCTATCGTTTCACGTCCCTCCTCCTCGCGCTACGAGTGTCTATGAGCACAGGAGAGCGCCTCGAGAGTCGCCCTAACGCGTTTACCGGCGGCGAGGCCCGTTGAGAAGCGTCCCGATCGAGCCGTACGGGCTGTCGCCAGGCAACGGCGGTAGAGCTTTGTCGCGGTGGCGCCGAGGTTTCTCGACGTTCACCTCTCTGGCTTGCCCTCGGAAGACCGGCTGCGCGAGGAGGGGCAAAAGCGTGAGTGCCGAGACACGCTGAGGGCGACGAAGGAGAGGAAGGACGGGCGAAACGCACCTTGTCAAGTGCTCGAACGCTCCCGACATGGGCATCACCCTGCGATACTGCCGAGGGCGCGTACGACCGGCCCGACAGGGTCGACCAGCGGTGGCCCTCTGCGCGCGGATCGCGGGTCCGTGCGGTCGTCTCGAGGCCCTGGCTCCGCTGCGAGGGGGGCGTGTACTCGGTGTCGAGGAACGGGTACGTTTGGCCCCGCTGCGAATGCTGGGACGCCGGGCGGAAGAGGACCGACGCGCGCAGTGGGGACAGCGGCGAGCCGGGAGGACCGAGATGCGGCGCCTCGCTCGGAACGACGGTGCCCTCGCCGCTCGACTCGCTCTGCGAGCCTGCAGTCGTCGTGCTCGACTTGCGACTGTCGTTGTCGTTTAGTCGGCGTGCGGCGTCGAGCTGTAACGGAGCCGGTCAGTCTCGGCTCGCCGTTCGAGAGAAGGCGAAGCAGAGACGTACCGAGTTGGCTTTGCTCGTTGGGCGACGGGCTTGAGGGTGATGAGCTGGGTCGACCTCGGCAGGCCCGCACTGTGAAAGAGACGAAAGAGTGAGCCCCTGTCGCAGGAAACATGCGAGGGCGAGCGGACGACGCACGAGGACAAAGCGCTCGAAGGCGCGGCCGTGCTCGCGCAGTCGCTTGCGGAAGGGCATCGTCGTGTGGCGCAGCGAATGCGGGTTGGCGAGATCTCAAGGAGCAGGCGCGAGACAAAGCACAAGCAGGTGGAGCGGCGCTGAGGACGCACCAAGGAGCGAGCGAGAACGGACCTCGGAAAGTCCGAGACGGACGCCAACGAGAGGACCGGGTCTCTGGGCTGCAGACCGACGCCGACAGCAGCTGAGCGAGACAGCGATCGAGCCGAACGAGAGGAGGACGGCCGAGAGGGAAGGCGAGAGGTTACAGCTCGACGAGGGTACAAAACGAGGAGGGGGAGGGTAACGACAACACTACGATGATCAGGCGAGGCGAGTAAAGGTTCTAGTCACGGTACGACAGGGGAGGAGAAGCGAGAGGGGGAGAGAAAAAGAGAGAGAGAGGGACGCCCCGGCCGCCGGTCACAGCACCTTCATCCTCTCGGCGAGTCCGAGCACCGCCTTGCCCGCCCACCCGCCTCGCGTCGCTCCGCTGCTCGGCGACGGCGGCGGGACCTGCATCGTCGCGTCGTGCGACGGCGTGACCTGGTCAGGCCCGGTCGCGCTGCGCTGCCGCACCATGCGCGGGCGGACGCCGCTGTGCGCCTGCGACGCCGGGTCGAACGGCGACAGGAGCGCGTCCGAGGGCGTCATGGGGAAGGCGTCGGACGACGGCGACGTCGAGGCGGCCAAGTGCGGCGAGGCGCTTGGCGACAGGCTCGACAGGTAGGCCGACTGGAGCGAGGGCGACGAGACAAAGTTGCGGTGCAGGGCGCGCGACGGGCCCAAGACGGGCGACGGGATGCGCGTCGTCGACACGCTGTCGTAGTAGCGGAAGTCGCCCTCGGTCGTCTCGTAGCTCGGAAGGTGCGACGGGCTGTCGCTCGACGGGAAGTTGCTGTCCTGGTACGGGCGCACGCCGATGGGCGAGGAAGCTCGCGGTGTGTGCGACTCATTGCGCGTGCGCTCAGACGTGCCGTACTGGGCAGGCGCATCGGCTGCACCCGCTTTGGCGAAAGCTGTGCGGCGAGAAGAGACGATCAGGGTCGAATTTGCCTGGTCGGCAAAAGGGAAAGTGAGGCGTACCGATGATGCCCTTGACCGTCGCCTCCCTGCATGACGTCAGGCTCGTGGTCAGTACAACGACGAGCTGGCTTGACGGCTGGGAAGGGCAGGAGGGCAGGACGCACCAGCCGATCGAGAGCGCCTCTCCCGCACCCCTCATGACGCCGACCTCGCGCTCAATCTCGACGAGGCCCTCGAGGAACATGCCGAGAGCGACGGCGACGCGTTGATGAATCGAGAAGCGCTCGTCGAGGTACAGGAGGAAGGCAAACAGGGTTCGGAGGAAGGCGAGGATGAGGCCGGGGAGCTGTGGAACCGGGCGGCGAGGTCAGCGCGGCTCGGGGGATGGACGTGTCCGGGCGAGTGAGGGGACGCACAGGGGACGCCTTGACTGCCTGCGCTGCCCCGACCGCTCCTGCGACGACCCGCTCTCTCCACTCGACCGCCGACGAGCTGGGCGCCGCCCGACCCCGGTCCTCGCGGTACGCCGGCCCGCTCAACAAGTGCTGCCGCTGCTGCTGAGCCCCCTCCATGGCCGCCAGGATCCAGCGCGGCACCTCGACGGCGACGGGCTCGCCGCAGGCCGTGCAGTTGGTCGAAAGGTGGAGGTCCAGGGCGGCGGCGGGTGGATGAGGCGCCTGGGGGTGGCGAGGCCTGCGGTCGAGCTCGAGTTGCTGCTGGTGGTCGTGCTGGTGCTGCTGGTGCTGCCCGGAGGCGCGGCGGGCGGTCGTCGAGGCGGAAGGAGGAGGCGGCCCAGGGTTATCGCGGGCGAAGAAGCTCGAGCCGGAGCTGCGCGAAGGAGTGGTGCGGGTGGACGAGGTGGGCGATAGGAAGAAGGCGAGTGCTGGCAGCATGGCGAGCGGCGACAGGGGCGAGCCCATGGTGGGCGAGGGTGTTGGAGGGAGCGGGCGGACGGCGATGAGGTCGGCGAGGGCGAACAGCGGTCGGTGAGCTCGCTCGAGGCGCTCGGGTGGTGCGCGCAGGGACAGTGCTGCCTGCAGGGCGAGGGGTGGTGCGGCACACAAGCGAGGACCAGCTCGACAGCCCAACAAGCTCACCTCGTCGTTTCACGCGCATTCCCTCGTCGCCTTTCCTGGAACGTGCGTGCTCGCTGATCTTTCGCAAGGTCGCCGACACTCTGTCGTCTCTGAGAAGGGCTCTCGCACGCTCTCGTACGCCTCGGACCGAGAAAGAAGACGACGGCAGAGGAAATGCGAGTTGCGAGCTCGGAGAGAGCGGTCTAGGCAGAGGGACGAGTGGGAAACTGACGACGACAGGTTCTATCTACAGTGTCAGGATTAAGGTAGAGACAAGAGGTGCGGGAGGTGCGACGAGATAGAAGAGGAAGGGCGGGAGGGAGGATCGAGCGGCTCACGACGCGCAGAACTGGGAGCGCTCGCGCAGGCGGTGCCCGAACTTGAACAGGCAGAAGAGCGGGATGATGAAGAGGATGTTGAGGCCCGCCAGGAGCGAACAGGCCGGGCCGACGCCGAGGTTGTGGAAGAAGAACGAGCCGAACAGGCTGCGGGCGGCGAGGTTGACAAGGTCAGGGCGGTCGCTCAAGACGGACTCGACGGTCGGCGAGTCGTCGTCGGGATGGGCGTCGACGAAGGGAAAGGGTGAGGGGAGAGAGAGAGAGAGAGAGAGAGAGAGGGAGGCGGAGGAGAAAGGACGAGGGGACGTACGGGAAGCCTGCGGCCATGCTCGAGCGGAAGAGGTCGTTCGAGGCCAAGACGGACGCCGCCTTGTCCTGGTAGATGAGCTGCAGGTACAGGAGGATGCACTGGAAGGCGCAGTAGATGCCGCTGCGACGAGGAAGGGAGAGAGAGGGTCAGTGCGAGACCGCACGAGGAGAGAGAGGACGTCGTCGACGCACGGGAAGTAGAGGGCAGCGCCGATCGTCGGCCCGATCCAGTGCACGTCGCTGTACTGACCGGTCCAGCCAAAGATGAAGAGGGCGACCGGGACAAAGGGAACGGCGAACAGGGCGAGGCGAAGGCGCTCCTCGGGCGCGAGGTTCCAGTTGTTCTTGTCGTACTTGGGCAAGAGGTAGAGCTTGTGGTACAGGATGTACACCGTGACCGTGATGGCGCCCGTGACGAGGAAGCCGAGGAAGGGCAGGGTTGAGACGCCGAGGTTGAACCCCCTCTTCTCGGCAAAGACGATGGGGAACGCCTGCAGGAACGAGGAGAGAGTCAGTGACGGCTACAGCCGATGCAGTAGCGGCTCACGCACCTCGAACCACAAGTAGAAGACGGCTGCGCGGGCGGGAGGCATTTAGGAAGGTCAGTTACGAGGCTCGAGGGTGGCGGACCGCGACGCTCGGGCGCGAGGCATGACGAGGCTCGAACGCCGAGAGAAAAGGGACGCACAGTACAGGAGGCCGATGTAGAGGTTGCAGAAGAAGACGATGGGCTCGGCGGAGAGGCGGAAGGCCATCTTGATCTGGGTGACGCCCATCTTGAGGATCGACTCGCCCTTGGGGTTCTCGACCTCGAAGCGGGTCTTGATGAGGTCGTTGCCCGTGAGCTTGCGCAGGCGCTCGGCGCGGCGAAGGAGGAGGGTCGGGGCGTAGGTCTCGGGGAGGAAGAAGGTCTGTGCGTGGTCGAGCAGGGTCAGGATCGGGCCGGCTCCCGCAAAGAAAAGGGTGGACGCACAAAGACGATCAGGCCAAAGCCCGACATCCATAACAACTCGTATATCGGCCACCTCCACCCCTTGTTCATGGCGGCGAAGCTTGCGACGACGGGTCCTGCGGGTCGTTCGAGGTCAGCTCTCGGCTCGTGACGGCGCCGAGAATGTCAAGGTCGAGGGTGGCCCGTGGGAGAGTCTCGGGAAGGGAGAGGAGGAGGAGAATGAGGAGGAAAGGGGAGGGACGAACCGAGAATTGGGCCGCAAACGGCGCCGACGCTCCACACGCCCATCGCGTACGGCACGTTCCTCGGCGTGAACAGGTCGGCCATCGACGCACCGCCCGTCGCGAGGATAGGCGAGCCGACGAAGCCCGTGATGAACCGGAAGATTAGGAGGCACGTCAAGTTGGTCGGTTTTAAAATGGGGGCCTGGAAGAGCGTGAAAAAGAAGATGGCGAGCCAGTACACGACGTTGCGGCCGAGGTGGGGCGTCTCCTGAAGGGGCGACAGGAACACTGTGGGAGTAGAGGAGGTCAGGGCGTGTCGAGGAAACCGTCACCTCCCTTCTCCTCGCCGTCCTCCTCCTCCTTCTCGTGCTCCTCGATGTACATGAGCGAGATGGATACTCACTCGGCCCGATCCCGTAGCCAAGAATGAATAGCGATAGACCGAGGATCGTGACGGTCTGAGAGACGCCGTACTCGAGCATGAGGCCCTGCTCTGAGGGCGTGTAGATCTGCGCGACGACGAGGAGGATGTCAGCGTCCCGAAGCAGGACAGGAGACAGAGCGAGAGGGTGCGAGGGTGACCGAGAGAGGCGGGGTGGAAGTAGGAAGGATGAGGCGAGGAAGAGGGCCGAAAAGGACGGGGCTCGAGCGGGAGGGAGGACTCACGGCGCTGCCGATGTACACGACGGTCGTCATGAGGGCGACCTCGCCGGCGACAAAGTTGCGCTTGCGGTTCGACCACGAGCTGCGTTGGAGCGAGTCGAGGTCAGTGTCGGCGAGAATCGAGAGAGAAAGGGAAGGGGAGGAGGGACGCACTGCGGGTTGAGCTGGTCGCCCTCCTCAAAGTCGACGAGGTACTGGTACTTGAGGCCCTCCTTGCGAGCCTTCTCGGGGTCGGCGGTGCCCGGGTGCTGCTCCTTCTCCTTCTTGCGCCGCTCCTCCTCGTCGCCGTTCCCCTCGCCCTCGAGGTCGCGCTCGCCGCCTGCGCGCTTCTTCTTCTTCTCCTGCGCGCCGTCCTCGCGATCCCGCTTCTCCTGGTCCGTGTCAAAGTTGCGCTTGATCGGCGAGTTCGAGTTGACGAGCGTCTGGGCGTCGACCGACTTGCGGCCGGCGGTCGGGGTGGTGCGCTCGTCGGCCGACAGCGTCTGCTGCGAGTCGCGCGACGGGCTGTGGTCGCCTCGGCGGAGGTATTTGGCGGGAACGACGTAGTCGGGCATCTCCTCGGGGTACTTGAAGAGCCGTCCGCCGGAAAGGTAGTGGACGACCTGGCCGAACGGCGCGTCGCGCATCATCGAGGGCGCCATGCTGCGTCGAGTGCTGGGCGGTCGAGTCGGGTCGAGGACGAGGACGAGGATGTGCAGAGAGATGCAGAAGCAGAGCAGATGAGCCCGACGCGAGGAGGAGGGAGCTCCGGCCCATCCTGGGCCGCGAAGCTGAGCGGCCAGCAAGCGGGTGCGACGTAATCCGACTCCGCAAGCGAGTCTTGTCCAGCCGCCGGGATCGCGCTCGCGTGCATCGAACGGCGCGCGAGCGCTCACGACGACGACGACGAGGCCGAACTCTCGAATGAGTGGAGGCCGAAGGGGCGAACGACGCAACGCTGAGCCGCGATTGACCTGCTGGCTCGGAACCGCCGGCTCGATCGCTCCGACGGGTGCCAATCCCCTGCCCTCGGCGCCCCCTGTCGGCCCGCGAGGCGGACCCGCTCGAGAACGACGAGGAGCTGATGAAGCTGGACGTGGTCGACCGGCTGCTCGGCGACGGCGGCGGACGAGAGGACAGCGTAGTGCTCTGGCGGCCCAGCACAAGCCTGTCGAGCCTGTCGACCTGCACACAGCTGGCTGCAGAGCTGAGGGAGCGGTGCAGGGCGACCGCTGCCGATCGACCAGCTCGTCTCGAGCTCCTCCTCCTGCTTCCTCCCCTCTCGCTCGATTCGCTCCTGAGCAGCTCCATCACCACGTCACACTGCTGCTCTCGCCGCTAGATCCCGCCCCGAGCAACCCACGACTCGCGCCGTCTTCCTCGCCGTCCCCACCTCGTCACCTCCCCACCTCGCGGCGATGAGCGCTGTCACGACCCGCAACGCAGAGGACCCGGGCCCTTTCCTCACCCAGGCCGTCCTGGCCCCCGCCGGTCCGACCTTGTACGTCTCTGGGCAGTGCGGCGTCGACCCGGCGACGGGCAAGTGCGTCGAGGGTACTTGCGCCGACCGGGCGGTGCAGGTGCTCAAGAACCTCGAGCAGGTGCTCAAGGCGGCCGACATGGAGCTTGGCGACAGTACGTCCCTCGAGTGTCTCTGTCATGGATTCACAGAGAGGGCGCTGACCCTCGTCGACCCCCTTCCCCTCCTCTTTCCTCCCCCTTCCCTCGCTCGGTTCGCCCCCTCGCAGTCGTCATGGCGCAGATCTACCTCACCAACCACGCAGAAGACATGGAGCCAGTCAACGAGGTGTACATGAAGGCGTTCGAGGGCTGCTCGCCCATGCCGGCCCGAATCTGTATCGGCGGTGCGTCTCGCTTGTCCTCTCTTCCCTCAGCTCCTCTCGATCTCTCGATCTGACTTGTCTCGCGTGCACGCAGTCGCTGCACTGCCGATGGGCACCGACGTCGAGATTGCCTGTGTGCGTCTCCCTGTGTCCCTCGAAGAGACGAGACCTGACCTCTCTCGACCCACAGACCGCCGTCAAGAGGTCCTCATCGTAGACCTTGTCTCTGTAACCGAAAAGCTCTCGATCTCTCTTGAGCCTGGGACGAGAGAGAAAGCGAGAGAGAAAGCGTCGGTTTGCACAATCCGGCGCGTCGTACTCAACGCCGGCTTCGACTCGACCCTCGCGCACCCTCACTGGCCCGTGAGCTTGTTCTTGATGGCCTCGGCCGAGAGCGCAAGGTTGTCCTTCATGGCGGCCGCGTCGGCGTCAACCTCGATCCAGCCGGCCGCCTCGAGCGTGAGGCCCTCGTCCTGTCGCCGTCGAGAGAAAGTCGTGAGCGCCCGGACTCGCCCAGGGACGCCTAGAAGAGGGGAGGGAAAAGACAGCCGCACGCACCTGCATGAACTTGGCGACGCTGAACTTCATGCGGTCCTTGAGGTCGGCCTTGCCCGTCGTCGGAAAGTCGGCGCTCGAAGGGCCCGAGTACGGCGAGGGCTCGCGCGCGGCGAGGAACACGTAGCGGTGCTTTCTGGCGAGGGTGGACGCGGTCAGACGAAGGAGGGCAAGGTCGAGAGGGCGGGCGAGGTCGAGGCGAGAGGAGGGACGGCGAGAGAGGTGGGCGAGATGGGAGGGGGTTCGAGCGGAAGGTTAGCGTCTCTCCTCGTCGCCCTCGTCTCTCCGGCGCCGCGAAAGTGAGCAAGGGGGACGCACCCAGTCCCATAAGCAGGCGACGGCGGCACGTAGTCGTTGCGGGCGCCGGCCTGCGAGCTGATGACGGTCCTCCCGCTCGTGCCGTCAAACTTGACGCCCGTCTCGTACCAGTGACGGACCTGGCCCGAGAGCTGTGTACGCGATGAAGCGACGTCAGATCGTCGTCCTCGAGACGTCAAGGATCGCGCAGGAGAACGAGAGGCTCAAGCGCGACGGTGCGGGGGAGGAGGAAGAGAGGGACGGACCGTATCGTTGCGCTTGAGCAAGTCCGGGTCGACCATGAAGAGCGAGTACGTCGCGTCCTTGTCCTGCGAGTCGTCTCGTGTCAGTACGTCGCCGTGCGAGAGAGAGAGAGAGAGCGCGAGAGGGAGGACGACGCACCGCCTCCTTGAACTCGACCTCGGGCTGAGCGAGCGTCGTCGGGCGCGGGATCGCCTCGCCCTTGCACACGGCGTGCTCCGGGTAGTGCACGAGGAGCGGGCCCTTGAGCGAGGTCGCCTGGCTGGCGGGGACGACGTCGTCGAAGATCGAGGCGGTGCGGAGCGCGGCAGTGAGCTCGAGGGCGGACGGGTGCGACATGGCGAGAGCGGGTCGGGTCGGTGAGTGGGTCGAACGGTGCGAGTGGGTGGAGCGAGAACGACGAGCGGCGAGCGCAGAAGCAGCGGAGCGAGGCGAGAGCGAGTCGCGTTGACCTCACCACCGAGCCTCCGCCTCTCCCGGCCGAACAACTGCGCACGTGCCGCGAATAGCGAGGCTTCTTTTGCACAACAGCGAGGGACGAGGGGGTGACAACAAGGTGGTAGAGATGCGACGAATAGAGGGAGCGATGGAGGATAGCGATGGAGGATGAGGAGAGGTGGGAGGCGAGGGGCGAGGTCAGAGCGGCGTGGGGTCGCACACGAGCTCGAGGGGAACGTCTCGAATCGCGCCCTCGTCGTCGTCGAACGTGAGGCGGTAGATGCGCTGCACCTCCTTCTTCTGCGCGTCGTCGAGGGCGAGTCAGGTTCAGGTTAAGGCGGCGGGAAGGGGAGAGAAAGACGGAGAGACGCACCTTGCCCTGCCCGGTCGCGACGGCCAACGGGCCCGCCGCAATGACGGCGCGGTAGAAGCTCGTCGTCTCGGGGTAGCACGCGAGGACGTAGGTGCCCGGCGAGAAGTCGTAGTCCGGGTACGAGCGCTCGTCGCCCTTTTCCGGGAGCGGGATGATCGACTTGAGCGTCGTGTTCCACTTGCTGCGGGCGCGGTCGGCTTGAACGTCAGGAGGCGGTACAGGAAGAGGAGAAGAGAGAACGGGGACGCACCCGCCTTCGGGCGTCGGGTTGGCCGGGTCGTAGTCGACGTCCTCGACCGTGTACCTGCAGGACGATCGAGCTCGTCAGTCAGGCTCGCGACTCGGTCGAGGGGGGCAGAGACAAGGGGGCGCACCGGTTCTTGTCGCCTCCCAGGCACATGACGATGCGCCCGAGGATGTAATTGTCGGCCGCGCCGGGTGGACCTCCGAGCGGCGAGCCGGCACCAGGCGGCGCGCCGGGCACCTTTTTCGACTCCTTGACGGCGATGGGCCGGCCCGGGCGAAGCGGCAGCTGTGCGGCGAGGGCGTCTCGACGCGCTTTGAGCGACGGCGGGCCCGAGGCCTTCTTGTTGCCGCCGCCGCCGTGCGAGGACGAGGTCGCGGAGGAGGGTGGTGCGGGCGCGATTGGCGTCGGGTGCTGGTGCGTGCTGCCGTTGAAGGACGTAGATGATGTCGCAGGTAGCAGCGGCGGCGGCTTGGCGGCGTGCGACCCGGAGCGGGGCAGAGGCGGAGCGTGGAGAGGCGGCGAGCCGGCGAACGAGGGCAAGGGCGAGGGGGCGGCACTCGAGGCGGGCGAGCCCGCGCGCGACGACGTGTCGACCTTGGCCCGCTTCCTGTGCTGCGCCTTCTTGCCTGCGAGAGCGGGGCGACGAGCGCGGGTCAGGATCCGGCACATGAGGAGAAGGAGGAGAGGAACGCACCGGACCCAGCGTCTGCAGCAGGCGCGACAGCCTGTGCGGCGTCGATCGCATCCAGGAGGTCCATCGCGACGTCGAGCTGGCTGCGCACGCACACGAGGAGAGTCAGGACGCGCGCCCTCGCTTCATCTCCCCGGGAGGTTCGCGAGAGCTCACAGGAACTCTGCCTCGGTCTGCTCGTCGATGCGGTCGTACACCGACTCGAGTCGGTCGCGCACGTCCTCGGCTTGGCCGGCCTCGAGCTCTTGCTGGAGCGTGTTGGCGTCGCGCAGCGTCTGGCTGATGGCGGCCGAGTGGGCGAGGTACGACTGGAGGTGCGCGCGCAGCTGCGCGGTCAGAGCGGCTGCGTCCGACGACGGGGCCATCGTGGAGCTGGGAACGCGTCGCTGAGCGAGTGAAGCGAGTGGTTGTCCGGCGAGGAGGACGAGCCGGGGCGGTGCCGCAGCTCGTCGCGAGGAAAGCCGGCTCGGACGGCAACAGCTCTCGACTGCAGCGACAGGGACTCTCTGCACACACACAGAGTCACGGAAGAACGCATTCGGGTTGCCAGTGGGGAGCCCGCCTCCCCCCTCGTCTTTTCCTCCCTCGCCGCTACTCACACACACCGAGCTCTATCGACGCACGACCTGCCCCTGCTTAGATGCCCTCTGCGAGACGAGTGAGACGAGAGGGTCAGTACAGGACCGAGAGCGAGAGAGAGAGAGAGCGAGAGCGGGTGCGCACCCTCGAGCTGCTGGTTGAGGCGGGCGACGCGCGACGCAACCGAGAGGTCGATCGTCTTGTCGCCAAAGTCGACGACGAGGCCACCGAGGACGGCCTCGTTGACGCGGTTCTCGATGACGAGGTTCTTGCCGGCCTGGGCGACCTGGGAGCCCTTGAGCGAGTCCTCGATGCGCTTCTGGAGGTCCTTGTCGAGCGGGACGGCCGACGTGACGACGACCTTGACCTCGCCGCGGTGGGCGCTCATGATCTCGAGGAAGCCGTCGACGACGCGGTCCGTGTCGTACAGGCGGCCGTTCTCGGCGAGGACGGCAAACAGGTTGCGGGTGAGGTCGGACGCGCCCTTGGGGGCGGCCGCCTTGAGGAGGGCGTCGATGCCGGACGAGCGGTCATCCTTAGACAGGATCGGGTTGGCGAGGAACTCGTGGATCTTGGCGTCGGTGCCGACGGTCGCCTTGACGCCCTTGAGGTCGGCCTCGACGGCCGAAAGGGCGCTGTGGGCGGCGGATGCGGGTCAGCGCCAGCGGGGTGTGAGGGGAGCGAAAAGGGATGCTGCGACTCACTTGCCCTTGGCGGCGGCGGTGTAGAGCGCACCGGCGTA